TAGAGCTTCCACCGCTGCTACCGCTGGGGCTTCCACCACTAGAGCTTCCACCACTGCTGTCACCGGGGCTTCCACCACTGGAGCTTCCACCACTGTTACCACTGGGACTGCCACCACTAGAGCTTCCACCGCTAGAGCTTCCACTAGTGCTATTACCAGCCGAATCTGTGAGGCCGCTAATGAGCTTGGAGATCATCTCAGCCCTATGTTGTAGTAGTTTGGTGGCGTCACTGCCACTGCCAGATGTCTTCCCAGATGACGTCCCAGCATGACGGCCAGTAGACCCTCCACTACCGGCAGGGAACTGTTGACTAGTGGAGTCACGAGAGATAAGGTGCCCCGACCCATCCAAAGCAGAACTGGAGCCGGGCTTGAGAGAGAGGTCATTGCTCCCAGTTATTCTGAGAGGTACCCCCAGAGTAGGTACAATAAGGTAAATAAGAATATTAATCTTCATATTATTCTTACCTAGGAGTATAAGATAAGGGATATAATAGATAGAATGACTGAGGATAGTACTAGTAAGGAAACGGTTTTCTGAGTAGAAATATCTAGCCAAATATTTGCAGAACATGGGTAGGAAGAATATATTTATATTAATCCCATTTGGATATAAAATTTACACTTGATATAAACTTTATTTATTTATATCAGGGGATACGTATATTATGTTGAAACAGTTTCACTGTTTCGTAACAAACTTTTTCAGACTCGATTATGTGTCAGCCCAGCCCCTGGCCCAATGGAGAGACACAAGGATCCAAAATTCCAGCCTTCGGTCTCTTGTCATGGTCTGATGGGCTTAAGCTGAGCTACCCAAGCCAAGGCTCTTGTACCCACTGGCCTGTTACAGACGAAGGCTTGAGACTACAGTGGATTAAGAATGTGGGCATATCTGAGACTATCATGAGGCCATCAACACAAGCGACCCCTCACGAGACCCTCAGGGACAATTACCCCTCACGCCGTTCAATCATGGGCAGTTGGGCCTGTCGTTTGTTTATCCATTTTATCCTTCGACTTTCGTGAAATCAACAGCAATATATTGTGCTCGTCTCGTCCTTGATGACTGAATTAGTTGCCAAGCCCCTGATAACACAAAAGCTTCGTACCTAGGGATAGTAACTCATTAGTAAGCGAAGACACAAAGGCAGATAAACCAAGCCGTTAACAGAATCTTTTGTCTCGCCCAAATTTGCACTTATTTGTAAGCCAGATCATGATGGAACATTGCTGCCCTCTTCATCGTTTCCAAATATGGTTCTGCGCTTTAAAAGGTTTAGCAACGTCCGGAGTTTCTATGCAAACCTCCAGCTGTTCCTGAAGATTTGTTAGAGCAGCGCGTACGAGTATATTATCATCTTGCCTCGGCAGCTGGTTGCAAATCATGAGGCTGGACCTCCTTCATCTCATCACACTTATCGGCCCCTCCACACGGGCCCTACTGCTTACCGTGCATTATTGAATACCACCCTCTAATCTACTCCTTCTCTATCTGCGTCCGCTTAAAGACGTTTCCCCATCCCTTGTGCTGGTGCCCCTTGGTTGTACTCTTCTTGCATCTAGAGTAGCTGCCGGCGCGGTTCCGCGGTTCCTACTAATGCGCCCGTCATTGAGGACAACAATCACACGTATGTCTACCAGGTAAAATTGTTAAAGGGACAACTCCACCATTTGTGGTCACTTCACGGCCTGGGCAAGCAATGACGGATTTGGCGTCAAGATATCCTGAAGTTATTTTGAAGCTGTACAGCGGCCTCTTTAGCAAGATACGCTTTCTTTCAAGAACTATAGACAGACGACTGACAGCGACAATCTTGTGTGACAGCAGGTTATCACTACAGGTAATCTAGAGCGCGAGGAACAAATCAGGACAGCAGATTATCCACGCGATTCTCTAGGCTGTCACCGAGGTTCTAGCTGTGGGAATCACCCTCTGCCTTCAGTGAATGCCAGGGTATTATAATGACCCTGGAAATGATGCCGCAGATTGATTAGCTAAGGATACTGCTAACGCGGGCAAAACCTATCCTTTCCGCCCCCTCCTTACCAGAGAGAGGGCGCTCATTCGCTGGAATATCTATACTTAATAGAAGCAAGAATGAAAATCAACTATCAAGGATAGTCACTTATAAAAGATTAATAATACCCTACCAGTAACCTGTACTAGGAGGCTCTATAGAAATCGGGTGTACCTCTTGACATAGCTACGCACGGGTCACAACTGGTTATCCAGCTACCGCAAGAACATTGGCTACAGTGATAATAATTGTTGTATATGCGGCGCACAAGAAACAGTCACGCATGTGTTGGTAAACTACCTGAACTTGAGAGAAACTCAGAGAGAGTTAAGGAGAGAAGTTGGCGATATATTTAATAGCATGTCAAGTCTGCTAGAAGGCTCAAAATAAGGTAAGAGAGGTAAACCAGACATTGTCTCGCGAGCCAGGACAGTCAAGGCCGTGCTGGACTTCACTGAGGCATTACAAGTTTCACAGCCGCGCGCCACAAGGGCAGCCTAACAATGGGAACAGCAATTAGGCCACGAGAGGCCTTGACGAGGCTCTAAGTTCGTTTTCAGAAAGTGGAACACTCTACATGTACATATATGGATATATATAGTAGTTGTTGCCTGCATATCGTTCGCGATGTTGGATCCCAAGATCACGTGACCATATGATACACAATATGTGAAGTAGTAGGCTACCAGGGGTAGCCTAGGAGGCAGCTGGTGCGCTGGGCAGTAGGAAGGCAGCTACTTTGGCTATAAATAGCCGTACCTGCTCACATAGTTAATTAAAAGAATGATCACACTTGTACCTCAATTCAGGGTTACAACTCGCGAGGGGTCAGGGTAAATGATTTGACACACACACACACACGCCTGTACTGCAGGGTGACGCAACAATGGGCTGTTGTGTGTACGCAAATTTGTCTGAACCTTCCAACGCGACTAGCTATAGGAATAGGAGACACAGTACAGTCTAAATGTCAATATCAAGCCTCCTGAAAGAGCTCAAGTGCATTTCAATCGCTGGACAAGGTCTACGCTAATCTTATTTAAGTATAGCCCCACTACGGTACCTAGTATACATCAGGTGAAATTGCACTAATTTTAATATGGGATAATACAAAGTCACTTGTATAACAAAAAGACAAAGAGAGGGAGCAGCCGTCTATCCATTCACCCTAGGATAGCCATCAATCTGTATCTCAGTCGAGCGACGGCATATGGGTTCTTACTACGAATGGAAAGGCAAGATCTTTTTCCTTTCCTTTTTTTTCAATTTGGAATCCGGCGTATTGGATAGTGCACGACGTCGCTTTCTAGCTAGGAGAAAACTTTGCATGTACCCTATGGATCTTGAACAGTAGGTCGGTCGGATGGAAACTACTAAGAGGTAACCAGCATTCCAAGATAATACAGTATAGGATATGCATCAGCCTATGGCTCAACTCGGGCTGAGTCTTGATTTCGAAGAAGTCGTGAATAAGCTCGGCTCGGCTCACCAGCTCTTCTTCACTCAATACTCTGAAACAGGGGCATACGTATTAAAGCGAATAGTAGTAAGTAAGCAGAAGTGGCTTGACCCGTATAATCCCATTTAGAAGGGAAACAAAGAGATGGCAATATCGTTGTGCGACACGCGATGAACGACCCACCAGGGGTATAAATATGACCCTAAAGTCGAAGGTAGCAGGTCAGCTCTATTTCTCTCATACCACGCAGACCGGTAAACACGCACAAGGATGGCTTCAACCCAAGACTCAGCCAGGACAAACGCGGATACCTCATCATTTGATCGGACTTTGTCGAACGAGGTCCTGGAGGATCCTATATTCAATGATGAAAGCATAGCATGCCATATGAGTCTTCTAAAGCTTGGTCATGATGGGGACAGTGTTTTCGATGAATCCGCATATGCGCCTATTATTTCCAGCAGCGCCCTAGCACAGCATCTGATTCTGGCTGGCAAGGAAGCTCCAAAGATCTCACAATTTGGACTCTTGGCCGGGTTAAATGATAGTGCCCAGCCTATAAAGATGACAGACGACTCCCCGCTTATCACTCGGGATAGGGATCCACGACTTTTTTTCAATATCACTCATCCCTCAAGTGTCTTCATATGCGGCTCTCAGGGATCGGGCAAAAGCCATACTTTGTCTTGCATCCTGGAGAGCTGCCTCATACCGTCCCACGCTAGCAAGCTGCCTAATCCATTAACAAGTGTAGTCTTTCACTATGATACTTTCGTCGGTGATTCAGCGGGCTCTCCCTGTGAAGCAGCCTTTCTATCCTCGCATACAGATGTTGAGGTGAGGGTGCTGTGTTCACCAACTAATATTAATGTCATACGAGTAAGCCTTCTACATTGGCTCCTTGGTAAAGAAAGAGCCCGCTTAACACGGCATAGAAAACGTACTCAAGTCTCAACGTCATGGTCAAACCATTACAGCTCGACCAAACAGACCTGAATACAAAACGAATGATGGACCTCATGGCCATTGGACAAGATGATGGATCTGTGCCGCTCTATGTACACACAGTCAAGCGTATTTTACGAGAGATGCGAAGCGCACAACAAGAGACACAGGGTTGTTTCGATTACAGAAGTTTTAAAGACAAGGTTATGGATGCAGGATTGACTCCAGGTCAGATGGAACCTCTCAAACAACGACTCGATACACTAGAGAGCTTCATGCCTCAGCACCAGGTGTCCCAGGTGCGTCGGAGCAAGAAACAAGGACAGTTAGAATTGCAAGGCTCAACATGGGATCCAGTTGTAAGAGAATGAAGACCATGTGTGTATGAATATTAACTTACCCCTTCAGCCTCGCAGTTTGACCATCGTCGACCTTTCTTGTCCTTGTATATCCCCCGAGACAGCATGCGCACTGTTCAACATCTGTCTTAGCTTATTCCTCGAGCAAGATATGTCTGTCGGCCGAGTATTCGTACTAGATGAAGCCCATAAGGTTTGTCAGTCTCCTATTTTCACCTAATTAAATTAATGTTGACTACTGTTAGTATATGAATTCATCATCCGAGGCACGCGGATTTACGGAGACTATTCTTTCCGCCGTTAGACTACAGCGTCATCTTGGCGTCCGCACAATTATCTCCACGCAGGAGCCGACTGTGTCGACCGCACTTCTCAATCTGTGTTCTGTCACTATTGTACATCGGTTCACGTCCCCAGAGTGGCTAAGAACATTGCAGAAACATCTGGCTGCGGCCTTAGTAAGCCCGTTTTCTCCAAAGAGCAGCGCGAGAAGCCCATTGGAGAACTCGGAGGATACTTACAGTGATCCGGGGTTAGATTCGATGTTCGATAAGATCGTTCGTCTCAGGGTCGGGGAGGCGCTTCTATTTGCCCCAAGTGCTGTAGTAAAGGTCAGCAAGGATGACGAAGGCAGGGTTGGGTTCCACTGGCTTGGGTCTGAATTTCTGTCCATCAAAATCCGAGCAAGGCTTACGACTGATGGAGGCAAGAGTGTCCTCTCCGCCTAAGACACCTGCAGCTTGTGACTTATCGCGTATGGTTGTGGACCCTCCCTTGCCTAGTACGGATGATAAAGAAGAAAGGAAAAGACAAAGACATCTCCATTCAACACCCCGGCGTGAATGAAGGGTTTTCTAGTGATACTTGGTCTTTAGTATCGAGAGGACATTAATTGGTAAGGGCTGGGCATAAATTTGTGACAATAACTGTTTCTAGTGACGCACAAAAATTCAGAAAGTACTCGATTGCTGTGGACAAGGTCAATCCGTAATTTCATTCTAGCCGGGGTTTCAAATGGAGGAACACGGTATTCAAAGAGCGATTTCTGCATATAGTTATCCTGTAGCTATTCAACTAGCAAGTACTGACATAGCCACTCCCCTCCCGCATCATCATCATCATAGTCATACCCTCATGAGTCTTAATTTTCTGCACATTCATTCCCAATATAACAAACAACATATTGCTTCTCCTCAGGCGCGGCATGATTTCGATAGGTTCGCCCATGCACTTTGTCAGCCAAGTACACATCCGTCGCCAAGAATGGCAGTGGAGATCTGGGGCACCTCATCCAGGACGCTCGAGAGAGTCGCAAGAGGATCCAAGTCTACTTCAACATCCAAAATCAGTTCCCATTTGTCGTCGAGGATGACATTGGGGATCCCCGGCATCACGTTCAGGGTGGACTACTCTGCGCTTATCGACACAGCACCCGGCGCCTTGAGGTCTGATTCAGCAAGATCTGCCTCATTGCTGCTTGGGAAGCTAGAGCTCGCTGCCTCGCGGTTTGCAATTTTAAAGCCGTGTTAGTACAGATAAATTAGAGCTGCAATGTGACGCGTCAGGTAGACTTACGTATCTTGTAGCTGGGGGTGTGAGATCCGGCCTCATGGATTAATGATATCAGACTATTTGTCTCGTTTGTCTCGTTCGCCAATATGTTTGTACTGGTTGCCATATAGTGGCTCTACGCGTCTACCACACGATGTTGTTTCCTTTGTTCCTCATGTTTAGAATTTTATCGTTTAGGCACCAAATGAGATAGCTTTAGGCACCCTGCTTGCTTGGCCGAGACAGGGGCTTTGGCCCGTTACCTGGAGAGCTTGACATATATAATTCTGGAAATTGCGCTGATACCGAGTCAGTACATAAGACTCAAAGCTGCACTTTGACGCGTCAGATAGACTTAAAGTGGCAGGTTGCTGGGGACTTTCCTCCTTGCTCATCTTACCGGACCCTAAAGTCCAATTGGGAGGGTCATGATAAGAGTCGAAAATGGCATGGACCAGTGATAATGAACGCGAGGATGAAAGTAGAAGGACGCCATTCGGATCAACCGTAGCTCTGATTTCCTTCATGCGCTTGACGTACTCCTTCGGCAAGACGGCATACGGCATACGGATCTTGCCATTCGCCAGCGTCACCCATGTAGATATGTTCGCGTGCCAAGGACAAGTCCTGGTTCTCGGCGTGAAGACCTTTAACAAGTTCACGCAAACAGGTTGTCACGCGGATGTCACCCTAGGCCAGGTCCCATCTGGTGCAGAACTACCACCCTATAGTCACGCATTTATATTAATATCTTTAAGTGAAGGGAGCCCGGGAATAGTGACTCACAGGTTGTAGGCTCAAGGGGTAGGCTCCACGTGTTGCCTATTCCATTTTCCATCGCAGCTCTGGCAGCGCCAATGGGGCATAGATTCAGCACAAGTTTTGGATAGAAACCTTGAATGTCGAACAAAGTATCAACCCCGGCTTTCCAGGCTTTGTAGATCGCCTAAAGCCTATCTGCGTCTAGAACAATAGAGCGATGGCTGGAAGCAACTCTGAATCTGCGTGTTAGCACTCTCATCCACGCGACTGAGTATCCTGTGGGTGAAGTACCTGAACATTTGGTTAGGAGTCTCTCTATCCTCCTTCCACTGCCGCAAAGCCATCACATTATCTTCCTTGATAGGCCCATCAATTGCAGTAAAATAAACAAACTGCGAAGGCGGATTGCTAATACCCTCCTGAACTCCCATCATCGACGCAGAGGCAGCCTTCGTAGTTGCATTGTACTGAATGGTAAAAACCTCGCCCGCAGCAATTGGACTCTATCATCCACCAGGGCTAACTCACACACCACCTTGATAAACTCATATACCTGATCTTCTCGGAAAGCCTGGATCGTCGTGTTGATAAGGTAATGGACGCCTCCGATCAAAGTAAGACCAGGGATACCGATTGTCTTCAAACAGTCTCCTATAGCTGCGCGTCCAAATGGATCTAAAGCTCTAGCGACGTCGATCCATTTCATACCGGGGCCAATTTCAATGGTGTCGTTGTTGACTCGGTATTCACGAAGTTTGTTCAACGTCATTAGAACCCCTCCGTCAATGTTGTTGGAGCCTGGGAACTGTATTCGGACCACTTTAGACATCGGCAGCATGGATTCCTCAAGTTCTAATGCTTACATTCATGTGACTACCTCCGCGGATTGCGAAAGGTGCATTGCATTCGGAGAGAGTTTCAACACCGTGGGCCGCTTGGTCCGCGTTGCGAGGCTGGAAGATATCGATCCCTGCGTGGAGGCTTTTACCCCGCTTGCGGCGACGTGGCAGATTAAGTGTTGGAAGGTCATCCTCTGCTGTCAGAAACCCAAGATCAACCTTACTTCCAACGAGGCAGCAGCGTTACATCAAGCGATATGGTTACGGGAACTAGCTTTTTCGACTCGCTCATATTCAAGTAAAGTTGTCTGGAACTCTGCGCACAAATTAATATCTGATACCGTACAGAATCCGAGATAATGGCGTGTATTCCGATCTCAAGATCAACTGCGGATCGTCAAGATTTGACGTACATCGTGTTATTGTCTGTCCACAGTCAGCCTTTTTCACAAAGGCAATGGAAGGCGGATTTCAGGTAGGTATAAAGTCAGGCAACCAAGTCACACTCTAATAGATTACAGGAAGCTAAATCCAATGAGATTACTCTTCACGATAATCCTACAATTGTCAAAACGATGATTGATTATCTCTACCGTCAGGACTATAACGACACTTGCGAGCTTGCTATCGAAGAACAAGCCCAAAGGCCCCCAGAGCCAATGGATGCAGCCGCGGACGAATAGGAGATATCGGCAACAACGGCACCCAGTGAGGAGAAGGATTGTCCATCTGTCCCACTCCAGGACGCAAAAGAAACCAAGGTGTCAGTAAATGCCAAAATGCATGTCCTTGCGGATAAATATGCGGTTGAGCGGCTTAAGGACCACTCTAAGGAAAAGTTAAAAGCAAATCTTACACATGAATGGAACGACACAGATTTTCTTTGGCTCATCGAGTATACATATGGGCCGCATAGTCGTCCAAATCCCGAATTACGGGGTGTTATTGTGACTTTCGCCGTCCAGCATCTTTCTACCCTTGATAAACTACCACAGTTCCATCAGGTCCATAAGGAATTTTCAGAGTTTGGGTCTGATCTTTTGACTCGGACGATTGAAAGGGTGGTTCAACTGGAAAAATATATTTAGTAGGCTTCTTCTTTCTCTTGGATCCTCTATCCGTAAAGCTGAGCGAGCGACTTTGTCAGTAATAGACAGTTAGGGACACAAATAGGCAGGGAGATTTCACGGCAGTTGAACGATATCAGTGTTGAACAGCACACATATCGAAGCCCCGGTCGGCCCAGCCGGAATGCCTATTGCAGAATGTGTAATAAATCCTTTGACGACAGGTCAGGTCTTCGGCAGCATGACACCGACCGGTATCATTGGTGTACTGACTGTGGGCAAGGGTTCTTATCGCGTCACAAGGCTCGAAATCATCGTTTCAATCATCACGGAGGCTATTAGAGAATCAAATAGAGCACAGTATCAAATTTATCTGTCTTTATTTTTATACACCATCCATAATATGCAGCAGGTTCTACTCTATAATAGAAGAATCACATCGGTTTCTCTACGGCCAGTCCAGGGCCTGCTTCTCCTCTACAGATTAAGGCCAGTCTCGCCAGCCATCTGTCTCAGTGTATAAAGAGTCATTCCCCTCAATACATCCATAGAAAACAACAGTGCCAGCTTCAAATCCAGGTATATCCATATTATTGAGCCTAGTTCCTCCTTCAGCACGGCATCTATCATCTGTCATCTCGGCATTTGTGCGAACTCGAAGTCATTCTGGTGGAATAGGAATACGCCATTTGCTGGATGTAAGGAGGGTGCCTTAGGAGAATGTAGATATCGCCGCTGCTGAGTGGATTTTATCACAAATAACCTTGTCAGACACCACTTGGCTGGTTGACCTCAGGTCCTCAGTACTAGTGAGGTAGCTGACTTCCGTCTCTTTGCACACCGACACGCACGTCCGTCCTCTCGGGCCACATAGACAGTCTCGTCGAGTCTGCTATTATGTGCCACGCCCCACAGGGAAATAGTTCCCCGCTTCGCGTTACCAGCGCAGATCTCTGTCCGCCGGCCGACCGTGTCTCGCAGAGGCTGCCGTGGTGTTCCCAGATACCCTGCGGAATACTACAACAGTACTCTACTACTAAACTTGTATCTTCAGTTTCGCCAGCCTCTCGGACATCCGTGGCTGCGCCCTAACAAATTCGTCAAGGTTCGTCGCTAGATCGCACGCCCCTGGTGAAATAGAGGGTCAGCATACACGATCCAGGCTGCCTGTGGCAGCGCCTTAACGGGGGACTTGTAACCGAACGCGTGCCATCTCTCACCCAGGCTCGCACTATCCACTGCCCCTCTAATTGTATCCACCCTTGCCGCGTGATGCCAATTCCAATTATCATTTCAAGCTATTGGGTATCTCGCAATTTTAGAGAGTGTCCTAGCTCAGTGTCCTGTCTCCTGTCAAGGCGATACCACACCCACCGGAAAAGCAAGTCCAACTTTGGGCTCGAGTACGAGTCGAGTAGACAATCGTTGGGTGGTTTTCATAACCCGTTTTCCTCTGATTTTGTGTAGATTGGAGGGACGCGTCGTCAACCGCGGAAAACTCTGGCGGCTCGGCACGTCCTGCACCACCTGGATTCTTTTGGCTTCCCCTCCATGGAATAAGAGGGTACTGACAGCGATCACCACGAGAAAGTAGAAATCCATCGTCCTAACTGCTTGATGGTAGCAGTTGCCCAGCGTACTCGCCAAGGGCTAGTCTCAAGTGCGCGACTTCAGCCTCGGCCTCAATCTTATAATTGTCCGACATCGCAACAGAAACACTAAAACACAGAAACCAATAAAAAGAGATTGTAGCTGAAGAGCCTGTACTGTACTAGACCTATCTAGACTCTCTAACTGTCTCGCTTGAGCTGCCAACTAGTCAACTATCTCCCATTGTTGGACCAAAATGGCAAGGCTGACATGAAAGCCACGGTATAGCCGTTATATGCTAAATTCTATGCACGGACCCTTGCATACTACAGTTAGGGTTACACGGACTTACTATTTTCAAATTCTACTCAGCCGCCACCGTCATTGAGGCAAACTGTCTCCCAATGCAGTAGTAGCTGCGTATTTGTGAGCAATGGGGGTTGCCAGCCCTGTCAGCACTGCTGTTGGTCATTGCTTTGTTACCCCGGAAAAGCCTTGTCGGGCGTCTGGAGCACAACCTCAAGTGAGGGGGTAAATCACTCAGCCCCAACATAAGTCGGAATATTCACTTATCTAGTGAAGTTGGCATTTCGATCACGTTTTCCTACAGGAGATTCATTCATACTCGATTGGAAGATGGATGAACTTCCTAGACCACGAAGAGCCCTTCTGGCATCTGCTCCCCAAGAGCAAGCCGAATCTTTTGACCATGGTGACGAACTTGGTCTTCCTTATTCCTTCGCGTCACAGGACCAGATTCATTCCTACCATGCCTTGTTATCAAAACTCCGATTGTCTTTTGTGGTTGAAGTACCGATTCTGCCCATCGCGAATCCCCGCAATGCTCGTCCTTCTCGGCTTGGCCAGAACCTGCCCCTGAGCGACTTCAGACGGAATTCATAGAAGGGCATTTAGAGTTGAATGATATCACTTCGTACCTCGAGTCACTCTCAACGCAGTGGCTCAAGTAGTATAGGAACAGAGGATCAAGATGCATGCTTGGGTCCCGAACTCACCTTGAAGGATAGCCGCGAGGTAGCCCACAATAGTCGGAAAGAATCTTTGGCAAAGATGTTACTCCCCTTGCTTGGAGATGGTGCAGATACCTTCATCCTTCTTTGTTGGGGTGGAGAACATGAGTGCTCAATTACTCCAGTCCCCATCACCAATTCAACTGATGAGACTGTCATATGGAGAGATATTAGACAAGTTCGGTACTCACGCAGAGGCTGGCGGAGAAAATATGTCCCTTGTTTTGGTGCCAAGCGCGTCGATATTGTCGAGGTTGTGCCGTAATGAAAGGAACTTCTACTGACACTTAGGCTGACAATTTTTCTCAGATCTCTATAGCGGGCATGAACATAAGAAAACATTCTGGCGCAAATGAAGCTGTGGAATTTGTAGGGATGTATACAAAAAATGATTTGCAAAGTGAGAAAAAGCGTTTGGAGTCTATCATCGACAACCATATGGAGCAAGGGGAACCGTGCCAGTACGATCTATCCACAGGATTGGTGCACTGTGAACCTAGAGGTAGCCACGTGGCTCCTATTGCTATTTACAGGCTTATTACAAGAAATCTTTGAATCCTCCCGGGCCATTGTCTCGGCCTAGCCTACACGGGAGAGATTTCTATACACTGAAGGCAGCTGTGTACAGATTCTTTGGGTCCCTGGGCATGTAAGCATTCCTGAGAATAAAACAGCTGATCTTGCTGCTAAACAGAAGCTGCTATGGATCTCCCTGCTTTAAGCAAGCACTCATACGCCTCACTAAAGCAGAAAATAAAGGCTGATACTGTATCTACTTTCTAAAGGCACTGGCTATCTGCAGCTCCATAATCTTATCAGGATCTATGTATTGCCTTCTCCTCCCAGTGCCCTGATAAGCTGAAGATCCCACACCCTCTGCTTGCACGGATCCTGGCCGCTTGTACAGGACATGGCGACTTCACAACTTATCATGAGTGTGTTCACCATAAAGATATGTATCTTCTCTGCCACTATAGTAGAAGAAAGTCCCCTATCCACTTCTTCTTTTACTATATTATAAAGAGATATCTGCCCTGACCTTCTAGTTCTCTCTCAGAAATAATCCCCTACTTACTGGGCACTCCGAAAGGCGCAGTTAAACTAGCCGCCTGGCTATCTGAGACCCGTTTCTTTAAGGATATCTGCCCACGATACCCCCTATCCCAGCCTTGCTGAGATAGTACATTTTCTTCCCTCGTATTCCCCAATTTTTCAAACCAAAAAAAAAAAAAAAAAAAAAAAAAAAAACTGCGTAGTGGATGCAGAATCAGTCATGGAGCATAGGTGGATCCTTGCAGCTGGCATTATCTCTATACCTGCTATTGCAGGCCCTTTTCTTCTCCTTTCTTGACTACGGCAGCTATGTAAACGCGCCAAAGTCCCCTACATGTACATATAACTAGAACTAGCAGCTAGTTAGAGACACCCAGGACTTACCCCCTGGCGGCCTTTGCCCCAATAGGGGATGGTGGGTCACATGCTTCGACCGTGAACCACGGCCGTTAAATACAACCAAACCAAACCAAACCAAACCAATGCATTGAAAGACTGTCTAGAAGATATTAGATATAGACTGGGCTTGTAAATGCGTTCAAAAATAAATGAAGCATAAGAATACAGGATGACAGCCGAGGAACAATGATATTTCGCTGATAGTCTAGTGCCTGACACCGATTGGCGTAAAGAATGGTTCTGATGATCGGACTGCATGGTCAGACTTAGCCCTCGTGTCGATGTCGTCGGATGGACACGAGACGGGAGCAAAATTGAACCGCACAGGTCCCACATGGAGCCAATTTGGGGTCAAGCGCGATACAGGTGCACATTCAAACCGTCGCCCCCAAGTGTCATTTCCGGAGAAGTTCCGCTAGCAAGTCTAGCACCCAGGCTTCTCACGATGGCTTCTTTTGCGGCTAGGGCAACCGGCGCCTCCGTGTGCGGAAAGCGTTTTTACCCATTTGGACAAACCATGGCTCGCGCTCTGACTACTCATACAACATCTTATACACTCAACTCAGGTGCAAAGATCCCGGCGCTCGGGCTCGGTACATTCCAAGAACCCCATTCCCTAGAAGAAATCGTCAGTAGGGCCTTGCAGAAGGGCACGTTTGATTGATACGGTTCGGGTCTATGACGCTGAAGAACAAGTTAGAAGGGGAATCAAGAAGAGTGGAATTCCCCGTAAAGGTATCTTCCTCTGTACAAAGCTGTGGTGTAATTATTACCACCCCGATGTCGTGGAGGGCGCTTTGGATGACACCCTGCGAGATCTAGATACCCCATATGTCGATCTTTTGATGATGCATTACCCGTGCACCTTCAAGCGGGAACCCGACCTATTTCCTGGGGAACGAAGATGGAAGAATGGTCCTGGGTGATACCATACTCCTTGAAACGTGAAAGGCAATGGAAAAATTGACTGAGACTGGCAAGATCAAGGCCATGGGGTGTCGAATTTCAGTAAGGGAGAAATTAAGACTCTGCTCGAGGAGTCGTCTACGGTCAGAAAATCCAGCCCAGTCGCAAACGATAAGAAGGTAATTTACTTTCTAGGCCCCAGCACTTCATCAAATGGAGGTTCACCCCTATTTCCAGCAGACGAGTTTCAACGAGTGGTTGCGGGCAAGGGGGATCCATGTGGTGCAGTTCAGCCCCTTGGGCAACACGAATGACTTCTACCGACAGACTGGATGCTCCAAGGAGATTGCGCACATGATGCGAGTTATTGACCAACCAATCTTAAAGGAGGTTGGCCAGAAGTATGGCAAGAGTCCGGTACAGGTTGTACTCGCATGGGGAATCCATAGCGGCGGTTCAGTTATTCTGAAAAGTGTCGTCGATTGGCAAATCGAGAAGAACCTGGAGGCAGGTTTCGAGTTGCACGCTGAGGACATGTCTCAAATTAGCGACTCTGAACGCAAAAGCTCGCTTCAATGATCCCAGTCTGGACTACGCGCGGCGATTGTACAGTGACTTGGGAGGCATTGACGGCACTATGATGGGAAGAACTCACTAGATATTTTCTTTAGAGTATAGCCCATATGTTCCATCTGAAAATGTTGTTTTCTTTCAAGTCTGGATCTACTTTGCTCAACTAACAAGCGTATATAGAATAGAACAAACTGTTCTTATTCTTCTGTTTCTTAATTTCCACCCCATTTGTCCACCACCCTAATCGACATACGTACACACAGACCACCCCCTAAGGGTCAAATAAAAGAGATTTATTGCTTCTTTAAAGGGCTGCATTGATAGCAAAGACAAAACATTACCGAAGCTGGCGGCGCTTCAAGATTCAATAATTCGCCTGGGCCCGTTTTCTTTCTTTTTTCTTTTGCAACGGCACACTCCAAACTACTTAGAGAAGGCAAAACGATGACTATACGTATATATATTACGTATTTATAACCTGTATTCGAAGCAAAATCCCACTTTTATGGAATGTAAATCCACCATCGACCACTAAATTCGAGCCTGTCATGTAACTAGATGCATCTGAGGCCAAAAAAGGTAAACCTATAAATTGGTCCGCGTTAGCTTTACCTTCAGTTTGGAGACTTTGTGCATGTCCTTACCCCTTTAAGTTCATATGGCGAAGCGAACCGACGGGCAGGAATTTGACCCAGCCACTTGTCGAGCATCTCTTTAGAAGCATGCTCCATCATCTGAGTCTGGATATAACCGGCTAAGTTATTCTTAATGAACCCTAAACCTCTTATTAAAGAGAACTGTTTTAGGTCCGAAATGTTGCCTAAATGCCCTGTTCAAAGAAGCATCCATCAGCTTTGTTGTCCAAGACGACTCGAAACGGACTCATTGATCCTTAAATCTGCGGCAAATTTGAACGTTGTACAGTATTGAAGACCGCCAAAACCGAGCCATAACCCTTCGCAGCGTCAAAATAGGTGGACCTGAGGATATGACACAGGTATGTGTGAGCCCTTATACCGTTACATCAGTATATCCTTAATCACGATTGAGAAAATAATTAGTTAGATTATGAATAATCGTGTTCGTCACCCTGCTGCGTTGTATTAATTAACATATGTACTGTGAAGCCCTGAATGTTTTTATATAATGCTCATTTTTTTTATACACTGCTGAATGGCAATGTGAAGCTGAGAACTCAGTAAAAAATAAATAACAAGCTGATATTCTCCAGTTCTGACATCGAGTTGGAAGCTACCAGCACAGATCCGCATTTTCCACACAATAGTTACCACTCAAGGGTTTGAAAGTCATCCATGTAGTCACCAAAAGCTTTAAGGTCGAGGGAAATTCGGACCCAGGCTGTCGTACGGTTCTTGGAATAGAACATAACCCATCCGGTAGCACCAGTCAGGTTGACGTTAACCTTAAGACCAAGATTTCCCAAATTGCCATAGAAAGTCCCGATGGAAATTCCCCAGATGCTAACGGTAACGCCGATGTCCAGTGTCTCAGTGTCGACCCAGCCCGTACCCTGGATTCCATTAGTTTTAGTACCAGGGAGAATCAATGTTTACCCACGGAGTGAGGTCCCAGGTCCCAGGATATTGGCTTGCGATCTCCTACATTCCGACCAGGCGCCTTGAGCAAATCTTCGCCTACTTGCCCCACATCGTAGTTCCCATCCTTGCCCTGTGAGAGAGTCACTATCGCACCTGAGGTTGGGATTAGCGACGGGAACTTAGATAAAGAAAATAAGATTAGAAGATGATGCGAATAGAACTTACCCACAATAATCTCCTGTTTTGTCGACATGGAGTCGGTTGCTCTTTTGGTTGTAAATTGTTTCAGATATCACAAGTAGTACTGATATTGGAGAATCCGAGTCTTGCGTGTAGCAAAAACCTCAGGAGCATGAGATTCATTGTAGAAAAGGCGTCATCTTTTTATCCTCTCCCCAAAGACAGTTCCTTGACCTCATCTATCTCCCAGTATAAAATCAAGCTGGTGCAACGTAATCACACGATTGGTTGTATGCACAGTCTATCACATTGCATTCTAACCGTCCGATTTGTGGCAATTGTGTCATGGATGCAGCCTCCGTCCATAGGCGGATATGAGCCATTTAATTTATTACCTTGGAATAATCCCTGTCCAGATCGCCCGATATTGCTCAATTTCAGGAGGCGATATCATATTATCCACATGTCTCCGTCATGTGAGGGCGCAGTCAAATAATGTGGCCAATCATTGGCCAGAGACTGGTTTCATATAAGATATGGAGATCCATTTAGCTGAGCCAAAGAGGGACAAACACCCGAACACGCAGCTGGTCCGGTATTATGAGATAGTGGAGTACAGATGTTCGGAGCTGAAGAAGTTATGCTTTATATAGCAATCAGGAGGTTTCCCAGTCTATAGTAGTGTAAGACATGTATGTCTATAGGGAACTCTTTGCCTTCTTCCCACGACCTTCAAAACTCCAATCAATCTGAGTGGCCATCCTCACCTTCACCCCGAGCTCATTTGCAAACGCACGAACCAAGCCAGGGTTCTGCTGGAACCAACGCCCAGCCTGTACTGCATCAATACCAGACTGCACCACCTCCTCGGCCAGCGATCCCGTCTTGATTCCTCCCACCGCCGATATGAGTAATTTGTCGCCCACAGCTTTCTTAATTTCTTGCGCAAAATGTACCTGATAGGCGGGGCCCGACCGAATGGCGATCGCAGATTTGGCGTGGACCCCACCTGAGCTGACATCTACCAAGTCGACACCGCAGTCAGCCAAGAGTGAGACCAGCTCAATCGACTGAGCCATTGTCCAGCTCTCGGGAAACTCTTTCTTGAGGACCTCATCAAACTCGAACCAATCTGTCGCACTGATCCGGACAATTAGAGGCATGGTTGTCGGGATACTAGCTCGAACTACCTCAGTAACTTCCAGGAGAAGTCTGACCCGGTTCTCGAAGCTACCTCCATACTGGTCGGTTCGTCGGTTACTAACAGGGCTCAAAAACTGGTGTAATAAATATCCGTGAGCGGCGTGAATCTCAATCACATCGAAATTGGCCCTGACGGCCCTTTTGGCAGCCTTCCCGAAATCTTTCTTCAATTCCTCAATATCCTCCCCGGTCAAAGCCTTGGGGACGGTATTGATTCCCTCCTCATGGGGAATTGCCGATGGACCAACAATCTCATCCGGCCACCCGCCAACTTCCTTGAGAGCCATCGCGTTGCCGCTCAGCCAGGGAGCAACGGCACTGGCCTTCCGACCCGCGTGAGCTAATTGAATAGCAATCTTCTGGCTTTGTCCGTGGGCAAACTCCGTGATACGCTTCAATGGCTCGATCTGGCCATCCTCGTAGAGACCAAGATCCTGCGGTGTGATACGGCCTACTTTCTGAACGGCGGTCGACTCCATGATTGCCAGCCCTGGCCCGCGCTGGAGGATGCCACCCAGATGCGTCAAGTGCCAATCATTGGCGTAGCCATCCTTAGCGGAGTACTGGCAGAGAGGGGCAAGGAACAGGCGGTTCGGAAAGGTCGCACCGCGGATGGTGAGGGAGGTGAACAGCTTGGCTGATCCCTCGAGCTGCGTGCCTGCTGGGGGATCCTGAGCTGGGGTAAAGTAGGAGGTGCCTTTGGCGGCGACGTTGTCGATTACTTCCTGTGCCATAACTTTTGATTTAGAGGACTGCTAGACGCCCAACAAAAGTAGAAGCACGCAGGCAGCTATATAAATACTGATTACAAATAGGGCATTATTAATTCAAGTCACGATGGACGATTACTAATTCTTATGTTGGTTAGATGGGGGCCATTATAGCGCAATATGGCCAGATTGGACCCTCTCCTGCATAAGACCCGCCTGAGTAAGCGCTGGATGATACTTTACTTTCGCTGATTTCCTCATTAAATGTTTGACTACCTCTCGCCCGGAATGAAGTCCAACGAAATCAACCATTGCAATTTGCAGCTATTGTAATGTCGTGGAGAACCATCTCTAGAGAAGCTCAGGCTGCTGTACTGAAGTCCATTCCCAGGCGTTGGCGGCTGGATCCCGAAAATTATGCGTCTCTGAAAGACGTAAGGAGCGTGCCTTATACAAGTGGCATTCTGACTCCCAATCAGCTCAAGATTACTGAACTTACGGCTGTCGAGATAGTGAAACATCTTGAGTCTCGTCAATTGAAAGCCGTACAAGTTTTAGAGGCTTTTGCCGGTCGGGCAGCTATCGCACATCAGCTGGCATGTCAATTCTCTTAAGTTTTCGGAGCGAGGCTAACTGGGAAAATAGGTCAACTGTCTGACCGAGTGGTTCTTTGAAGATGGCCTTCAACAAGCGAGAGAGCTCGACGAGATCCTTGACAAGGGTGGAAAGCTGAAAGGCCCATTACACGGAGTTCCTGTCGCGTTAAAGGTAGAGAGTTTTACATTTGCTTGACCCAGACAGAGGGATACTGATACCGCGGCTAAACAGGATGCCGTTGAAGTTAAAGGCCATGCTGTAACAATGGGATACGTTGCGAGAAGAAACAACATCGCTAAGGAGGATTGCACTATTGTAAGGACATTGCGTGCCGCAGGTGCGGTCTTCTTTTGCAAGACAACCATGCCCCAGTCAGGAATGGCTTTGGAGACGGTCAGCAATCTTTGGGGCCGCACTACGAACCCATTCAATAGAGATTTGGGCGCGGGCGGTAGTTCCGGAGGGGACGCGACTTTGGTCGCCTTGAGAGGCAGTCCCATCGCCCCTTCGACTGATATGGGGGGATCTATTCGCGTGCCGGCCGCGTTCAACGGACTATACGGAATTCGACCGACGGCGGATCGCATACCCAAGGGCGGCATGTACAACACCAACACTGGGAATCTGACGATCAAATTGTCCTGTGGACCTGTCTGTCACTCTCTGGACGACCTTGAGCTATTTACCAAGGTCATCAATGCGCATCCGCACAATAAGTACGATGTGACTTCTGTGCCGGTTCCCTGGAAAAGCCTTGACCCATTAGATCGCAAACTTACTATAGGAGTAATGAAATGGGACGGAGTGGTAATGCCTCACCCGCCGGTCCTCAGAGCTCTAGAGCACACCAAGCAGACACTCGAGAAGGCCGGACACGAAGGCAAGTAATCAGATTACTTCATGATTCCGGCAAAGGTCTTACTGACCTGACGTTTTAGTCATTACAATCGAGCCCCCTTTCGATTGCTGGGATATCAAACAAACTACGGTAAGCATAAGCATCTCGTTCAAATGGAGAAGACGTATTACTTATAGGGGGACGCCAGTTCGATATCTATTACCAATCTGGGTCTGCCGGGACTATGTCCACACTGGCCGCTTCTGGCGAGCCTACCATACCAGCTTTTGCGGATCTGCTCAGGGTTTTCGACACCCGAGAACACTCTGCCGCGGAAGCGTTACGAGTATGTGTTTTCCCCATCCTTGTCGGCACAGATGGGCAAAGAAGTACACACTGACAGATCGGGCAGTTGAATATCAAAGCAAGAGCCCTCAAAGAGCAATTTGCCGATACATGGAAGGACACTGCTGGCCGCACTACCTCAGGCCATACGATTGATGCAGTGATAGCGCCACCAGCGCCTGCAGTAGGCTATCCGCATGACTTTAATATATATTGGGGATATACCTCGTTGTTTAATCTTTTGGACTATCCTTCTATCATCTTGCCGATTCACAACTTCAAGGTGGATCCTCAGCTGGACCCTGTGGATCACAACTACCGGCCTTTGGAAACGAACCCCTACGACAGACCCAATTATGAACTGTGTAAGTCACCTAAACTAACTCCCCTACTTATGTATTTTCTAATACGCAGTTCATAACAGATGATCCAAATGTGTTCGTAAATCAACCGTCAACTATCCAGATCGTTGGACGTCCGTTCGAGGATGAAGAATTGATTCGGGTAGCCTACATACTCGATGCGCTGTTCAAGGCTCCATAAATTAGGAAGGACTAGCAATGACAGATACGGACGTTGCTAAATCTAGAACTACTTTTTTCGTTATGGATCGCGTTCGTAATCTAGCGTGATCTTGTAGCTACTGAGACATTTCTCAGCTCATCATTCCACCAAGTGAATATTTATTTCACCTCTAGTAGATAATAATCCATCCCTAAAGTGGTAGCTCTCTTCGTCCGCTAGATCCTAATAACCTTGACCTTGGTCTCCTCTCAAAAGACTTTATGTAGAGCCTTCCCGCGTTTGTTCTGTATCTACTCTCAGCATCTCTACTTTCTATAATGAATTATTCTTAATTATACTACTCAAGGCAGGGATAGTTAGTGCATATTTACTAAGCTTGACTGCACTAGGAATGAATGGAGCTTGATATATCTGTCTAGTTCTTTGTATTGTACATACCTGGAAGGCTGTGGCTGTCACGGTGTGCCTGCGGGCACACCTACCTTGCCTGCCTGAATCCTGTTTGTGGCTTTCGAGACTCTGACTCACGCTGAGAATCCAGCATGAGGAAATGATCCGCGCTTGGCCTGTCCTTTGTTTGGGAAATGGAAGATGATCACAGCGTTGCAGACAAGCAAAGGGGAAGCTGGCCAGCTCCATGATATATCGAACGAGAAACAATTGAGGCCTCACTGAAGAAAACCTTTTTTGCTAGTACATTTTAGCCTGCCTCTTTGGGCCGGGGATGAAGCCATGACTAGTAGAGTGATTTCCATTTGAACTATCTAACGTAGTCTATGAGCGTGATTATCATCCAGATGCACCTGAGGAACAGCTAACGCCAAGGTCAGAGGGAGTGTTACCACATAGGATTTTTGCATCACCAGACGGAGCTTTGGCCTCGAAATTGCTAATAGACACATTACAGGTGCCTCTAGAGCCACAATTCAAATTAGCCACCACCGGATCGTTCTTCTTACTTGTAGTGCCAGTAAATCCCTCAACGACGATTTCTTCCAGCACCGCATCGCCGGGTCTTTCTTCGCAGTATTCATTATCCTCACCATAGCAGCTCTGGATTTGGAAGGCGTAGTCGCAATCATCCACGATGAAATCTGAGAACGTTACGTTCTTCACCGTCGAGAGGCCATGACCTCCACCGCTGGGATAAGTCTTGATGCCTGCCGCCTTAGTCGACTTAATCATCGTTATGTTGTGTGCATACACATTCTGAACAGTGTCATCCCTGGATTTCCCTAGTGAGCCTACCGATATGCCGTGAGATCCGGTGCAGGATACATTCTCCACGGTCACATAGTTGGCGCCAGGCTTGAACGCCACGCAATCATCGTCATTGGTTACGGTGACCGATGAGATGGTCACGTAAGTGCTTGCGCCGATGTCAAAGGCATCTGTGTTCTTAGGACGGCTGTCTGAATTGGACGTTGCGTCCAAGGTCAGACTTGTGAATTTAGCGTTGGTCGTGCCACCTTTGACTGAAATAAACACGTTGGGCGGGTTCTTTTGCCGAATGCCAGACACCTCGATGTTCTTGCCTCCAGTAATATAGAGAAGAGTGGGACGCTTGTAGCTAGTGTCTTTGGCGAACCGATCCCATCTATCCTTGTAAGGCTTGCTATATATAGTAAACAGGAAGAAAGCATACGTACGACTCTTGTCCATTTCCATCAATAACCCCCGAACCTGTTAGAGAGCGGATCTTCAGACCGCCAATGCCCAAGACACTGATCATCGCCGTCTTTCCCTCCCAGTAGTCGGTCGAGCTGGTGAACTGGAGATGGCCTTCCACCTGGAAGTCGCAGTTGGCGCATCCTTTGAAATCAAGGACACTGTTCAAGTAATAGGTAGTGTCTGCTGGGATTACAATCGTGCCCCCATCGCCACACGATGCGATCGCCTTCTGAATTGCCGGGACATCGTCGGTCAAGGAGCTTCCACCAGCAGTGGGAGTGCAAGCAGCACGCGGTTTGACGGTTGTATCAGGGGATGACTGTGTCCCGGCTGGAATGGCTCCGCCAAGGCCAAGCAGCGATAAAAAGAGGATAATGTTGAGGCCGACCATTTTGCGATGATACTCGCAGGCGGTTATTCTAACTTGTCAAGCTGACAGTCACCTCGGATCGCAATCGAAATAAATAGGCTGAGGACGCAATGGCCTTCGACTCAGGCAATCAACGAAGATCATCACCATGTCTGTGATGTCAATCACAGCGTATTCGAACTGTTACCGTGGACAGTCTCTAGTAAAGAAAGCTACATTGGCATTGACGGAAAGTTGATATGAGATTGAGTAGAATTGTCCGTCAGCTCCGGGAGTCGCCTACAACCTGTCTGAGATAAATTACTCGTGATCCTCCAACCGATATTATAGGAACTGATCGTCGTCTGGGGTATATTACATTGGGCAGGACGATCCGGCTAAAGGCGTACCCGCTTTTATCCAAGCGGACTCCTGCGAACTCCGAGATTGACTGGTGCCCGCAGGATGCCGATTGATGGAAGAATTTCAGAAGATCTGAGCACGTATAGACAACATGTGAAGTTTGGCAACAGATTGTGAGACAATGTCTTGTCTCCTGCTTCGGACGACCAGTGACTTGGGTTTATAAGCATGCACATCGGTCCTTAGTATTCCAAGGTACATTGCTGCCTGCACCTATCGCCTTTCCAGTTCACCTACAATGTATGGTGCTGGCCTCATAGTTGCCCTGCTGGGCTTAACTCTCCGTAGCTCTGCGTCTGTTGTGCGCCGGGTGTCGAGTCGCACCAACGCGCCATCGAGATGTTTGACGGTGGGCAAGTCCGGAAGTTATTCAACTGTTGGTGATGCGCTCAGCGCGTTGGGCTCCTTAACAGCGGACGCGTGTATTTACATTGCAGCGGGTATATATGAGGAGCAGCTATCTATTGAGTATGGAGGTCACTTGACATTGTACGGCGAAACCAGCAGTACCGACACCTACAAGGAGAATACTGTCACCATCACCCATACAATCTCGTCTCCGGAAGCTGGCTCCCTTGATAAGAGTGCCACCATCAATGTCAAGTCGGAGTTGTTTTCTATGTATAACATCAACGTGGTGAATGGTTATGGGTCTGGAGCGCAGGCCGTTGCGTATGTGTTTGAAAAAATCTTGAGGATATTATCAATAGATCTGACAAAGCTTTGCTCCCGGCTAGTCTCGTCGCTAATGCTGACCGACTGGGCTTCTATGCCTGTAAATTCACGGGGTACCAAGATACCCTTTACGCAAAAGCGGGTCACCAGTATTATACCAAATCCAGGATTGAGGGTGCGTTCTTGCTTGCTGACATTTGTTCCCCATCCATCATCCACTTGATCGCAACCTAGACCGGAGTTAACGCATCGAAGGTGCTGTTGATTATATCTTCGGTGACGCCTCTGCCTGGTTTGAAGATTGCGACATTGTCTCCAATGGCCCTGGTGCAATCACGGCTTCGTCGCGTGAGACCACTTCCGATACGGCGTGGTATGCAATCGACCACTGCAATATCAAAGCAGCGTCCGGTGTTGAGCTCACCGATGACATCTACCTGGGCCGACCCTGGCGAGCCTTAGCCCGCGTCATTTATCAGCACTCGGTGTTGTCAGATATCGTTAACCCCAAAGGTTGGAAGCCCATGGCAGAGGGTGCGACGCCGCTTTACTATGAATTCAACAATACTGGAGATGGATCGGACACGTCGAAGCGGGAGTATCTGAGCTCTATTGGTGCTGCTGTGACGAAGGAGACCGTGTTAGGGGATGATTATAAAGCCTGGGTAGACTTGAGTGTGTAACCTAGAGATCAGTTCCTCACCATTTGTGAAGTAGCTGCGTAGTAGTTTAAATAGAACATACCGTTTCTATCCAAAATTTGTTAAGTAAAGTTAAGGATTCCCTACTCGATAATATATATTCGATGAGATGCATTGTTGCAGATAGTCATGGGATATAGTAATAGTACCAAGTAATACTATCAAAGGTGAGAAATGGCTGGCGATACGTGGAGAGAATTTATAATTACTTTCTTCCATCGCTTTCCTATTCTTATTCTAATTTTCTATTGTGTTAGTTGCTTGGTTGCCCTATGAGTGGATGTTCGACCACTCGTTCCCTGCCTACCGCCTCAGGCAGCAAAGGGTGTCCACCAGGTTTGTCAAAAACGTTGATTGGCCACAGCTGTTAGATAAATGGGGCTTGGTGCGCCTTGGCTTCCCGAAGAAGAATAGCGGGAGGAACGGGTTACTTCTTGTTGGCCCTGGATTGATGATGAATTAACTCTTTCAACTACACCCACAGTCATTCGGCACACTCCGCATTTACACTTGGCGATGGAAGAGTCCCCGACGTACGCCACTGAAGCATGCTGGACTTGTCGCCGCCGTCGCTGGAAATGTGATCGGCTGCTGCCTGCATGCCGCAAGTGCGACATTATACAGGAGCAGTGTGCAGGGTACGGCAAGGAACGGCCCCTACGGTGGACAAATAGCGTGGCTAGTCGGGGTAAGCTGATGGGGAAAACTGTGCCAAGCGCCGCGTGCCCAATCTCAATCGGGCGCCTGCTAATCGATCCCGGTTTGCAAGACCTGACTCCACCGATGCGCGAGTATATCGCATACTGTATGTATGAAATTAGTTGTCACAAGGGATTCAATATACTGACTGTGACTAAGTCGAGCAAAATTGCAGCCCGGAATGTGTGATATATGATCTGGGAGCAACTAATCCATTCAAAGAACTGATGAGCTTAATTCCATCTAGTCGGGGGCTGTGTCATATCATGGTGTCAATTGCTGCGCTGCACCGGACCCAACGGAAGTTAAATAACAGGCGATTAACCGTGGATGATCAGGTTTGTCAGGGACCAGGCGCGAAAGGATCAAGAGAATCTGCCAGGTACTATGAGTACCTGTACCACAAACAGAAGGCTCTGTATCTACTGAGGACGAAGTGCCAAGAAGGTCCATCCCAAGATCCTTACGGAATTATTGCTTCGGTTGTTTTATTCATTTGGCTGGAATGTCTGGAATGCGGGAGAGACACTTGGGCATATCATCTCAACGGATTGAGGGAGATTATGCTGGCCCAAAGCCTGTCAATAAATTTCGTGCAGTCGACGAGCTTAACCGCTGCGTTTTCCCGATTCTATGAATATTTTGACACGAGCTATGCCGTGTAAGTGCAACACCATTACTCCCCTTTCTAAACCTGTGCTTCTCTGACAGTATAGCTTTGAAATCCTCGGGTCGACCTTGGTAAAAACCAAGCAGCAATATAGGCCGCTGTTCACTTCAATACCGACTATTGACATCCTGAAGCGCTCCGAGTTTCTAACATGGACTGGCTGTCCGGCAGAAATCCTTTACGTAGTGTCAGTTGTGAACTCCGTTTCCTCAGACCCGACCAGGTCGACACCGAATCTCATTAATTATCTTTTCGCTCAAGCGGAGTCTTTCTCCCCTCAGAAATGGGCTCTGTCATGTCCGACCTTCGCGCATATAACCCCTCGCTATCATGTTGCGTGCATCTACAAAGCAGCCGCTCTGATCTACATGTTCCAGGTATTTTTCCACAGACCCCAGCAGCGCCATCTACTGGAGTCGGCAGGCGTGGGCACACTAGACGCCACGATCGCGCATTTCACCTCGATCAATACGGAGGACACCCACTTTAAAGGGATTCTTTGGCCTGCGTTTATTATTGGTGCCGAGGCACGGACTGAGCACCAGCGAGCAGTGATTAGGGAAGTGTTTGATCATCTGTGGGGCTTTTGGCGCGCTCAAAATGTGAGACACGCATTGGAGGTACTTAACAAGATTTGGGCGCGACAGCAGATTACCCCGGATGGAGCATCCCAGCCCTGGATTGAGTACCTGTACGAACAGGGAGAAAATTGGATGTTTGTGTAGCTAGCTTCCTCTATTTGGAGGGTGTCCAGACACACGCTGAAGAGCCGTGTGCAATTATCGAAACAAAAACCTTACGATTCCATCTTCTGTACATATATATAGTGATATCGTGAACTATTAAAACATAATACCCGGTTCTCCTCTATAAAAAGTGGGTCTATGCTCAACACTAAAGCGTTGAAACCATGGTATTGGAACGATTAATGGCAGGAGTGGGCTAGTACGAAATTGGCAGTACTTTGGTCGCGTCCCCTGGCGCTGGTTCTGTTCAGGGTCAAGACTGTCAGACTATTGTCAATATCTGCAGAGATCTTGCCGAGAACAAGGTCCCACAATGTCACTAGATTAAGTTTGGCCAGAAAATAATAAGTTGACAGGTAATTTGACTGAGCTGAAAACGCCCCGCCGATCACCAAGCCCTACTGGAGATTGGTGTACGCGATCTCCATCGTCCTGCAAGGGGCACACGGATGAACTTTGCAACTCAGGATGGCATGACAGTTAATCTAACGATCTTAACGTTCCAATAATTTATCAGTTGTCGATCAATACCGTGGCGATCTAAGAAACAAAGATGGGAGGTCTTTCTCCTCCCGCATTCAGGGCAGACAACAGTTCTAAAATGTACCTGTCCATTTTTCGCTAGATTTTTGTGATATGAGTGAACTAGGAGCTAACTTTATGGCGGACTTTGTGTGTGGCAAGTGAAACGTCTTCAGGGGCTCGTCTTTAATAAACAATGGCCCCATGGTTGCTGAAATCCTGTATCCGGGAATGACACGAACGGATTCTCTGACAACCACGACTTGAGTACAGTATGGCAGATACAAGTGAATTAGGGCACTCCGAGCTGGGATACTCCCACGATAACCTCCGTCATGTGGTCATCACGGCTACTTGCTGGGCACTTGTCCTCTCGACTTTAGCCGTAGTACTACGGCTTGTGTGTCGACGGATGATGAAGACCAAATGGTTTCTAGATGACTACTTGATGATAGTTGCGTTAGTAAGTGACTATAGAGCAGCTATGGTTGAGGCCAAGTGGATCTGACATCTACCTCCGACAGTTCTTTGAATATGTGATCTCACTGGCCGGCGTCGTGCGTAGGTCAACCAACTCTGGATTATACTCTCCCTTCAATAATTCTCACCGATTCGCCAGTCCTCTATAATGGCCTCGGAACCCACAAATATTATGTCCCGCCGGATGATTTAGAAGTCTATATGAAAGTGCGCGGCCATATGCCTTCCTCGCGTCTCTTGTAACTGACACCCGAAAGACGCTGCCTAGTGGCACCTTCCTTTACCCTCTATGTATCACATTCGTGAAACTGTCTATCGTGACCTTCTACAAGAGACTCTTCCCCGTTAAGCCGATGGCCATAGCAGCGAACGTGGTCGGATTGATCGTGATCTTGTGGTGCCTTGCCGTGTGCCTAGTCGGCGCAATGACCTGCATCCCCTTTCGCAAGCTATGGCAGCCACAAGTCCCGGGGAGATGCATCAATCTGGCACAGTTCTATTATGGTCTCCAGATCCCAAACATCCTCACCGATGCCGTCATCCTCGTGATGCCCATGCGAGTGGTATGGAGCCTACAAGTGTCCCGAGCACGAAAGATTATCCTGTCCGGTATTTTCCTCCTTGGCCTGGTGTGAGTCATCCCCTCTTGCTATATCGATCTATCTTGTATTGACAGGTAGAAACATTATAATAGAACATTGATCTTCGACATCGTTCGCTTGGTGGCCATGGTTGAAGTCTCAGAAGCCGGAAGCGATATTACATGTATGCCTTCACACCCATCTGATCTCTAATCACGCTAACCCGAGAGCTACACTAGATGAACAAGTGTCCCCTAGCGTATGGACCTGCATTGAACCCGCCGTTGGCATCACAGCAGCATGTCTACCAAGCATGCGTCCGCTCTTCAACCGCTTCCCGCGTATTCCATGGCAGAAGCTATCACTACGCTCTAATGATCCCAGCGAGGAGAGAGTCAACAGACAGCCGCCGGATATCAAATGTACCACCATTGTTCGAGTCAATAGTGAAAAGGTGGACACAAGTGTAGGCGGTAGATCTGAGAGTACTAGTGATGAGTCTGTATGAGAGAAGTTCCTTTGTACTGGTTGGACTTGGGGGTTGGGAGTCATTCTTGTATTAATTTGAATTTCCTAATATAATGACATTTAAAGAGCTCGGAATCCTCTATTCTTGACCAACTGATGCATTTAAGAATAGACTAAAACATGCTGCAGGGACACTCAGTATCGATGTCAATAGTTGAACACTAGGCTCTGCTATTATGAGTTGCTATAATTTAGGAAGTCACCTTGAGCCTGCGACGGGAAGGAATATGAACTGTTTGTATCACCTCACTATATCCCCGTCCTCACCAGCATCTGCCTCGAGGGGCCCCATGCCTACCACCGACATCCAGACCAAAATTCCGTCCCACGGAGACGAATTTCTTCCACTCCTGACATCACCAACTCGATATCGCCGGTCAGATCAACGATGTGAGTGCAAAAGTTGATATTCTGCTCTGTCTGGCTCCGGGCGCTGTTCCACCTTTAATAGCGTCTCGAGGAGTGCATACTCCAAGCTCCAAGACCTGCCATAGCCGCGGCTCTATAACCTCAATAGCAACGTTATGAACTCCCATTTCATCGGACAAGTGGCGGATTCTGTGTGCGGGACAAGCCCGTTTCTCTGCCATGCGTTCCTTTCGCGCTAGAATCACACGGGTAAACGCGTCTTTCTCGCAGATACAGTGTCGGTCGCAGAGGCCGAACTCCATCGGGTTCACCCGCTCACTTTCGCAGAGCTGCCAGATACCGCTCGTCAGCTCTGACATACCATAGAGACCACGACTCTGGCGGAATGGATGGTCTCGCAAGGTAACCCTGGTGGGCACGGGACACCCGCCCGAAGGTACTATACGATGAACCCCTCTAAGCCATAGCTAGGGCTGTAGTTTGACGACCTATCTGTGCGTGTTGAACGAGTCTGCGACTCGCCTGGAGGGCCGAAGGAGGGTGAGACGTACACTATCTCAGCCAGGGTGATAGGCAAATTACTGGATTGGTTACAGGTGCCATTTTGGTGTGTGAGTCAAAGGTTAACATGGAATACCATGTATTAGAATATCCCCAGTGTCAGGGCACTTTTGGTTATCTAGCCGTATATTTTAGAGAATATAGTGCTCGATGGACAGGTGTAAGAGATCCTACACAATTAACGAAAAGGTAATTCACATAGGTTGATGAAGGCGAGGAAGAGTAGACGGGAGAGGACGGAAAAACAACATTTTTCTGGGGATGCTGAACAGAGAGTCGATCACGCCATCATTCTGACAAAGTTGTTCACTGCCAAGCTATGGAATGAATGAATGCTCATCCTGGGTATAGGGAACGATCAGACAATACAGAAGATACCGGAATCGAAATATATATAACAATTAAACAGCGTAGACAGATGATCCTAATGACGATCAAGCAGGCCTATCTAGGTCAGAACCACGGGCTCTTTTATATGTGGCCTGAGAACAAAAGAATTCAACGCTCTGCTTGATTCAACAATGCTTCTATCCACTAGGCGTGTCTTAGCTGCCTGTAATACTAGGTAATACCATTGGCATATTCAATACTCAAATATTTGATCGGTATGCCTACCGATTCATTCATTGATTATATCATTATACCCTAATGTAGCTATCTACTGGGGCTCTTCCGGTGTCGCCGATAGGATCTAACATATAGATTTCTATAGTCTACAAAGATATCTTGCTGTTGTTAGTAGATTCCCTCAGTCCCACTAGCTCTCTCTTTCTTCGTGTTGCATTGTCTATGATCTTATTGAATCCCCTCATATCCCACGGAGCTCCAGTAAACCCCTCATAAGATCTCTCTTAAACCTATATGCTGTTTTCCAGATCCCTTCAAATTACCTAAACCTACTAGTTTATACCGACATTTTTCGTTATGTGTGTATAGTGACTAAAAGCTCGTGCGAATGTAGGTGAGGGTTGATATAGCGACGATCTCCTGTTCAGCCGACTCTTCCCTTGTGCAGCTGATCTACTATAGCATTTGCCTATTTTATCCTGCGCTTTGAATTTTGTAAATCACTATCACTATCTGTGTCCTGTTTCCCGGGGTCTTGAAGGTAGCTTGTACGGCAGTCCCCGCGTCTCAAGGAGATAATTGGTAGTTCGTGCCATATGCTCCACTTCCGACCTTCAGCTTCTGAGGGCAGTCTTCAGTATGGCCACTGGATCATCGTTATGCTTTCTCATTTATTATTCAGTATACAGACTTCCCCACTGCCTAAGCGCTCAGATTCTAGAAATATGTCTTTTCAATATTACCTCATCCACACTGTCTATACAGTGTTGGATTCGTTAGCCCTGAGTGTATCACCTGCTGTGAAGTGCCTTAGGGTTGACCTAAGTCACGCTCGCTTTTCATCTCTCACTTTTGTCAGCTAGCACATACCTCTCCCCCCGCCTACCAAATTCTCCATACTCCTTTTCTCTCTTGAGAAACCTACTATCATCAACTCCCCATCTCCCACCGTGTCCGTGTCTGCAGGTCCTTATCATGGCGCGTGTAAGTGCCTGTGCCGTCCTCAAACAAACTAGTTCCTCACTTCTGTTGCACTTTCTGTGCACTACATCAACTAAACTCTTTCCTTTATCACAAAATTTAAAGAAAGCCCCCAATATCGAAACACTTTCCTAATATTAACGCTTTACACGGAAAAAATCAGCCTGTTACTACCGCAATATAAAGGGCCACATTCAAACATACCGCCCAAAGAGACGACAGGATCTCATCGAGGGTCTAGTAAGACCCGTAAGTTTAGGCATGGTATAATCTCACAAGAGATCTTGCTAATATATTCAATAGGGTCGTGGCGATGCTCTTCCTCCGTCCCTCCCGGCATTGTCGGGGCTCCGCGCCTTCTCTGCCCCCACCCCCACGCAGGGTCGAGGTGCTGCTATGAGCAATATTAATGGTGGTGATGCCCCTGCAGGGGCTGTCGATAAGTCTCTTGCTGAACTACTGCGGCGAAAAGCGGTGCTGGGGAGATGAGAGAGAGATGTCAAGAAGGCGGCGAGGGGTGTCGGTTCTGTGGTTTGTCTCCCCCCTTTTCTTTTTTTAAGAAAAAAAGCTGCTTTAATGGTCTTTTTATATTTCGAAGTTTCTTCGAGGAAAATCTAGCATTTTGTACCGCCGAAGTACTCGTAGTTATCATTGACGGGTAGAGTAGTTCGAGGTTATTATTTACTTGCAACATGGGTAAATTTTATAGCTTGATCTAGAGCTAATATCTAGAGTGACGGTTATCGAAGTCATCCGATGAACGCAGTATGGTGTGAGGGTTAGTAGGTTTATGGTATAAGAGTATAGTACAGTACTATGCGCCTAATACGCACGAGGACCTTGACGACAAGACATACAGTCGTAAACAGAGACAATGACAACCGAAGACAGGAAGAAAACACTTTTAAAACCAGGTAGAATACAACGACAGCAGAAAGAAGATTCGAATATCACTGAAGGCCCTTAATGATCTCCGTAAGACCTTCCTTGACGTTGGAAGGAAGAGGCCAGTCTTGAACACCGCCGACTGCTACCTGCTTGTTTGCGAAATACCAGCCTTCGATGCCCTTGAGGACCAAGCGAGCCTTTTTGGAATATATGGTCTCGACATTATAGCGAGGCTGCTGGTGCAGCGCGTGTGTGAATCGCGTGGCTGGTGTCCCCCAAGGATGAACCTGGAAATCATCGACATGGTCAACGTACTCAGGTATGAGGCCTTGATGTCCACGGGGCCAGTATGCGCGCGGTTTATCGTAAAAGGAGATATCGTCGGGAGGAGCCAATTGAAATGTGGGAAGATACGTCGCACGCTTGAATAGCCCTTTCGCAGCCCACATGCCATGCCGCTCCACTTGCCAGTGATAGTATCCCAGGCGGCGCGCAGGGTTTTGAGGGAGAGGATCGATAACTGGGGGCGAAGGGAAGGGGTCTTCATCGTCGAACTCAAAATCTACAAGCAAAGAATCACCGTGAGGGAGAAGAGTTTTGCCTTTATCAATACAGATGCCTGCAGCATCGGCTCGTTTGGCGCGTTCTTCCTGCTTACAACGTCGCTGTTCGTCCTCCTCAGCTTGTAGGGCATCGATTCTCGCAATGATATCCCTTATAACCCCCTTCAGGCTTTCCCAGCGAGTCACCATGGCGTCGTCCGCAAAGCTGCCTTCCGCATTATGTGGCATCTCCTTGTAGGAAATATGCACCATGCCAGTTGCGCGACCAAATGAGCATGGTTCAATCTCTCCACGGTCCTCAGCTGCTTGTTGACCTCTGAACCAACTGCAGAGATGGTCGAGATCTTCGTGGGTAAGGGCGCGCTGGAAAATAGACTCGTTCCCCCGCCTGACCTGCGAAAGCGCCAGTCGAACCTCCCAAAGCCTCCGTTCCTTGCGCCAAGATCGCAACAGCAAGAGGAATTTATGGCGATATGTGGTCAACTCCAGCATGTGGTTCTGAATCAGTTCCTTCACCATGATCAGTCTAAGCTTCTCCGTGGCAAATTTAGGCTCAACGCAGTAGTCACTCCCCTGCAGAATTCGCGCCGTCCTAGTCATGATATTGTAAAAGGGAGGGGCAAAGGAAACGTGCAAGATTGCAGCATCAGAGGCCACGCGAAGTCTGATACCACCAGTGCCATCCACGTAGTCTGGTACGTTTAAAACCATCCCAACTGGAATTGTACGCAGCTCGGGCTCTCTATAGGTAGGTATCTCCGGCGGGGACTCGGTGAAGGAGCTAATATCCGAGGGCTGTGAAACGAGAGCTTGATATCGGTCGGGAAGAAACCAGAAAAGGTGGCATTGGGGGTACTGTAGCTCGGCCCCGGTCTGCCGAACAGTGAGACGTGGCAATCCATCAGGAGTAGGCACTTGCGGTGTACTGGAAGGTTTATCCTTAACCACGCGAGATCCAGTGGGCTTGAGCTGGGATGGCCCAGTCAACTGCTGTGACACATCGGCAGGCGTGGCTCTAGCTGTAGGGACATCAGGGGCGTCAGTCCTCTGTCTCTTTTGGGGAGGAGAGAAAGGAGCACGCGTCCCTCCCATTCGACGAGTTCTCATGGCTTGTTGTTGGGTTGGGTGTTGTGGGATTAACGGCGGCTGCGCGGTAAAACAGTCCTCCAAGCAGGCGTTACGAGGTAGCAATGCTAAAGTGAGGCGATGTGAACGATTTAATGTGTAGATATGAGGCAAGAAGTAATCCTGAGAGGGAGGAGGAAGGCGATGCGAATGTAACTATCATTGAAGTGAATATCACAACAGACGGGTTGCGCTGACCCAACGAGAAACAAGCCAGACGACAAGTTTTCTGTTTCCCAATTTAACATGAGACAGCTGTACCCGAGCCATGGCAGTGAATGCCCTCATATTCCATCCTAGGATACGGACTTCTACCTCCCCCCCACCCCACCCCCAAACCCCAACGCCCCGACCCCCCAGGTTCAAAAACACTTATTTTCAAAAGTAGGGATTAAAAAAAAGGAAAACAAAGTAGAGACATTTTTACTCATGTTTTATTAATGACCTCGTTGTAGGTAAACACCTGTGTAGAGTCTAGAATTGATATCGGGTCGAGTTGAGGCGCGTTATTGGCAACCTTTGCATCAGAAATATAAGCCAAATTATAGACACAAAAACACCACTGCCAGCGCATGCAATTGACCACAACCCTAGCAATCGCATACACCGATCCACGCCATACACAATCCCTTGACTAAAACTCGAGGTAGGGGACTCAAAACAAGGAGCATTTCCAAAGTAGACGATCGGGTGCTGACGTCATAGGGCATGAACCGATCACGATCCAGACAATCGAAGCCTCCAGCCTGGAGAGATCGCAAGAATGCCCACTGCGCCCTCAATGAAAATAAAATGAAATGAAAACAACCGCGCGCCGGGGGTTATCTTCCTACGCGTACGCCTCCCATCCCTCACAACGCTCCTCCCCCACCCCTACATTCACTTTCACCCCAACAACCACCCTTACCATGCCCGAAAAGCGCAAACCCTCACAAACCGCCCAAAATGGCGCCAAAAACAACACCTCCCCACCTCCAAAACGAGGCAAACCCGATCTGACCACCCCGCACCCCAATGCCAGACAAACCGAATCCTTCGGCATCGTTCTGCGCCAATTCTACCCTCCCGAAATGAGCAACGAGCGCTGTCACGCCTACAACAACGAAACCCTTGAACGGCCGATGCGAACCCTCGAACGAGCCTTCTCTGACACGCAGGATGTGCGGCGCGCTGTGAAACCCAACGCTGCAGTCGTGCACTGGTTCAAGTCCGATCTGCGATTACACGATAATCGCGCGTTGCAAATGGCGTACGAGGTTGCGCGCGAGCATTGCATCCCGCTTATTGGACTTTACATCCTGTCGCCGGAGGATCTGACGGCGCATTTGTGTAGTCCTGCGCGGGTGGATCTCACGTTGCGGACGCTGGAGACGTTGAAGCGGGATTTAGGGGAACTGGAGATTCCGTTGTATATGGAGACGCAGGAGAAGCGCGGGGAGATTCCGGGGCGGGTGGTGGAGTTGTGTCGTGAGTGGGGGGCCAATCATCTATTTGCTAATATGGAGTATGAGGTTGATGAGCTACGGCGGGAGGCGAAGTTGGTGCGGTTGTGTGTTGAGCAGGGGATTGCGTTCGAGGCGGTTCATGATACTTGTGTGGTTCCACCGGGGTTGCTGAGTAGTCACCAGGGGAGGCAGTATGCGGTGTACAGTCCGTGGTTTGGGGCGTGGCAGACCTTTTTGATGGATAATCCGGAGTATTTGGAGGTGTCAGAGGAGCCGGGGGCGAATCCGGGGGATGCGAGGAAGATGCTTAGGGGTCTCTTTGCGAGTGAGGTCCCTGCGGCACTAGAGAACAAGCGATTGTCCGAGGAAGAAAAGGAGCGGTTTCGTGAGATGTATCCGGCGGGGGAGCATGAGGCTTTGGATCGTTTGGAAAGGTTTTTGGAGGAGAAGGCGACAGATTATGATGATATGCGGAACTCGCTATCCAAGCAGACTACCTCGGTGTTAAGTCCCTATTTCGCGTCGGGGTCGCTGAGTGCCAGAACTGCGGTGGCCAACGCGAAGAAGGCCAATAAAAACCAACTGGATCGGAACAATCTGGGATTTGTGTCTTGGATCAGTGAGGTGGCTTGGAGGGACTTTTACAAGCATGTCCTCGTCCATTGGCCGTTTATCTGGTAAGCGCCTTCATCCGCAATCCCCTTCTTATTCAGGCCCAGCTAACAAACACAGTATGAATAAATGCTTCAAACCCGAGTTTACTGACCTTGAATGGGAATATGACGAGGACTTATTTAATGCCTGGTGCGAGGGCAAGACTGGTTTTCCGATCGTCGACGCTGCAATGCGGCAAATCAATCATGCGGCCTGGATGCACAACCGGTCTCGGATGGTCGTCTCCTCTTTCTTATCCAAGGATCTATTGATCGACTGGCGGCGTGGTGAGAGGTACTTTATGGAGCATCTCATCGACGGAGACTTTGCCTCCAACCACGGGGGCTGGGGGTTTGGCTCCAGCACCGGAGTCGACCCGCAACCGTATTTCCGTATCTTCAATCCTCTGCGCCAGAGTGAGCGGTTCGATCCAGACGGCGAGTATATACGGCGCTGGGTGCCCGAGCTACGCGATGTTGAAGGATCGGCGATCCACGATCCTTACGAGCGCGGTGCGGGTGATATCGCTGGAAAGAATGGATATCCGAGACCGATCGTCAATCATGCGGCCGCTCGGGAGCGGGCCTTGGATCGGTATAAGAGAGCTACTGGGGGAAAGTCAAGTTGATACTAGTCGGTACAGTCATGGTTGATTGAAGTACCCAGAAAATGGATAGTTTAGAAGTACTACAGGACTGTTGAATACTGAGATGCTAAACAACTTCTTATTAGTTGGAGAAAGGGTCCATATTTGCAAGTCGATGTAGGCTTAAGGTAAATAGGGGGCTGCTAACCCTACGCCCTTTGTATATTCTTAAGACTATCCTATCCCTGATATCCCTGATATCCCTGAGGCATCAATGGCTGTGCAGACGGGAGTGTGTCGCTTAAGTAAACGAATGGCCTCCTCCGACTTACCTTTATTATACACCCACACAAGCCGCTTGGCAACCCAGAAATCTTCCATGAAAGGTAAAAGGCGGGGTCAATCGGGATACCAACAAGATCAGTTGGGTAATGGGATGCCCGGCTGTTATTATGTCTAGTATACCAGTTAAGTGGCCGGATTCTCTCGATATGGAAATGTTGTGTAGCTGTGAATGGGAGGCAGCTGTAGGGCTTTTTCCAACTGTCTATTCTCGTTTGGGGTTAGTTCTGGCCACGTTTTACCCCATATTCATTCTACTTTGTGTGATAGGTCCTTCGCCATATGGCCATGCTAAAAAAGGGCACTGGGCTGTGTGTCCCGCGTCCTACCTCTACGCCCTAGCTTTACGGCCTGTTGCCTAGCTAGAAGGATTAGCTCATAATCTATATCCGACCCACTCACCCACTACAATGGCTAGACCATCCCAGCTGCGCCTCTATCTGGACAAGACTTCATGTAGTTAGCTTCATTTGTCGTGATTAATCCCACATTTCCTTAGAGACCTACATCTACGATCATTACTATAGATTTTATCTTTAGCACTCGGTCAGATCATCTCGTCCGTCCTCTACTTGCTATCGAGTAGACATACATGATAGGCTGGCCCTTTGCACTGGAGCTACCATTGTGGATTCATCGTTGTTGGATACCAGTGGATTCTGGGGTTCATTCAGGTCATATTCGCCCTACCCAAGTCACCTAATTGGTTGCCGAAGCTCTTGGACGAAACCCGGCCGTAACACATTTATCAATGGTCCGCAATGCCTAAATCCACAGGGCCTGGGCCGCTTTGGTTAGGTGGCTACTAAAAGTGAAAAAGAAAAAGAAGGGGAACGAAATCATAACAAGTAGTAACTTAAAAGACAAAATCTGAATGAACCCGCTCCGGTTCAACCTAATATTTAAAACCCTAATGCTGCTAGCGCACTCTAATTCCCAATACAGTAGCTCGATTTGCATCGAAGTATGAATATTCGGCTTATCCGACCAGGCATATCTAAATAGTGCTAGATTTACTGTAGCCCCACGATTGAGGGTTTGAAATACCAATTTGTCTGTATTTTGAGTGTTCCCGTGGACCTGTATATGTGTGAGAATGCCCATCAACTGCTGGACTGGATTGTGCCGCTGCTCTATGAGGGTAATGGTTCGTGAGCTTGCGGTGTGGGTCGCGAGTCCATCCAAGAGTTGTTGAGTATAACAGACTAGTTAGCTAACTTCTTAAAGCTCCTCTTATGAGAATATCCCGGTGGCCCTAGGCAGCAATTTTATTGAGACAAGTCTGGTCAAGCCCATACAGTAATGACTGAGTATGGATACTGCCTTCTACGAGGTGTACCCCATGTTTCCGTTTACAGGGTTGTTCAACTACAAGTCAACATCAGGCGGCAAGATTCAGAAACTCGTATAAGACTAGATTGTATCTCTCGTAGATCCAGCAGAACGAGACTGTGCCAGCACGTAAATCGATCAATGGACCTCCCGCAGAAGACGTACGGACACCCAGGTGACTCCGTCATGCAAGATATAGTTGTTACCCCCACTCAATATGATGGGAGTTCTCCTAATCGCGTAGCTGAGTGCCTGAACCGAAGTCGCCCTGACGAGAAGTGGTCTGAAAAGTCAGAACTTTCATCGTACCAGTTGAGCCTGAGGAATGCACGCTTGGGCGAAAGCCCAAACAACAAGGTGATAGTGTGTGGCCCCTTGCTGAACTATCGCTATATGGATAATGATCGCTGGTATGGGAGTGTCTTGGTAGTGTCGAAGCAAGATGGCGATTTACCACGATTAGGGCCGACTCTGCTCCTACGTCAAGCCGTTCTCAAGGGTGACGATGGCCATCATTCCACGCCAGCAGAGTCTCATACCCTTATCAACGGATACTTGCTGTACGGCGACTCAAGAGTCAACTTCTGGAGATTTGATATTGACCTGAAAATGGAGTCCACTGACACCAAATGGGAGTACATGGTCACCGGTGGATCCTTCCTCCACCGAGATAGAGGTTTGCCGAGTTCCTTTATCATACCCTCTTACAACGAATCCATGCGCGTTATGTTCTATTCTTGTAACGGCTGGTGTGACGGAGCGGAGGAAGGAGACTTCAATCATCTTTCGCTGTGGAAAGATGTTCTGAGAAAACAGGCTAAAACCGGCTTCCATGTGATGTGAGGACGTTTTCTCTACGGAAACCTACCGGCATATGTGATTGGCAGAACTAACTGGCAAATTTCAGGATCGGCGGAGGTGATCAGATCTATAGTGATGAAGTATATACCGCGTAAGATCTCAAGTCTCATCTTCATTTCCGACCCTTGCTGACAGATTTCCGTGCAGAGGCCCTCTTGTCGAATGGACTGACATCACAGATCCCCAAGAGCGCCTCCAGTATCAATGCACGGAGCAGCTCCAGCAAGAATGCGATGATTGGTACCTGGATAACTACATTCGCTGGTATATACTATTCTACGAAGCCTATGGTTCTATGTCAACTGACCCGGCGTCTTTTTATCTTTAGGTACAGCACAAAACCCTTCGCTTATGCTCTGTCTCAGATACCATCCTTGAATATATGGGATGACCATGACGTGTGTAGTGCTCGCAGGCAGCTCAATAGAATGAAACCTAACGTTGCATTATTTACAGATCATCGATGGTTTTGGCTCTTATGCAAAGGAGACTATGGAATGTTCTGTGGGTGGCACATACCTATAGTTGTATCTCTACTTGCTGACACCGGCGACCAGGTCTTCCAAGCAATCGGTGCCCTTGCTCATAAATACTATTTGCTTTTTCAGCATCACCTTCCCCCAAGCAAGCCTGACCTTATTTTCCATGACGCCTATAAAGCGGATAGCATACCTGATCCACACTACGTTCTTGGGTCGGAGCCTGGAGTGCGTTACATGACGCTTGATGCCCCGTCATCCCAATAGGCCACCATGTTAATCGGATGTCGCAGCCGTACATTAATGCTCACTCAAGTAGCATCTTTACCAGACTGGGGGCGAGGATGGCGTTTCTAGGCGTTGATGCTCGAACAGAGGCAAGAAATTCCATGCTTACCTGTTCCCTAGTTGTGGTCCATTGCTTCTAACCCCGCAAATGAAATAGAGGACTCAAAAGCAAACAAACTACCGTGAGACGTATGACTTGTTGTTTGAGAGAGTGAATACAGAGCTGGATGCGGCGAAACGCTCCGATCGCCCGATCAAGCACCTGGTTTTGCTTTTTGGAGTACCGCTTGCTTACCCAGTAGGTTATTCGGTAAAATGCCTCAAGTGAAAAACGAGGATTTTGACAGTTTGCTAGCCACTTACATGGATTGAGAACGTCTTCGAAGGAACTGTTGGTCGTTCGTTCCAGCGCTTGAGCGAGAAGCTAAACATCGGTAAGCCTTTGGCCTTTGCCTCAGAAGCAAGGTATATGTACGTTAAGATGCAGTTTACCACTAGGTAAAAATGCCGTCAACAAATTCGACGGTTCTATCGAGCTGTTAGATGATCTCAACGACCATTACACGTCTCATGCGCACCAGAATGAGCGACGGTATCTGATAGAACGAATCCAGTCCATGTGCGCTGCCCATTCAGTACGTGCCACGATTCTTAGCGGCGACGTCCATCTAGCCGCCGTAGGAAGATTCTTCACATCCCACGGAGGCCATAAACCCGATATCGAAGAAGACTTCCGATTTATCAATAACATTATATCATCAGCGATTGTAAACGCACCGCCCCCCGAGGCAATGGCGAAACTGATCGCGCAAAGTGACAAGTTACGACTTTTGAATCCTGACACAGAAGAAGTTCTCTTCCAGTTGTTCAGACCGGATCCCACCAATAAGAGACCTGAGGGAACAACCGTTGCGATGCCCCGTCGTAACTACAGCATCATCACTGAGAACTCCCCAAACAACGAGGGCCGCTATGAAGGTATTAGTAAACTATCTCTGCGACAATTCTTTGCCAGACGTGGTCGTCGGCCTCTTCATTTCGGAGAGGCTAACGCTGGAAAGAAGCATCAGGCTGCGTCCGAGGAACATGGAAAGGGCAATGATGGGAGTTTGGATGTTTGTATTTGTGTGGAAGTGGATCACCAGTACCGTGATGGCCAGACGGAGGCTTATGGCTTCTCGATTCCGGCCCTTAAATATCACGGCCCTGCGATTCCAGAGCCTATCTGGCCTGAAAAGACTGTCTAGTGAGGTGTCTTCATCAGGTTTATTTAGTCCCGAACGGTCGGCGAGGGAATCTAGATGTTTTAACATATTGTCTATATATAGTACCTTTCTATCTCTGGTTCTTCATATGGCAACAAAAGTTGTGAATATTCTATAGAATATCACGTTACTATCTACTATTTACCTAGCAGTCTGCATCCCCAAAGGATCACTACAGGGGCTCCTGTGGTCTCTCTATCTGAATCTTAAAAACTGTTTTGCTGCAGTACCGCAAAAAGATTACATAAGAGCTAAATTGGTGGGCCATGCCAAAGGGTTTAGATTAGATATTTTTTTCGATAGCAGTACCGAGTAAGATACGAACATTCTTGAAACCAAAGCAAAGGTTTTGTGATGAAAACTAGCGATAGACCAAGTCTACGCCCTCTACATATTCGTGAGACTATTCTATTCCGCAGACATCAATGGCAGTGCCGATGGACCTGACGGGAATGTGTAGCTTAATCTTGCAAACCCAGTGATTCATGTAGATCTGACCACAGATCGTGTTCGTTAAGCCCCCCACTCACACGTCACTTGGTGCGTATTTACACTTATTATCACCATTCGCTATTGCTTCTTGAGTGGTTCACTAGAGACACACCTCCATTGATCACCTCTTGTATAAGAACTCCGTAGTGGATACCTATCGATACATCAATGTCAGAGCGTAGTGCTAACCTGACCTCACAATCACTCACCTGCAATGGTCACGTCGGAAACCGACACCGAGCTCCAGACTATCATTCACATATTTAGTCCCCCGGACCGTGTCTGGCGCAAGCCCAAGTTCCACCCAAGCGACCAACGCAGCCAAGATATTCTCACTTGGTCTAAATGGTGCGCGAGCAACCTCAAACTTCCCGCCCTGCCCAAATGCCCATGCGCCGGGGCCTGAGCCACAGTGAGACATACCTGGGATTCGAAAGAAGCGGAAGAAGTCGTCAAGCTCGGAAGGAGACGTCCCCATGCCTTGGGAGAGATGGTTGTAGAATCGCTCCGTGTTGAAGCTAGTAATCTTGCCGTCCTGCTGTCCATGGAACACGATCATCTTCCCCCCTCGCTGCGCATACTGGGAAAGGCTATCCGGCCATGTCTTGATATTCTCAGGGTTTAGAGAATCTGCGACCTTTGCGTCGTGGATATCGAAGTTGGCAGGGTTCCACGATGGGTCATAGACGACATACTTGAACCAGTCCTTGCTTGGCGTAAGCAGAGTCTTATATTTTGAGCGATTAGGATTGCGTACCTTGGAATAGCTAAATGGCTTCCCCGTATAAAGATTTTCTGCAGCTTCTAACTCGCTTCCTGGCTGCATTGCTGGGAAGACCGTCCGTCCGTCTTCTCCGTACATTGGACTGAACACCTTTCGCACCACCTCGGCCTGATCAGGATTTAGACAGTTATTGACCCTCTCTTTCGTACACATCACTGCTTCTGGGGAAAAGTTGCATAGCCTAGGATCCTCAATAATACCATCACCAACACCATCTAGCATATCACATTGCTTCAACACCTCCGCGTGAATGAGGCCCTTCCATACGTACGGTTCAATGAAACCAATAGAACCAGTAGAACCCGTAGTAGGGAAAAAGCCCGCCCTCCAAGAAACAAGATTGTTGAAATCCACTGCCGGCGCGCCCGCAATAATCCCGTCGAAATCGCCCGGGAACCTCTCCGCCGAAAAGACACCCTGGCGTCCTCCGAAGGAACATCCACTGAAATACGACTTTGTATGGGGCCGTCCATAGAACAACCGAGTCGCTTCCTTGCCTGCCACTACGCTGAGATGCAACCTGCTAACGGTCAGCCAACAGGAGCACTATAAGGACTGGGAGTCACGTGCGCCCTCCATGCGAAGTCTCTGAGGACCTCTGCATTCTGGTAAAATGAATCACCCGCCGTCCCATTGTGTCCGTTGTTCGACCCGACAACGGCGAATCCATTCACGGCACCGTACTCCAGATCCTCGTATTTGATGCCTAGTCAATATTGGTTCAATGTCACGCCTTTATGTGATATATATGAGATACTAGACCCAGAGACAACGTACAACCGTCGATACCACCGTTCCCAGTACCTAAGAACCTTCCGGACCAATTGCGGGGGAGCCACACCTCCGTGCTAACGACCGATCGGTTGGATGTCTCTAAGAGCAAGGCGATGCGGCAGAGGTCTACCGAGATGAACTGGGATGGACGTGCACAACTTGCATCATTGAATGGCAAACTAAGGTTTGTGCCGGCGGGGATGTATTCGGTGAACTCGAGGAATGTGTTGTCAGTCTTCGTGTCGGGCTGAAAGGCTTGGCATGATGTTGGGAATTCTGCTTCCTTGTCCAGGATGTTTGAAGGTAGATTCACCCCTAGAAAGTTGGCCCAGAGTGAAGCCTTCATCTTGGAAGTTTACCCTGAGGAATCTAGACTTACGTGTTGCAAGCTTATATGTGGACCGGCGTTATGGTAGTGACAACACTGGGGAGTGCCAAATGCCCCCTTGCTTCCGATCTGCGGTCTTAGCATCTCGTGTCGTGTTCCCATTTTTCCATATATCAGTAGTGCTTAGAAAGCTTGATAGTATAACAGGAAAGCAATAGGAACAAAATAAATAGAACTTGACTTAGCTTGAAACAGTAGACGCCTATTGCCACTCAACACATATCAGTTGGCACATGGTGATCGTCCTAATGTTGTGTATCATCCTGTGGTTTCCTTCTCCTATTCGTATGCCTCGATATGCAGTTGGAATACCACAGGCTAGTATTCCAGTTATTAAAAGAGCTAAAAAAAATTCCCAGGAAACAGAGGGACAGCGAATTGACAAGCGTGTTGTGGGGAAGGAAAGAAAAGAACTACCCCAGCTCTATTAATAATGTATACAATTTGGAATAGTTAAGTATCTTAAACATACTCCAATTATTAATCCCTACGAATAGTATTGGAGAGCACCGGTTTCTTTACTTGCAACTACGACGAAGTGAGATATCACAACATTTTGCTGAGTTCAATGCGGTGCCCAAATCAGATTGGTGGCCGCATTGTTAGTGAGGAGTCTGAGGCGCTTTGAATTTGTTACCATACTAAATGCAATCATATATCAAGGGATATAAATGTTGCTAAGCCCACCATAGTAATGCAGCACTATTCAAAAGGGTGGCCATGTTGTAGGTGGGGGCATCAGCTCGACATACTACTGGAGGACTATTTCTCAACTTGACCAATTCCGTCTGTAAAACGAAGTTCTGGGCTCTACCTTCGCGGACAGGCTATTTTAGTGCTCTTCTCTTGTTGGTAGCTCCCTCAAAAGGAAGGGCCATGGATGGATATGTACTACCAGCTACAATTTGAATATGCTAAGCTGAATACAGACACAGGCGCCTATTACTATGCGAATATAGTCTCTACATATACATTGCTGTATCTGTATGGGAGACCAACAATTGAGAGGAGAGCTCATACCAAGACATATTTGACCATACCAAGCGTAAAACATCAAGGGATCATGGGAGAATCCATTCACAGAATTTGTTTTGGGGCTTTCTGCTCTACTCTCGAATCCTTCATTGTTACTATATTAGGGCTTGGGTCTTTAAACTCCCCTTTTAATAGTTGTCGATAACTTTCAGCTTGTTGGAATACGGACATCTAGAGTCTTAGACCCAGGAGGGAAATCACATATTACACGCATAAGCCTTCTTACTGCATATTTATTTACGAAGGTATTTAGTATGATGAAAAAGAAAAATGAGGTAGACAGTGTACAGTGTACCAGGTCACTCCCACCAGAACAAGACCAACATCGACCTCCACAGTCACTCTCGGATGAGCAACGCTTATGGCATTGACTATCATCTCCCTTTTAAGAAAGGCTAGTTAGAGCCTTGGATGAAATAGAAATAAAGCCATTCAAGGGCTATCTTACCAAATTGTGTAGCATATACTTTCGGCCTACACAATCGGCCGAGCAGCGACTGCACGGCTAAAGATAGCTGCGCATATAGTCAAAAAGGATTTCATCATGTAGAGAAGGTAGGATTGATCTATTGAGTCCTGACTATTATCAACACAGGATTTCATTTCCCATTGCTAGCTGTGAATCAAGCAACAAGTGATAGGCAGAGGGCAATACACATACAGAGTTCGCTTTGAAATTTACATTGTGGCCTTTGCGGTTGTCTAGTGACGAGGCCTCGACTTATGGCTTGCAAATTCATTGTTTGACGGAAAGAATAGGACGACAATAAAATAACCTTCTTCAGAAAGTGGGAAGGGCACACATATTTTGATAGAGCTGGTATAGATGCTCATATGTGGGATTGGTGGTCCGAAGGTCTAAATCTATTCTTGGAGCTTTACATGGAGCTCATTCTTATTATGAACATGATTATTCTTGATACTATCCAGAGCCAGCTTATCGCTAATTCACCTAAACGCTCTGCCTGCCTGAATCCTAAATGAGCTTATTTATGTGAGTGCAGTACATCTCCTAGACCTTTGCTGATAACGCAGCGGTTAAGCTTCTGAATACACCCAGAGGTCACACCGTGACCACTCTATTCATTTTCGGCCCTGTGGATCACACTCTAATCTTCTATGACGCGTGGACTCTTATTTAGATATTAACATATCCTCCATTTGACAGAATAGACTCAGTAGAAGAAGAGCAGCAATGTGTTGGAATGGATGCATTCAATTACAGTTCATCTTATGTCATGACTTTTGAGAAATGCTGTAGTACATACATATACAGATCTATATGGTGTCAAATAAAGCTTAGCGCTTTCTTCAGTTTGCGGACCGGTCCACCTAGCTTCTAGAACCCCAGCGGATACTTACGGCTGCTGTCTAGCTTTAAGTTGACCGCAACCGTACTATGACTGCAACAACTGATTATAACGTTCGGCATACATGAGCCTGTCTGTGCTCCCGTGGAACCCACAAGTTGATGAGAGTCCCTAATCGAATGGGAAAACACCATTCGTAATTCCTAAATTAGTCATGTATAATTTAGTATTTAGTTATATTATATAGTAACGAACCTATACCAATCGTAGTGGTTTACTGCACCCTGCCGTTCCTTCGACATCAATTCTGCTTATAAAAGAGACTTGGTAGTCATGCCAGGGGTCTCAGTCACGTAAAATTCATTATATACTTTTGGGTATCCGTGTATAAATGGGAAAGTTTTGGCTTTCTTTGGATTGAGGTAGATCTGTAAAACTGCCGGTGTATATTCCTGGTCTAGATACATGGCGATCCGTGTGGGTAGTTCCATGTAGCATGCTGTTTCCGACTTAATTGGATTATGTGCGGATACCGTTGTGTAACAGGAAAGCGAGTTTTCTTCTAGGCATGCCTGCAACCAAAATGATAAATATCCTGTCAAGCAAAATTACCGCTTGTTCTGTGTAAGTTTGCTCCGAGCACCGGGCGCTCGCCCGGCAACATCAGCCACCTACCTTCTACCGAAAAATTCATCCTAAGATCAGAACTATATAATTGTTTATTGTACGGAATCTATATGACACCGACTGTCGGCCTATACTACATATTTAAAAGCCTTCAAGTGTATTAAATTGAGAATTTAGAGTTATTTTGCATCATATTTGGAGCCCTATTTTCTAGGCTAGATTACTAGGCAGAACGGGTTCCTGTAGATCTGACCGGTTTGTCTATAATATGGCGTTCCGCAATGTCGGAGAAAATATTCACAGTAAGAAATGTCAAGCTGCGTGGGTAACTGTAGGGCACGAGAAGCATACGGTCTGGCTGGTTAGTACCCAGAACATATTTTTGTCTCTGGCCACGTACACAGTGTGTTATAAGTAAAATAATCAGTATGAACATGCGCGAGGAAGACGACCGTTCAAGCCATACTGAGTTCCGTAAGGTTGAGTGTAAGATAATTGCTGACTTGGATAGTCAAAGCGCCTTGGAATGAATAATTGATACGTTTGGCCAGGTTGGTGTTGCGTGCTGATGACCATACTATCTAATCGCTATTCGCAATACTAGTCTCTGAAAAGACCTTAAAGAAACAGATCCTGAGCGTTGCTATACGAGCTGCGCTCAGAGAGCTAAGAGAACATATTACTGATAATGGTACCTCAAGATATCTATGTCGGAGAGCCCGCAGGCTTATACCTATTTAAGTTCTCATGTACTTGCACGAAAGGTTGCTTAATAAAAGTACAAGGCCTCTGCATTTGAATTCCAGTATAGGAAAAAAATACCCCATACTGAGACCTAGTCCCTACTAAAGCACATAAACACGCACAATCAATCAAAAAAAATTATAACTTTCCTAAAGTAAAAGTGTACCGCTTTTAGGAGGGTGGAAAAGCCAATCACATGTCAATTGGCCGTGCAAAGCATTTTACGGCTACGATATCGTCTCCATCGAGCTGATTTTTGCCACGAACATCGGAGTAAACTGGCCCTCCACGGCACCAAGGATTGCTATAGTCAGGCCTATTAGCACCAGAATATTATTTAGTTCAGGTATTCACCACATACTTGTAGAGATCGCAGAATATGTCGGCCCCAACCAGGCGCCGAGGATTCACGCTTATGAATTCCGCTGGATCAGGACTAAATAAGACATATCATATTAGTCCAGTAAAAGCAAGTTAGTCCAACTCAAGGTAGTACTTACTAATTAAAAGGGACACATGCTGTATTATAAGAGGAATCGATTCGTTGCACATAATCACCGGCATAGAGTAGTGCCTGTTGATGTTTTAGCAATTAAGAAATAAGTCCTATGCAAGCAGTCTTTTGTTCACATACTAGGTCAGCGTGCAGAGCGAGAGTAGTGGGAAGGGCTGCAAGGACAGGGAGCAACGCCTGGGTAATATACATCTTGAAAATAAAGTGTATATAAGATACGATTCTGAGGCAAGTGTTACTAGAGTTGCGTTTGTTAATTGTGTAAGGGGCCAGTTAAGGTGAAAAGAAGTAGAACACGGGGTGGTCTCGAACTAGGTCCTTTCTCTTTCTTTATAACTTACGAGTTGGCGCATAGGGTCACGGATACATACATCATTATTAGACGTACTACCTTTAATATCAAATATATTATTATAGCTATCCAAATTACAGAGCCTCTGAGGGACCGGAAGGGAAACGTTAATTGGAGGGAACTTCTCACTACTCACTGAGAGAACATTGTCGTTGACATCGCTACTCAAACAAGCTTAGCAAGCTAACTTAAATATTGACTATACCTCCATGTTAGTGTCTGGGTCCACTGGATTAATGCTGGTTATGCCTCCTACTGGACATGCACAAGACCTATTCTTGGTATTCCTATACCGTCCGAGCCAACCGAACTTCCCAGTACGGCTGGTTAGGTAGAGAAATAGAGTTATTATAATTTAATCAAACTTGGCTAGCTAAGAAGACACAACATATAGACTATGATACGAAGACTTTAAGTACATCATATAGTAAACCTACAGTTACTCCACCGGAACAGCGGCAGTCTTGGTCGCAGCTCTATTAGATTGACTGTATGATACAGTATAAGCTTATGCTGGAATTTGAGGATACTTTTCCTTTGTAATATGATGTAAATAGCAAACAATACGACCATCACTTGTTAACCAATTTTACACAAAGATTCCAGTCAATCCATACGCCATATCAGCTCTATGCTGCATTTACCCGAAGTTCACGGGTCGCCATCAGTGTAGGTTGAAGCGGCGAGAGGGACCAAGCGGCGTACAACGTAGAGTCTCTTTCTCTAGCCTGCTGGTCTTCACCGCATTGCTGTAGGTTTAGCGTGCACAACAGTGGGGCTTGCTGCAATGGAGCTTATATACTACCCAGACATGTCGGACTAAGGCTAACGTGGTGGTTTTCTCGCCCATGCTACTAAAGCATGTGCCTAAATGACACGTCTATTGGAAACATAAACGAGCTAGTTTTATTAATCTTTCTTTAAATTATTACTACTACTACTGTTCCTCGATTTTAAGTGTAGTTTTCTCCCCGTCTTTCCCATTTCTTCCTGTTTATATTATATTTTGTAGCAGGTCGTACTGTAGTCATAGTAAGAGCGTTATTTACTGCGTGTGTTTCTGCTATATCCATCGTTGTCTTGAGATTTGGCCCCTTCATTGATGTGTAAAGGAGCAGAATCCAAGAGATCTTTATATTTTGATTTTCAGGTTAGACAATCACCCCACTATCTAAGGCAGCCTTCCTTGAACAAGAGGCACTTGCACTCGGTCGTTTGCTGCTAAGTATTCAAGCCTTATCATAAGATACCATTGTCGATGGAGCATATAGAGGGCTTGAGGGGAGACCCACTCTGAACTATATGATGCGTGTAAACGTACAAATTGACACATGGCGATGAGTTTTAGTGGCTATGATGTCCAAAGTATGTTTCAATCTACATGGTCTAAGGTCACAAAAGCAGTTTCCTTTGCAGTAGTTGATTACTCCTAATAGAGAACAAATTAAGTAGTGGCCTTGGCGATTCTATTCTAGATACTGACAAACTAGGTCCACGTAATCTTTATAATTGGGTTCGTGTCTGTAAAATTACCTTAACTGGTCTCCTGAGGCTACACAGAACCATCAGACTTAGATAGTCCGTGTCAAGCGTACCCTGGTAGGGAATAAGGAAGTGACGCCGCCGTGATAGCTGCATCTGATAGAACAGTGGCTCCGCAAATGTCACAGTGTGGAGCTCGGCGGAACTGTAGTCGCAAGAGGGTGGGGACTTTCCCAGACTTTCCTGTTGCTTATCATGAGGCGGACGCGTCGAATACTGGATTCTCTATCGGAGTTTGGTACACTATAGAGCTGAGTTATTGGAACAGCCACTCCTATGAAGTTCCGGGAAACCATCTCAACCTTTTTATCTCCAAAACCCATACCCTAAGACGAGGTCTGTTATTTAGCGGTACTCGTTTGCGTCTTCCTCTTACTTCCTTATCTCTTCAGCTTTCTCGGCTTTTCTTAACGTGTCCTTTTCCTTTTCTTGTTGGTCTTGGTACCGACATATATACTCTGCCTTCTTCGAAGCCCTGGAGTCTTTACTTGTTAACCTATTAATCCTATATTTTTGGCTCTTTTTCATATTATGTATTTTCAGGACATCAGAGTAGCGACAGACTGACTGGAACCGAAATGTCTACCTGAGAACGTATTTGGTAAGCCGAAGGCACGTTATTATATTTGATCCGGATTTAATATTCCGACCCCTATGGCCTAGGGATATTCATCGGCTTTTTACCTAATGAGATTACAGGTTTCATCGACATGGACCTTTGGATCGAAACGCATGCATTTTACTCTTAAAGAGCAGATGAGGGAAGCAGGGTATATAGAATGATAGTGGTCGTAAAGCAATTCCGGCTTACAATTGTGCCTAACATGCACGGCCAGGTTACGTGAGCGCGGGATCGTTGTTTAACTTGCAAGGGGTTTGGTCTAGTAAGTCACTCCTGCTTATGACGGTGAAGGTGTGCTTCATTTGGTTGTTCAATTACCAATACCAGGCCCATGCATGTCGGCTATAGCCACCTGGAGTGGGAGTGGCCAAGTCCCCTTCTATCTACGTTCCCGGCCTCGGCATCTGATGGCCCACAAATCCTCCCTTGAAGGATATAACGCCGCCGAGTCAGCGAGAATTGAGTACTTCTAAACCTAACAGTGGAAGCAGAAAGTTCTAGTTAGGCAGCACATAAGCACGATAAACCGTCAGCCCGGGAGTCAGCCAAAGGCTGCCCATTATTGGCTTCGCAATGACCCATGCTAGTGGGTGGATCCTCACTTCTTTTAAAAGCCACTTGAACCGTAATCTTGACATTCTTACATCCATCTCAAGACGATATCATCCTCTCCCCACCAAACCATGAGTCTCGATGTCCTCCCAAACGAAGTCCTCTGTCTCCTCCCCCTCTACATCGACAACATCGAAACCTTCACCAACGCAGCAGCATCATGTCGTAGACTGCGCGACTGCCTATATACCGCACACCCCAACACCATCCTCCGCTTGGCAGCAGCCTCCGCACCCACCTTCTTCTCCCCGCACCCCCACTTCCTCATCGCCCTCACAGCCAGACAAGCTAGCGACTGGGCCCTGGGCAACGAAACCCGCACCCACGAACTCCGCCGCGCCCTCCAAGGCGGAATCGACACTCTCTACACCTTCTGCCTCAACCATGCGGGCCTAACTCTCTCCACAATCCGTACCACCCACTTATCCCGCTTCACCACCATCAACCCCCTCTCCGACAAAATCGACAAAATGGCCGGAAAACAATGGTACGCCACGCCCGACTTCTGGGACGGTGGCGTGTCGGAACCCTACACAATCGACACGGAGGCCGACCGCGCCGCCTTCCAGATAATGATCTACGGGGAATTGTTCGGGCGGAGCATGGATGCGTTTTTGGAGCCGGAGAAAGACTTACCGTTTTTTGATGTGGCGACGAGAATTGACTATTTCACGTACTGTTTGCCGGACTGGGTTTGTAAGAGTTATCCTGGATTTGAACGGTTGGATACGGGTCCTTATGCGGCGGGTTTGGAGAGGCCCGAGGAGGGGGATCAGGTTGCTATGCATCATATTTTGCGGTCGGGGAGGTGGAGACGGATGTGGGCTGCGGGCATAAGGGTGGCTTTGGGGGAGGGGAGTGTGTTTAGTGACGAGGAGGTGGAGGAGGAGGGTTGGAGGAAGAAGCTGTTACGGGATGCGGTGCAGAGTCAGGGGCTTGAGGGGATGCAGCTTGTTACGGTGCCGCTGGAGAAGATGGATATAGCGTATGTGCAGAGGGTGAGGTGGATGAAGGAGCAGATTGATAAGTTGGATGGGCCTCCAGCGGTCGAGAGACTGGGTAAGGGCGTGCTCACTGAGGTGTCTTTTGCTCCGGATCCTTCGAACGAGGTTGAGATACCTTGTCGAGATATGTGGGGGCCTTGGGTGTGAGGTTTGTGGGTGTAAGAGATGCCCATGGTCTTGGTGCACGCCACTCTTAGTATATGAAGGTACAGTACAGAGTACATCACGTATTGCTGAGGCAAGGATACTATTGTGGACCATGGAGCAACTTGCAAATGCCTTTCAACAACCATTTAGCACTGTATATTCAGGAATAATGTATAATATTCTACAAAAGTCCTCACTAAACGGTACATCCTATGCCAAAAGCCGTAAACTCTTCTTAGCTCTCGTACAGTCCCCCTGCAGGCGTTTCCCAAAGTGGGAATCAGGAATACAAGATTGTCATATAGCCGACCCGCCAGAAGCACTACTCAACAGACCCATCCATTTATAATCTGGAACTCGGAGGCCCTTTAGGGTCTAGCCTTGCACTAAAAGGTACCCAGCAATGCTTCCTTGAGACTAGTTCAATCATGACTACATCGCTGGTTAGTCATCGGATAAAAGAGACCCGAAGAGAAACTCCGACTGAAAACATCAGTCCAGTGGGCCAGTCCTAAATGATGAGCCTACCTCTCAACACCAATGAAGTCTATCAGAAATATCAATATCCTTGTCCAAAAAGTCATACCATTACGAAGCACGGATCGCCGGCGGATCGCCGGCGAGCAAAAGAGGGAACGGCTCACTTGTACGAAAAGCATTGATAGGATCAGGCCTCTGATACCGGAACCTCAGACCTCTACATAGGCTTTCCACATTATTAATTCTGTCTCAATATGCAATATCACAAGCCAGCGGAAGATATAAATACCCAGGTCGAACGGCTCACGACTCTCCCAAAACCAAGGGACTTCATTTTCGCTTTGCACATCCAAACCTAGAAACGTGTTTAGCCAAGCCGTTCCTAAAGACCAACGGAAGCAATGGCTATCCCTCCAGCAGGAACACCAGTAGGGCTCGAGATTCCCGCCAAGGATGTGGCTCGTGGTAAGCATCCGGCCACATCTTGTTCAACCTTCCCAAACCGAACCCTAACCAGGCACTTCGCAGGATCCGCGTTTTATAAAGCCGTCTTCAACTGGACCTTCGCGCCTTCGACGCTCGGCTTGCCGGCTAACAAGCTACTGACCTTTGAAGTACCCGGCGGAGTGTTTCCGATCGGTGGTGCTCTCCGTCGAGTTGATGAACTTGCTACTACTCAGGGTACCAAATTGTACCTCTATGTAGAGGACATGTCCGCTGCCATTGAGGTTAGTGATTCTTCCGCATATGCTGGTGTTGAGGAAATCTGATTTGACCGAGATAAAAGATGATTGAAAGGCACGGCGGTAAGAAAGCGAGCGATGTCATTGCAGAAGGTGACAAGGGACTCTTTCAATACTTTGAAGATAGTGAGGGCAATAATTTCGCCATATATACATATAAATAGAGGGGCTATGTTGATCTATACGACCCAGGCGATGTGTACACAGATTCTGATTCCGTGAAGACAGAGAGGAATACTCTTGAAATACATCGACCTTTGAAAGGACCCCGAAATTCAAAGGCTAGGGTCTACAGTCGCCATGCTGCTTAGAAGGATCGTCGGATGGGGCCGTAAATAATTCCTTCCGAAGAAAGTACCCTAGCTTGATTTTCTTAGTGGTTTAGTATAGTTAGTTAAAGAAGGGAATTAATAATCAAGTCGCTTATTTCCAATCTTCCCCTCCGTCTTCATGAACATTGACTTGCAATCATAAATTTCCGATCGCCGCAGAGTGACAGAGTGATGCAGCGATCCACAACAGACCACAACGACCTAGAAATGAATACGAGTGCGCGGCATTCGGTCTAGTAAATACTCTCTTCCCCAAGCACAGAAGCTACAAGCAAATCAACGACTAGCCTTACCAAAGATGGCCCCTGGTGCGCATAAAGAATCGTCCCCACCCGCTGCTAGATGTCGACAGCGAACTGGGAGAGCCTGTGAAGAATGTCGACGACGCAAGTTGAAATGCGATGGGCAAGAACCCCGATGCGGAGTTTGTGCCGCATCTGGCGCTATCTGCGAGGTCAACACTGACCGCGCACTACGCGGTCCTAAGAAGGGCTATCTGAAGGCGCTGAGAAATAGAGTCGGTATGGAAGCCATTGAACGTAGCCTTCCAAAGCGCACACACTGATTATGGCCGACATCAGCGATGCTAGAATCTCGACTGTCCGTACAGCAGCAGGTCGGGTGTACCTCCGAGAGCCAATTGTCGACCCCTCTAACAGATCTTCCTGACGGCTCAAGTGCCTCCAGGGCCTTACAACTGCATTCGCCTTCCATATTGTCAGCGTCCGAGAACGTGACTGTTGGTTTGTTGCACACTCGCCCCACTGGCTGGCGGGTCGGGTCTCTCGGGATATCAAGCAAGGAGAGTCATGGGCTTGTATCGATTTCTGAACTTGTGCAGGCTGAGCTGTAAGCCTCTTGGAATAGCACATTGGGGAATATTCAGTGACAAAACCATGGTCGAGTCTCTAACGATTCCCGTAGGGATCAACTATATTTCGACCGAGTACAACCGTCAATTCCGTTACTTCATCAGCGCCGATATCTGTCTTGGGCACGTCATCCTGCGATGAAGAGATCGTGTCGATCTTTACAGTACGCGATGTGGTCACTGGCGGCACTTCTTTCCATAAAATTCCAACACTTTCAGGAGTCTTTGTATCAGGAAGCAAAAGCAATGCTGGAACTCTCTTATTTAGCCGGAAACAAGAACCCAGTTGTTGATACAGAAGAGATTCAAGCCTGGATTTTGATCGCGACATATGAGTTTATGCGCACTTACCACCGGCTGGCGTGGATGAGTGCTGGGCGAGCTTGTCGCCTGGTACAACTCGAGAGGCTACATGAGATAGACAATCCCGCCAATACACCCGTGCCCGACTCCAAGCATATCGAGGTAGAAGAAAAGCGGCGGGTGTTTTGGATGGCTTACTTCTATGATCACTTGTTCAGCATGCGCAACAATTGGCCCGTTACCTTGAACGAACATGTGGTAGGGTCGCCTTGCACATTCAAGATCTAGAATAAACCAATTGATCCACTCACTAGGTCTGCACGCGCCTTCCAGCTCCAGAGGTTAATTTTCAGAACGGGCAGCCTGTGGTGGGCGCTTTCTTATCCGAAGCGATCGTGGACCTTGACTCTCAGGGGACGACCCCTTTCAATGAATGTGTTATCCTTGCCACAATATGCGGTCGAAGCCTCTTCCATGTCCAGCAATACAATGTTCGCTTGGCCTACGGGGACATGGCACCTAGTTGGTCTGAACAGCACCGGTGGCTAGAAAATGTCCTAACTAACCGACTCCAAACTCTCTCTCGATCGTATCCCTCGCCAACCCAGAGTTGCGATTCCATGCTCCTATTCGCACATGCCATGGCACAGGCAACTGCGCTCTATCTTTGTAAAGGAGGTGATTCCTTCCTATCGGCAGCCGACGACGAAATGTTTATAATGGAGTATCGACGGCGCGCACTGGGAGCAGCCCAGCAAATCGTCTCCCTCACCAAAACCCTGACAGAGTTTAACTTCTTGAAGGCAAGCCCGTTGTACTATGTCATGGTGGAAACAAAACATTGCTTAGCGCTAACAAATTCTACAGATCCATCCTTTAATGCCTATCCCGTTGTTATCTTGCGCCGAATATATCTACAGCAATCGAGGCTCCAATGAGGCTTTCGATAAGCATCTCCAAGAGCTTGTACATGCTTTCCACCAGCTAAAGAATGTAAACAATCCTAGCCAGAACTATATGCACCTATTAGAACTGTCATGTATATCGACATCGAAAGAATTGGCAAAAGAGAGCTCGAGCACATCGTGATCTGTTCCAAGGAATTCGATCTCCCTTCTAGCGTGTTCCGCTGGTCGCCGTTACGATGTTGTATATAATGACCGTTGAGACATCGGTAGAGCATACATACCATCCATACCTTGAGATACATGTCGGGGATATCAGATTGGCTGTTGTTGAGACCCTGCAGCATGGGGATTTTGGGTTAAAAGTGTGTTGTCAAGGTCATCAGACCCTTCCAATCCCACGCTAAAGCCATTGACTGAATATGAGACGCGAGATTTCTCTACCTGTATTGCATAAGTACGTGATAAAACTAGGATGGGTATCTAGACTCCCTTGGGTGCAGTCTGCGAATCCACAACCTATCCACGCCCCAAAATACTTCTTTTGTTGTAAGTGACCTCAAAAGGGAAGGCTTGATCCTTCGTTCTATGGCATCTTTCAGGGATCCGTCCAATTAGCTACACCTAATTGACCAGTTCCGTCTAGAAGCAGTGACTGGGTTCACAAAAGACTGTGGGTTTGAATCCGATGCCGGAGGCATACAATTTTCCTCCCGGGCAGAATTGAACGATTCACCTGATTCGTTGCTATACAGTGGCTTGCACAATCAGCCTGGCACGCAAACACTCTGCCAGGACACTTTATTGCATATCTGGTTAATATCGGATATCGATGAAGAAATGTACCTATATGGTAATGGAAGTCACATGCCCAGGTTCGTCGTAAATTGCCTGTATACTGTCAATTCCTTTCACTCTAGCAGCTCCAAACGACAATTCAACACTAGGGACTACCTTATTTAAAATAGCACCTAGGCCAGAACCATCAAAAACACAGCTCATATGTCATATGGTTAAAAGCGATGAGCAGCTCCGTGTATCCCAAATTGCTGATGCCGCTGAATGCAGCCGACAAGCCGTTTACTATATCCTTTCAAACCTACATCACTTTACTAGAATCAAGGTCACGCTATGTACTTGTTTGGATATAATTTCTTCATTCCTGTCGGTTTTAATTGAGCCATCCTTCCTGGTAGGCGGCCCATACCCCCAGCGTAAGGGTTTGCGTATACAACCACATTTCCAAGGCTTCATGAGGGTCTTGCACCCTCATAGAAGCTACAGGCTCCGTTAAATCAAAACATACCTTCAAGTGCTCGAGGATAGAAGACTTGCGGATAACGATTTCGATCCCGGCCGGTGTCATGGTAGCTATGCGACTCTTCCGCCGCGCCTTTCGATCAATCAACAGGAGGACAAATCGCTCTGCATCTAACGAACCAGCCGGTACATTTTCTTTGCTCCGTTTTTCCCATTGCAGAATCATTCTACCTAGGTCGGAACTATCTCTATTTTCGTCGTTGATGGTGAATCGGTAACTAGGTGTCGATTGAGCAGGTCCTGTTCTTGCGCTAGCCTGCCAGCTGCATCGCACATCGCGGAAATGAATAGTTGACGTCGTGTCGTTGTTCTGACACATTGCTGCCACAATATGCTTCTGTGGAGTGGCACCGTCGCCATCCTGCTCCGCGTCGGAAAAATCTTTCCGTCGCCCGGTCGAAGTGGTAATGTACGACTCATCGAGAGTTGCATAAACATCACTCGACCTCAACTTGACTCTTTGGTGAAAGTCGCGAGTCAAGTTTGACTTGCAAAATGGCTGCTGCCATACTTGCAGTACTGGTACTGGTCGGGGATTATGAGCGAGTTGTTGGATTTGAAGAAGAAGCTTCGGAGCAAGACGAAGTGAAAATTTTGGCGCAGGTCGAGCGATCTGGAAAATCGCTTCAATGTTGGTTCGTCTGGGCTGAGATGGTCTAGAATTTCCGTTAGACAATGTCAAAATTCAAGTTGGCGTGAGGCTCGTACCGCTCTTCGCTTCTAGTATCACTCTTGTAGACAACTGACTGCGAGCTCATGCCGGACTCAGGTTTCATGAAGATCATGATGTTTTAGTTCGACCTCTCTGAGTGGGATAGACCAGAAATTCTTTTGTCCCATTCACTGACTCATTGAATGCCTCGGGCATTCTTATAGATAGTTAATTCTTGGCCCTATGGGCCGTATTAGTACTTACCGAAAAAAAGGTGCACGAATTACGTTGGGCCACGGGTTTAGGGGCCTCACACGCCGATCCAGAGGCAGTGACATTCTTCTTTTGCCTATCGCTGTCATGCTAAAAGCTCTAGATGTCTGGGACAAGTATGGCATGTTGTGATTGGCTCTTTCGTAAGATCGTGGGGTGGCCTGGCGAGACTAGGTATATTTCCTAAAACGGCCATGTGTCTTGATTCAAGGGCATTTGACCCTTTTAGGAAATATTCGAGCGTGCCGTACCTCTTAAAACGGCTAAGTGTCTTCTTTATTCTATGTGCTGATTACTCGCCCCACAAAAGCTCCACTTGGTGAAAGTCGTAGAGCGGTTCCAAGCATTCTATGTATACATCAACTTGAGACTTCATCAGTGCTAGTTCTTGCGGCTAGAAACCTTGTGTTGCTACCGACGCGGTAAAACCCATCATTGCGGAAACTAACCATAACTATAGTTTGTCAGAAAACTCCCGTGCGTTTTAGTTTTTGGTCATAATCGCCCGCTGTTGGTCCGCGTCGAACAAGCCAAAGAGGTTGCGTCTCCACTGGACGGGCCAGCTACGACTAAATCAGGCTATAATTGAACGCACTCATAGCCTACACCCGGTTCACGCTATTGTTGGAAACTCATGTCTCTGGTCACTTCGCAAGAATTACCAGCCGGATTGTTGCCTAAGCCTCGGTGTCCTAAAGCGGTATCTATCGAGCGCGCCTTGGAGCAGATGCGAGCTCGGTTCGTGGAGGTGAACGGTCCTCACGTGCATGCTAATGTGTGCTTTGTGGAAGTCTATAGTAACCGACAGCCCCAGGGACAGGACTTCACAGATACCACCTTTTATTTTCTAAAAGCCTCCTGCTTTCGTCAATCGTCAGATTTCATTCTCGAACCATGCGCTTCCTTCAACTACTCTCCGTCTTGCTTGCCACTGGCGTGCTGGCAATGAGAGCTTCAAGCTGCCCTCCGTTCCCTTCTTCGATGGTCGAATTCTCTTCTGAATTCAATCAGCCAGATCCTCCTATGGTAAAGGCTGAGTATGAGACCAACTTTATCCAACACAAGTGGTAGGCGACAAATACTGATGTCCGCCCTACTTCTATTGTTGTATTAACAGAGCAACAGGAATCAAAACCTGTCGCACGTCACAACCGGTTTCATCAATAGCTCGCCATCTCAGAGTTTCGTTTGGGTTGATGAAGCTTTCAATGGTAGCCTGGCCTCGTCCTTCTTCAATTATGCCAACTCTACCACGGAAGGTTTGGTGGACAACACTATGACCACCTTTGATCACAAATCCAATAAGCCAACTATATGGAAGGGATACGTCAACTCGAACTTCCCTTTGTTTCCTGAAGATATACTAGTCAAGAATGGTGCTGTTTTTGGCGGGCTGGTCCGGCGACAGTTCAACGAGAACCTTGTGGCAGCTGTAAGTAGTCTTTTCCGAGTTCAGCTTACTAAAGTGAGGCATAGTACTGAAGCTAAAAATAATTTCATCAGTGGAATATTATGTACCAGGGAGCTATTCCGGCCACAGTCTACGTGAGCAACTGCAATGTCATCGTTGGATACGACTATTTTTCCCCTGAATTGCGCACCAGAGTTATCACTGAATACTTCAATATCCAGGCCTAAGCTGCCTCAACATCATAGGGTCGTGGTTGAGCCGTTCGCGCCAGAACGAGTGCTGGCGAGTTTGTTTCATCAACCAGTGTCGAATCCCGTTTTCTCGATGACGTAACAATCAAGTGATAGAGCTAGTATAGTGCACATGTGTAGGATTGGTGGTATGAAGGTCTATATTTATCTATCATACAGAAATTCCGTGGTGTTGTGGTCAGGTCACGTAGTTTGCCGCCTTAGGCTCCCTGTAGGCTCTGACATCAAATCAGTCTAAATTGTGTCACTCCTCAATCATAAAGATTCGCCATAAATCACCTAATTGTCCGATAAGATACTATTGTAACTTGATTTTGTCTCGGACTTAGATGATTTCCTTGCCACCTCTAAGACACTGTCGAGTACCTGGGCCAAGAGGTATCGGTCACATGACAGGGCCAGCCCAAATCAGAGTTTTTCAGCCCCTGTTAAACAGTTGGATGTTTTATGACAATTGAGATCATGACAGCAGAGCTACGTGAACGACCAAGTGAAATCACTAGACGTACTATCGGACCTCTGGACAAGCGCAAAAACACAACGCGCTGCCAGCCTTGTGCGAACCGACGGGTAAAGGTTTGAGCAGCCAGCACTTTGTTTCAATGGGATCAGTCTAACTTACACGATATGGACAGTGTGACGGGGACCATCCCTGCGAAAGATGCGTCCGGACAAAGAAAATCTGTGCGCCGCAGCGGCTAGAGCAGACAGGAGTGAAATTCGTCCATGTATCGGGACACGAGTTGTCTTGTACACTTCCCATGCAAGTGCGGAAGCATGAGGACGCCATATATCTGGATCACTTCGCAACCTTCCTTCAGCGATGTCACTTTAGCAAAGACTTTGCTGCCACAAATGCAGACATAGTCACTATCATTGGCCAATACCCTCTGCTTTTCAACATTGCTATCGCAATCGGAGCTTTAGATGCCAGTAGGAAAGGATCTATCAGATCATTTAGTGAGCTTGAGTCTCCTCGGCATATTGCGTTCCTGGCTTGCGGTAGATCAATACAAACTCTGCATTCAGCAATCCCGATGGCAAAACCAGTCTTTAGAGATGACGTGTTTTGGACCGCATTTCTCCATGGTCTTTTTGAGGTATGATTACATACATTTATAGAATCGCAAATTCCACTAACCATCCAGACAGCTGATGGCTGAAAAGTCAGGCGATTCATTCGCAAACCACATGGTTCTCGGTACATCCAAAATGCTGCTCCTGTTGGAACCCACAAATCCACTTTCGTTACCCACGGAGAGCTTGATCGATGCTTTTTGGATTCTTGAGACCAACAGAGCCATTCTTTATGGCGACAATATTACACTTTCTCCGGACAAATGGCAGTGGATTTCGACGCGGGAAAGCTGGCCAGATTCCATGAAGAAAATTCTCATACTTATGATACAATCTTCCACATTTGCTAAAAGGTAAGTCAATTTTACTAACTTTAGCTTAGTGGATAGAGCTAAATATTTTAGACTTTTTGACAAGATTGGGAGTATTCCTCGAGATTTAAGATCCTTTGATCCCAGATTGGACGCTCTCGCCCTAAAAGGACTCGAAATTAAAGAGAGACTTCTCAGTTGGCAAAAAGGAAGTCATTTGGAAAGGTTACCGGTGGACGCTTTTACTCAATTGGCCGTCATCGTTAACCACGCTCTCCTTTTATATCATTGTAGGAATTTTACTTTTTATTCATGCTGGATGACACGGAAAATTCCTCAGCTTAACCAGAGTGAGGTCGATAAATACGTCGCCACCATTTTGGACCTGTCTCAAAGTCTTCTCTCAGATACATATATCCCGGGAGTCCTCTTATTATTTCCTTTGCGAATGGCCGGAGCCCATGTTCTTGAGAGCCGTGCACAGGAGAGAGTATTGGGAACTATTCGCCAGATACGGCAAAAAGGATTCATCGTTTCAGATAGGATTGAAGTCGATTTACAAGATTTTTGGCACTACAAATTGGGGATAATTGGCGAAAAGCAATGAAATGCGAGTATGAGTTACCTCCAGCATGAGAGGGAAAGAGGAGGTTAAGCTTTATATCCCTTAAAATTGCTGGACTACCGTTGGATTGCGTAGCAAAAAGGGCCGCAGCATGTATCCCAGAGAAGGGGCATATGGTGAATGCTGTTCCCATGGTTCGAGCTCCTGGGGATATCGGGATACGGGCTGCCACTCATATCTATACATGATCAAAGCCCTGGAAGTCTGTCAGCGTAAGATGGCGGTGCCAGCTGTGGGTAGACGTCCATTAAGACGGGAAGCCTAAACAAACCATGTTAGCCTATCGGGGTTAGTCCTTTACAGCAGCGTCACATAAGAGGTAGATGAAGACGAAGGCTACGGAGGTAAAGCAAAGGGGGTGGTGCATCAAGCCAGATCACCAGATCTCTTCCAACCCTTCTAGATACCTGCTGGAGCTTTCCATAGGTTATACAGTAATTTACAAATAACTCATAGGACACTGGAACCCAATACGTTCTGCACCACGAATTACGTCTAAGCAGGTGCAATAGCTAAAGTAACCTTCTACGGATTAGCATGGTATCGGGTACGGGCCAAGAAATAATGCGCGTGTCGGACGGGGTAAACTGTTTTCGAATTCTACTGTATGCGTAGCAAATTGTGCTTAGGAGGGACAGGAATCAAGTCTAGAAACTACATATTGATCACGCGATATACGCAACAGGAGTAGGCCTTGCCATACTGCTTTTTGGGTAGCCATGGGTTACCCAGGAACCAACCAGGAACCCAAAGCCTCATATATTACGGGAATACAAAGAAATATCGAATCTTAAATATGGATCATTGTGTAAAAGTCGTATATACTACTGTTATCCACTTTTCTTGGAGGGTTTTGGGTTGGGCGTCGAAACCCAACCAGCGGTTTGGCGAGGTCTAGGAGGAGGGTAAAAAAATTGCATAAACGCATGACATCAAAAAACACTTAATGTATTAAGCCATCCACCGAGTCGTAAACTCATTATATGCCCCAAGTTCGTTGAACTGTCTGCTCTCATATCTATACTATTCGATCTAATATCCTCAAGTCGAGCTTGTCAAGATTGTGGCCATCCAATACGTGACCCCCGCCCCCCAATCTTTCATATGCTCGCTGCTCTGCTCGTCGAATAGCACGATCACGAGTACCCATTGAAACACGTCCATGTGTCGAGTATGGTACAGTTATTCGTGCCAAATGCCAATATATTCGCTGTGATGTTTGTCGCGAGTCTGTGCGCCTTAACCGTCAGCCCGCCTCTCCCGATGTTCGCCGCTGTTGGGAGTGCCACAACTCTTTTGTTGCACGTTAAGAAATAAGCCGTTACTTCCTTTAAAGATCTAGAAGCACAGTTGTTGCGCAGCCAGCAACCGATTTTTCCCAATCTAGAACTGCCTCCTTTAACCCTTTCGCCAATTTATTTCGACTGCCAACCACTCGAAAACAAAAGACACAACCAGGTCCTTTTCCATCCACACCACTCAGACAGAAAACAGCTGTCAGTGAGAGGCTCTTCCATCTTATCCGTCAGGCACTTGACTTCTTACTTGGAAAATTTATATCCCGCTTACATGCTTCTAATAGTATTTTCATCCGATATTTCTCCCTCCCACACACGGGCATCTGTCACCCAATATAAGAAGACTATCGGTGCTGCTGCTGAAGATGCAATATGTTGCTCATGTGGCAGGCTTATTCCTCTGAGTGACGTACGTTAGGCTCTACACAAAGACCCCTTCCTAGAACCTTTAAAATGATATCTGGATAGCTGTGCCTGGGAGGAAGGGTTTCAGGACAGCATGCACCTCTTGTTATTCTGCCCTCTTTCGACGATCGATTCCCAAATCCTCCTCCCAAAATAAAGTAAATGTGACACACTCTGCCGGCACTACTCTGGTACTTCCGATGGTTCTCACTCTGCCTAAAGAGTATAGAAGCCTCGGTTGCCGTGAAAGGGTATTCGGTCCGACGAAAACGGGTCCCCATCTGTCCCGCTTTCTGTCTGACCGACTATAAAATTCAAGGCGCTACGCTTAACTCAGTTATTCTGGATCGTAAAGACAATCATGTAGCTCGGGGTCGTGACTCGCATCGCAAATACTGCTCCGTAAATGTGCAACTGTCTCGACCCCGATCACTAAATAGACTTCATATTCTGCTGCCAATTGAGATGGCAAACCTTGACCACCAGCCTGAACCATGACTACTAGAGGAGGAGCAACGACTGCAAGCCCTAGAGAAGGATACTCTGCATGCATGGCAAAACAGGCGCAGTTATTAGCCACCCCGTCGCGACCCGAATCAAAAGTCTCTATATCACGTACATATATAACTTGCATAAATACGAAAACTTACGCAGTATCAGAAACCAGAAACTGTAAACTATCTACTCGTCTTCACAGGAAACATGCGGTGAGAAGAGATTCCGATATATCTAACATGCCCGTACGTATCTTCCACGCTGACAACATCATCAAAGATAGCCCTAGCAAAATAACATACTTGCTGCTTTGTCGCCACCCGCTCATTTTCTTACGAACTAAACCTTTTCTATCCACTGAGCCCTATGCCTTTCAAAACCAACATAACATTTTAACATATACTTCTACCCTGCCTTTTCATCGTTTCAGGGCCCGCAACATGCGTCAGTGCGTCTCTCCCAGTTCAGTCTAATCTACCCCTATCTAGATTTGCGCGTCTTGGCATAGTATTTACATAAACTAAAGAGTGTTGACTGTCAGACTAATTTTGTAAGCCACCGTATTGGTTCATTCTCTCTATTCCTGTTTCTTTCTGTCTCCTTTGCTAAAGCGAGCACTGAGTGTTCTTACCGCCTGCTGTTTCTGTTATATAATGAGTCATTAATGATGTCTAAGAGATTCACACAGACAGTTAAACTGCTTGACCTCTCACAGTGTATTATCTCCCATTATACGATGACTATGCTCACTTTATATATTCAGACTCTTCAAATAATGCACAAGCAGGATTAGACTCACTCTGTCCACAAAGGATTCATACTACCTGAGAAGCAAAGAATCCTCATGACCACCAAGGTAAGCGATACAGTATATCCCAAGAACCGAGCGAAACCAAACAACAGATCCGCCCATCCAACCCCTCAGGTCAATCTAGATCAGACTGAACAAAACCAATAACAAAAAAAAAGCCATTCTAGAAAAATCCGCAAGGCAGGACCAATTCCGCAATGTGAAACCACTTAACCTATCACGAGCTAGTCCGAGCGTAGTTCCACGGTTCCACTCTCTTCAACCGAGGAAAAAACCAAAAGCGGTCTTCCGCTCTGCGCCGCAAAGACCAACACTGACATCAGTCCCGGGAACCGCAATGCCAGGACTGACAATGACCAGTCTTCTCCAATCACGATGGGCGCCTCGTGCAGACGAGGCCAAGGCCAAGACCAAGACGCAGGCATCACGATCCTCGTCGCGGTCACGTAGCAAGAGCAAGAGCAGAAATGCAAATGTCCCGTCACCAGCGCAGGAACTCTCGCGCTTCATGAAAATTGCAGCCCGGATCAAGTGGAAACTACCGTTTCTGGCGGAGGGGTACCGTCTTGCGACTCTCCGAACGGGCAGTGATGCGGATGTTGCGCATGCGGAGATTATGTTCAAGATTGATTTTTTCGAGTACTATGCACTCTTGGAGCGGGCTATTGTACATTTGCTTGGCGTTTTTGGTGTGACTGTCTCTGGTGGTGTTGAGGCGTCGTATTGGTCTTCTAATAGGGGGAGGAGGAATGGGACTGGGTCCCCGGTGCCGACACATCGGTATCATGCTAATGTGCTGAGCGCGCTAGAGAGGGAGAGCTGTCCGTTGCATTCTGTTTTGGGGACTGGGAAAGTATACGAGCAGTTGAAGAAGGCAAAGGAGCTGCGGAATCGGTGGAAGACTGCTGATATATCGAAGGAGGAGGAGGAGGAGGATGCGTCGTATCGGCCGAGGAATCGGGCTGTGATACCGCTTGAACATTATGATTTTGAGCAAATTCTGTCGCAAATCTTCACTGGGTTCGAGGATGGGTGTACCCTGGCTCGGGAACATGTGGCTAGTGTTGAGAGTGGGAATGGTCAGGGCCAGTCGGGTGATTCGGAGGCTAATTGGGATTTCATTGTTGATGCGATGGATTGGGAGGCTGTATAACATCACGATTTTGGATATTTGTTACCTGCTGCGTATTGGCGGGCTTGTCTGCGTTCGGTGGAGTTTTTGCTTTAGTCGTTTTTCATCCTCGTCATTGTATACTACTGTTCCTGAGCGACGTTACCTTCCTGTACGCTATAGAGTGACCGGCGGCAAGACATATGTTCACATACTACACATCTGTGTTAAGAGCGAAGAGCAACATACATGTGCCACTCATGAAGTTTCATTACTTAATTATTTTTTTTTAAAAAAAAAATCCGCAACGTATTCCATCAATAATGAGCTTGTTTACCGTCCATGTCTACCAACTGAACCAAACTGTTCGAGTCATCTCGTTGCGACGAGGTGTACTGAACGGTGTAACTGACGGACTTGGAAATCTTGCTCTGTCCATTCGACTGGCCCCGGGCGTACCAGTTACTCGGTCCGGTGGCGTACGTTCTCCGAGTCGAACCTTTGAAAATACCGGGGAAGAAATGGTTAAGCAGGGCTCGAGACGACGGGAGGCAGGCGCAAACAATTGCAACCTGGGTTTCGATGACGGACCAATGGATCAGGGGATAGATTCCGGCTGGGTTAATTAGCGATGGTTTGAATAAAATAGAGGGGGATGAAAGGATAATGTACCGGTCTGGTTCTGGCCCCAGCGATTGTTCCAAAACACGACAAGTCGGATAATGGCGATAACAGTCAAGCTGTGATATCACTATTAGTGAGACGACAGTTAACGACGGAGGGGCTTGCATACACAGATCCCATCACAAACATAAGAGCGACAGTGAGCTTCTTCTGCATGGGCAGCTGCAGCTTGCTCACTTCGTAGACTGGCATGACGACCATGATCGCGTCGACAAAGATATTCACCAAGCAATTACCCAAGATAGCGTCAATGAAATCAATACAAGTCCCGGGGTCCTCATTCTTCCATCCATCCCACGCCAAATGGACGGGATTGCATCTCAGACCATCTACTAATGCCCATGTTATACCGATTGATGCGTTGATTCCAATAAGAGTGTACGCGATCGTGCGGAAAAGGCGAGACTGGAAGATTCGGAGCAGAAACAGACAAACGGATATCTTTGCGAGGGAGATCTGCACCTTATACATCACTGCGAAGCCTTGAAAGTACTGTAAAAGTCAATAAGGGAGCTTTGAACCTCGACTGAATCTGCGGAAGGCTAACCTTATAGAATTGGGTGATGTCGTCAAAGGGGATATCCCAGATATCCTTGCCGAAGCCACATTTGATCACTAAAATGTTAGTTTTGGCAGTGGTATCTAACTTCTGGGACACAACTTACTATAAATGTTGAGAACAAACAGGGCGATTCCCATCACCTGTAAAAGTTGAGCATCCCATTCCAGAGCTAATTAAAGAAAGACAATTTCCTACAAATGCAATGATGATGGTCACATCATCTGCTCCCCAACCACCACCAAGATTGAAGCTTTTGGTAGCGATTCGGACCGTGAAGAAGAAGGTACCCAGAATAAGGGGCACTAATGTCGCAGCCTCGAGGAGAGGAGGACCCTTGCGTGGGGGAATACCACATAATTCATCAGTCAATCGTTTTGTAGCTACTTATAGTTAATACCTCCAAACACACAAAGCTACCCGTTTGTGACTTACTGAATTCCTCTTTCGTTGTTCCGTTGGCTAATACGCAGTCGACTAGGGCTGTTTGACGCGAGTCCTCGGCGCAGAGGTACGTCGTTGAATTCCACTCCGATGTGGGAAAGAGCTGCTTCATGCACGAAATCTAATGCAAATATACGCACGGTTAATCATGGATGCTAGGTACCGATCATGACTTGAGACTCACGGCGGACGAAGGGTACTCATTCGGCTCCAGGTCTGTCGCCAAACCGCCCCCTAGTAGCAAGAACGAGAGCAAGAACTGGTAGACCTTCATTATGAAGTTGAGGGTATTGCAACCAAACTTCTTAGCGGCGCATATTAAGAGATAAGGTAGGAGATAAAGTGCAGATGGTCCGGCTCAACCTCGCTTGCAGATTAAGCACGCTGCCCGCTGATAAATATACAATTTACGCGAGATTCGGAACTTCTGGACCAGGCCTCTCCACCATAGGAAGTGGCCCCCCGAAATAGAAGTTTCAAACTACACTACATGGGATAAGCTTATCTGTCGCCATCCTCATAGAATTGCATCTAATTTTTCGGTACGCACACTTCGGTACTCGGGGCTTATTACCGTTGAGGATCAGCAAACTTCTAGTGCTTCTTCCAGACTTCCAACCGATCATGCAGTTCATCGTGAATAGTGCCCTGGTCGATCTATCATACAGAAAGAAACTGGGTCGAGTGAAACCCGGTCACTGAAGAGTCCCGCCCTAGTCTTGGCGCTCGGCGAGGCGAGCTGAGAGGAAAACTTTTCTTCCCCACTTGGTACGAGATCTTAGTTGCAGATTGATGGAACTGGGGCTCTTCCACTCCAATAGGATTAACCCGGTCCCTTAAATCCTGGTTTTCGTGGCCAATCTGCCTAACAGGAACCTTGGAATCGGGATATTGACTCGTTTTTTTGCCGTTCGGGACGACCACGCACGTGGTGAAAATCTTTTTGATCCTTGTTCCATGGTTTTCTATCTGCCCTTCGGTGGAGATTGTTCCCTGAAGAATTCCAAACGAATGCTTTTTATCATTCTCAGTGTTTTGTTAATCTTGTTGTGTTTTGTTTTCCCGCCTGGTCTGGGTGACGTGGCAACCTCAGGGGAACTGATATAAATTAATTAATCAACAAGGATCACCCGCCCCGAGTCATGAACAGCCGCATATTATGGCCTTTACTTGATCACCGTTCAAGAGCACTCGGATCAACGTCGGACCTGTTCCCCTTTTGAACTAGTAGCTTTACCACTAGGTCTGGGGGAATCCGAATATAAGAATGTTCTCAAGGGGCAAACTAATCACGTTCAGAACGCCTCATTTTTCAGTAGCTTCTTTTTCCTGGGTCTGGGCTTGACTTAGGTCGTCGGGAATTTTAGGCTGGAATTTCGGAGCGTGTGAACAATGAAACGTTCCGACAATCCAAATTATTGTGCATCGCTTTATTAGATCGGTACTATTCGGAAGCCCCTCGGCTCAGGGTTGATAAGCAATCGGGATGTTAAGCTCCATGATCCTAATCCTTTATCAATCTCCACACACTTCTAGTATATCTAGTATATGATTATGAGGTCACATGGCACGGGAGCCTTACATCTCATTTCCCCCCTAGTGCCAAGCTACTTGGGTAGGGTAGTAGTCAGTTACTCTATGTTCCGGCTTCTGACTTCCAAATAAAGGACAAGGCCCGATGGAGCCTCTATGTATTATACTCTAAGCTCAAAGGGGTGCTCCCGCCGGCCTTATCCTTGGTTCTAGCCTCCGTGTCGATCCAACCTTGGATTTGCTCGACTTCAGTCAACAACGAAGTTACCACCTCCATCGCTGAATAGCCCACTAAATTGATTGTTAAACTTTCCAACCAATACGTCGGACCCTGAACTCTTGTTGAGAATACACATATCTTCTTATAGTTTGGTAAATGATCGTAATTTCAAACATAGATCTCTTGCCCTTCATGTTCTCCGCGAAGGCTACATGGGCATATACACATCTTACTTCCTAATCCCGAAAATATGACAGGTCCATGGACCAGGCAACATCCCCTCGAGTCATGTAACGACACGGACACGGACTCAAGATCAGCACGGTTCATCTCCGGAGTGGCCCTACCGGCAGTATTGACCCTTCCCGGCTGCACGTAATCTTAAAGGGCTTTGGTGCGCGTGATCTGCGCACGGCGATCATTTCGCAGCACAACCTGTCACAGCCGTTGTACAGTAGCTCGGGCTCTTCAGCCGCGGACTATACAGCTGCCAATGCCCTCAACAGCTTTTTAAATTGACTACTACATAATTTCAACCCTGCAACTTGGAGCATTATCTGTGATGTAGCAATAGTGTCTCTCGTATATGGGTAGGTTCTATGGGCTAGAAAGTTTACGCGCTCGACGTTTCTAGGGTCGCAGATATGGATATGCCTCGGCTATAGGGATGACGAAGCAGAAATATCAGGAAGAGAGAAACATACTTTGTTTATGCTTATGAATTGGGTTACTGGTGTAAATATATTGTCTGGTTACTTAGGTTTTAGTAAGAGAGGCTGTTTGTTCAAGAAACATGTTAAGTGTGTGTAAGGTCAGTAATTTATTGCCAATTAACTCTAAAAGTATTAACTTCAATATAAATAGGAGACCTACACCAGCGAGCCTAAAGGTTAAAGTAGCGTAGCGGTGCGGTGCCCAAAGAAGTGGCTAAGGTTTTACACACGCCTCTTAAGTAAAATATATATTATGCAGGACGCAGAACGTCTTCATACTGAAAGTACACATCATGTTACCACAATATATCTAGGTCATATATTGTTGGCCGGGGGTTCCGGCCCACACGCATTTAGGTGTCAGTAGTAAGGATAGCTTGTAGATAGTAAGAATAAGTATCATCACTTGGATGAGAATGATCTCCACATAGTGCCTTAACATATATTAAACCTATACCTACGTAATAAATCACCAAGGTATATATTAGTATAGTGTCTGAGTAGTAGAATTCAATATGAATCAAGTGCGGCGACAATGTAGCTCTACCAATGGGGTTCAGTTCTGCACCGTCTTCCACTCCAGTGGTGTCAATACCCCACGACCGTAAGCCGATGACTCTTACCGTACGCGCAGTGACGTGTAAGATGCAAATGATTCATAGGAGAGACAGAGACTAGGTAAATGCTACCTAGTCCAACTAAATAATGTCACCGTGAGAATGGCCCCATTTTTGTTCATGAGGATGACGTTGGTTAGTACCCGGTCTGTAAGGGACATATGGCCTATATAGCTTGGAGAGTGTAGCATAAAAACGTAATCCACCACCGAGCGGCATAAAGTTCTTTAACCCTCTAAATATTTGCCAGATCGCTTTATAGTAGCACCACCACATTATTATGCTTCAAAAATCATTAGATCTAGCTGCTAAATCAGAAGGCTGGATACTGCTCGCGATACAAGTATTTGAAGATAGCCAATTCAAAAGTATTCGCGCAGCAGCTACAGCGTATTATATGCAATACCATACGTTTACCTACCGAATTAAGAGTTAAAAGGCACGACTAAAGATCCCAGCAAATAGCCCGAGGCTTAAAACTTTAGAAGCGTCTCTTAAGAAATGGATTCTTAATATGGATAAGAATATTACCCCCAGCTACTTTACATGGTCCAGGACTCATCGAGGGCGCATAGGTTACTAAGTCCCCTCATACTACCACTGAGACATAAAAGCAGATACAGCATATAAAGTAGCTTATTCAACGCAACTCAGAGAGTCCACTAAATGAAGTAGTCCGCTAGCTAGTGAGAGCAGCTGAATCTACTATGCATGAAGTTATTCTATTACGATACCAGGTGACTGAGCTTCATGCCGCAAAGCAAAGCAAAAGCAAAAGTATACGGGTCCTAGATCTTATACTGCTACTGGGACGTTCCTAACAGGGGACGAAGGCCAGCAACTTGCTCGAGAAGCTATACAGATGATGAATCCAGAGGAACCAGTAAAAAATAGGCCCCACCACGGTACAGTAGCTGTCATCAAATTTGTTCATATTAGAACTAGCTGCCCGAATAGATAGTAACATTCTTTTATACATGAAAATGGCTTCATTTTGATTACGTAATAGTAAGATATATTGTCACATGATCAGGCTTTCCCACTCCACATGTATTTACTAGGTCTTACCGATCTTCCTTCTTAGGAATACACACATCATACCAAGAGACCTTACATATATTCTAGGTCTTCCGACGAGGGTCAAAATTGTGTGCCATTCGGTGATGGATTACGTTATGAACACATCATACGGAAGCTTCAATTCAAGGCAAACCTGAATTATAAGAAGTTAATATCGACTCCCTAGAGACCACTAGCTGGATAACGTCCGAAGCAGCCAATGAGCCTTTGTCCTGCATTGCTCTAACGTGATGGCTGATATCGCTAGCCTACCATTTCGTGATGCCTTGGGCTAGGAGAAGAGGCAACCTTTGGATGGTTTGTGGTGTATCTTGCATGACAGAACTCTTGGATCAAGGTATCTCCGACTAACGGTCACAGGGTACCAAGCATGGTGTGAGAGGTATATGTATAACTCAGAAGACGTCCATTCTGGAAGATTGTGAATGCCTTGTAAAAGCTCTTCAGATGCAGATTTTCCCGGTTCAACACCTGCAGGGGACTCGAAATGCGTGTTGCAGTGGTCGGTGCCGGCCCCTCTGGATTGGTGACTCTGAAATATCTCTTAACGGCACATGAGTTTCTTGGTGTCGAGGCAATTGAAGCGCGGGTGTTTGAAATCGAACCTGACATTGGCGGGACCTTCTTGGCTCGCACATGGGAGGATGCCGAGGTTCGTAATTCATCTACCTCCACTGACACCGTTACCGTCTAATAAGGTCGCTGGATGGATGGTTGTGGCAGATGGTTTCCTCCAAGCAGTTGACGGCCTTCTCGGACTTTCGCCCGCGAGATATGGACCCGGACTTTCTGAGTACTAAACGTTACCTGGAATATCTCCACGATTATTGTACCCATTTCCAACTTTGGCCGCACATTCATCTCCAAACCTCAGTTCAGTCCATCTCTCGTCATAAGGGTGGGGGGCATTTGGTGGAGTATCAAGACCAGCGTACGATGAAGCAGTGCAGGTGGTCGTGTGACGCAGTTGCCATCTGCTCTGGACTCCATGTCACTCCAACTGTCCCTCCTATTCCTGGATTGGAGAAAGTACCCACAGTTATTCACTCGTCACAGTTTAAGGAAAGGGCACAGTTCGGTAGTAACCGGACGATTTTGATCCTTGGGGCTGGAGAGACGGCCACAGACATTGCGCACCTCGCAGTGACATCGCCAACTAAGAGAGTAGTGATGTCGCATCGGAAAGGTTTTCATTTGGCCCCAAAGGTAAAATCCTCCTTTCCCTCCGCCGATAGCATAACCTTGCCACTGACACATATCACTCGCACTAGCGCAATCTTGACCCAGTAATTCTACCGATCCTAGGCCGCAGGACCTGCGATAGGCTGACGGTGCCTATTGACACGAGCCGACCTAGTCTTTTTGACACCGCGTATGTTCACCCGCTCTTGAGGAACCATACCTTCCTCTGGAGGATGTACCAAGTTTACATCCAATCGATGCTGTGGACCACGACAGGGACTACTGCGGGCTTTGATCAATGGGTCGGTGGCTTTCGCCCAGATCAAAATGATCCTTCTAAAAGTAAGTGACTCTGTTCCAATGAGTGACAAAACGCCAACCCGTATCGCAATCAGTATTCCTTAACAAGGCCAGTCAAGTGGCTCCATATATAAGCGCCCCATATAGACACCTCGATGGCTCTTTGACGCAGCGGATCCGCTCATCTTTGATTCAGATTCCAATTCCCGACACCCGGGGAAGGCAGGTGGATGTCGCCCCTTGGCCCGAGGAAATCGACGAAGAAGGAGTAGTCCATTTTGTCAACAATGAGCGCCCTGAGTACTATAAGATGAAGAACCAGATAGTCCGCCCAGATATTGTCATCTACTGCACCGGGTATCAGCCAGAGTTTCCCTTCTTGACTAATCACGATAATGGCAGACCTTATTCCTCGGCAGGTGATGCTGATGTGCGGAATACCTGGGCCCGAGATGATCCGACAGTCGGATTCATTGGCTTCCTTCGCCCATCACTAGGTGCGATTCCCCCTCTTGCGGAGATGCAAGCGCAGCTCTGGGTGCTTCGGATCGCTGCTCCCCATCGCATCCCTCGGGTCCTCGTCTTGTCTGATCAATCTCATTACCAAATCGAGCCACCCCCTGGTTCGCGGCCATACTGTTACTACGGCGTCGACCATGAAAGCTACGTGTACCAATTAGCGTTGGACATGGATTCGGCACTCGGATTTACGGAGGTTCTTCGACTGGGACACAGAAATTGGAGAATCCCCTTAGTATGGGCTCTGAGCTCAAACATTAACACAAAGTTCCGACTCCGCGGGCCATGGCGCTGGAAAGGTGCCGAGAAGGTGATGGTGGGGGAGATGTGGGATACCATCTGCCGCCGGAGGCTTTTCTTTGGTAAGAGTGGTCCGGAGCCAGTTGGCCGTTCGTTACTCGATCGACCTGAGTGGATGTACTAATGGGTCACGAGTGAACAGAGCATTTCCTGTTTGCATTCCTTCCATTTGTCATCGTTGGCCCGATAAGCCTTCTGTGCTATGTGTATGCCTCAGTCCACCGTCTTTTGGGCTATATTTAGCCTAGTCGACAAACCCCGTCAAGCAAGGCACCAGCATATAGGAAATGATTATTAGATCGCTAACCCATCCTTGCATGGTACGGAGGACACGGTACCTATGCCTATTGGAGAATCTAAGGTGTGAGAGCGTCCCACAGCACATGTCATCATGACCTTGCGGCCGCAAAGTATCCAGGGTTGGTTACTGGTTTGAGTAAAGGCTGTTAATCAGATAAGGAAACATGCACACATTGGCAGAAACATTGATGACTGCCGTAACAGTAGGGCAGTCAGGACAGGACCTGATTCTTGAGCCTTTCTATTATCCTAGGAGGCCCGTTGTACGCCGGATAGTATGGCCAGCCATTCAATAATCTAAGAAGTTGGAAGGATCACGATGTTTTCCAACAGTAATTACAAATGTACACATGGGCCCTATCATTGGAGAACGTATTCCTATTGAGTAGCAGGTTTTATAGTGATTGAGCACATCTAATGATCTCCCTGTCATTTCACATTGGTACAGTACAGCTTGGCGTGTCTTTTGCGTCGACCCCGGCTACCACTTTTATGTATTCCGAGCCTTAAAATCAAAAGGCAAATACAGAAGGGGAGATGTATTCAGCGCTGTTCAATATTTGTTGTCGGTGTTCAGAAGCAAGCGGGTAGCTATCAAGGGATTTTGCCCTTTTTTGGGATAGTTCTCGTGACTACTGGTGGCGTCAGACCTGATCCAGATTCCACACATCCAGTTTCAAGCCTCACCGTCGGCTGGGGGGACCCGTATGATAAAGACTGCTATTTAGGGTATAAATGTTAAACCGGCGGTGCGGGACGGATTTACGCCGAGCCGGGGGACGGGATGCATTCGGGTTCTAGATTGAGATAGAACTCTGGGGGAGCCAATGGGACAAAAATATTCGGTTTGCTATCACCGCCGGGCTGGAACTCTTTGCGTTTTACGGGCATCGATAACCTTTTAGCTTTAAGCCTATTCGGTCCGTTTGTCAACATACCGATCACCTGATCGGCACCAAGAGATATGACCCCGTTGGAAATGGACACCTGATTGCAATCAGCATCCAGACAAGTCAAGATAATCAGATGCAGGAGGTGAACTACCGGTGAAATGAAGCGGATAGGGTATTCTGGGCCCCGTGCCCCGTGCCATTCTACTCGCGATAGCTTTTAAGAAGAGACGACGTCTCCATGTTCAACGGTCATTAACAGCAGCTCCAAATACTCCAAAGCAAGTTAGCAAGTTAGCAATCCAAGGTCTGAAACCAACGAAGCTACTTTGGCTCTTCATATTCGCAATGTCCTTCTTGAGAAACTTCTTTGGCACTTCCGCTGTTGCGGCGAAGGACGAGAAGACGCCTATCCGGGCACTGCCCGCTTCCTGGTACACTTCTGAGGCTATGTACCAGCTTGAACGACGATCTATCTTTGCCCGGAAGTGGCTTCTCACCACACACAAGCACCGAGTCCCCAATGCGGGTGACTGGGTCCAATATGACGCCGCTGGGTACGCGTTCGTCGTCGTCAAGGATCACCACGAAAACATCAACGCATTCCACCAGCACAATCTCTCGCCAATTCACGTGCACATTGACCGCAATGGTTTCATCTGGGTGAATCTAGATTCTGCCGAAACCCCCGAAGTGGCCTGGAAGGATGACTTTGACGGCGTTGATGAGCAACCCCGGTTCCAACACTACAATTTCGACCAATACGTCTTCGACCACACCTGGGATATGGAAGGCGACTTCAATTGGAAGATTTTAGCTGACAACTACAACGAGTGCTACCACTGCCAAGTGGCTCATCCTGATATTCCTACGATTGCGGATCTGAATTCTTACTACGTGAAGACCAAGGACGGCCACATCCAGCATTATGGCGCGCAGCGACCCGACCAAATCGAGAAGGGCTTCCGGATAGCCACTACCTACTTTTGGCCCAATGCCTCTTGCAATGTCTCGTAAGTATAGCAATCACTTTTGCCAAGCTTAGCATCTCATTAATTGTTTTAGGCCGAATTTCTTCTTCATGCAGCGATTTACCCCTCTCAGCCCGACGAAATCAGTAATGCGGTACGAGGTATATCGCCATAAGGATGCAACGGACGAGGACTTCAATCTTATCAGCGACATGTACAAACGGATTATGTCTGAGGACAAGTATCTCTGTATTCATACCCAGAAGAACCTCAACGCCGGCGTTTTCATCAACGGCCAGCTTCACCCCGAAATGGAAAAGGGCCCGCTCCACTTCCAGAAGACTGTGCGAGACGTTGTCACAGAACACCGCAAGAAGGAGGAGATCGCTGGTCATGAAATCTGGCCTGCTCAACAGTCTCTTCCCAAGAATGCTGCGGTCAACCAAGAGGATATCGCGTTCCGCACAGGCACAGACAACTACATCAGTGGGAAGAATGAGTTGACGGACACTTTGAGTGGCAATCATGCTGTGGCAATAGCTGTTTAGAGGGCTGGTGGTGGACCGAAAAGGTAGATATCCATTGGGATCATTTGCCATTACATTTCTTTTTCTTTTAGCGTTACATTTTCATACTCTACACTTAATGATGGTTTAGAACTTGGCTTGCTTTAGCGGAATATAGTCATGACAGAATGAATCTTTATACATTTCAATTACTACTCCCACAATTATTCTGAAACTTGATGGTGTAGATAACTGAGGTTGCCACCCAGCATGACCATGACTAGTCGTATGATAAGCACATATTGACCTCCATTACTCATACGTATACATCTATGGCCACATGCACGGAGAATTCAGAAGTAACCAGCAAGCAGTCTGGAGAGCCTTAAGAGTTGACGTCTAAGAGATTGGCCGCAATGCCTGTGTGGCCAATCTCGGTCGTATACGACGTAGGATGGATGTTGTTGAAAAGAACGACTCTTCATCATGTTACCTAAACCGTATAAAACCATTTTGACCAACCAAGTCTAATAATAACAGGACTTTTAGCCATTGTCAAACATTTACGTTCCGGGGAAATTTCTACCTATTCGGGATAGAACACCCGGGCAAACAGTCACCAATTATGTATTAAATCTCGTCAGATCCTGTATTGATACCCATATCGTATTATTGCCTTGGCATTAACTAAGTCTGCATATCTTTGGATGGAGTGAACATATTATACTATACAAGTACATTAGCTGCCAGGACGCTGAATACAGGACACTGAAGAGTTTTGAGGATGAGAGCAAAGCAATAGCTGAAAACAATGGATGCCCTCACTAAGTCGCCCGACTCAGTCACCCAAAACAAAATGATAAACTTGGCTTGAGCCCTAGTAGCTTATGATCGTGAGTGTTAAATATTTATTTATGAATTTGTCGTATAGAAAAGGCATGATTAATAGCTCTCATTCATATACTGGTTCGTTCCCATTCTCTATTTGTATCAACTGTGAAAGGACGAACCTGCAATTCCTCCAACGACCATGGAGTAGAAATAACCCACCTAAGCACACCACTAAGATATATCATGTTAAACAATTATATGGTTCGAGATAGAGCTGAAACACAGGGATGAAGCATTATATTACCATGCCAACCACTTAACCGAAAAACAAGATCCGCGACTGTGCGGACGAGTCCTTTTGCCTCAACTACCGTTTTTCCACATTTTAGTCCATGCCACCTGGCTCAGGGAAAGGCGGGTAGAATTTCCTTAATGCCAGCCCTTCACATCCGGAGTATTGCAAGTAAAATATTTGTTAGAGGAGAGGGTCCTAGACTACCTATATATATCGGATTGGACATCCTTCGTTGCTTTCAACCGAGCATAATTGGTATTTTCAGACTATTGGTAGAATCACATCTTAGAGCGCTTCATTTACTAGTATCCAAGCATAGAAAAACCGAGTTGTAGATATAATCTCTGCGGAAGTCAAAGAGAGCATGAGAAACGCGCCATGGGACAACTGAGACCTAAATAGCCTTGGGGCAACAACTGCCCAGGGACTTATCCGAATATCAGTGGGTCACGCGAGAGCATCGGGGCCATGCCCGGCCTTTTTTTATCCTGTCTAAGACTCTGGAAATGGTCCGTTGGGTGGGCTATTACTGTTTCATCTCAGTGTTCTCTTTATTTCCTTACCCCTAGGGTTAGGCTTAAGGTACAATTCTCCGGAGTAACCCCGCCGTGCTGTTCTGATAAAATTGCACTTCATCTTCCAGACTTTGTCTTCAAAGTATCGGAGGCACGCGCATATCGTAAAATGGGTAATATCATAGCCGCGTTTGCTCCCTTGATATGCCGTGACCTCCGTCGACAGTAATGTCTACCGGTTGAGCTAGAATCAGACATGTAAAAGGGCGCATTCAAGTGTATACTGATTTGCCTCTGCATGGAGAATATGTTGAGGAATAATTGCCACGCTATTGGTGGGCCCGGCATGGGTTTAATATGCTGAGGGGCTCTTGGCGCATCGTCTCCTGTCTGATAGTGAGTCCGGATAATTTATCTTGGCTGACAAGGCTTGGCAATCTCCGCCTTTCTTAGGCTTGCGTGCCAGGAGCATGGATATATCAAGTGCTTGATTGACGGAGAATAGTAATTGAGGGTCCTAACTCTTACCCTCCGCTTCTGTGTTTAGAAGCCGTTTGTATTGTGTAGATTGTCGGCACACTGATTACTAGATGATCGAGATCTTAGCTATGGATATATAAATATGTCTAGGTCTCTCCTTAGGTAACAATGTAATTTTTTATCTTCATTCATTTCTGTATTCAACTCTTGTTTTGTAATATAATCTACTCCTTTTATTGTTTCATTTTGTTCATTTACCTGCAAAATGAAGGCTGTTCTTTCACTTACAGCCCTCCCGCTGCTGGCCAGCAATGTTTTGGGAATGCCGCTGCAGGATAGCAGCAATGTGAAGCGTGCAGATACCAGCGCGTGGAACCCTCCCAGTAATCTAGTGACCCCCCTCAATGAGGTAAACAATCTGTCCACTGCCTATATTAACATCGACAGTAATCGCTAACGTCGTTTAGGTCTGGGAGCATGAGACATCAACCTACAGTGACCCACTCGGATTCAAGAACTACGGATTCGACCAGGTCATCGACGGCAAAGGCAAGATCAACTACTGCGTGCGTTGGGACTCAACCAAGTCCGTCACTCAGGAGCAACGTCGAAAGGTCGAGACTGCCGTCCGGCGTTCCTTCAACAAATGGATTGAGAAGCTCGCTGGCTTTGATGGATTCCCTTATGACACGGTTGATGTCAACGTGGTCGGATGGGCCGTCAAGGATAAGTCCCTGCTGCAGGGTGATACCTCTGGCATCGAGGTGTATACCACCACCGACGAAAGTGGCACTCCCCAGTGCGATCCGGGCTGTGGACGCTTCTTCCACCAGGATAATGACTACAGTGCTTGTGCAGCTGGAGCTGATCGTCATTATGGTGGGTAGGCCCCTTTGCTATCGTGTTCCCGGAGCGCTCTGGCTGATTAATGATACAGACCAAAGCTTGTGGCTTACTGATGGTTTCGAGGGAGGTGCTGGTGGTGACTGGGGCCAGCGTATCGGGCAGGAGTACTTCATGCAGGATCTTGATCTCGAGGATATCCATATCTTGCTGCATGAGATGGGTCATACCTTTGCTCTGGATGGTTCGTTACCTTCTTCTTGGAAAAGATTTGAACACTGACGTCCAGATTCAGACTTCTACGATTGGACACCAACTGGCCAGACCAACTTCGTTATGCTGGCTGGCAGTGCAATGAAGATTACCGAGTTTGATGCATGGATGGCAAGAGATTGGTGGCGCCATTTGAAGTCGCGTTACAACCTCTAAGCGACAGCAAGTGTGTTGGTCTTACTAGCTTTTTAAACTTCCAGATACACCCAGGGTCTATGCTTCAGCGATAGGAGATCTCTAGTTATGGCGCAGGTGGTCTCATACTAAGTATCGCAATGTAGTTAGAAAATGTCTGATCTGCTTCATGGACGTATCACACCTACATTTTCATTAATCTCTACAGTATACGGTACTTGGGTTAGTTAAGGCATGCTTCTCATAGTGTAATATTTAGTATATCGCATAGATCTCAACTATCTTCTATACCTGCCTCCAGCGTCACGCCCCCTAACCTTCACGCTTCACCAAAGAACAGTTGAACTTAAAGGACTAGCATAACTCTAGATGCTAGTCGGCAAACGGCTTCAGGAGAGGTGATTTTTGTTTTGGAGTCATATTGAACCAGTATTGTTCAATTCTGTGATATGTGGCTCCGTCGCTCTAGACGATGTCTGCCTCTTGAACGGTCTAAAACCGGGGATATTTGAAACAGTACACCGCATAGAGCAAGAATTACAAGGGGTAACAAGACAGAAACGAGCAGCCTAAGTGAGTCATGATCAGTTAGGATAATCTCCAAAGTAGAGTAAGAATCGACATAGCATATCAGAACCGCGACCGCAATAATATCGTTCCCAAGCCAGACTTCTCCGTTATATATGACCTTTTCGCGGCAGCAAGAGGAAAGGAAACGAGCCACAAGACCCATATTATGAAGTAAATCACAACGAACCCAAACGTGACGCTTCTATCTCTAATTTTGTTTTGCCTGTAGAGGTGTAATAAATACACGACCCCGAACAATCCCACCATTGTCAATATTTAAGCGGATACGACGAAAGGGCTGCGGAATCTGATATATATCCCTCTTTCGAGCTTTCCTCAATATTTCTTGCAGCCAGGGGGTGACAGTCCCCACACCCTTATTTCCTTCGGTATTCCTTCCATGCTTCTGCCCGCCAAACGGACAGTCATTGTGACATGCGACTGATCTGAACTATCTTTGCAACGCGGTAGAGACACGCTTTTGTCACAGATACCAGTAGCAGGAGAACATATACAGGACCATTAGATAATGAGCTTCGCCCGTCTCAATCACTTCGGAGCGCAATATGAACAGACCCTGATCCATCCACAAGAGTAGAAGGTGGGCACCTATCCATCTAGAAACCCTTGCTTAGATTAAAAAGAACTTGGAAATCCCAACCAACCGGGTTTCTTTGATTCAGGACGTTGTCATTCTCGGGGTTTTGTTTGATTGGTTGTTCCTTGAAGCCGGAAGGCTGGCTTTAGCCGCGTTACTTTATACCCTCTTTCTAAGCTCCTTACCAATTGAGTACCTTTTATTAGGGGGGATGAGGCTCCATAGAGAGATTAGAGGTGATGCTATATAGGTTACAGCGCTGAGGGCTAGGTGAAATCGTACACTGGGTACACAACAAATTGTTTTCCAATCCATGCTGAACGCATTTTATGAGAGGTCTGGGTCAAGTCATGCGTACTATATTTTCTCTGCCTTATTCTTCTTATTAGCTTTAGGTAATAGTGGGTCTCCTTTAATTCCTTTAATTTCAAACGTCTTGGTGAACTCATGTCATTATATGGAATAAACCTTATGTTCATTTGCATTTGTCATCTTGCCTGACCCTCCACTTCTTCTATACCCACACATTCATACTATCCCAAGTCCTTTAAAAGATGCCTTCCCAGACAGTGTTGTCCCCAAAATATTTTAGAATGGGGAAAACATGATATTACAATGCCCTCAAACCATTTTCGACCAGACTTCAGCGGACAATGGTACATCTCCAATTCTCCATACCATCGGCTAGAGCGGGATAAATATACCAGTGGGGCGGTACTATAGACCAAGTATCTTGGCAACGTTCAATATAAATCCGTCTATTTCTGGCTTCTTGAACAGGCTAGCCGATGAGTAATTCAGAGAAACCTTCGGCAGTCGCATCATATTGAGGAGTTATCTTAATCTATATTCTCATAATGCGCGGTTCGCTTCCCACAAATTCATGATAAATTAATCCATACAAGATCCAACCGAAGTTATGCCAAGCAGTCCACAAAGGGCAAGCCGATCCTCTCCTTGATAGCCTCCAAGGCCTGGACGACCTTCTCATCCTCCAATTTCTTGGCAACAAGTTGTAGGCAGACCGGCGCATCTTGTTGCTTCTGCACATCGTAATGTTCATGGGCCCAGCTATCAAACTCATTACGAGGAGTGTATGTATTGTCCTTCGCATCGCGCCGGGGATCCACCTTGGTGACGGGGAAGACAATCGCTGGGTAGTCTAACAGGTTCCAGATAGAAGTGTATCCCCAATAACGAGAGGTGTCAAGCAGTGGAGCAGGTGTTGGGTATGCTGGGCACAGGATCACATCCATTTCTGGAGCAACCGAGTTCCATTCTGAAGATGTCAGTACGATTAGTTGACGGCAGTTGCTCAAGGTGTTTGCAAACCTTGCAAATAGGAGTAGCGGAACATTTCGCGCTTCAGAGTCCAGCCCCAGACTCCTTGTAGGTCGAGCTCTTCGATGCCGGGAGTATCACGAAGAGTCCAGGCTGTGAGCGGGACGTAGGGCTCTCCCGACAGGGCGAGATTCTTGGCGAAAGCCTTGCCGCCGTCTGGAGCGTAAAGTCTCGTCTGAATCATAATTTGTTAGAGACAATGCGTGCTAAGTATCTAACAAGGAGGAAGGATTCATTTGTTATAAGAAAACTTACCAGGATCTCCAGCGCTTCCTTCTGTTGGTATGGCTTCCACTCGATGACTTCGACATCAGGCAGTATCTTCAAACGCTCAACTGTCTCTTGCAAAGCTCTTGTGATTGGTGGTGCCGGTTTTACAATGCCATCGTCCCACATCACTCCTATAGTGAGCTTTTTCTTCCCATCTTGGTAGATGTGAGACTGGGTATCCCGCCATGGGATCTGGTGCAGTGTTAGGTCGCTGGTCCATGGCTTGGCAGCTAGTACAGTCTTCATGAAGAGATTGATTCCTCCGAGAGTGGGTGAGAGAGGGCCCAGCGTGCCTAGGATTGTCTCGCAGCCGATAACATAAGCGGCACATCCAATTATGGGAATTCGACTACATGTGGGCTTGAGGCCATAAAGCCCACAATTGGAGGCGGGAGACCTGATACTGCCCCCTGGGAAAGAAGTTAACTTTATGTAAGTACTTAGGTAATAGATTCGCGGCATACCGATATCTGAACCGATTCCTAAGGGGCTACCGTAAAGCGCTTGCAAGGCAGATTCTCCTCCTGAGGAGCCGCCGGGGGAGAGAGCCGTATTGTGCGGGTTGACAGTGTTCCCTGTGATGTTGCTGCAGGTTTCGAGCGCCATCTATGATGCGTGGTTGTTACTGGAACGTTCTACCATAGCCTGGATACTGAATGACTTACCAAGCCTTGTGGCTCAGTCGTCCTGGCGTATAGAACGGCACCTGCTTGAACCAGAATCTTGACAACATTCGCGTCTTCCTCATTCTTTCGACCCACCCAGCCAACGAAACCCGCTGTGTTGTCTCGTCCGGCAATTCCTACATGCGCTTTGATACTGATCGGTAGGCCGTGCAGCGGTCCCGAGGTCTTTCCATGTTCGGCTAAGTAATCGTCCAACTCTTTCGCACGAGCAAGGGCACGCTTAGGGAGGAGCTCATAGATGCAATTTGTCTATAGCCAGGGGCCAACGTTAGAATGGCCAAAAGAAGTCGATTAGCATAGGTTAGACTTTTCGCTCACCAATTTTTGGGCAATCGCCGCACGTCGCAGAAAGGCTGTTGTGACTACCGTTGCAGTAAGCTTCCCTGCAGCTAGAGAACCTACAAGTTCCTCAGCAGAAGTCTCTGTGATGGAAACCTCCGATGAAGAAAGGAGATCCCTGGGGACATCGAGGACCCGGCTGGGAAGCGTTTCAGGCAGTGCAGGAACAGGGGGCTCGACCCGAGCAATGGAATTATCTCGGTCGGCTTGCACCTGCTGGGAAATTTCCTGCCAGGTAGGTTTATCTTCGTGAGTCGCCATCTTTTCAAATTATCCTGGCGCAGACCACTTAGTCTCAGCTCCTATAGGCTTCCTTGCAAGTGAGCCGCCTTCAAAGTAGCGTTCAACGTAGGATCTATATCCTGATGCAGCGGACTGAAACCATCCATGCAGCAATCGTGCCTTTTCAATAGTTTATTTTCCCCCCTCAGGTTACATCGTTGCCGTGTGGTCAACCCACCGTGGGACTGTCCCCAAATTATCGTTTACCTGCACAACCTTTCTTTACATTTGCGAGTGGGTATTTTTCCTATGTTGGCAAGTCTCACGATGGCCTTAATGTCAAGAACGAGCTAGAACTGGGCGAGGGATAGAAAATTCAGTCAGGTCCCATGCAGATCCTCTGCCAAACTCAAAAACTCAAGGTGAAGCGGCCCAACGATCAGGATCCAACAGATAGTGTCGGAAAAGTTGGCGCGGCGCCAACCATGTTGAGCGATGTGGGGATGGAAGGAGCCGCTAATGCATGATCCTCGATAGGCGATGGATCCAACGTAATCAGTTAATCTGATGGCTGCTCGGCGCCTAAAGGCAGGCCTCCTGGGGGTGGAGGAGGTTACATCGTATTCTGGAGATCCAAGTAAGACTCTGCACATGTTCCTCAGGAAATCGTTTGTCTTCTTCCTTTATCAACGTTCCTCCCAAACACCCAGAGAGTTATGATGAAGTTCTTGTCCCTGAGAGACTGTATTGGCGCATGAATGGAGTCGCATGATGCCTCTGTCCACAAGGACCTAGGCCTGAGACTATGGATCGTGAACAGTATTTTCGTCGCGCTTGCCACTCTCGCCGTCATTGCAAGGTTCGTTGCGAGAAGGTTGAAAAATCTACCATTGGCCTCCGATGATTGGGCAATTTGCATAGCATTGGTATGTACTATAGATCTCACCTCCTTCCCACACTGCGACTAATTGCTATCAAGTTCCTTGACTGGATATTGTACGCCTTGTTCATTGCATGTAAGCGATAATCCCCTTTCTTCCATTTTGCGTAGTACTGACATGGTGTGTACCATTCAGGCAGGCAATATGGCCTCGGAAGGCACAGAGCGGTCGTCCCAGAAGCCGACGTCCTGGTGTTTCTGGAGTTGTTATATTACTTTCAGATTTTTTATATACTCGCCCCGCCAACCGTGAAGCTGTCGCTCTTACTACTCTATCGACGAATCTTCGTAAACTCTCGGTTCCTGAAGGTCGTGTATATAATGGGCGCTGCCGTCATCGTGTGGGCAATCGTCATGACCTTCCTCGCCATATTCAATTGTAGCCCTATCAGCGCGTTCTGGACGGGCCGGGGAAAATGCATTCCACTCAAAGCGTTTGCCATCGGATACGCCATTGTGAACATCCTTACTGATCTGGGCGTCTGGCTCATGCCCATCCCCAACATGTGGAAGTTGCAGCTACCCACAGCCCAGAAGGTCGCTCTCACGCTAATCTTTGTCCTTGGCCTTTTGTATGATCCTCTCTGTCTAACGCGTTGGCGATCGATCCACAAGGAAGCTAACATTCGGTGCGATCTAGTGACTGTGCAGCAGCACTCGTACGACTCCTTTCCTCCATGCTGGTTCTCGGCAACTGGGACGTAACCTATGACTACGCGGCCGGGTACATGTGGTCCATTATTGAAATTTCCCTCGCGATCGTCTGCACCTGCCTTCCCACCATGCGCGTGCTTCTGAAAATTATGTTTAGTAGCAAATTAGCTCGAGCGCTGGGGTTCTCCAGCTTGACTCCGAGACGCCCATGCTCCAGCAAGAAGCTTTGGAACAGATCCTCTCAGTACAATGAAATCCAAGGACCATGGACGGTGCGGCCAAATGCCGAGAGCCGACATCATAGCGATGTGACCACGGGAGCTGACAATGAGAATGGTGCTACCAGCGCGAAGGGGATCCGAGTATTAGAGGAGGTCAGAGTTGAGCTACAGCATATTAGAAGAGCGCATACGCCAACCTTATGAACGAAGAGTTCAACAGGATGATCATATTCACCCTACTGAGAGTGCCTAAGAGTTGGTGAGTGATCGTGTGGTGGGATTGAATGTCGTCGACCGAACTGACGGGGAAAGGACAGTACGGCTGAACTGTTATTCCTATAATACGCCACAGGGATGTGGCATAAGCAGCACGAGATGATCGCCCATGCCAAGACATACGATATTCTCTAGGTGGATGATTGCTGTTAAAGCCTCAAATACCCGAAGCAATCGTCCGTTGCTCTAGGTCTTACCAAATGACACACATTGACTAATACACTGATCTCTCCACGTTTGCTGTATAGCTGCTAGCATTTGCAACCAGTCATTACGATTCCCAGGGAGCAGACCTGCACACATGTAGTCCAGATTCTAATGCCCATAACAGCGCCATGCCGAAACCAGCGATGGCACCAGATGGACACGACGACCATTAACCATTTAATCTACCTTTTGTCTCATCGAGCGACGCTCGTCGCGTAGCCTTTAAATGCTATATAAATCACGATGGGAGCCACAGACGAAACTAGCTACCGTCAGTGAATGGCGCCATGAGCGGGGTCTGTCACACCAGAGCTCGTCATGCAGGCTTTCCTTATTGACCAGTGTATTGATTGTTGGCCCTGAATGTCAGTTACTCGTTAGACATGTTGAGTGGATGTCTTTCCCGACATATAAAGATCACCGTGTAGTAATCCTGGTCGCACTGTGGTAGAGGTGGAAAACATGATTTTTCTGTCGTTTGAACAACCCTTACTCGGCCATTTCTCCTGGTCTTAGCCGAGCTAGCTCCTACCCACAGATCCTCAAAGGCTCTCAGCATTCCTCAGTCTGCCTTCATCTATAGTGGGGAGACGAACATGGATGAGTGGTAGACCTTTATTCTCGATGCAAGGTGTTAGTAGGATCCATTGCAAGGATTAAACGTAAGGGCTCGAGCATGCACGTGAGCAGGCAGTTCTCGGGTAAAGCGTGCCGATAATAAGGAACGGACCTATAATTCGGTAGATATAAGGCCCCACGGGGTATGAACTCGGTCATCCCCGCTGCGGGGAGTCGGAGGATTCCCGCCAATTATTAAATACGATCCTTGCCCTTTTTTACGCCTTCTCCAATCATTATCGGAAAATATTTAGACGAATAGACATGGGAATGGGAGAAAAAACCTCTGCGCAACTCTATCAAAAAGATGATCACATTCAACCTCCCGATCAAAGGTTGCAAGAGACTACAGCAGCGGGAGCCGAGGATGCGTCTCCACCCGAAAGTACAGAAGGAAAGCCAATACTCAACGGCGGTATGGAAGCTTGGTTGAGTGTGGTGGCTGCCTTCTGCGTTTTTGTGAATACCTGGTATAGACAATCAATTCCTTCGCCCCATATATCACTGCTATCGATACACTAACCCGGCCAATGCAGGGGCTTGATCACCACGTTCGGCGCTTTCCAAGAGTATTACCGCACCGTACTCCTGCGTGAGGAGTCATCCTCCGCCATCTCTTGGATCGGCAGCATCCAGGCTGCTCTGATTGTTATGGTCGGCATGATAGCGGGTCCGTTGGTAGATTCAGGATATCTACGCGTACTGATTGTGTGTGGTAGTTTCCTCATCGTCTTCGGGATGATGATGACTAGCATTGCTACGGAGTACTACCAGGTAGCTTCCCTCATTCATAAATGTTATAGCCAGTTCTAATCCTTCATTGACAGGTACTCCTTTCACAAGCATTCTGCGTCGGGCTAGGCGGAGGTGTCTCATATATTCCAGCAATAGTAGTTTTATCCTCGTTATTTACGACCAAGCGGCCAGTGGCCATCGGCATCGCATCAATTGGCTCTAGCGTCGGCGCAGTAATATTCCCCATCATGTTCCGCCGACTACAGCCAAAGATCGGATTCCCATGGACCGTCCGCTGTATCGGGTTCATCAACCTGCTCATGGTGACAGTGACATGTGCGATCCTATGTCGAAAGCCGGGAAAGAAAACACGCGCGCGAAGCTTAATCGAATGGACAGCGTTCAAGCAGCCCGCATTCATGCTCCTATCGCTATCTCTGACATGCGTGATGCTCGCATATTACGTCCCGATCTTCTATGTCGCGACCTATGCCCGGGTGAAGTTGCACACGGACACGAACCTGTCCTTCTACCTGGTGTCCATCATCAATGGAGCCTCGGCATTCGGGCGAACGGTCCCGTACCTGGCTGGCTCTCGCATGAACCCGATTTTCGTCCTGATTTCTTGCACCGCCGCGTCGGCGGTCGCGATGTTCACCTGGATTGCAACCAGTAACACCGCAGGATTCATTGTCTGGGCCTGCTATTGGGGTTTTCTGAGTGGAGTACTGGTCACCGCACCGACGTCCATTGTCGCTCACCCTGTTTTCACACCGGATAAGAACTACCTAGGCACTCGAACGGGGATGATGTGGGGAATAAGCTCGATTGGTTCGTTAGCTGGAGCGCCCATTGCTGGAGCCTTAGTCGACCTTGAAAATGCGAACTTTATACGGTCACAGGCGTTTGCGGGCAGCTTGATGGTAGCCGCTGCTCTCTTGCAAACATGGCCGACAATCGCTGCGTTCAGATATGATCGAAATAAAGGTCTAGAGGCCAAGTAGTGGGAGAGACGCAACCAGGAGACAGTTCTATTATTTCTCACCGTATATAAAGTCTACGGAACTATCATACCACTTAATTTCGGATCCATCATTACAAGGTCTATGTACATACATCACCACCACATAAAATCAATCTCGATAATTAATAAAAATAATCTTACGCGGCTCTTGCAAAGTAAGTGAACCACGAATCGTCTCCTTATCCCGATAATAACCATCATAAACCCCGGTCCACATAAACCGATCCGCACACATAGACTTATCAAGCGTCTCCACGACATCATCAAGCGGCTTCCAAGGCTTCGTCAACGGTCAATTACTAAAGTGACCAAGATATGCGCTCGGCCATAGCATTCCACTCCTCATCCTTATCTTCCGCCATATTCTGCTCACGGTCCGTACCCCGGAATTCGCCCGTGAGCAATGCCAATCTATGATGGGGCAGAAATCATAGTCGAGTCTGAACAAGTGATTCAGGACCTCCATATCAAAGTTGCCAGACGATTTCGCCTCGTCCACAATACGATTATAGTTACCCTGGTTCGGCTCGACGAGCATGGTGTGCGATGCGAGGATCTGGTCTTTCGCCGATGCGTCTTTATAGTTCAGCCAGTATGCGCCGGGGGGTGTCAGTGGGGCGAAGAAGTAATGATCCATGTTGTTCTGGAATATGGGGCCAGAATTGAAGACGAACACACGAGGGTGCTCTATTGGAGCGAAGGTTAGGAATTTAGTCAGGCTCTCGTGCCAGGTTGGATCTCCGCTGGAGGTTGAGACGGTTTCGACAGCGCGCAGCTTAATTTTGGGGTATTGAGCGTGGATCTCCTTTAGAATTTTGTGTTCTTGGCGTGTGTTGTCCTGTTGATTAGCATCCTCGAGTTACTTATTGAATTAAGGGGTTTATAGATGGATAGATACCCACCTTCTCCCACCCGTGCCGATGGATGAGAACCTGTTCATACTGCGCTGCGAGGCGATCGAGACGGGCAAAATTCATCCTCAAGTGGCCTGGCATAAGTTCTCCCCGCTACTAATATGATATATCTGCTTTAAAGGCGTGCCTTTACCGCGTTACAAAGATATGACATTAGGCACTTTTTTCGTTCACATTTGTTAGCCCACAAGTTGCATGCATGCATACGGACCATGCCACAGGCCCGGAGAGGGACCTTTTGTAGGAACCGCGAAAAAATTTATTGCTGTAAGACAATGCCATTTGTACAACATGTAGAAAAATGAAATCTAGCTTGGAACAATAGATACCACTGTACCTAATTGCCCCTTGCATTCCCTTGACCCAATGCAATTCAAGTAAATTATGGTCACTGTGGTAGCTGTTGGACAGGAAATAATCTCATTCGCAGGCTCATACTAGAAGACTAAACTGAAGAAGAAAAGAAAAGGTAAATAGGTCAGGAATGATATACCCGCCATATGTTACTTGCAGTCTAGGGTTTCTGTAAACTAAATATTGACCACTTTCCATACATGCACTTTGCTCTGGGATATACTTTCTAGTTCTTAATCACCTCACTGCCTATCGGCGCTTCTACTATGATATAAACGTATAACTATGCATAACATATGATGTTATTTGCATGTTCCTGGATGGCACAGTGGTCAAGATACTAATTGACTATATTATTAATGCTTTGAATGTGTTCTTTTTATCGGACATGTCTTTTTATGCGGTGAAGAGCTGAGCTGAAAGTCCATAGTACACTATTCTTGCAGTATGTAGCTTGGGGTGTTAATCCAACCCTTCAATCCCCTTTTTGATATTCTCACGGACCGGGTTCCAGGGTTTTCCATAGACTTCCTGTAGCAAGCCCTCCGCCCGTTTAAGAAGCAAGATGGTGGCTTGATCCCATATATCATCACTGATTGGATCAGAGATGACTGTATTGTTAGGAAGTAGCTGCCGATAATGTCAAACCAGCTCAAGTTCTCTCCAAAGGCGAACATTCCTCGATATTAGCAACTTGCTAGCACTATCACTACCGCTAGGCATGTATGATAGTACACCCTGTGTTATTGTGTAGTTAAACCTTATCTATTAGTAATAATTCCCTGATGTTAAGTACAAGGCGTTACACCAAGTCGGGAGGTCAGCAACTCAAGACATTGATATTTCTAATAATCACAGAGCGATCTCAGAGGGGACTTCCTTGAGAAAACTAAACCAATCCAGTGTTTGATAATCGGCCAGAACTGAACTACCATAATCAATTCATCTCATCCCTACGCCGAGAAGCCAAGTTAGCCGGCCGCCGCCGAAAGTTATGTGTATTCCCCTCTTCATCATGCGCTTTCCCCATTCCCGCCATCATAAACCGGGATAAACACTGGCGGAACAGATGGGCACAGCTCCTCCATGGTCCGACTCCCAAAGCTTATATAGAGCCACCATAAGAATCCAATCCCCACCCGCATGAGCCCCAAATACCGCGGACTATCCTTTCCCTCAGGGTTATACCGCCCGTCAACCATGCCAACAAACCCGTCCAGCCGCGTAAACCGATCCTTGCTGTCTGGCTTAGGACAGGCGATAATTGACTTCAGCGACCGTTCATCAGTGACCATACAAGCTTCGGACAGGCCACAGCCCCCATACGCCCCAAGCTTAGTCTTATGAAGATAGTCAGCGAAGTGGCGACGGATCGGCTCGATCCCGGCGCCGTCCCAGCACCGCTTATCAGAAACCACAACATCCCTATGCGATTCCTGCACTAATTGTTCAGGGCGCGGATTATCGCTGTAGCGTTCCGGGTCCCTACGGAGATCCTGCTTGATCTCATAGTTCATGAAACGAGAGAGCTTGGCCGTCGCGAGGGGCCATAACTCGTCGGACTCGGCGGTACAGACAGTGCGGTAAATGATATAGCCCCAGGGAAAGCAGAAGGACGCATTCGACCACAAGAAGTCGCGGGATAGACGGTCTGAGTGCTCGAACTAGGACACCTTCATCCAGGCTCTCATAGCTTTATCGGTAAAATCTGGGTGGAACCAGCGCTTGCACCAGGCTGGATGGTGGTAGAAAGAGTTTTCGTCTAGTTCAACTTGGTTATCGATTGAGGGTTGTTCCAGGGTGGATGTGGATATAGAATTCATGCCTGGATTATAAAAAATCACACAATATCCAAAAAAAAAAAAAAAAAGCAGGAAGATAGCGTAGTAAATTAAGTAGAACTACATCCTATAGGAGAGGAGTGTCCAGGACTAGATATTGGGTTGAGACTTGTGCAGTATGAGAGTCTTTGGTACTCCAGGCATTGGCCTAATTGGGCTGCTGCCTGGAAGGGTCATTTCTTCTGAGAAAGTACCCAAAACTCCAGTGTTTTATCACTCCTATATTTCGTTCAAGTTTATTGATGGTTAGTTCACTCCGAATTGCCCTTTGTCTTCTATATTGAGATAGGAACCTAAAATTCCCTTTCCAGTATGGCTTGGACGTAGTGGTTGCAGAATTGCCTCCTTTTCAGGTTACAGGTTACGCGATCACTTAAACATGGACGCGTGTTCTGCATATCCGCCACGACCATTAATCTGCAAGAACACAGCACGTGACACCATATATTTTAAATAAAAGACCAAGCCATTTGAATTTCAATTTCTGATTTCTTCACCCTCAAGTCATAAACTATAAGCGGTTCCTAACTGGTTTTGAACTAAGACATGCCTCTTTATAAGGAGGTAGCTTGAGGCGACCATAGTGCTAGGCGTACTTTACAGTAGCCTGCGGATCAATATAGTAGCACGCGAGGTCACGTGCTACCCGCCATGTTGAAAACCCTCCCGCACCCCACTAGCTTTAGAAACCGGTGATCAACCTATGTAGAAGGTAGTCTAATATACGATCCTGACCTGCTCCCACTATCTGCGGCGCCATAGCACGCTATTCCTGACTACCTGCGGGATCCTGATATCGCACCCTAACAGGTAGACCCACTCTTACCCAGTGTTCCATATATCCTTTCTGTAAGGGATAAGACCCGCAACGTTCGCTAGACTATCGTAGCTACCAAAACATGAAGAAAACGCCGAAGAAGAAAGGAAGAAAGGAAGAAAGAAAAGGGGGCAATCAACAAAGGGTGAGTCCATGAGGTATGACTGTACTACGTAGTGGAAGGAGGGACAAAATACACCGCAAGATAAACAAACGAGGGCCAACGGCTCGAGTATTCTCACGGGCTTCGGCTCGCTACACTTTCAACCAAAATGGAAATAAGCACAAGGGGAAGAACAAAATACATTGCAACTCAAAATCTAATTGCCTAGAGGGTCTTGAGAGCTGTAATTTTGCAGTTTCAGGATCTGCGATAGAAATAAGAACCCCAGAACAATGGGAAGAATCTTTAAAGCAACCCGTCTAAAGCCGACTTTACTACCCTCATAGACAAGCGATCCAACAAGGTCCCGAGGATGACGGCGTACGGAATCAGGGAAACCTGTTCTTTCAATATGCTGTGGGTATCAGCGGGCATACCATCGAATAACTTTTTTCCAAAAGCCCCGTTCTGCTACCTTAAATAAGAAATAAATTTGAATTCATCAAATTAAGAGTCGTTCGAAGCCCTCTCGAAGCCTTGGGTCTTGGACACTACGCGGAGATCCTGTCGAGGTCCTGTAGACTTCAGTATATATATAGAGAGGCAATATTGGCTTCTTTCCGAGGAATGTCTTAAACCAGTCCTAAGGCTACGCCATTGCCAAGCACTATTAAAGTATCATGCTGCTAATAGTTTTCTAACTTATGTGTATAGTCTCCATACATGAATTGACCTACTCCAACTCACCATTTCAAAGGACTCATACTTCCCTGTCCGAGTGAACGGACGGATGAACTCACCTCTCCCCTCTAGCTTCTTGCGTTTTCTGTTCTATAGAGGGGTTTAAGTTATTGACGAGCACATCTTGCGCTAAATCTTGTGTATTAACCGCCCAACCCAGCTGGGGATAATCTCCTGGTACCAGCTCCTCGACATCTGCAGCCCTGCGAGTCTAAGGCGGAGAACGGGTGAGCTCTTCAATCCGTATCTTCGGCTGAAGCAGTTGTTGAGAGTGGAAGAAAGCCCGTTGCACACGTCTGCTATCAACCTCGCTGTGTACCGGGCGCTTCCTTTCGCCCTTTCGGCTGGTATCTCAAGCGCATCCCAACCGACACCAAGGTGCGTACTCAAAACGACGACTGCACCAGTTGGGTGGGGAGAGATCGCTCCGTCGAGATCTTCTCCAGAGCAGTAATATCCTGTCCCAATGCTTCGTAGTGTAGGTTATTGCAAACCATAGTGGTGACTTCTGCAAGACCACAGTACTGAATTAATTCTTTAAGTTTCACCTCTGGTGCCGTCAGTCCTCGTTCGGCTGGACGCGTGGTATACGAACAGTTTTTCCTCTGCTGAAGAGCGTACAGCTTGGTCATCCTGTCGGGGAAACCATTTGGGAGTTGCCGCGGGTTGCCAAGGGTGTCATAGGCATGTCGTAGACTAATTAATCGGTGTGGGTAGTTCACCGGGCGAGCATTCCGGAGAAAATATCTCCAAAGGCAGTTTGATGCGGCCTCCTTGACCGTAGATCGTCCATCCTTTCTAGGGCATGGTGGGTCGTGTCGGCGGATTTTGGTAGTCTTCTGTTACACCAAGTGGGGTTCGGGGCATCCCTAGATACGCCACAGTCAACAGTCGAATAGACACTTTTACTGAACTATGACAGGGGCCTTTGATAATTAAAAACTATCGACAGTGTGTTGATCTAATTAGGCACCCGTAGTTGTTGCCTGAAATTCCTCCTATATTGTCTAGCAGAATAATGACACCGATGTGGACACCGCCTATTACAAGCAACTGGTGCTACTGATGATAATCAAACAAAACAAACACATTGTCAAACAAGTCGGGCGCCTGCCCTGCCTTTCACGGTTTCCATCAACTCCTTCTGAAATTTCAGAATCAATGCTCAATGCTATGTTAAATTATGTAGAGAAACCAATGTTTTGTCTGCTTTCCAGAGCAGAAATGCAAGTCCAGCGCTCTATCTCTATATCTGGACCCAGTCATGCGGAAATATTTCAAATCATTTCAAGTCAATCGCAGCAACCAGCGCATCCATGGCAGAACTATGTGTGGACGCGTTCACCTGGGTAGCCGGCCCGGTCCAATTGACGCCGAATTGATTCTGGTCGTTGCGATCATTCTGCCAGATACTGTTGGCGGACGCGTTGATCACCTTCGCATACGTATCGTTTGGGGCAACGGAGTGCAGGAGCCTCAAGTTTCGGATAAAGATACCTTTGAACTGCGTCTCGTTACTGTCGCAGTTGTCTGGCTCGCACGACTCATGGATGACATCGTTACTGTCGGCCAAATAAGCGATCGAGGCTTTAGCAATCTTTGCTGCGGCATCCAGGTCCGATTCGTTCTTGGCTGCCCGGTGCAATTCGGCGAGACCTCCTAGAACAATGGCTTGATTGTAGGACCATCTGTGGGGGCATTGTTAGTTCTCTTGTTTCAAGATGCGCATGTGATGATATAGTATTAAAGACTTACATCGTCCCTCCGTTGTTCTTGCAATCGTTGGTTAATCCGTCGTTGATGGTGTTGTTGGAGTTGATCATTCCACTATCCTTGAACCACTTCCATTGACGTCGGGCCCAATCGATATAAACGTCGGGATTAGATGCGCGGTTGGCTAGATGCGCCGCGAGCGAGAAGAACAGCTCGTTGGTAACGGCGTTCACATAAACATGTGTAAAGTCCGAGTCAATTCCGCCGTTGCCACACTTTGATGGCCAAGCTTGGCTCTAAACGGCGGATTAGCAACAATGTCCTGTAGGATAAGAGATACGAGATTCTCACCAAGTGCTCAAAAATGCCGATCGCTAAATCTAGGTAATCCTGAATTCCTGTGACATCATACGCGGCGATCCAAGCCAGCGCCCACCATGCGTCGTCGTCGTAGGAACCATCGAGCCATTGCGAGGCGTCGACCGAGCGTGCTTTGCGCTGGGCGGCGGTCGAATAGTAGGAATCATTATTCCGATCGGGGAATGGGTTGGACACAGGCCCAACATTGAAGGTATTCGCGAACACGCCTTTCACAGTTTCGTTTACCGACTCGGAATCGTCGACCAGCGCTAGGTCGGCCAACACGGTCATGCAATTGGCCCCGTTCCACCACCCGCATGTATTCCAGATACCCGTGGACGGGTTATACCAAGTCTGCAGCGTGGTAAGGGCGGTTTCCGCCCGGGACACGGCCGTGTCTGCGGCGACGCACGACACCAGAAGCAAGGGGGCCAACAGCGACCGGGATACAGGCGACATTTTTTGGTGTAGAAAACGAAGGATAACCAGTCAACCCCCATCGCCGCTTCTTGAACTTCTTATATGGCGACAGAAATTTCAAAAATGGACCCTCGGCCAATGCAGGAGCCAAGAGGAATGGCAAAACACATAATCGCGCAGGTAACCTGGAACCAGGGGTACATATGCCCTCAGGCATTCTGGAATCAATCAGATTGCCCTGTCACATCCCTGCGATGGACTGAATGGAGCAAGCCCCATTCTTGGGGACCCATTTGTCGATACATCACTGATCTGCCGCCGTTGTTGCCGAGCTTATACTTCAGCATTGGCGCACCGCTGCCTGTTCCTGACATTGTACCTGATGGGTCCTGAATATCCTTTCCTTATTTTGATTATTGAACCATGGTTGGAACCGCCATGAAGTTTTGCGTTGCCACGAACTCCGGCATTCCGAGGTTTTGATGTAGCCGGGTGACTTGTGGATATATTGGTCGAGTTCTTGATGACCACCTATCACAAGAAAAAAAGAACCCCTAATCCATTCAAGGTTACCAAGCCCTGAGATTCCAATATCCATACATCGACTGAAGTCAAGGAATCCAAGGAGAGAGATTCACCAACTGACTCCAAGGGGTACGTGGTCAAATATCAACACAATTCCAGTCTCGACCGGAACCTTTCCATGGTTCACACGAACTCAAATCCATTTTATTCCTCAGACTCGGCTTTAGTTCGCGATTACAATACCATAGTGGATGCGCCGATTAGTTCAGCTCTTGGCTTCTCGACGTTCTGGACTGAATTGGAGTAGCCCTAATGTGGGTATTTTCTGAATTTTCCACGAGCTTGAAAATTGCTCACATGCGCTTTCTGTAGAGTGTTAGCAGGTTTTCCCCCTTGTTCGAACTGGTTTTGAAGCCACTTTCTCTGTTTATTTTAGTATTATTTTTTTTTCCCTTATCCGTATGGACCTTCATTATATCTCACTAGTTCTTCTCTCTTCTTTCCTAGTGCATAGTCACCTAGCCTAAAATATACAATTTGTATCCGGGAAGATCACCAATCCAATCCCCACCCCATTCACAACTAGTCCAAATCCCACCACAACTGCGGATCGAATAATCCCCATCACAGTAAAGAACCCATTCCCCTTGTAGACTAAATCTAAAACACGTCGACTTTATTCCAACATCAATGAAGTCCTTCCATTGATACCGGAGCCAGCGGATCTGTTCTCAAAAAAACCCCGATATGACGTGCTTTCGGTATCCGATGAGCAAGACAAAACCCACACCACTGATTGGCGCCCGACGTATAAATCCAGTGGGGAGTCAATCTCGTCTACTCAATAGCTTCCAGAATCTACCCAGTAAGAACAAGTAGAGCTCCCTTATCGAACGGGGGCTAAGCGTGAGTCAAGCATCGTATATGGCCTGGGAAAGATTTAGAGCAAGGGGCGCACGGCTATGGGCTATTGCGTCATCGCGCTAGCTTGGGTGTCGTAGTGATAAATCAAGCTATCGTCCCGAGTTCAGGTCTGGGGTATTGTTTGAACGAAGAGCTTGCGGGCATTGCAGATATGGTTGTTGATGCTGGTGTAGTGGCTCGTCCTGATTCCTCTGAGGGGGGTGGGAATGTGTCGGAGCAGGCTTACCGGACTATTTCGGAATATGGCGATCGACGGCCGAATGTCCGTGGGGATGATGAGGAAAGTGCTTTGCTAGCTAGTCCGGTCGCTAATGGAGAGCGCAGAATTGAGGTAGGGAGCAGTGTTGGCACCGTTGTGGCTGTCTTGATTCTTGGTTAGATACCTTCGCTGCTAGGAGTAAAATGGGTGATTAGGGAGCTGACGTGTGATAGGCGAATTTATCTCGAATGCCGATAGCACGTTAGTTATGGCTGCAACGGCAAGGATCACGTCCGAATTTAATCGGCTTCAGGATGCTAGCTGGTTATCGACTGCATATACTCTGGGGGTGTGCGCTGCGCAGCCGATGTACGGCAAACTGAGCGATATCTACGGGCGGAAAGCACTTTTACTGGTGGCGTATACTCTCTTTGGTTTTGGATGCATTGTCTCGTACGCTCTGACCGGGTGAAAATGCCCGCGCAGATGCTAACATGTGGCTGTATAGCGGGCTTGGTAGAGACCTTTGGTCGGTGATCGCGGGCCGGGCAGTGAGTGGAATTGGAGGTGCTGGTATCATGACCCTCGGGTCGGTCATCATCACCGGTATGTCCTCTGTGAAGATTGACAAGATCTTTGCTTCTGACTGTCATTATAGATATTGTTCCCCGACGTGAGGTGGCCTCATGGAGAGCATATATCAATATCGCCATGACTCTGGGTCGCAGTGCCGGAGGTCCGGTCGGTGGATGGTTGACAGATGCGATCGGATGGCGCTGGTATGTCCACCTGTAACGCCGTCTTAGAGCTTCCCTAACCCTGGATTCCTGCTGGTACAACAGGTTATTCCTCCTGCAGACCCCATTCATCGTGATCGGTGGTTTATTAGTGATCGCGAAACTGAACATCAAATATCACGCCGCATCCAAGGCCTCCATCCGCCGCCGGGTCGACACCCTCGGAGCGACATTGCTCGGAACATCGGTAGTAGCTATCATCATGCTCCTCGACCGAGGAGGCCACGCCTTCCCCTGGATTTCACTCTTCTCCTTCTTATTAGGCAGTATCGGTCTAACGCTACTCACGCTCTTCATCTACGTCGAAATGCGCCTCGCAGCCGAACCAATCTTCGACCTGCGCATCCTCTCCCGTCCCAACGTAGCATCCAGCTACACGATCGGCTTCCTCCAAATCACCAGCCAACTCGGCATGCTCTTCTCCGTCCCCCTCTACTTTCAAGTAACGCAACGCGCGTCTGCAACCGTCGCAGGTGGACATCTCGTCCCGACCGTCGTCGGGAACACAATTGGAGGTCTATTAGCAGGCAACTTCATCCGCCGAACGGGTCACTACAAGACACTCCTCGTCGGAGGAGGGCTCGTCGCGGCCGTGACCCACGTTCTCCTGTTCACGCAGTGGGACGGCCGCACGAACTTTTGGGAATCCTTATACATTATCCCCGGGGGTATGGGGACTGGCATCGCGTCGGCGTCTGCGTTCGTCGCTATGACTGCTCTTCTTGAGCCCCAGGATATGGCCATGGCAACAGGGGGTTACATGCTTATTACCAGTTTTGCGATGACGACGGGGATCACGATGACGAATACGGTTCTCGGGCTTGGGTTTAGACATCAGTTGGAGAGGAATCTGCGCGGTCCCGGGGCGGAGAAGGTGAGTTGGTCTGATTGCTGTCTGTTGGATAACGGGGTTCGCTGATACTTGTAGATTATTCACCGGGCGACGTCGGATACAAATTATATTGCTAAACTGGAAGGGAAGATTTGGGAGGTTGTAGTGGACTGTTTTGTCGCTGGGTTAAGGAATACTTATTGTGAGTTCTGTTCTTTCTCGCGGGCGAGGAGGTGAATACTAATTGTTGGGTAGTGATTTGTTTGGTGCTCTGTATCTTGGGATCGTTGCTTGCTTTGACGGTTCGTCATCATCGTTTGTAGAAGACAAGGGGGGATCTGGCAAGTGTGGGATAACCGATGACTTTAGTTCTCCTAGTTGTGTTATTTGTTTTCTCCAAATCCAGCTGGTATGTTCTCTGCTGTAGAGAAGGGAATTAGCAGCACATGGGGTTCTACTAGTGATTGTCTTTCACAGTTAGGGCAAGTGTTGTGATAGCTTACCAGACTACATACAGCTAAGGAGTCCGTCGATACCCTTAGGTACAATCCACTCCTGATCACCGTAGAAAATATCTCAAGAGAGAACAGTAAGTAAAAGGACTAAGGGTATTGTCTATGGACGGGCCACCCGCCGCGTATAAGATCAGGATCCACGGTTGGCTCTAGCGTCCCCAGATCCCTGCTACGATAACGTAACGTGAAATATCGACTATAAAGATTGGCCCACATTTGTGACAAGTTCGTTATTTACCATGCTAGGATAGTTTGTAAGGCTTTCAATTACCCTCCTGTCATATGTTTTACGGATCCATAACACTAACTGCTTGGCAAACCGGCGCTTCCAGCGTCTCAGGGTCCATGGGCGCTAACACACTGGGGTCATCTCACCAATGGCCGACTATGTGTGATAGATCGACAGCACGGCAACTAGTCCAGCGTACTAAAGTACTAGCACCTTCGGGTATAAATATCGCTTGAGCAGCTGCTAGGAGCAGCGTCTTCACGCTCACCACTAGATATGAGACTAACTACAGTTGCTTTTCTAGGCAAGTACTCAAATCACAATATTTTGCAAATATCAACAGACTAACTGAATGCTCAGCCGTGAGCAGGTTCTGAAGTATGTATATTTCGCCGTCGCACCCAATGGAGCCGCAGAGACCAGAAACCGACTACGAGCGATGGCTTCAGAGGCAGGGCGCGAACTTCGGGCCAGGGAAACGGCCACTCTATGGACCGCGCATGGAAGGTCTCGATGATAGTGCAACGAACAAACACTACTTAAATCATGGAGGGGACAGTTCACTATCTGATTCTCACAGGCAGGCCACACCACATGGCTATTTTATCCAGCCGCAAACATCAGGCGACTCTCTCGTGCCCGAAATAGGCCGAAGCCCCCATTTCAGCAGCCACACAATTTTATGCAGCGTCATACTGTCCGTCTGTCTCACTCTTGTCGCTATAAAGTCTGCAAAATTATTTCAGACAAGGCGTCGCCGAGGCAGGATTCTATTGTCTGATGAAAATACTTCCACAACATATGAAAAACGGGACATGTTTTAGTCGCATCATTTGATGATGGTGTATAGCGAATACATTTTGATGGAGACCATTCTTTCGGGCCAGCGGACGCTGCGGGTAGCGGATTGTGTTGGGTTTGCTGGGTAACACAGCCCCGCATTACAGCCATATTGTGCATGATGGATTGGTTTGTACAAGCTTGGCCGGGTTTATAGCAATCTTAACGGCCTAATACCATTTGCATGTTGATGGAACTCGCCTCCATCTCTCAGTAGCGACTGGATAATACCGACCAGAACTAAGGGGCTGCCTAGCTCCGCGGGATGGCACCCACCTGATATTAAACTAGAGTTTGTGATAGATAATAATTCACATATGACTGAAGAACCCTTAGATTAGTATGCTCCCGCTCTTTTAATGCTGTCATTCCCTGCCTCATTTTCCTGCGTGGTAATATTAATGATAAATGTCGACGGGGACGACTTCGGGTTGAGGTGCATGTAGGGCAGAGTTTTCTCTCAAACGAAGCGCCTAATTGCCCCAGATAGGAGTGTTCCGAGATATGAAACACGAAAGTCAGATAACAGTTAGTGGCATCCTTTTTGTGTTTAAGCGCATTGACCCTATAATATGGGGTATAGGGGCCCACTCAGGGGGACTTGTAGTCGCACCTTGGGGTGCGGGTCCCCATTTCCAATCCCCCAAACCAGATGCTCTGAGACTTTAGAGTAAGCTCAATAGACTGTTATATACCGACTGGGGTTCTCTATGTCGAGCAAAAAAGTCCAATACTTATAAATTAGGAATTCCCTGCGACGTGTGAGTATTCGAAGTCTTATTTCCTAACCGCGAAATCAACTAATATTAACGTGCAGCACAGTCTTACCGAGAAACATATGCGAAAGCGCATAACAAAATGGCTCGCATGATCGGTGACAGACGATCATTTCTACAAGGCCACAGGCCTAAGACCGACTATGAGCGATGGCTCGAAGAGCAAAATAAAAGTTATCAGACCGCACAAACTGCAGAATACCATCCATCGATTTCAGGTGTTGAGAACCAAAAACCTGTACTCTCCCGCTTATCAGACAATATACCGGGGGCCGAAACTGGCTCAACTCATCCAGACGCCATACATTTACGGAAAGACGGTTCTCATGGGTGGTTTATACATCGGTTGCATACACGCCCGACCGCAATGCAAGGAGCAGGTGCTATCACTGGAATTTCCAATGGGCGATTCTCCTACCAGCTAGTCCTACTGTTGGTCATGATTATTGCTATATTGCAGATGTTCAGGATTTTTCGAAAACGACACCGTACGGCAAGCGTGGATTTAACATGCGTACCTGTCGGGTACATCGATGGAAAGCACCTCGTCTAAGCAATGGCCCTAACCGCTCTGCCGGTGGAATTATAGCAAAACCCAAGCAAGGTCATATTGATTAGTGTTAGTCGTACGGCGCAGCGGCGTTTATCCGTTTTATTCCTTGAATCTGAGCGTAACCCCCCCCTTTTTTTTTATCTTTTTATTTCTTTATGTGACCTTTTTTTTTTTTTTTTTTTTTTTTTTTTTTTGTTCTCTCGCCGGGAGTTTCACAATAACCCTATTAGACTACCTAGCTCGTCTAAAAAACGAGAATTCTAACAACAACACTAAACCCACAAGAGAAGGTACGAGCAGTTCGCTCTGATTGGCCCGGAGACCACGGCCTGTGCCGGATTGGATTTAGTATTACTTAGCCACAGTCAATCCTTGGAATACATAGGAACTAGGTACTACTGCGTAAGGATGCGCAATCTTCCTCCAGGTTGCAGTTATTGATTAAGCGCCCGTTGTCCTTGACGGGGGTCGGATGGAACACTCTGGTGAAATATGGTGCGCGAGGAGGGTCCCAAGCAGGGACTGGCGAGCCCTTGGAGCTTGCGGCTGTATGTGTACGCAAGTAGTACTGTACTAGTAGGTTAGGGGCATACCTTTAGATTGTAGTGGACCAGCTTCTGGTGCGTTGTTGCACGTGGCTTTTGGGAAAAGAAGCTCAGAAAAGTCAGGGAAAATAATGCAGCGATAATTATGGCTGGTTCGTTGTATATGTGGCGAGAGTTTGGCAATTGATAAGCGTAACATATCCCTAACTTCTCGGCATTGGCACAGGGATGTGGGAGCTGTTCATTGAACTAACTATGGATTTAGCTTGGTTTGGCGGCGGCAGGGTCGAGGGTTTACTACTTATAGTAACAGTTCGTGCAGACCACCGAGCGGCAGGGGAAGTTTTCTGAATGGAGGAGATTTAGATTGGATATAAGAACCACTTGATGCTAATAAGGACCGGTTGCCTCTTAAAAATGTAATTAACCATCTTCTCGCTCAATACATAACAGCACTACAATAGAGACTTGTAGTCTTGGTGTTTGTTTAGTAACAGATAAATTGGGTAGAGTATAGACAGACGCCTAGATATATGTACATAGCAAAAATGATATATGTGTCAGTTAATATTGTACTGAAATGTACGCTTTGGGACCCTAGGGTCCGGGCACTTCCTGTGGACTAGCGGTATATTTTATGGGCATTTATGCTGCCGACGTTGCTAAGGGATGGAGTACTTTTAGTCTCGTCCATCCTGGTAGCACTCACTAATCCTGGTAGTTCTCCCCAGCTTAGACTGTAACTTTCCAGTAAACTAGCATATCTGAAATTAATCTAACTCGTATCGAGTCTGTGATCGGCCTGGCTGCCTTGTAGTACTCTCACTACTTATTTCAACTACCCGATTACCTATCTGGCGTATAAACCCCGCCTGTGGTTGGTGAGTGTGGCTTCTATCATGCGGCGCTATGACCATACCCTGAGCGACTGAAGTGGATTGGCTTCTTCTCCTCCGTAAAAAGGTTATGCCAGCAACGGCAGCGATGCAGAGAGGTGCTCTTGACCCTCCGCCAACCCCTAGTCCAGCGCTTCCGGGCTCTCAGTACCTTGTATGATTGGGAGCCGGAAGGGTAGTTGTCGCTGAAGAAGGCGACGAGGCAGTCGACGGTGTGGAAGAGATTGATGAGGAAGATGTCAGTGAGGTCGTTGATGACGAGGAAGAACTTGGTAAAGTAGACGACGACGAAGAAGGAGTAGAGGAAGAAATTAGCGATGAGGAGGGAGGGGAGAATGTAGTATATCGTTCGCTCATCATGATGGTCGAGCTCGTTGGGGATGGTGTTGGGATAGAGGTCGGGGTATCATCGGTCCAGCCGATCCAAAACCTAGCGCTCCGGACTTCCCAGCTTTTCCCTAAGCCCTGCGCATCAACTATGTGGAATTTGGACGACCCGGGATCATCCCGGGTGGGCAATTCGACTCTCCATTCGCGCCAGGTGGATGCGGTACTCGCTACAGCTGCTGTCACCATACTAAGAGTATTCTGTGTTCATTGGATGTATGTCAACAGAACACAGATGATGGCGACAGAATTGCCATATTTGGTGCCCTGAATGAGGTAGAGATTGATCGTCACGTAAGTTGTCGCCCAGCCACGCGAGCATGGTCATCATTAGATGAGGAAGGAAATAGGGGATCCGTCCTGGAGCGAACTGTTTCAAACGCCTTCAATGTACATCTATTGTTTAGATCAAACGTCGGACAGGGCCCCGTCATAGTGTCCAGAGTAGTATGGTTTTGAGCTTGTTGGTGTTACTTGTAGTAGGATATACACTAGGGTAAACATCCAAGGAAGCCTAAGACTAGACCGAAGGTCTTGTCTGCTATTGGCTTAGCTGTCAGGGTAGCGCCTACTTCTTCACCCTATGAGACCGACTCCCAGCCTCTCTCAGGGTCCATCCAGTGGCATTTCTCCACACCGTTTAGTGCTTACTTCCTGTCATGTAATGAAAGCAATCCGTCACTTATATCGCTTATATCGCCGCTTTCCCTCCCCCACTCTAACTCGTGTAACGGTCGCGCAGCCTCAACCATGATCCCCGCACGCTTTCGAAAGGTTCCTCTTCTTGTTTCTCCCTTACTTGCTCTTCTACTTTTTTATTATCTCTTCTCGCCTAACATAAATGTACACCTCCCAGGGAAGGGGCAAGTTCACACACACAGCAGAACAACAATCATATCTGGATCGAATAATACGAATCCACCCGAGTGTCCCGAATTGCCCGGAATCAACGACGTCCTAGTGGTCCTGAAAACCGGAGCCACAGAAGCATTGCAGAAGGTGCCAGTACACTTCAACACCACGCTAAAATGCATCCCACATTTCGTGCTCTTCTCCGACTTTGAGGAAGAAATCGCCGGGGTCCAGGCGCATGACGTCCTGCGCAGCGTCGACGAGAGTATTAAAGACACCAGCTTAGAGTTCGACCTTTACAACCGCCTACGTAAATTCGGACGCGCAGGGCTGACATCGGACGATATCGGCGACGACCCAAGCACTCCGAGCGGCAAGCCAGAAAACCGGGGATGGAAGTTGGACAAGTGGAAATTTCTTCCCATGATAAATGAGACCCTCAGGGTTCGAGCTGATGCAAAATGGTACGTGTTCATGGAGGCTGACACGTATGTGGTATGGCCCAATCTCCTGAAATGGCTGGAGAAATTCGACCCCAGCAAGCCGTACTATATGGGATCGCAGGTCAACATTGGGGACCTCACATTCGCTCATGGAGGCTCCGGGTATGTTATATCCCAGGCGGCTATGCATATGGTCTCCGATCACCGAGCCTCGCGAGTCGAAGAATATGATAGGTATACCGCCGAAAGCTGGGCAGGCGACTGCGTGCTTGGGAAGGCACTACACGATGTCGGCGTTAGCCTTTTCTTCTCGGTTCCATTGTTACAAGGAGACACACCATGGACCTTCCGGTATTATGGTCCAAAGGAAGACCACCATTGGTGTTCCCCGGCGGTCACGTATCATCATATGGTTCCTGATGATATCCGAGAAATGTGGAGATTCGAGAGCTCCTGGTGGGCATATGTAAGCACACACCCTGGTCCGGATATATGCGGGGATATGCGTTTTGACAGAATCTATCAGACAGAAAAGGAGGTCCTTCTACATGCGGATGTGTTCGAAGAATTAGCCCATCCAGCCTTCGGAGAACTGAAGGATAATTGGGACAACGCTTCCACCGATGAGAATAATGACGGGGTTGACAATCTTGAAGACTGCAAAGCGCGATGTAGGAAGGATGGGAAATGCCATCAGTACTCCTATGAACCGGGAAAGTGCTTTACGTCCAAGGTGGCTAGACGGGGAACTGGCAAGCCTGGTACTGGTATAACCTCAGGTTGGATGCCGGAACGAATCAACAAAAAGGTGCGAAAGCTCGGTACATGTAAAAAACCACGGTGGATCACTCCATGATACTCCACATCAACCTTGTACTCTCAGCCCTAAGCCTCTCTTCTGTGTACTTGTTATATGATGATATGGAAGGGGGATAGTCTACGCCAGCCAGCCACCCTGCATACTGTACATAATCATGATAAAGAATTAGATTCTTCGCAAGCCCTTCCGATGACAACCAATAAAGAGAAGGCCAAGAGCAGGTTTTGACAGCTGCTGAGGAGCCACCGACTTTCCAACCTTGTCATTATGGAACGCGGTCACCTGCTGAACGCCGCGGCTCTCCATGGCACTGAGTGACATTGGTTTGGTTCCCGTAAGGGCTGCAGAAGCGGAAGCAGGCTTTCTTATAGAGGGAGATCTTTGCCGTCTCTCCACAGCAGTCTTGGTGAGTGAGGAGGTATTTGTGATCGTTCTTCCAAAGGCCTAGAGGAGGCTGGCGGACTGTTGCAGGACATTTGTGACCCATGACTGATTTGGTTTGTGGCTTGTAGGAAGGAGGTGGGTAGGTGGGTAGTTGATGAGGGGTTGTTATTGAGGCTTGCTCGAAGTCAGGGAGAATGTCAGGGCCAATTTTGTTTGAGACCTGAAAGCGAAAGAGGTAAACCGGTTGTAATTGACTATGAAGAAAAGAAACTCGAAATGAGCGAACTTGAACCGATTTATTTCCTTTCCTGTATCCGTGCGGTGTATCGCTAGCCACGATAATGGATATACAACCCAACGAGGCTCAATGCAAGGATTGACCGAAGGAGGAGCATTTGGCCCCCAGGCCCATATTGGGGGCTGTAGTTCCGAAGCCCTATGCCGGCTCTCAATCGCTCTGCCGATTATTATTTCACCGCAATTGACGGTTTCCACAATACCTGTCTCAACGTAGTCTAGATCATGGGCTGAGCTTCTCTGGGTAGGATCTGTTCTTTACGGAGCTAACGAGGATGGGCAGGCGTTCTGATTGATTGTTCGTCAGAATAAGTCAAGATGATGGCTCGCTTAGCGATTTCAATGAATAGGATCATATTTAGCGTACAGCCTAGATTTGCGGAAAGGCGCCGATTCAAGCAAGATAATCCATTACACAACGTTTACTAATTAGTGAAATGTAGATATATGGAGATCACTATATGGTGATATGTTCTTCGTAGGGGTAAACCTCAAGAGTGAAGCTCTATCCGCTAAAATCCATTTTATGTCCATGGATCCTGCAGCATGCATATCCCCAAACCTTATCCGAAGATTGCTAACACGGGATTCAGTATTTTTTGTTTCCGTAGCCGGCTTTTGTTATAGGAAGTGTAGCATGTGGCCCTCAACAAGGCCGTGTGCAAAAATCAATACTGGTATATCTTTCCCAAATCTAGGACACAATAAACAGCTTCTAAGCGGGTCAAGACCTATATCGATACTGGGGCATGACCAATGAAGTTGATCTAATAGCTCCAAGCCTTGGCCCCACAATCGCCAGATAGAACATTTCCAGTAACCCTTCGGCCTCTATGGTCCGATTCAGGCCTTCAGTTTTCCAAACCCCACCCGGGGATGGTAGTTCGACACCTCGGTAGCTCCAAAATCCCATACACTGTAGAACTGATGGAGGAACGGCGTGCCGAAAAGCCCAAAGCCATCTCTCCCGCTGTCATCGAACGGAGGGAAACATGCATCTTTCCTATCGGCGAATCCGGGCCTAGCAAGCTGATCACCAGTCAATGTCAACTTAGGATCGGTTTCGGCCTCACCGAAGTTGAATGTGACGGACCAGGTCGAGTTGAACTCCGAGCATAGCGGAATGTGTTTCCCGTTAATAATTGCAGTCCAATTCATGCCAATCGATGCGTACACGTCGCCAATGATGTTTGACGGCACTTCGAACGACCCAGCCCCAGTGTCGAAGACAACTCGACCCGAGTCACCGATGTTGTTACAGGCCTGTTTCTTCCCAGAGTCGCTTGATCCAATAATCGAAGAGAGCGTTGCTCGCCACACCTGATACTCGATTTCTGGTCGCAGTGGAATCCAGGTAAGCTCGCCGTCGACGTATTGTTCTTCCTTCGAGCTGCCGATGGTAAGAATACCCTCTGGATTGGCGCCGGTATTCTGGTACTCCTTACCATAATATATTCCAAACCGCGGCTCATCCAAGAGACCCTGCTGCATGAGTGATTCGATAATAGTCGTGGTCTTCGCCACCGCGATCGTGCTGAAAGCTAAGCCCAAGAATCCATCTGCAGAGATGAATCTCCAGGAGCTTTCGTTCGCAGCCAGGAACGTTTGGTTCCAGGTCAAGGTGGCATCCCCTTGAACCCCAGCTGGCATGCTGAAAGTGTCGGCTACCCCTGGGCCTGCGGTTACTCCTCCAAAATAATCAATGCTTCCGTACGTCCCGAGGGTCTTGCCAGTCGTTGAAGCTGAAACGTTGTATCCGTTTCGGTCATAGCTAGTCTGGTAAGTATGGATATTTTTTGAATTACTCATGGGTTTCGTACCCACTTCCGTTATCGCAGGTTTTCGCGCATGTCTGGTCAACAACCCATGTCGACGACGAACCGGTGTCAAAGTGGAGCATGTGTGTCTGAAAAGGCGTTCCAATGTTTACCTCCACTGATGCCTTGTCAGAGTATCCACGTTAGCTGAGGCATGATATGAGGTGAATATGACATTCGCCTACATAACTGTTGCGAAAATGAATCGGCAGATCAACGGTCGCAGACAATGCGGATGGTAAGACCGTTGCTATTGCAGCTATGTCTAGCGAACGTGGCATCATTGTTATAGCCTCTATCGCTCCCTTGATAAAATGAAGAGCTGATATTCAAAAATCTGATCGAAGAGATACGGGCAAAGGGAAGAAGCGGGATGGGATCACCTCACACCAAACAACACCAAACCTGATTCGCACGCCCGGGACTCCGATTATATACCATTTGCACAAGGAAAGCACCTTTGGTTTAGTCATGCACCGCACCAGATCACCTATATGAGGAAAATGTCAATGCGGTGGGGCGGCCGACCTAGACCAGAGCATGCAGAAATAAAACAGGCTTTGACATATAAAACTGCGGCATAATAGGCTCGCCATTCGACACCGTCATGAATCTGAAACATAGCGTCGGGTCGGAAGGGCCTCCCTCCCCGTGGGAAACGTAGTGTTCGTTGAAAATTTCATGCCGTGGTCTCTCGGGCCGCTTGATCTATCAGTCCCTTACAGAAAAATTCTTAAATTCCACCAGAGCACATTATCCTCATATGCATGTGGTGGGGGATGCAGTATCGTCAGTATCGTGGACTCTGGGATCGGCGTGCTAGTCTACCTCGGTGCCCTGTCACTCTTATATTGGTGTCTCGGAAATCTAAGACATTGTTTCACCTATGGGTAATTGTCTTGTGAAGAACACACCTCGGGGTATGTACGTACCTCTGCTGAAGGTCTGTTAGCATTGATAACAGAGCGTACCAGTGCGTAGGATATGCATTCGAGAGTTTAGTCAACTGTAAATAAATCAGGACAGCGAGCGTATCACTGAATTAGATCAGAGAAGTATATTGGACGGGGGGCCGACGATATTATACCCCGCTACCCTCCACGCTCGCTTACAATGGTACATAGCGAGGTTCAGGTGCTTAGAAAATTTAGGCTAAAGCGATCGGCATCTATGTGTATCATGTGTGGACAACTCTACCTTGACTCGAATGAATGAAAGCCAGAGATAACAAGTCGGCTATTTAGATATGGGTGAAGATCGAGGGATGATCCAGAAATAGTATAGAAACATAGTGCAAATGTTAGCTTTGATGTATCTCGTCTCAAGTAACTCAGATATGTAACTCCCAGGGTACTGTTGTCTAGATAGTCTTTGCATTATCTTATCTTGATTAGGCAACACTCAGTCAGGCGATGTCCGGGCAGCTCGAAGTCCATCTTCACACTGAAAGATGAATACAATCTTGTCAAGCCCTAATACGGCGTAGGCGACGTATCAAGTGAAGCATTCTATGATCTTGACGAACGATTAGGTTGTCGACCCACACAATGTACAAAGATATATTGTACTCCATCGACCCTCAGAGACTAGGAGCTTGACCTCCGATCAGCGAAGACCCATGGACACTTGCTGTTTGATCTTAGGATTTGAACTTCCTATCGTCCATAAGATTGCCTTGGCACTTTAATCTGAACCTTCACTTTTCCTGCCGGAAGGTGAGTAGTTGCCTGCTGCTCTAAAATCGCGTAAATCAACCGAACGTTCGTACCCAACCAAGTTAAGACCGCCATCCAATGGGGAGAACGTAGATACTGTGGTCAAGTTACATGGCTCGATGGAAGGCTCTCGACTACATCTGCTAATCGATCTGTGACATTGCTCCGCGGTGTACGAGTAGTACGTGCCTAGTATGTTCCTAGAATTGGCTGGTTTGCAACTCTCAAAAATTGAATCAAGATTTTCCATATAAAATCGTCTCCTCGGATCAGTAGCACACCTGTGATTGCTATTCCCATAGCTTCAGTCCAACGTGGGTATACAAGATTGTATACGGATAGGACTCTTCTGTCAAATTAAGACACCGCGTCATCTGACGTCGCCTACCAGCTCATATTTCATAACAGCGCTCAGTATCTTACTCGATTGATCCAGGTGACGAGCATTTGTCATGCACTTTGACTCATAGTTAGAATGCAGATGTAGTTCTTACCTCATTTTTTGTGATGTAGCGATGTTGGAAGAGATTCTATAAATCCAGCGGACCATTCCCTCCTACCTCAGAAGAACCATCTTTCCTAGAGATCACTACAACAGCAAATGCTGCACAGGAGAATATTCAAGAGAATACTACCTAAGTATCATCGGAAAAGATTTCCAGAGAACATCGTCACACAATAAATTCAAACAAAACCCTTCTAAAAACACGAATCGATCATTCTTTCAGTATCGTTCTCTATCCAAACGATCTAAAAATGAGGATCAACGTCATCCTTCTCGCACTCGTCGTCAACACTGTCGCTGCCCCTCTTGAGACGGATCCAACCACAGAGGTGGACATCGAGCGCTCCAATATCTGCCACTGGCGAAGCCCCTGCACCGCCTGGTGGAACGAAAGGCGATGCGTCCGCTACTGCGGTGACAGAGTATTTTCGCACTATAGCTACGACGACTGTGGCTTTTTCTTCAGGAAGTGCTGCTGTGTGCACGAAGAACACCCCGAAATATGACTTTTACTACGTTCGATGAGTTTCCTAGGATGTCTCGAAGTTAGGAAGGGAATGGACAGTGACTAAGTGTCTGATCTTCGCGGGGATTAATTTGAAAGATATGGGCCGTTCTGTTTGAGAAACATGAGTTGAAAGATAATATTTATTGCGCATTGGCTTCTGTATGTGCCTATTGGTGTTTTATGACGTTCACAATCTATGGCTGAAGGGGTTGTATCTTGATAGTACTCTTATTATTAGTCTTTCAAAGACATGCCTAGCATTTAGAGGTATATTCATATTTTCTTCTCTTCTTTCAGCGTTGTCACGTACCTCCCTCGTTTTATATATCATCTTTCCCAATATTTTTGCTTTTCCTTTATTCAGTGGTTGAGTTAATAGTCTATTACGCGTTCAGCGATACGCAGTCACTTTGTTGTTTCCTCCATTTCGATAGCTGATAAACAAAGTTATAATTCGCAGCAGATCAGTCTATACAGTATAATATAAACCAAATATCCCCCCCTTTAGAAAGTGATTGACATATTAGTCTAGACCTCGGGTCGGCTTGTATACAAAATCAGTCACTCTCCAACCCAGCAAGCACACTAGCCGGCGGCGCGTAAAAGGTCACACCAGTCAACGGCTTCGAAAAATCAAGCAAGCGATCGTGCAATCCTGGAGGATTGCCAATAAACATGCGCTCCAGCATCCTCTCAATCACCCATAGGCGCCGCGTATATCCGATAAAGTACGTTCCGAATTCACTAGAGCTAGGGTTGCCGAACGGCATGTTGTCGCGAAGAATCTCATGTTCCTCCCCATTCTCCTCGATCGTCGCTAGTGATTTGTGCGACTGTTGTTGACCCTCCTCCGCATCATCTAACTCGATATTCTCCCATTTTGTACGACCAATAATCGCCTCCTGCTTCTCAGCAGGGAGACCCTTCCATCCTTGGAGATCATGCACGTATTTCTGGACCACGATATAGCTTCCTCCGGTAGCGGACCCGTCTTCTTCGGCGACGAGGACAGCATCGGATACCGATGGACCGACGGGATTGGCTGTGCCATCGACAAAGCCTAGCAGGTCGCGCACATCGAAGTACCGGAACCCAACCGTCTGATCGATGACTGTAATGGTGTCGCCCAGAAGATCTATCAGCTGTCGTTCGAACTCGAAACATAGGTCACGACGGTCTGAGCGGATGTGGAAAAGGAGGTCCCCGGGGGTCGACACCGCAGTGTGGGTTTTGCCCTTTATCTCACGGAAAGGGTGTAGCTCAGCCGGGCGAGGGAGACCCGTTAGGCGATCCCAGATGTCGCTGCCGATTCCAACAGTGCATGCGAATTGGGAGGCAAGGTCGCGGATGGAAACGTTCTTGGATAGGTCATCAATGCTAGCGAGGGTCGATCGAACCGTTTGAATGGCTTCTGGACCGTCTTTGACACACACGACGAGGAATGTCGCCGACTGTGTTAAGGGTGCATCGACTCGTTGAGCCTCGATGGGGACGCGGCTGCTCATGCTTGCTTTTGTGACCGGTGGATCGGTTCGCAATTGAGGGGTTAGAGGACGCCGATGATGGTTTATCGAGGTAATTGACGCCGTTTGGTACTTTGCGGTGATTCTTGGAAGTCTCGATGGAGGAACTGGGCGGCTGCGACACGCTTGAGAGTAGATATTGTAGACGATGTTCCTGGAATTGGGGATTCTGTGCATATTCAGGCCACCGGCGGACCTTGATTCAGATCGAGGAAGGAGTCAGTAGCCTAGTCCTGAGGTGGAGCGTGAGGGGATTCAGCAATTATCAATGAGGGCTACTGCTGCACCTGATTAGCACTTACCTCTTTCGGCGCTGACGTCACTACTCTGCCTAGTAATTGTGAAACCCTACTTGGCCAATGGCCAGAGTATCTTCACTACCCAATGACGGTTACTTCTGTTGGAAATAGTAGGGAAACTCGATTGAGTTGATTGATGGGTCTGCATATCCCTCGTTCAACGCCTGACATGCCAGGAATTGGCCAAATATGTTCAAGAATCTGACACACTCTCTTGTATTCTTGCATACCACGATTTGGCTAGACAACGCGATTCTAGTCGCAAATCATGTCTTATTGGACAATTAGTATGTCTAAATCGAGTTAGTCCACATGATCTCTGCTTCTATTGGCCAGAATGATTGGTCCGTGCTAATGCTTCCTCGATCATTTGAACCCCACCTGTTGCTGTCAAATCAGTAATGGGGCTTCACAAGCAATGGAATTCTCAGGCAGGACCTGTTCAATTTGTCGCACTGTTCTCCTTCCTGACACAGGGTCGGTACTCAAGGGGCGTTCTCAATCACCGCACCAGCCATTTGAGATCTTCCGTGCAGCTGCCCTAGGAAATTGTGTCATCTGCTCAACGATATGGAATCTCACCGACCAACATCGCCATGCGTGGACAGACGCTCCACAGATATCCTGGACTCCGATGCAATACATAACACAACTGTATACTGGCGAAGAGAAAATTGTAACCGTTTTGTTTACGGACCCAATAGCCCACCAGGTTGCCCATGCGAGGTTTACACTTATACCTATGGATAGTAAGTAGTAGATAAACAGCCCTAGAGTGCTGTGTATTGAAAGGCTAACTCGTGTGTAGGTGCTGAGTATAGCCCATATTTTATGTAGCCTAACCTGGAGTCAAGCACTGGATCCGCACCTACGTTGACAACAGCATACGGATGGTTTCGCTCTTGTTACTCTACCCATGCGTCGTGTCGTAGATTGGCAAGCTTCAACCCTAACCAGCTCCCCACCCGTCTCATCGACGTCGGCAATGATGGTGACACGGATTGGTTTCTTCGCGTTGTTCGCGAGGACGGCATTTCGTCGCCATCAGCACCATACATGACGCTCAGTTATCGTTGGGGCAATCCAACCATCTCACTACTATCCTCTAACATTACTCGGCTCCGTCGGGGAAGCCCAATCGCCGACCTCCCTTCCACTTTCCAAGATTTCATAGCTGTCGCTCGACGCTTTGGCATCCAATATGTCTGGATTGATGCTCTGTGTATCGTTCAAGATTCCACCGAAGACTGGGAGGCGGAAGCGTCGACAATGAGTCATGTATATGCTAATTCGGCATGCAATATCGCTGCATCCGCGTCTAATTATCCAGAAGAAGGTCTTTTCCGCCCCTGTGAACCTGACCTCGTCCGACCCGGCAAGGTCCTGACCTCTCTATTCGCCGATAAACCCTCCCCTCACTACATCTTTGACAAGGGGTACTGGGACCGACAGCTATTTGCGGGACCGTTGCACAACCGTGGATGGGTATTCCAAGAATGTTTCCTGGCACCTCGCGTACTCTACTTTGGGAAAGACCAGATATTATGGGAGTGTCTATGTGAGCATAAATGCGAGGGATTCCCTCAAGGCATCCCCGCACACTATTCGGACAAGAACATGGACCCGCTCTTAGATTCTATATCGGCCGGTCGCTCCAAACTCCCCGGGAAGGGCTCTCCTCTAGTGTTTTATCTATGGAATAGTCTTGTCGAGCAATACTCTACATGCCATTTAACTGAACCTTCAGATAAAATGGTTGCCATCGCCGGGATCGCAAGGCTCTTTGGCCAAATCACCGGCGACGAATACGTAGCCGGCTGGTGGAAGTCGTGGCTGCTTGAGTCACTGGACTGGACAGTTACCAAACCCCAAGTACGACTATCGGAGGAGTACCGGGCTCCATCTTGGCCTTGGGCTTCGCTCGATGGACCGGTTAGACTAACGGGTCCATGTGACTCCACGGAATTCCTCGTCCAGGTCATGGATGTACATGTGACCACACGAGGACCAGATGAAATGACAAACATCATTCAAGGACATCTGGTGATAAAGGGCCGCACAGTTCCGGCAGTCTATCTGGAGAGCGGAGCCCATCTCCTAGTCACGAGCGAGCGTCAGCTTATGGTAGACCTATTTCTAGATTCTTTGAGTATTGACTTTCCCGAGGGTAAAATGGTTGAATGCATCCCCTTGAAAAAGGACTACCTCCTTCCAGAACCCGGTGAAGGGACACGCCCTTATATTCAATGCCTTTTACTCGAGGGGGTGGGTCCAGCGCGTGGAATTGATTCTCGGTATCGACGTGTTGGGTCATGCACTTGTTATGCTATAGAAGACGTTGAGTATCTCTGTACGGCAGGGGAAACTTTAACCAGGATAATAGTTTAACAAAGTCATCTACGAGGTTGAGTCTGATAACGATAGCTCATATTCGATGTTGTGAACTTTGTGAACATCCATACCAGCAGCCGTAACCAATAGCTTTCAGATTCGACGCGTGGTTCAATGCCCCCCATCAACTGAATCCCGTTGCGAGGTATAACTAGTATCATTCAAATAGAAAGTATCATGTTATCTGCTGCGTATCTGTAGAGAGTCACCCTCACACGTCCAACCAGAAAGCATGCCTCGGTCATATTCTCCACTATATAAATGTCTAAAGAATACCTGTGGATAGTAAGTTTGAATCGCAGTGTGTGGATTGATCTACAACAGCTAAGCTTTTTTCTGAACTCTTCGTCCAATAGGAAAAGGTCTCTTGACTTGCTTCCACAAGCAGAGAGCTCTTTCGCCCAGAGCATCTTAGTATTTTATTTACCATAAATGGCCTTCTTGTCGTAGTCTGCGATCATTGACGGAACTTCCTTCAGATATCCCATATTGTAGGATAACCATCGATTTCTTTACAATTGCTCGTGGTACGACATGTGGTGTCTCAACCTGAAGCTCATTGATCTTCCTTTGTTGATATTTGATCTATTCTCCTCTGTCTCTTGTGTCCTCGAGTCAACATATCACTTCGTCAAAGACGCCTAGCCTACTGGTTGGTTTTACTTGAGGATCAAGCAAATACGTGACGATATCCAGAGCACGCTTTGCTATTGCGCTAGAGCACTTGAGGAGTAGCACACAGTGGACACCACAGATCTACAGATGAAGTTTGTCAGCAGATGTACTAGCCAGCATGGCTTCTAAGATCGGTTCTGCTAGTCTGCACTGAGGCTTACCAAAGGAAAAATGAAGGACGAGGATGTGAAAGGTGAATAAGAAGACGAAAAAGATCTGACACTGTTGGGCTGACTGTTCCTGAAAACTGCTGCGTGGTGTCATTAGAGTCGTGTTAAACAAACAACGGTTTACGGTTTACGTATGAGACGATTTCCCTGTTAGAGTTGGACGGTCCATTGATCTCCTGACCTGATAGCATCCATTTTGCTAATATAGACGAAAAGATTGTGAGTGTTAATCAGGTGGTCCTTTAGCACTACCCCTATATCCATAAAACACTTTGTGTAAAAACAAACGCAAGAGAGGAGAAAAAAAAAGCCATAAAATCCCGCTGTCTGCGACGGTCTTATTTTCACCATGGATAATATTCTGCATCATCCCACATAAGCTAACTCCGTAACCGATCCTTCGAAGCCATAGTGTGTCGTCGGCCGATTTCCTTTACCCTAAAATATGAACGAGCGTCCGTTTCATTGGACCGAAGCGGCAGGAAATCGGTATTAACTACTGGGACGGATGTCAAGTATCCCCACAGGAGTTAAACCCGAATTTTCCCACGCAATAAGCATTTCTCAGTAGCCAGTGGGATGGCGTGCTTGCTTATCATCCGCGGAAAATTATTCCCCAAGAATTCGCACCTCATTGCGTCGCCGAGAAAAACACTTTTCTCGTTCACCCCTCGAACGACAGCAGGGAAGAACAGGGAGAGTCAGAACTCAATGATAAAATGGCAGAACCTTTGAAGAGCCCCGCACATGATGGTCGCGAAGTATCACCACGGCCCCAGCCAGAGGGAGAATGGGCGCCGGTGCTCGATGATGGAGAGCAACAAATTGTATCGCAACACGAACGCCAGGATCTGCGTCGCGGGCTATCGCAACGACATGTGCAGATGATTGCTATTGCGGGCGCCATTGTATGTGGATCCACACCAAGCTATACAGGGCAAATTTATTAAGTGTTATGTTTGGGGCTTAGGGGACGGGACTTTTCCTTGGTCTAGGGGGCGCCATCGCGACCGGCGGACCGCTGGGAGCTCTACTCGGCTACATTTTTGTCGGGTTCATTGTATGCTGCATTCAGTACGCGTTGGGTGAGGTCTCCGCGCTGATGCCGGTGACCGGTTCGTTCGTGCGCCACGCTGAGCTCCTTGTTGACCCAGCCTTGGGCTTTGCCATTGGCTGGAACGTCGTGTATGGTGCCTTTCTATCTGTCCCGAGTGAGATATCCGCGGCCGTGGTGATGATCCAGTTCTGGACAGACATCAATGCTGCAGTCTGGGTGACCATCCTGATCGTCGTGTCCGCTCTTGTAGCCTTCGCACTTGTACGTGTGTATGGTGAGGTCGAATTCTTTTTCGCCATACTCAAGATCCTGTTGGTTGTCTTCGTCGTTATTCTCGGCCTGGTCATCGACCTCGGCGGAATACCTGGCAAGCCACGGTTGGGCTTTCACTACTGGAAGCAAGGTGCATTCGTTGAATACATAGCTGATGGCGCCTGGGGTCGCTTTCTCGGCTTCTGGGCCGTCATGACCAGTGCAGTCTACTCGTTTGCGGGCGTGGAAAGCTTAGCGATGGCCGCAGCAGAGACGAGGAACCCACGACATAACATACCCAAAGCTTGCCGGCGGGTCTTTGTCCGGGTAACATTGTTCTATCTGGCCGCAGTGCTTGTCGTGGGCATGCTCGTCTCGAGCTCTGACCCTAGACTCCGAGACGACTCTGGCACCGCCGCGACAAGCCCCTTCGTGATCGCTGCAGGTGACGCCGGCATCAAAGCGATTCCCTCAATTGTCAATGCAGTCTGTATCACTTCTGCATGGTCCGCCTCCAATCAAAGCATGTTGGCCGGTACACGAACTCTCTACGGTCTCGCCGTCAAGGGACATGCGCCGAAAATCTTCCTCCGTACATCCTCTTGGGGTGTCCCTTACATGTGTGTCGCCGCGCAGACAGCAGTGTCCTTTCTAGCCTATATGTGTGTTTCCAACAGCGCCTTGACTGTGTTCTATTGGCTCCTCGACCTAACGGCGGCCGGTGTTCTGGTCTCGTGGATTGCAATCGCATTCAACCATATCCGTTTAATGCAAGCACTTAAGGCGCAAGGAATCCCGGCCAGCGAGCTGCCCTGGCATAATCGCATAACTTGTATGGGCTTCCCGCTCTGAAAATGGTTTTCTGTTCATGCTAACGATCATTAGATTTCTCCTCCTGGTTCGCCTTCATCATGTGCATAATAATCCTTCTTACCGGTGGATTCACCGTCTTCACTGCCGGCAACTGGGACCCTGCCTCATTCGTGTCCTCATACCTGTACGTACCACAAATTTCTCCCTCCATACCTTCGAGTCAAGCTAATTATGGGGTACAGGGATATCCCACTCGTCCTATGCGCATACGGGCTGTACAAAGTACTTCGCCGAACGAAGATTGTCCCTTTGAAGGAAGTGCCAATTCGCCAAGCGCTGGAGGAAGCCCGTAATGACCCGGAAAATGTACCCATCAAGAAGCCTCAAGGGTGGAGGAAATTGAATATTCTGTGGGAATGAAACGTGACATGGTTAGCCTTGTTAGAGAGATATTAATTTCACAGCTATATGTGTGCTGGCTTCTTCCGTGTCCTGTCTCGTGCGGATTATGATTTGTTAAAGGTGGTATATCGCAAGGCTCGAAGCCCCCTACGCCGGGGGTCAAATACGAGTATGTCTGCTGGAGGGATAGCTTCAGGGAGCTTCACTTCCTACTGGTAGTTCATGGCTACATAGCCTGTTCTCCCACATGCTTGATGTGTATGGTGGCCTGCGCACCACGGATCGCTTCATGCGGCGTGGCGTCCTCTCTCAGGTCACGGCAAAATTTTTTTTGCCCGCGTCCGGACGGTGCGGTAGTTGTCATTAGATTTGTTGGAATGGTGAGAACGTATCTTCGTCTGCGGTGACGTCTTCAAAGACATTAGCGCGGTGCTATATAGGAAGTTAATCCTGATCGCATATACACTCCGCGTCTCCTGAAGGGTTAATCTATTATGACAATGTCAGTCTAATATAAATGGAGTCGTTCTTTTGGCTTCGTATCGTGTCGGAGTTACTCTCAGACAATCTACTAAGCGACTATAAGTACAAACAGTTATATGTCCAAAACATAAAACTTAACTTTAAACAGCAATCTTCTATTCCTAACATACCAAAAGAATAAATATTAGAGATTATTGTTCGCTAGTATACATTATCTATAGGAGTATCTAGATGATTAGGTAGGCAAGACCTTAATAGCAAACAGAGCGTGGTATAAGTAAACAATTCTCAGCTTAAAACGCAACGATCAGGCAAAATCCAAGATACCACTTATTAGGTACTAAACACTTCAACCCTTCTACTGGGTAAAGGCAGCAGATCCACCGAAAGGTCCACTGATGGCAGTGTTCCTAAGACGGAGGATGCAGACATTTTTGGCATTTCCAACGGTCGCGGTGCACTTCATTCCCTGGGGAACCTGGACCTTGACGGCATAGTCCATTGTGCTAGAGGTGGAGAAGCCGGCAACACCGGGGATGTTCTGGGTGACACGAGCACTCTTGAAGGCCTTAGGGTCGGTGCCTCCACTGGAGGGGTCGATCTCAGCAGTGAGGGGCCCGGCGCCGTCTTGGTTAACCTGGAGGGTATATATGTTAGACTATGTATAATTAGGTAATATAACTCTTTTTGTTCGGCTTACCTGGTGGTAGATCACGGTGACGGTACCATCTGCGGAAGCAGTGGGAAGACCGGTGCTCGCGCCCTTTCCAGCATAGAGCTGGAGACCGTTCTCCTTGACACCGTTGCCGGTCACGGCACCAGACGCGGTTCCCGGGAGGATAGCCATAGCATCATCAACTGCGGATTGTGCACCTGGTCCAGGTTAATATGACTCTTCGCAGTGGTAGGCGGGGCTTTCTCACTCTTAATAGCTCCACCAAATGGTGTGGCGTCCGCGAGGTCCTGGATACCATTGAGGATAGTACCACCGGCGTTGGTAACGACACTTGCGGCATCGTTGATCACCTGACGACCTTCGAAGACGTTAGTCTAGGCAAACCAGAAGAGGTATAGATAGCTTACGTCTATCAGTGATAGAAGTGCGCTTCTGCGCTCCTCCGCCCATGAACTTATTAATCACCGTAGCTGCGTTCACAGGACCACCGCCAAGTGTACGACCGAGAGCAGAAGCCTTGACAGACCCGAACTCCGCATCTCGGATGATAGCGGTGTCCTTCTGGGCACCGCATGCAGCAGATGGGCAATCGCGGGGCATTCCATCCTGGACTACAATTGAATCGTCAATCAGTCAATCCGGGAAGATCCAGGAATCACGTAAGAACTCACTCGTCAACCCAGGCATGTCAACACCGTTGGCACCCTTGATACGGGTGATGAGACCATGGGCCGAAGCCTGGCTCACAGCCAGTCCTGTCAGGGCGAGGTACTTTCCGAACAACATCTTGGATGTGGATTAGAGGAGAAGTCAAGGTTTTCAAGGTTTTCTGGAGACGGAGAAAGATGAAGCTGTTTGTTGTTCCAGATTAACCATGACTGGGTTCATGATGGCTTAAATATTCAAACTCAGAGCGTCTCTTCCCCCTATCTCTCCTTTGCCCTGAGCTTTTGCAGTCCACCTAAATCCACAAATCGCGGCCAAAAGGTTTGCCGTGACACATCGAATGCAACCATGTGACGATGCCATCGCTCGTCTATCGCCGTTATGCGCATTTCAAAACTGCACTGTACACTCTTGTGCAATTGACTTTGCAGAAGATAATAGAGTTGAGACGATTGGAGCGCAGACCCTGGGCTCGAGTACAGTAGAAGGCAGGGGATCGTCGCGGACTCCACACGTTTCACGAAGCGAGGTGGGAAGAGCGAATCACGGGGAAGATCGTGCCTTGTCGTTGTTTGAGAGTAAGACTTTTGAGTCTCAAAAATGGGCGATCTGGCGACAAATTGCAGGGCTCTAGTGGATCCGATTTAAGCTCTGGGGAACTGCAGTTTGGTTCGTCTCTGCCTTATCGATTCTTTATGTGAGCTTCATATACTATGCTTCATATACTATGCTGAGCAAATGCTGTGATGCATAGGCAGGACAAGTTTACCGGTGCGGTTGCGACCAATGCAAACCTATTGCTAGCCCTCTTGCATAATCTCTACAACATGATACTGCATACCATCGGTGCAGTGAGTGTCTCATCGCTCCCCTGTCTGTGCCCTACCCCCCCCCCCCCAAAAAAAAGTGTCAAGAATAAAATCTTCGCCGATAGACTTCTCTAGCGATCAGTTCAATGCTTCAGCACGTTTCAAACCCCATTAGATCGTTCCTACCAAACACTATCCGCGCAAGACTATCCTCAATCCAGTAAAGGGGCCCAGGAAAACCATGCCGGAGGCTACAAAAATAGCAGCCGTAGGGTTGCATCTGATGTGGAGCCTAAACGAGGAACTGGAGTGGGACAACTTTGCGACTTTGCAAGTTAACCCAATCACGCACAACCAACCTATCAATCGCCAGTATTTGGCTCCTGGGATATGGCCTGATGGTACCCTACAGTCTAGCCTAGTCTCCCAAACCTCACTGCGTCTCAAGCTCAAGTTCGTCCGTGGATCTTGGCAGATCATCACTTCGCCCCATGTGACTGCCAAGTCGGGTCGGTTAAGTCGGGATCTTGAAACGAACCCTTATTTTTGCCATAGTCGGGGATCCCCTTTAAGGAGACATCGATTCCCGTCTAGACTGGACAGATTCTGTTTTTAGGATTCGGGATTGAAGGCCTTCCTCAAAGGGTATCGGGCTGTCTTGGACGGAGCGTGGTGACGGTGAAAGCCGTTCAAAACCTTGCAGTAATTGTACCCTTTTCTAGCTGTGCTATGTATCCATCGTTGTCTTGCTAAATTTTACCAAAATTGGTGGTTGCACCAGGGGGTCGCCGCGTATCTGTGCCACGCTCGACGATAGATTATCCCCAAATTTGTCCGACGAGCAATTACGACAATACACAATATTTTAGAAGACAGAAAAGCCCCTATGAGAGCCCTAGCACTACGAACGTGTATAAAACCTTGTGCCTGGCGCCCTGACGGTTTAAACACAAATCCTCTGCCTTTTCAGTCAACATCATGGACCCCGGGAGTTATTAGAAGAATGGCACCTTCAACAAGCAAACCCTGCCGACAAATTTGTACCTCTGTGCAACTTTTGCATCTGCAATAAGATCTTTCTGCGTCCCACTCTTCCCCGGAGAGCTTCGGCTACGGGTTCCACATTTGTCTCAAATACATTTCCAAAAACCAGTGCTCGTGAGCACACTTTGCCCTAGAAAACAACCGATAAATAGAGCACCAGGCGCCTTAATGCAATGCTTTATGGAGTACTGAAGCCCTTAGTAATCCCAAAGGGGCAGACGGACTTCGTAGCAGAAATTTGTGTAATTTTGTCATCGAGTATGTGCGCGTATTCCATTCCTGCGGAACCAATGGCATTATTAGGATTTTTTCTTCGAGTCTCTTTGACGGGAAACACCAACACCAGTCGCCAGCGCAATCAAGTCACCGTACAGTGCTTCCGCAAACTGGTGTCACCACCGCATACTCTTCCATTGTTTCTGTAGCCCAAATCTGACACCGGACTAATCTACATTTGGATTGGAAAGGAACAATAGTTTTCCTTGAATACTGTCTATATTCAGGCGCTGCGTTCCATAACTTGCTAGACCACAGATATTGTGTTTGAGGCTGGTGTCTATGACACGAAGACGATGCGATGCTACTTTCTCATTCGTGTCTCTCTCGTCGACATGGAAAGGAGAGTCCGTGATCAGGAGGTAATCTCGGAAAGATAAGTGCAGGATGCGGATTGGTGAGTTAATATTCTCTGGCACAGTGAGAACAGAACGAATCTGTCCAAGCAACTGCTAATATATCATCTCTTGGCAAGTTAATCAGCTGCGCAAGAGCATTGAGTGAAGGTAGAGTAGCAAGAAGAATAATAATCCCAAGTATATCCTGGAACTCTTGCTTTAGCTGCTTGATCTCTCTGTCATTTGCACCGGAAAGGAGTTGGTTCAACACGGGCAAGTATGTTCTCTCTATCTGAGATCCTGCTAATGCTACTTGGTCTTGGAAAATTGTTTCCCGGAGCTTTTCCGGGCGCCATCTCTTCTCTTCAACAAAGCGGCAAATAGTGGCTGATAAAATAAATAAAGGAGTAGTCATCTTTACTAGCACTAGCCTTCCTGTATTTTTGTTTCCAGGCCAATCTCAGGAAAGTAAGCGATCATGTCGTATTTCTTAGAGTGCATATTCTAGGAAGAGGCGAATATCATGTTTAATCACTGGCTTAGGGAGCTTATAAAGAACTAAGTCCTGAAGTTTACTATTCTACTTGAAGTCAAGACACTTTGGAAGTTCAGGCCTGCTAGTCAGAAATATTCGGAGATATATAGATTAAAATCCTATTATTAAGATAAAAGTCAAAGTATACCTTGTATATTATTTTCCCGGTTATATTCATCTAATATATTAATGACAATCACAGTCGTTGTAGGTTGATTTAGACCTAGCTTAAGCAGGGGCTGAAGAAGAAGCTTATTAAATTATTTACTAAGAAATTTAGATAAGATATTTAGATTATATTCTACTGTATTTAAGACATTAGGCACCAGCTGTCGATACCTAGTTATTAACTGTCTTGTGATGGTCAATATCTAGTATTTTATATGACCACGGTCAGCTGTACCTCTTTTCAAAAAAAAAAAAAAAAAAAAAAAAAGAACATAGTACCAAGCTGTCCTTTGTTTTTGAACGATTGTACGCCTGTCTGGGCAATGGTAGATTTCCCTGTCCCCGCTATTCTATGCAACGAAATATAGTTATATTTACCGTCTGTTGACTCAGCCCACTCTGGAATTTGGGAACGAAGCTTGGTCCTGGTGCCTGGAAGGCAGAAATCTTCTTGTTTATTAATATAGAAGTCATAAAATGCTCCTTCCGCGACAAGTAGGTTCATGAGACTAAATTGTTCAATAAGGTCCTTCATGGATTCGGCAAGTCTACCGATTTAACATAGGATAGATATTCTCTGCCTCTCTTTCACGGTGCAGGTGTTAATCCTGAAGGGGCCTAGGAGGCTGTGAATGTCTCAAAGCTAGGAGTTGGAATCCAAATTGCTTAGATAGTTACATTATAATTTTCTAGAGAGCTGCGCATTTGCTGTTTTCCTATCTCGTTTTCGTTATGCTCTATAGGCTCTGGGTTCTGAAAGTGCTTGGTAGGAGCTAGCTGCACAATACAAATCCAGAAAGCTTGTAGCACCTGGAAGTCTAGAAATATAGAGCCAAGAAGATAACGACAATTATTCCGTTTGATGAAGGTAGTGAAGATACGGTTGAGAGCCCTCGCTGGAGATTTTCAACCTGATATCAATCCTAGCCAGTCTATTTAGACTGATATGTGGAAGGAGATGGATGCTTATTCATCGGTCGTGCCGATTCAGCAGTTAAGGATTATGATTATAGCCTAGTTCTTAACCTCTACTTTCCAGGGTGGATTAGCGACCACTCTATTGTTGTTTTCCTTGGAGCACTGTGGCCTAGAAAGGTTTGACTAGAGACAGTCGTTGGTGCATGCAGCACTCACGCGAGCTGCCCGCGAAACTTGCTGCGAACCTCGACTGCCAAATTTCACACCAAGCCGCACTCTAATTGTCCTGTCCCCGGTTTAGTTCGATTTGCTAACCGCCTTTGATTTTCTATTGGTTTTTTAATCCTGGGTTCCTTGTTTTGTTTGGGTTTAGCGCGCCATTTGATATCCAGGCTCTCATAATTGTATACTAACTCCGGACTGACCTACGAACAACAGCTTCACCATCCTCAGAGATAGTTTTTAAATGTTCGAAGTTTGGATATCCATGGTTCCTACAGGTCATACTAGTATGTGGCTCCTTTGTTGGATGTTCCGAATCTTAAGATTTCGATGTTGATCTACCACCCTTCAATGTTCCCCATTTCTCTGTTTGCTTTTGCTTATATGTCTCCCTAAATCTATGATTGGCTCTAGGAGTAGCAGCCTAACAGCCTTGCAGCTACACGTATCTGGCTACAAAATATGCTGACCGCAAAGACAACATGTTCGTGTCATTTGACGCATTATGGCCTGTCTTGGTGGACATTAGCCAGCGTTCAAACTACACATTATTCTGCGCCATTGATGCACTGGATGAATGTGAACTAGAGTCACAGCAGATCATTCTCGACCAACTTGATCAAACGTTTAAAAACTGCAATTCAAAGTCTGTATTTTCATCAAACTTGCGCTTTTTATTCACCAGTCACTCGTACCCTGAAATCCGTGATTGCCTATCTTCCTACCTGTCCAAGGGATTGGCTTCATACCAGGCGGTTACAAGGGACCTGAAAATGGTGGTTCGGGCAAAAGTGGCGACGCTCACAGAACGAAAGAATTATTCAAAGGCAGTCACTGTCGAGGTGTCCGATATCCTCGAAGACAAAGCGGAGGGAACATTCCTCTGGGTAGGCATTAGCTGCGACGAATTGGCGAGAGTCCAATCAAGGAATGCGGTGAAGACCTTGCGAACCCTTCCACGAGGGCTACATTCTTTGTGCCAGATTCTCCTTGATGCAGCCGTCGCAACAATTGAGAAGGATGATCGTCAATTGATGGTTGATATGGTGGGATTTGTCGCAGTTGCACAAAGACCACTGACGTTGGTGGAACTAGCTGAAGCCTGCCAGTTATATCCTGACAAGGACATAGAGAGCCGCCTTAAATTTACTCGAGAACTCATCGACCTGTGCCGCTTGATGATCATTATCGACGGAGACTGTGTGTGGTTCTAACACAAATCTGTCCGAGATTTCTTAGCGACTGATGAACGGGGAATTAACATACTGGCCGCCAATGCCACCTTGACGCATCGTTGCATTGAGAATATTCTACACCAGTCTCAGGTAGGCGGTACTGAACAGTTCTCGGCTTCTGAAAATGCATTTCTTGAATATTCAGTATTATATTGACCGGAACATGCTAGGCTCTCCCAAGCTGAATTTAGAGCCAAAGAAGAGCATGAGGGCTTTTCCCAACTTCAGGCCAAAGCATGGGTCAAATGGCTGATTGATTACGATTGTTTGAGAAAAGTCCCCTGGGAAGAGCTGGACGCTGGCTTCTCCCCTATTCATACTGCTGCCCAATGGGGTATTGTGCAAATTATTTTGTTGCTACTTCCGGAAAACTTGGAAGACAAAGATCTTCACGGCCGCTCTCCACTGCTTGTTGCAGCTCAACGGTCACGCCTAGAAGCTGTGGATTAGGCTTTGGTTTTGATTTCCAATTGCATAAAGGAAAGGTGTGTCATGTTGCCCATATCGCAGATATATGCGGAGGTTCCGTGTTCAAGTAGAAGATTTACCAATTGGTGGTTACTGTACCAAACCTTTTGACAGATGGTATGAAGGGCATTTTGATGCTTGTTATTTAGTGAATTCACATCAGAGCATTTCTTGTAAAGCGGCTCGATGCCAACTTTAGAATCCACAGGCGGTTCTGGACCGGTCAGATGCAGAACAAAATAATTTCCTACGAATTGGAAGAGAACCAGAGACAGTCAATCGAAACAGAACTCAATCGGGCTTAACCAGCCTCCATTTTTCAGCGCTGAATGCGACATGCAGAATGACTGCATTACTACTAAAACATGGCGCTGATCCAAATGCTCGCTCCGATAATGGCGACAACCAGAGCCTGCGTTATCAACATGATCCTGGCTAATGAGAGTATCGATGTCAACATAGCAAACGACCAAGGGGACTATCCGCTACATGTGATTCCCTTCGACGAAAGTTACGCGTTGGCTATCCTATCAAACCTTTACGAGAAAGGAGCCGACAGGTCAAGTTTGAACCAGGCTCATCAAACCTGTCTTTATCTCGCCAGCAAGGCACTCAATTTGGAGGTGGTTCGAAGACTCATGGATGAAAAAGACAGTGACGTTAGGTTGTTGGACAACAGTGACCTGAGTCCTATTCACCATGCCGTGCGTCGCGGACATCTAGATGGCGTACGTTTCATGTTTGAGCGCTGTGAAAGGGAGCATCCGCAAACTTGGCATTTGCCTGAACCACTTTGGCAAAAGTCTTCTACATCATGTTGAATCAGATTTCCCCTTCATGGAGATAATCGAGTTTCTTTTACAGTGCGGCTGCAAAGTTGACCACCCTTGATGCAGATGGAAATTCCGCCCTTAGCTTATATTTAAGTTCATCTCGCCTTTGTATTCAAAGCGATATATTCTTCTTTCTTGTGAACGAAGGTGCCGATCTATTCTGGGTCGGCCGTCACCAACAGAATATAGCGCACCTCTTGATGCGCCATACGGAAGCCGACACATTGGTCCTCGAGTATTTATCACACCGTGGCTTGGACCTAACAGCAACTGATGCTGAAGGGAAAAAATTCATGCATCATGGCGCAATCCATGGGGTGTTCACCAATGACTTTGTGCAATTTCTTCGAGTTAATGGTATTTTGTACCTGGATGTCAAAGACACTATAGGATACACATCCCTCAATTACGCAGAAGAACAGGCTAGTCGTGGATGGCCAGAAGACATCTATCTTGGTTATGATCCATGGCAGAAATCATTCTATTACCTGGGAATGCATATCGTCCGGAAATCATATGAATGCAGCATCCATACATGGGCCAAGGGCCAAGTGCCAATTCCTCATTATTTTTCGTTCCAGGGTCACAGAGCACCAACAGCGTGAAATTGCCGTGAAACGAATAACACATGGCAGGCTCAATTTGTTCCTTCCGGTATCGAGGCCGGCGTTGTGCTACAGCCTGGTTGGTTGGTTGGTTTCATTTATACCCTGGCCCCTCGCAAATAAAGCGATATGAAGGCTACTACAACTGTAACCATCTTTGAATCTCTATCCTACATAAACTCATTTCTCACGGGCGGACTTGGAGGTGGGGGAGAATCTGATGCTTCGTGAAATCGCAGAGAAGTACCTTGAGCATAGGCTTTAAATGAAAGGTGCGCAAGCTATCGGATAGTCGATAGCTAGAGGTAATATGCGTACAGCATATGTCTTGTGTGTTAGTTGTGTCGACGACTTCGTGATCGGGCCGCTCGCACAAGGTTTTGTGTAGTATGCTCCTGTGATACTTTAACGTATCTCCTTCGATCATTTTATCTTGGGTATGGTTACCAAATTTCACTCCATCTTGTTTTTAATTTACAGCTAGAGGCTGTGCCACATCTACTAGATCGTAAGGAAAAATGGTCTTCTCACCGAGAGCCCCCTTGAGTTATTAAGGGCTGTAGTCATTGTATTTCCGTGTCTTATGCGTATTGTTAGTTCGGCGATATAAAGGTAGTTTCAAGAGAGAAGCGATTATGTCCAAAAAGGGTTGCTATTTCGACAAGGGCAATCAATAGCTGAACAGTAGACCCATACAGAGCTTCCAGTCTCATCCCAATTGGACGGTTTGCGGGAGTTCTAACTGTATGAAGACTTTCGGATCCCTACTCCGTAAATGTGGATAACTTTACGAGCTGGCCGGATGATGCTCCTGGTCCTCCAGGGACCTATGATTTAGGTGCATATGAGATCATATGAATGAAGCTGCCGGAGTGAATATCATGCCCTGGGCGGCATATCAAAGCGGACAGGCTGACTGTATGCCTGCGTTAGTTGGCCGGAATAACCGTCAAGTCCGTTTTGCACCCGGTCGTATGGTCTTCTTGGTATCTAGATAGGCTATCCATTCACGTCGGATACCCGAACTAAACCCGCATTGCCGTTCCGGTGATACAGAGGAGCTACGCAGCAAATACGCACATAGGCTACAGCTCGCGCTCATCTGACAGGATATCCGCCTCTAGAAATTTAAGGTTAAGCACCCGATGAACATTCCACCCTGACGTAACCGGCCCGTCCTAGTATTCCAGGGCCAGTCAGTCAGAATAGTCTTCCCGCAAGGTATAAATATCACCAGTCCCTCGACTCGTTCACGAATGAGGAACCACCAAGTCCAAAGCAAGATTCAAAGAAGCCCGAAAAGTTCATCAATCACCAAAAATGCAGGAACCAACCTATGACTCGAGGTAAGCATCTCCTGTCTACGCGCCAAGCTCATCAACTCAAAACTAACTCGCATAGCCGGCCCATGCCAGCCCTTAGCATAGTCTACGCCTACAAGCTCGTCAACTGCCCTGGCAAGACAATTGTTGGGCTGCGCGTGGAATTCCCCCCGAACGGATCGACTCCACCCCACCGGCACGGCGGCGCCTCGGTTTCTGCCTACCTCATCAGTGGCACGCTGTTGAACAAGATGAACGACGACCCGATGAAGGTTATCGAGGCGGGAGGCACATGGTACGAAGCCCCGGGTTGCCACCACCGCATCAGTGACAACGCTAGTGAGACTGAGCCGGCCACTCTGATGGCGGTCATGGTTCTAGACTCGGAGATATATGATCGTGATGGGATGGCAGCGCTGCTCCAGATCGATGAGGAGTATCGGTAGATTTAAACACCGAGAAGTCTAGGTTCTTCCTGAGCGAGGAGGGTGAGTGTACTATAGATAGGTGTGGAAAGAGACAGAATGAGTTAGAGATTCTGTCGATGAAGGGCATGTCAATACTGTCAATTCACCGGTAGTACACCGTTTGATGTAGGGTCTATCAGTGGGTTAGAGATTTTCGCTGTCGCTGGATCTAGTCTTTCTTTTTCCGTCGAGATTGGACCTAATAATTATACCACCTCCTAGTAGACCGGCTTCCTCAACAGCCAGCGTTAGCTAGACTAGCTCTTTTTCGTAGCGGACAAATAATCAAAAATATGAAAATTAGTAGTGCAGGGTTTCGGTAAAATCAATCATTGATTGTAGGTTATGTCCCTAAATACAAACAAAGTACATACTTTTATCATGGCTAGCAGAGAGGTAGAGAAAACCAATTAGATGTAATAGATGTAATAGATGTAAAAACATTAAATCGTTAACTGTGTTTACTTGAAAAACCTGACTCCATTTTGATTTTGAACGTAAATCTTCTACGGACTGTTTTGACCTGGGAAACAGATAAGACTCAACATGGGGCGAAAGATAGATCGACAGACAACCCTATATTTTTATAACCACCTTCCCATAGCCAGAAGCCTTTGAACTAGCCTGTTCATACGCTTCCTGAGCCTCCGACAGCTCAAATTCTCGCAGCACAAACGGTTTCAACCGGCCTAATTCCGCCAAGGTCGCCAATTTCCTCAGCGCTTCAGCATCACTCCTAACAATAAAAAACAAAGCCCTCACATCCTCTTTCCCCTTAGAAAAGCCACTCTTTCTGTGGTCACTTACAAAATCAAAGCTCCCCGAATCAACCGATATCAAAGTCCCATCCCCCGATATCCAAGACCAACACCTTCGAAGAATCGCACCCCCAACAGTATCAACGATAAGATCAAAAGAACCTTCCACATTCTCCCCTAAAGCAGAGTACTCTACCACCTCATCAGCCCCCAACCCCCTAAGAAACTCCGCATTGCGCACGGTAGAGCTAGAAGTCGCCACAACATGCAGACCCGCCACCGCAGCAAGCTGAACCAGATAAATGCCCACACCACCAGAGCTCCCGGTAATCAAAACCCGTTTCCCAATCATCTCTTTTTCCCCAACAGCATTCGGAAACGGGAGACCTGCATGCCTAAACAAAGCCTCAAAAGCCGTCAGCCCGCTTAGAGGCAAACAAGCAGCCTCCTCCCACGTCAGGTTTTCGGGCTTCAGCGCGACCTCATCCTCACGCACGATCGTGTATTCAGCCCATGTTGTGCCTCGGTCGGCGTGTGTCATTCCGAAGACTTCATCGCCGCGTTTGAATTGAGTGGTGGTGGTGGTGCTGCTGCTGCTGCTGCTGTCCGGATTGACGAAGACGTCTTCTACTATCCCGGAGAAGTCGTGGCCTGGGATCGCAAATTCGGCCGCGTATGTTTCGGGCCAGGATAATTCGTCGCGGATGGCTGTTGTGGCTTTCACTCTGATTAGGATTTCTCTTTGGCGGGAGGGTCTGGGGATTGGGATCTTGTCGAGCTTTAACGCGGACGGTGGAGCCGGGTTGGAGGGGGAGTAGGGCTTTGAGTCCTTGGGGGCGGGATGAAGGCGGATGGCTTGCATTTCCTAACGAGTCTGAAATGAAGGCTTTCGTGGGGGAATTAGAAGAATGTATGAAGATGGGAGAAGTCTCGTAGATTTAGTACTGCGTTTGAGTGTGGATGATTACAAGAGTCAGGGAGCCAGTGAAGAATTTATGGCTCGGGAGACTCCCTCAATAGCAATAGCCTATTGTTAATAGCCTACCGTGGGTCGATGGGGAGGGGGGTTCTCCGGGAAATCTGTTGCCATATACGATTACCAATCATGGGAATATCAATTTCTTCCTTGCTCTTTGAATCATCCAATATGTCTACTAAGCCGTTGTTTGGGCGTTTCACGGCCTGCACTCGGCCCGGGTATTCGGGTATGAGTGAGAGCGAAATAAGATCCCTCCTAGAAAGACATGGTAATGATAAGAGTGTCTTGTTCCTCAACGTAGACCAAATCAGGTTACCCTTTTTTACCCTGAAAGGCATGCTGCAAGGATATACATTCATTATCAATCATTCCATACCGAGAGAATGCTGCGGGCAGCAGATCACATTGATCCGCGGTATTCATCACAGCCACTTCCACAGCATTTATACCCTTTCAACTGGTAGTGGTAAATATTAAATCACATATTACGAGCCATCGCCCACACCCCACGGGAGATCATTCAGATCACCAAGGTTATACCATCCACACAGATCCTGAATAGAGTCGAGAGAAGAAAGAATATCAGTGTCGTTGCTTAGCACATCCGTGCTCGAACCCAGACTTCCATCTCCTTCACCAAAAGTATGCAAACCTTGGGTGGAATTCGACGCATCGCTATTGCATTCCACCCTAGACCCAACCCCAAGCACATACTGACCAATCGTCTGTAGCTCGCCGACATTTCTCGCTGTTCTCGGCCACACCTCGCCAAGAACCCTGAGACACCCGATAGTCATCCGGATCTGGTCTCTTGCGATTGCTAGATCTTTGCCCTTAAATAAAAATTTGCAGGCCGAGAGCAACGCCAGTGTTCCCTCACTCACCATGCAAGTGGTAAAAGGAGTGTGGCAGAATTCTTGCACGGGCAGGGCCAGGAGGCGGATTTGTGCCTCCACGGATCGCAGGACTCGCACGGTGTGTACATTGACAAGATCTGGGGTTGGAGTATCCAGGGGTGGTTCTCGGGCACAGCTAGAAACGTCCTCTATGGCATTGAATTTGAGGGTTGAAAAGGGCCTGTGTAAGCCGATCGTTGCGCTAAATATGTCATGAGATCGAAACAGTAGGTTAAGTAGGATAGATAGGAGACCCTTACACATGTATCACGAGGTGAGCTTGGAACATGAGCTCGTCAATGTCCCCAGTATTTGTCATGACCTGCTTGGAATTCTTCGGTAGTAGAAGCCGCCATCCATCCAGACTGCAGTCAGCAGCTTGGATAACATGCGTTGAGTCTTCTTTGGCGGCTATCTTCGGTGCGACAGATATCGCCGATGCCGCGCATTGTACGGCGCCGATGAGATACGCGAAGGAGGAGAACGTGGTACTCTCGGGGCTGAATTCGCGGCAGTTGAACTCTTCCATAGTTTTGGGCTCGGGGATATTCTGTACTCGGTCAGCTGTGTAACCCCCCATGAACAACTGAATAGACTGGAGATTGCCCTGGGACAAACGCGATCGTGCCAGCACTCACCCCCGACTCGTACTCGGACTCTTCACAAGGTAACTCTACAGTAGCAGCGATGTCCACGACCGCAAAGTTCATCGTCCCCAGAGTGCCGGCGTAGTATGCATCTACGATGAACAGCATCCACCATGTTCGCCTCCAGCTCTCCCTCAGCACGGGATCGTTGGCTCCGCGCGACGCTGCAAATTCTTGACGAAACATTTGGAGATCAATAGCGAGGTTGGTTGCATTGTCCATTTCCTTTTTGGCGTCGGCCTTCTGGTCATGCCAGAAGAGGGCCATAGAATATAAGAGGCGACATTGGACCATGATCGGGTCGGATGGGACGGCTTGTGCAAAGCAGGTTTCTGTGTACTCCTGCAGCGGTATTGACCAACATTTTGAGGTATAAATATCCCCGATTAAGCGTAGAACTGCAATGAGAGGCGTGAACCCGGACTGTCTGCCCAGGTCCTGACACCTCCTTGCCAGGTGTGTCCGCGGTAAAATGAAGGGATGCGATTTATGAAAGTTCTTGTAGTAAGCATCGACCATGGCATCGTCCTCGATGTTGATGATTCCAGCGACACTCGATACAGTCACGGGAATGTTTGATGTGCCATTACCACTCATGGCCGTATCGGCCCGTTCGTGGACCTGTCCAATCGTTACGGGCCGCTGGGGGCTCGAGCCGTCAATAGATGAGGTGCTTCCAGAGCCATCTGTTGCAGTGAGTCTTTTGCGACGCTCTGCCAGCGCTGCGCGGTCCAGCCCCCCGCGACGTGACGGGGCATAGTTGCACTGCTTGCCCGCATCAGTGCAGCGGGCGCAACACGGACGTTTGCCGTCGCATTTTAAGTGACGTGAACGGCAGGGGAGGCAAGCCAGCGAAGATCGCGTAGCTCTTCTGCTCTGCGATGTCGATGTAGAACTCATGTTGTGAACGGGGTTTGTGCTCTAGTAGTTGTCGCAGCTTAGTTTGCAGAAGTGCGGGTATTCGGGTATCCGATTGAGTTCTGAGTAATGCTTGGCATTTTCTTAGTAGTTGGCGGGCATCTGCCCTATTTGACTGTTAAATACACATCCCAAACACGTATTTCCCCCTCTACTTCCATAATATAATCAATCATGTCACTAGTATGTTGTACAGGGTTTGAAATGGACATGGATCTATACGAGATCACGTGATCCTAGTGGCTTGGCCGGATCACCGACTTCCAACCCCTGAAGGCTCTCGGGCCATGGGGATTTTGCAGCATATCATGAAATACGCCATCATTCAGACTACCTGGCAACCTGCTCCTGCAACAGGCTAAAGTCTCCCGCCCACTTTTTCTTCTGTCCTTATACCAGGAAGCGCTGAAGGGATAGATGGAAGTGTCTCAAGGCGGGCCCGTCACAGACAATTGACAGGCTCCTTAGTACAGCTGCTGGGGCTGAAGAGTTCAGCCGCATCGTGCAAGATTCATCCTTCTTCAAGGATATATGCCCAAACTGGACACGCTCAAGCACTAATTAGTGCAACAGTCTATACTTCTACCTGGCTAGAGGCGGACGGCATCTCCTTCTATCTATAGGTAGCCAAAGCAGGTCCCCACCTCCAGAAGACCCGGCCAGGGAAGTGCCAGGCGCTTCTTCCATTCTTTTCCAGCATATATTGTTCAGATTTGTTACTTCAAGCATGTATTTAGCTAGTTCCTAGCGGATTTTTGTTTCGGTAGCACGTCCAGTTGCCCCTAGGAAGGTCGCGGATCACGTTGCCGCGTGATCTGCCGAGTGACGTTAAATAGTAACCAAACCAAACCAAACCAAACCAAAACCCCTGAAGGCTTTACCCATTAGTTAGAGAAGAAGTCGAGAGAGTCGGTAGAGTCGTCCATAGGATCGAGTATCTATCGAATGGCATCCGCTCCTCAGTAGGCTACGTACGTGTAGCTGATACAGCCTCATTCTGCCCATCGTTTCCCTGAGATCACAACAGAAATAGACTCCTCTACTTTACTGCTCGTCTATAAGATATAAGTTCGGATAATCCACAAGCTGCATGCGCATATCTAGGGTAAGCGTGGCTTCTGCAGTGATGCCCAGCGCGCATGCATGGGAAGGAGGGGCTGGTTTGATCGGGCAGGTCAGGCTGCTGCCCTTAACTACTACCACCACTACTACCACTACTACCACTACTACCACTACTACCACTACTACCACTACTACTATTACTAACACTACTACTACTACTTACAAAATTGAGATACAATAAGTAAAACGAAGTGGGGCAGCTTACGGACTATGCGCTCACACCCCCACTACCACGGAACCCGTCACTAATCCTCTTTTCTCATACGGGTTTGATACACTCTACCAGGTCTGATTGGTCAGGCGGTGGCCTCCTTGGTATCTCTAGATCAAGATTTCTATGGCGCTGGGAGCTCTCCTGACGGTGCCGGTCAGTGAAACAACCCTTTGGGGCCATTATTAACGCTGCTAGCATTCATCGAAGTTTAATCCACTCGCTCTGAAGCTCGGATCACCCCCTCTAAACTGGACAGCTCCATTAGCCCTCAATGCGTGTATGTACGATTCACCGACGAGGGAGAAAGAACCATGGATAAAGCCCATCGTCCAGTCCACGACAGGGGCGTTGCCCCGGGAATAAGCCACTTGGTCCCAAAAACGCACCATGGCCGGGCCATCATCTTGGTTAAAACGAATCGCACCGCGGATACTATCGGCCATTTGGGTGCGAAGCTAGAGGACTGATGCATCTGTCTGCTTAGCGACCACAGGAGACACCCAACCCGCGACATCAAAATTCTCAGTAAAACCCAGTCTCACAGGGCTTGTAATATTAGAGTGACAAGATTCTCTGCCAATGTTGTTGGAGTCGCCCTCGTTTGGTACCCAAGAAGGGAGTCCCTTGAAATTTCGCATCCACCGAGCGCGGTCAATATCTCCTTCCACGCCGTTCGCGCGAGTAACACACGGAAAGTGTCTTTGATTTTCGGAGTAAAAATGGGGCTGACTTTTATACACCTGGGCAACTGTCAGGCTGTAATCGACCCGCAGCTCGGGTGGTATACTTTGCGGATCCCGGGCCTCGGCCGCCAGGCCCGTAAGGCCGTAGATTTTGTCGTCGGCAGGCAGGTATGGAACTTTATGGATGTGGAGATCAAATCGACATTTTGGATCCCCTTGGTATTTATGGTAGCCTCAAGTACCCATTGCGTCACAACCAGAATGTAGCACACGCAAAACGATCCCATCCATATTGTTGACGTCCGCGGATAATGACAGGGTCAACTTGGGATAAGGCTACTTCCAGGATGAACCATACCCGAGTGAACCGCTCCTCCTTGAATGGCCGGGCTAGGAGGTTCCATCGAACCTCACTCCACGCCGGAAGGCCATGGTCGTTATGATCATCACCCGCGTACATGGCAAATAGGGTATTAGTGCGAAACGGGGATTCTGGATTTCTCGACGATATACCATGTATATCTCATCAATCAATGACCACGCCTGTGAACGCGCATCCCCATCAAGCCCAGACCCAATCAGAGTGCAAATCTCCTTTGAGTATATGGACCCCATGAGCAGTACTTGCTGTGCTTTGTCTTTCGCGGCCTCTTGGAGTTTCTTTCGTTCTTCTTTGGGCCGCTAGCCTGCCTCACGGGCAGTGCCTTGGTTAATGCAAATCTGATCTATCCATATCCACTCCACGCGGATACCGGAGTCCTCTCCTTTCATCTCCCTCAATCGTCGGACTGCCTCATCAAGATTTGCTGTCACAGAGAATTGTATCGTTGATGCTGATTTGTTTGACTCGCTTGGCTTCTTCCCTGCAGTAACTTAGAGCATAGTACGCCAGTGCGGAGTCCAGCTTGAAAGTACTGTTTTCACCAATCAGACCATCCGGGTGACTATCAGTCGTATGAAACCGTCGATACGGCCCTGATCCAAAGGCGTGTATTCAAGAGTGGAAAGCTTCGTGCCAGAGTGACCCCAAAAAAGGGAAAAAAAAAAAAAAAAAAAAAAAGACGGATGGTATGTTTTGCGTCAGTATTGGCAGTGGGATTGAAGGGTGAGTGAGGAAGACCTTCCCTCCTCAGCCATTTAACGACTATCGATCAGTACGGATTGATCTAGCGCCAGTAAAAGCAGCTAGGCCCAATGTCCGTATCCCAGACGTGAGACACTTGCTGCCAACGAATTGGCTGCCTTATGAGGCTCGCGGGTCACGTCAGAAAAAAAACGAATAGCCAATAATATCATATCAATAGGGCGGAAACTGGGGGTAAAGCAAGTGTTTCCTGACACTGAGGACACTGGCAAGGCCCTTGGGAAAACTATTGGGTCAGCCTACCCTAATCCATTGTATCTGAAGGTTATAATAGATACGCCGAGCTGGGCTCATTCTCCACAGCATGCGCGCTATATCTGGACATTAATTCTGCTCGTACATACATAGCCCGAAGTATAATATCAACAATGTAATTACGACGAGGGTCAATAATGCCTTAAGCTATGTACTAGCCATCGCAGGATATGCACCTCTACCTAATGAGGATTATCCTCATTTTGATCAAAATGCTCCCTAGCCCACGGGCTCCTCAGCCGAATAGCCCGACCCATATAGAAGAAGATGAAAGGAATAGGCACCAATAGAATAGCCAAAAAGCCCAGCAAGCTGGACGCCCATTCATAGTTCAAGCGTTCATACATCTGCGTCGCGAACAGGGGAAATCCCGCACCAACCAAGTTCCGCACAAGAATGACACCCGCCAAGGCCGACGCCGAATAGGTCTGGTAGCTGTCCACCACGTAGTTAAGGATACTCAGGATGACTATGTATATACCGGCTCCAAAGAAAGACGAGGCGATGATCGGCACGATCCAGTGCACGGATCGGTAGCTCGTCCAGCCGAACCAAAAGAGACTGATCGGAATGAATATGGCACCTAGTCGGGCCATCCACATGCGTGCTTCGGGAACGCCCTTGCCATCGTTTTCTTTGACTCGGCGCAGGTAGTACCGTTCTTGGAGGGGGTAGAAGCAGAAGGCGATGATGGGCCCGATGGCCATGCCAAGAAAGGTGAGGCCTTGCTGGCCGACATTGAAGCCATGGCCCTTTCCAGGGCCGAAGACGAGCGGGAAGGCCTCGTTGAAGAGATAGACCAAGCCGTAGAGAAAGCCGTTGTAAATTGCGGAGAATAAGGTAATGGGCTCGGTGAAGAGGAAGCGGAACAGACGAGTGAGGGTGATCCTAAAGAGCTCGTCCAGCCCCTTTCGTCCGCTGGCACTGGCATCCGTGAGTGTCTCGGCGGATTTCAGGTTCTCCTTTTTCATCAGCTTGTGCACGCGGTTGGCTTTCCGGCGTAGAATTATCGTGTGTCTGGTTTCCGGCACCGTAAGCACTAGCAAAGTCCACCACCCGCCGGTAATGGCCATCATGATCCAGAAGATCCACCTCCACCCGAGATCCAGCGCCATGTATCCGCTGACGACGAGCGCCATCGGCGGCCCAAAGGTGCTGCTAAGGCCGTATACGGCCATGGGTCCACCGCTAGAATTCCTGTGCCACAGGTCACTAATACTTCCGCCAGTGTTCGTCAACGGGGCCCCTCCTGCAAACCCAGCAATGAATCGGCAAACGATGATTCTCCCGATGTTCGGCGCAAGCGCGATGGGGAGCTGGAAGATGAAAAGGAGGAACCATGACACGACGTATACAGGCTGGCGGCCGAAGTATTCGGAGAGAGGGGCGAGTAGGACGGGGCCAACAGCGTAACCTAGGACATAAAGTGAAAGACACAACGTGGTGACCTCCGCCGACACTCCAAATTCCGATTGAATGGCGGGCGCACCGGAGGATATACTACCTGCGCACCACGTTCTAGCCCTTTATCAGTCATGCGCTAAATCATGCTTAGACCGTCAGGACGTACGTGATGACATTGAGCATGCTCACCATGATGGTGATGTACCATTTCCGCCATTTTGGCCAGCATCGCGGGTTATCGCGATCGTTGTGCGAAAAGATTATACACAAAGGTAACGCTTCATCCGGGTTGTTCCTTGCTCGGATCAAGGCCTCCTCTTCTGTTACCCTGAGAGACAGATTGTCGCTGTATGAACTCGAGATCTTCTGCTCCAGGGAGGTATCATTAGTGCTAAACCGGCTTTGTTCGATCGACGTCATCGCTCAGGAACAGTTAAGGATAATGCGAAGGTGTTCATCGCGAGAGGGAAAGGGGGCGAGCCGGTAGAACTCGGCTTGGGCGCAAAGATTAGTCAAGGGAGGTTGTGAGGTTGAGTTTGGAGAAGCATGGTTCCAAGGCATATATCTCCACCGGGGATCTCCAATAAGACGGCTGGCCATATCTGCCGACTCCCCCATATTTCGGGACTGCGAAGCTTTTGCCCAAGCTTTTCAATGAGGTGCTTGGCTGCCGTGGTCCTCCGGCCCACAGTCTGAACGACGATCAGTGGTCTTAGCCTCGAGGTTCACTTCCCTACGGAGATAAGTATCTGAACTCTGAAGCGCTTGGTAAGATGATCGACTAAGGAGCAGAGTTTTTGGTATTATGATTGTGGTTGTGTCTCCGAGAGGCGAGGAATGCGGGTCAGGTCTCGAGCTGCGAAGTCGACGCAAGGGATATAAGGGGATATAATCAATTAATAATGGGAGGTCCGTAGAAATAATGCTCAAATAATTCAAAATAATTCAAACAAAAGCAGCTCCATCATCGCAAAAAATCCGATTCTTTCTAGTGGCCTTTGGACCAGTACCTCCGACTGTCCTCCACCACCTTCTCCTCCCATACACTCACTGGCCCAATAACTTCCACTTCAGTCTGGCCCCTTTGAAAGAGCATCCGACATGGCAAGTCTAATGTGAGATTCTCGGGATTTCCCTCCCCAACGATGTCCTGCAAGGCTTTCTCTGAAGCCAGAAACACCAACCGTCCGATGTTCGCCCAGTAAATCGTTCCCGCGCACATCGCACAAGGCTCCCAGGTGGAGACGAGCGTCGACTGGGCCAGATACTCTCGTGCGAAATTATCTGCCGCGTTCCGAGCCAGTTCAGCCTCTGCGTGTCGGACGTGGGACAGAGACAGGGAGGACATCACGATGGTGCTATTATCTGGCGCCAGTAGCAACGCGGCAAATGGCCGTTTCGAGTGGATGTCTTGCGCCGTTCTTTGTAATTCCAGGCACGCCGCGGCGGCAGCAGACAATTGTTGCTCGGTTAAGGGAGGCATGGTGTGATGATAGGCTGGATTGGAAGCTGCGATATCAAATATAAGGCTTGATCGTTTGAGAGAAGATCCCCGGCTTTTAGATCGGTCAGAACGGTGACTTCCGATATCTTCTCCGCACGGTCGGAGTTGTCCGCGCAGATATAAGGTAGGTAAGCAATGATAGTACCTAGGCTAATATATTTGGTTGTTGTGCTACATCTGCATCGCTATTCTTCACCTCGGCTTCAGAAATCGAGCCCTCTATTCTACTGCTCCGATTGACTCGGTAGACAATAGATGTATTCTATGTCCCCAACAAACGCTTTTATAGGACCATGTGAATGATCGCAGGTCCAGCTGAGTCTAATATACACTACACATTGGCTATCAAATCTTTCAGTTTGACATGTTAACCCATTGATGCTATTCGAATAAGACGAACCTATCAACCAGAGGTGTGTTCACCACCTAGTAATTGAACGCTCATTTATCCACATATATACCGGCATGTACACCCCAGACCCAATGACTCACTTATCACATCCGAGCATCCTGGTTCTTGATGTATATACCACTTCCCTCAGTCCATACACCCCCGGACCGTACGTAAGATCGTGCCCTAGCAACATATCAAAGGCCAGACGAACCAATCCTCGACATAACCCTATTCCCAACATCATCCATACACGATCCACAAGATACAATCCTTAAACCCAACCCCCATAAACCAAGATCCCAAGATCCCAACCGTAACACAAACCCCAAAAACTCCAAAATACACCGACCCGGCACATTTCCCCCCAATCTATAAAACCCCAGCCCCGTCCCCTTCCCTTCCTCAACCCAAAAACCACACCCGAGAAAGAAATCAAAATGCACCTCCCTATTCTTACCGCCCTCCTCATCCTCCTACCCCTAACAACCTCCAACCCAATCCCCCTCGATCTAAGCCCCCTAACCACAGATGCAACCCCCATCCTAAACGACCTCACAAAGCTAACCACCGACCTCTCAACCCTCACAACCGCCATAAAATCCTACACCGGCGGCCTCATCCCCGCGCTCGATATCCAGCGCAAGGAAATGATCGTAGAAAGAGATCTAGAGCAGGCGACTAGCGACACAGAGGCCGCGACGCCGTTCACGGTTGATGAGAGTGCGGCTGCGACGAGGGCTTTGTTGGGCCTTGAGCCGGATGTTAGGGAGGCGCTTGGGGGGCTTATTTCTAAGGTAATTTTTTTTTTCTTGGGAGGGAAGGGAATTCAAGGAGAAGCTGATATGATGCAAATGTAGAAACCACTCGTGAATCAAGCTGGAGTCGGGGCGGTTGTGAGGATGGATCTGGTGAATTTGAAAAGCAAGACGGGTCTGCTTTCGTCGGCACTGCAGGGGAAGGCGACGGAGATGGATCGGACAACGCTCGCTTCTAAGACGACGGAGTTGATTGCTGGTTTTGACGATGCTATTCGGGCGTATTCTTGACATTGAATTGTAGTTTAGAGTACTGGGGCTGGGGGCGTGCTGGTCCTGGTTCTTCTATTGTTATGCGGTGAACTTGTTGGTTTGTTTTTATGGATTGATTTGTATAAGGCAGGTTAGGATATGTTAGCGAGATGCTCAAAGCTTTGAAGCCAGGTATTTTACTAAGTTAACGGAGACCATATCGCGAGGGAACGATTAATATAACAACGATCAAATTCAAAGTTCTATAAACATCGAGCCAAAGTTGCCCCCATCACACCAACCATCAATCAGCCTGTTTTGAAATTCGCCGGACCAGCCCAAAGACGCATCTTCTTCCCTGTCGCTTGCAACAGCAGTATGATCAGGAAGGAAAACACGATGATCCCGGTCATGGTACCGAACTGCCTTCGGGCGCCCTGCTTATTGGACCACTCGACCATGAAGTAGCTTACGATAAATCCACCGGCGGTACGACCGAAGTTGATCCACGCGGCCACTTCGCCGCTCGCCTCTGGGTAGCTGTCAAGGACGTAGGCGTTGGTCGCAACGGTGACGATCATGATCCCGAAGACGTAGCAGCCCCATCCCAGTGCGGCGAGCATGTAGTGGTACGCGCCTTCCAGGGCGAACCCAAGGAGGATGAGGCCGGCGATCATGAAGGGTGTCGCGACCCAAATAGCGAGGAGACGGGCTTCGGGCTCCAGACGACCTTTGTTCCGTCTGGTTGCGAAAGCTGCGAGGTAGTCATGAAGCCAATGCCCGGCCAGTTCGCCGAGGATAGCCGCCACCACAGGGGTAAAGTAGAAGAATCCTGAAACTGTCAGTAGCGGCGTAATCGAGGGATAATGGTTAGCACATACCGATTTGCTTCGGGCCGAATCCGTACAGCGGGCCAACGAATATAGAAAGCGTAGTGTTGATGCCCACCACCCAGGCGAACGTCAGACAATAGTAAATCGTAGACAGAAACACGACCGGCTTCAAGATCATGGTGATCGGGCGCATGACTGCATCTTTCGGTGAATTGATTATATACCCGGTACGACGCTGCTGGATTCCCAGCAAACGCTGCCAGCGCGGACCGTTCGGAACTAGTTCCGGCTGTTTCGTCTTGCGATCATAGTAGGTTTCCTCAACGAATAGGATGATTGCGATCAAGCAAAGTCCGGTTTCGATGGCATACACACCGAAGGCCCACCGCCAGATCTGGGTATTCGTGATGAAGGCCGCGAACATCGGGCCCAGGTAAGGCGAACAAACGATAAACCCGGACCAGATGTTGATCTTGCGCGCCTGCTCGTGCAGAAAGAACATGTCTTTGACGAACATGAGGCCACCCTAATCTAGTCAGCGTCGGGGGTCAAAAAGGGGGTACTCCAGCCACTCACTCCCTGTGTAACCGTGGAGAAGAATCCGTTTAGGATACGGGCAGCCTACAGATATCAGATACTATCCCTGTATAGCGGCATGTGGGCGTACCATGAAGGACTCAAACGATTGCGCCGCAGCGCACCAGACAGCAGTAGCGAGCGCAATCACCACGAAGTAGAACAACACCGGTAAACGGCCAAAGTACGCAGCCAGAGCGACGACAAAGGGACCACCAGCTCCCAGCATAAATACATTGCCGACCTGCGAATGGTTCACATAGTCTTGTGTCATATTCCATTGTCTAGCAGCGGGTTCGGGTCAGTAATGCCTCTTCTTTATTGGAAACGACTGTCCTTACTCAGCTTGTTGGATCAGCGTCACCGCACCCGTAGCACTTCCATAGTCCGGCAGGAACGCCGTCACGGATATGATCACCAGGATAAGGTGTTTTTTGAACGATGGCCAATTGAGGGGGTCATTCGGAGAGCTGCTAGGCTGCGGGATGAGCACCGTGCGACCATCCTCCGTGGTTTGTAGGTTCTGGTTTTGGGCGAGTGAAGTGTCGAGGAGGTAGCCTTCGCGCTCTCCTATCTCCTCAAGGTCGACCGCGGGATGACCCTTTTCAGTGTCCGAGGACTCCGTGGGTGAATGCGGGGAGTGACCGATATCCATGTCGCTGTCTGCAGGGTGTACGTCTCAGAACTATGGGAACAAGGGTACCATGGATAAGGAATAGATGAGAAAATGGACTGAAACCAGAGAGAAAAAACGAAAGGGTTGGGGGGGGAAAGTAAATTGCGAAAGATGAGTTGCAGACATCAAGACTTTAGCCGTACTACAACATCCCCTCCCGTGGCACGGAAGCTACAATGTCGGACAGTGCGCCGACAGTGAATGTGCCAAGGGAATGGACTATTTCACTAATGTATCTTCCCTGTACTATTAGCTATTGGAGTGGGTCATGAACAGGCAAGCACAATGTTACTTCAGCACGGGGCAACTAATTACTTGAAACCTGCGCAAATTCCCGGGGAGAGCCGATCGAGACAAGGCCTGGACTTAGGGTTAGAATTTCCCGGACCAGCGCGGACTGGGGAATTAGTAACATCTTACCTTGTTTATTGAAGTTTGATGTCGCTAGAAGTCTTGCCACTAATGGTCTTTTCCATATTCCTGGGTTCTTCAAAACCAAGCCAATGCGAGTTAGCTTTCATCACACCGTCCGCCACCCGCAATAACAACGGCCTTGCATGTCGGCGATATCTGCATGCAGGGATGCATGTACAGTATCATGACGTGGCGCAGAGAATTGCCTTTCTAGCATTTAACCCATACGCGATCGGCTTGTTTCAGGCAGATAAATGGATTGCCTAGTCAAAAACGCACACACGCACGCCGAGGAGGTACATAATTGCCAACATGGGGGCCATAGAGTGGCTGGAGAAGGTCCACACGCCTAGTGGACCGTCGAGGAACTACGATCGACTGCTCTAGGCGAGTATGGTCAGTCAATTCAGTAGCCTTTCTCATATCCTGGCCATTCATATACACAAGTAACGGAGATATTTCCACCATTAGAAAGGCCGTCCTATCAAGACCCCAGTAACACCTTTTTCGCCCCTAACTCCAAATCTTGTGCATATCGTCCTATTCTAATTCTAGGCCTTAGTTTGCCGCTTACTTCCTTTTACCCTACTTTTTTGTTCTTTTACTTTTTCATTTTACCCGATGGTTCGATTTCTGACAAACTATCCACGGCGCGAGTCACTCACACCCATTTCCCCCGTCTGAATATGAATTTCCGTCGTCTTCATGATCCCTTGGCCTGCCTCTTCGGCGATAATTGGATCTTCGCTATCCCCATCACTCTTATCTCTTCGTGTAGTCGTCCAAGTATCCCCTGTATAATCACGGAGAGGGTAGTCCTGATTGTGGCTACCCAAATGGCTACCAAACTGAGCATACCCATGGCTGCGTTTATACTGTTCTCCGCTGTAAACCTTCCGAGCCGAACTAGTGTTCCGTTTCGACGACCGTTTATAGATAGCGATGTTGAATAGAGGCGTCAAGGTAGGGATGCACGCCGCCAGAATAATGAGGTATTGTTCGACCGCAATCCAGATGGCGAGATCGACCGTGTCCCAGGAGTAATCATCTCGGGAGCTGAGAGAGGCAAGATTGATAGTCTTGACGATCGCAGCTATCATGGCACTTAAGTTGGATTAGATATGCGTTCGGCAGTCCAAGTGGAGAACCGGAGACTGGAGACTTACATGATCCCCAGAGAGAGGACGCAGCCCAAGCCGATCTTGACCTTGCGGGCCATCTGTAGACCGGCAATGGTTGTTATGGGATATATCGCAAGGGCCAAATCCGAGAAGGCGGAGGAGGCTACATTGTCAGGGTAAACGTGGCAAAGGAAAGGAAAAGTAAAGGGCAAAGCCACACTTACATCCTTGAAAGAACGCATAGTTCTTCTGCACACTCGGCTCCCAGCAGGATCCATCGATGTCGGTATTCCACAGTCGCGCGGTCGGAGTGCATTGGCCGTAAATCGTGTACACGCACATCACATTGATGATCGTGAGGAGAACGATGCCCCCGTACATGGCCCATTTATGATGCTTCACCTTGCGGACGATCCGGAGCAGGAACATCGCAACCGATACCTTTCCCCAGTTCGTCGACATCACATGGAATCCCTGCGACAGCCAGTTATACTTGGCCGCCATGATGCGCTCTGAATCCGTCAGATTGACGGCATGTCGTCCAGTACCGTAGTGGGCACTGATCGTGATCAAGACGCTGTTGATAGTAGCGCAGACCTGCCGTTGTAAGAAACTGCTCGTGGATCTTCACCTGGGTTGCGACAAATCCTACCATCGCCAGAATGATAAACCCATCGTCCCACCCGAACGACCGGATAATGCGAGTGCGCGTCCAGATTCGCAGGATGATTAGGAGCGCACACACGCCGAAGAGTGGCCATGCAACCACCTCGATCACCCAGCTCCGGTTATGGGTGTCGTTTCTTGGTGCTGTCCCCGCCATGATAAACCAGGGAAGGATATCCAAGGGGACGGTAAAAAGCGCGATGTAGAACACGGCACACATCACATTTTTGATTCTGGCAGGGGGCGTTGGTTTATTCAGCACAGGAAACCCCAATCAAGTTGTCAACTGCAGGGATTACAATCCACAATCGGATGCGCCTAGACTGGGTTCATTTTATTTGCTAGAACCGGGGGGCCGAATAAGCCTGAATCTATTCGCAGTGGCCACTGCTGCCGAGGGTGCATGACAGGGAACTCCGGTCAGATCGGGCCACGCCGGACCCACAGGATGTATGATTCATGGAAACCATTTAGACTCCGAAATCAAAAGTACTGTCGCACAGGCAGGTCTCCTTCATGCGCTTCAAAGTGGAGATGGGGATATGTGCCACACAGGCTCAAGCACGGTTGCACGGGTTCCGTGGGCTCCATATTGCGAGGGAATTAAAAATTCAAATGGCCCCATGCCGGGGTAATATGTATCGGCACTATCTAGTGGAATCATCTATGAGAAAGTAGTGTCTCTTCACTTTGGGGGCCAGGGATTCCCGTCTGGCGTCGCATTTAAAGTGGATATCGGGTCGGGGCGTAGCCTGTCATGTTACCCCGACACTGGAACTAGTGAGTCTTCTGCATGATCCTCCGTAAACGAATGTTCAGCATATGTTCCTTTCTCATTTTTTTTTCCCTTCCTTACTCAGACAATGAGGAACTGAGAGTCTCCGAATGGTCTAACATTCGACAGGGTTAACATGGCATGGTCCACCACGAAACAATACCTAGACAGCAATCAACACTTTTAACCAGGCACCCATACAATCAATATATCTCCCCCCGTAGACACTCAATTAGATCCCAGTTCACATCTCTTCCTCAATCCTATAAAACCCATGCCCGTCTTCACCGAATTCGCCGCCTCAGCGCGCGAGCAACGAGTCCTCCGCTCCCTCGCCCCTCCCCTCCCCCGACTCACACCCCCCTTCCAGCCCCAAGACGAAGATGCAGAAAAAGAACAATACGAAGTCCTTGTAGTCGGAGTATACACACATCTCCCTAACCATCCCCCTCTAATCCCAAACTAACAACAACACAAAAGGCCGGCCCAGCAGGCCTCCTCCTAACGCTCCTCCTCGCCCGCTACGGCTTAACGGACTCCTCCCTCCTCTGCATCGACTCAAAACCCGCAATCCTCCGCTCCGGCCAAGCAGACGGCCTCCAACCACGCACACTAGAAGTCTTCAAACAACTGCACCTCTCTGATGAACTCCTCACCGACGGCTGCAGACTCTACGAAGTCGCCTTCTGGAACCCTAGCACCACCACCACCAACCCAAACATCAAATATCAAGGAATAACCCGAACCTCCATCGTCCCTGACATAACCGTCCCCACCCGCTTCCCCTTTGAAGTCACCCTCCACCAAGGCCGCGTAGAACGCATCCTCGAAGATGACCTCCGCCGCTACTCCCCGCGCGGAATCAGCCGCTCAACAACCCTAAAATCCGTCCAGATAGACACCGACGGGAACGCCGAATTCCCTGTGCTTGCGCATCTTGAGAAGGACGGAGTGGTCCGGAGCGTACGCGCCAAGTACCTGGTCGGCGCGGACGGGGCACATTCGGTCGTGCGGAGGTCGATGGGCGTTGCCCTGGAGGGTGAATCGACGGATTATGTCTGGGGGGTTGTGGATTTTGTTGCCGAGACGGATTTTCCGGATATTCGGCGGAGGACAGCAATTCATTCGGCGTCTGGTTCCGTGATGGTTATTCCAAGGGAGAGGATTGCGTCGGGGGAGTATTTGACGAGGTTATATGTGCAGGTTCCTGAGGGGGTGGTGGCTGCGGACGGGGATGGGGATGGGGATGGTGGGGGGGAGAGAAGGGCGCAGGTTACCCTTGAGGGGATTTTTGAGCAGGCACGGCTTGCGTTTGCCCCGTACTATGTGCGGGCGAGGGGGGAGGTGGATTGGTGGGCGGCGTATCAGATTGGGCAGCGGGTTGCGAGGACATTTGAGGTTAAGGATGGGAAGGGGGTTGGGAGGGTTTTGATTGTTGGGGATGGTGAGTTTTTCTTTTTTTCGTGGCTTTGATTTGGTGTAGAGGCTGATGGTTGGATTGTAGCGTGTCATACGCATAGTCCCAAGGTAAGGTGTCTGGCTTCTTCGTATATTCTCCCGAGGCTAACGAGACAAGGCTGGCCAAGGCATGAACGTCTCCATGATGGACTCATATAACCTCGCGTGGAAACTAGCCTACAGGCTCCACGGCTTGACACCCGACACCTCCATCCTCGATACTTACCATATCGAACGCTCCACCATTGCCCAGGAGCTGATTGAATTCGACCGTACCTTCTCATCCATGTTCTCTGGTAAAATGGGCGAGAATAACGGCAAAGAGACGCTGTCTCATGAACAATTCCTGACAGTGTTCAACACTGGCAACGGCTTCACCAGCGGATGCGGGATCGAATATCCCGAGAATCAGCTTGTCGACAAGCATGTCGGTGTCATTCCTGAGCAGAAAGATTATCTTTCAGGGATACTGCGTCCCGGACGGAGGTTGTTGAATGTGACTGTGAAGCGTCATGCGGACGGGTCGCCACGGGATTTGCAAGACAGTACGGTTCTTAGACTCTTGGGTTGATGCGTCATGGCTAACGATGGTAGATTTCTATGCCGGTCGCATCCATATCTTGGTACTTACGTCGGGTGATCTCTTATCTCCTGTGGGCGTGTCAGCGTCGACGATAAATACTATCGGTAGCAATGTCTTGCCGTCTTTCCCAGAATCTGTTGTAGAGTTGATTGTTATTCATCCGAGACTGTCTCGGGACTTTGTCTGGGAAGATGTCCCCGAGACGATCAAGGATCGCGCGGAGATGCAGTTCTACGATGGCGTTACTCTGCAGGATGTGTATCCCGTATATGGAGTTCCACCGGAACAGGGCATTTTGGCTGTGATCCGGCCAGATGGATACGTGGGTACCCTGGCCCGACTAGATGATGTTGATCGGATCGAAAAGTATTTACGACGGTTCTTGCAAAAGGTCTAAAAGATAGAGCGAACTGTGTGAACAGTCCAATTTCCTAATAATAGCTATGCAAACAATTAACAATTTATAGAATTCAATGCAATAAGTTAGCGCTTCCCATCACAGCGCGAGAATACGTTCCGCCGCACGCTCTGCGACAGTCACAATGTATGCCGAAGGGTTGGAAGTGATCATTCCGGGGAAGATACTGGCATCCACCACGAACAAGTTGTCAGTTCCGTAGACCTTGGTGTTCACATCTACCACGGCGGTTCCTCCGGTGCGGCCGTCGTCTGTGCCCATTTTGTTGGTTCCTACGTTATAATTAGCGGTGGTGCCTCATCAAAAGGGTTAGTTCGCTACTCACCCATCCAGTGATTCGCCCGTCGGGTTCCAGTGTTGATTGGCATCTATAGGGGTCAGCTGCATCCGAAATCCAACCGGGAACTGCAACTCACAGTCTTGACAAACTCAGGGATGGTGACGTTTGCAGCAGGATATTTCCAGGTAACTTCGGTGCTGTTCAGAGCCCTTTTAAGGTTCTGGATACCCTTGATCACGGCGTCAATGTCGGCTTCATCCCGCAGAAATGGCACCGTCGAGACCACCGTGTCCAGCCCAGGAGTGATGGTCATACGACCGCGAGAGGTTGAGCCTCGTCCAAGGTATTGACTGATAACCATAGCGTCTAGGGCACAGTCAGTATCGCGCAAGAAAGCCTCCATAGGGTAGTCAACGTACGTCCATCCGGGATGTCGTGGCCGCCTTCCACGCGAGCAGTCCATTGGATTTGTCGTTTGATACCGTCAGAGCCGGTGACCTCGTCGAAGATTCTACACGCGTCAAAAATCACGGTATCTCTAGCAGGTGGTGAACTTACATAGGACCGATGTTAGGTGCAGCCTGGGCGAGGATACCGGTACGGTTACCTATGTATGTCAGCGCCGAATGCTTCTTTGGGATGCTGCTACATACTCAGATAACTCTGCTTATCGCTTTCAATGGGGGTCTTATAGGCTGCTTTGAAGTCATAGTTGACAACATCAGGGTGAGTGATCACCACGTCGGTCTGTAAGCGCCATATTAGCAAGTTAACAATAAGTCCTAAAGGTAGCTCTTACATTGACGTGGTCGACCAAGTTGTGACCGACAGGAAGTTCAATCCACTCCGACTCAGCAATCATTGTCTTTCCATCGGTAGTAGAATTCTTGACAACGGCTAGCTGGTCCTTTGGACCGATACCGCCTGATGAATGGTTAGCAGGGTGCCTATCAGTATCGTAGAATCAAACGTACTTCGCATTAGGACCTTGGCAGATCCGAATGTTCCGGCCGAAAGAATGACTCGGCCCGTCTTAGCAGTCACATTGACTGTGCCAGCATAGCCACCATCCAGGGTCGCCTCAACCTCAACGCCGGTGATGCGTCCACCCTCACGGATGACCCTCCTGACAGTAGTATTGGACCACCGGTCAAAGTTATCCCTCTCGCTGGCCGACACCAGGTACGTCCCCATGGGTCCTCCTCGCTCACCTTGGGAGAACATAAACGGTGCGTCTCCAAACGTCTTAGTCTTCTGAGCTGGTTGATCGTTGAGAGTGATGGATTGCCATCCTGCCGCTTTCAAGCCCCGTGACAGCATATTGGCTCCTTCGTGCAGGTAAAGCTTTCCATCGACAGAGGGATGAACAGTCCCCGGGATACGCGAGAATACACGGTCTATAGAGGGCTGCATTTCCCCCGATCGCCATCCCGAGGGGAAGACATGATCCCAGTCGACTGGGTTCGGCTAGTCATGGTCAGCAAGGGATCCAGGGATGGCATCCAGATTTGGCTTACCCTCCACCACAACCCAGCATTGATTGCTGTTCCACCACCCAAAACGCATCCCGCCATCTGGTCGGTATCACTGCAAGCAATGCCGTTCGAGTCAACCCAGATCTGGTTGCACAAGCCGGGCACATCAAACCGCGTCAGGTTGGTACCGTCCAACCATTCGGGCTTCATCGTGCCGCCCCAGCGTCCAGAGGACGGAGGGCCCTTCTCAATCAAAAGTACGCGGTGTCCAGCCTCGCTGAGTCGATCAGCGACAGGGATACCTCCGGCACCGCCACCGACGACAATGTAGTCGTAGGTCGCACCGTCAGGTACAGGAACTGGAGTCGGCTCGTTGCCACCACCACCACCGGAGCACTCCCCGGGGACCGTCTTGTTAGCCAACTTGGCCCAGTTCTCGTAGGACTCACTGGCCGCGTTCTTGTCCAGAGTAGCCGCGATGATCCCCTGGTTGTCGTGCTGCGCTAAGCTGATAGTGTCCGGGCAAGCCGGGTTCTCTGGGTTTGCCGAGCCCTGCGCCCACCCCAATACTAACCTACCTTTGCTCGTGGTCGCCTTTCCGGTTTGGCCATTGTGGTTCCATGTCAGACAGTTCTCGCAACGGAAAAGCAGCTCAAAGGCAGTATCGCTAATCCGCGACGCGATCTGGGTGACATTGGCATCGCCTGCATAGACACCGGGCATGCTATATCCCGTGCCGAACCGCAGGGAGGTCAAGATGGACTTCTCGTTCGGGTAGGCCACGAGCAAGAGATTGTTGTTCATACCGCCACCCAAGGAGATGCCACACCAGCCAGCGGCCACGGCATCTTTGGAGTTACATTTCTTTGAAAGACCAGAACCGTTTAGCATCACATCAGAGTCGCCATTGGAGACAAAGACGTCCTCACCAGATAACCGATAAACTCGGTGGCATCCGTGGTCAAAGCCGTCGCCGGCAGAGCTACACCAAAGACGAGTCCACCGTTACCTGTACCAGCAGGTGCCGACCACGTATCAAACGTGATACCCGTTTCAGAGTCAGTGTACGTCTCCGGGACGCCCGACTGAGCCCAGCATGTTTGTAACACTAGGAACAAAGGGTCAGATCAAGGGAAGACAAATCAAGAGCGAATTTTCAACCACTCACCAGTACTCGCGGTAAGGAATGAAGCGAGCAAACGGTTAACGAGCTGCATGGTGAAGAACGCCCAAGGATTTGACTCTGAGGACGATCGACACCACCTCGCACCGGCGGTATCGAGACCAAGATATACGATGGCAGCCACGGACGAGACTAGGAAGAATGCCCCGATACAGATGGCCCGAAACCCGGCCCGAGGATCCATATTGCAGGGACATTGCCGGAATCAATAGTATCCCAGCTGATACACTGTAGCGGCTCTTGGCTTGCTGGTGTTCTTTCATCCTGACTGGATCATGCAAGGGGTGAACCTATCGGAGCTGTGGAATGCTCTCCACCAGGGACTTGAGACTGCATGGACAACTACTATAATAGCAAAATTAGGAACATTCAGCCGGAATAATAAATTAATTGCTTATTATCATCACATGAAGTGTCCGACACAGGCGTCGCGGATAAATAGCTCTATCATAGTAGACCCTAAAAAACGGCGAACAGCGACCGTTTCCTAACGGACACGGGGAATCAGGTTGAAACAAAAGATGAGACATCACATTGGCAGAGTTGGTTGAGCAATCAAGCTAAAAACATTATTAATGAAAGGGTTTGGGACCCGAAGGATCGGCGCCTCTAGCGGCATGGATACGCACCGGCAGTTAATAAATAGCCCGTGGCAGATAGATTGAGGAGTCTTGCTCGGACATGCTTGGCCTGCAGCAAAATCATCTTCAACCTGTGTGAAGTTTGAACAGGAGAAGCCGAGAAATCTCCCTTACCAAGTCAAAGAAATTGTAAGAACTACGAAGTCGTAGCCGAAGCCAAGCTAAAAAATACATATACATCGCTCGAACCATCATCATGCGTATCAATTGATTATTATCGACAAAAAATATCGTAGTCTATACACAAAACCCGGTAGATAGTGTACAGGGACTCTCTCCTCTAGAGAAGAGTCCTGCCAAGTCCGGAAAGAGATTATTCGCCATTGCCCAAATGTCAAGAGGGAGCGTGTGTCCCCAGGAATCAAGTGTCCTTGATTTCCCGCGCGGGATATGGTCGGGTGGTGATGCGCCTGGGGCCCATCGAGCCATATGATAAATGATAGTGAAGTTTCTGTGTTCACTTCCTGTTCCCACTCGTGGGATCAACTCAGCGTTTGGAATCCTTATCCTTCCGAATCCATGCGCTTGGAACCCTTGCCATCTTTCGAGATCTTAATCTGAGGAACATATCGATAGCGGTGCCAATTGTCGACCACCCACCATTCGGTGATATGCGCCGCGTCGCGAAGCCAGTTCACAACGTCCTTCCCGTACTTCCGGTCGAGCTCATCGGCCATGTCGATGAGACTAAAGTGCTTAATGGGCTTCAATTCGATCGGGTCCTTTTCGAGATCGGTGAATCGCCACTCCAGGTCATCCACCAGCGGAATGACCAAGCGGAACGCCGGCCGGGCCGCCGAGCGCACCGCAAGCCAGGAACCGCCGGTGTTCATAACGGTGAATTGCCAATCCTGTTTTCCGTCTTCTTCCTGGATCAGGGGCCGGATCATCGATTGGCCTTCGTACAAAGAGAAGATGTCGCGCGCCGCGCGGGTGCTGCCCTCGCTCAAGGAGCGAGACTCAATCAGCAAGTCTAAAATGGTTGGAACTATCTGATCACTGATCACTGGAGTGGTAATCTCAACTGGAGGAAGTTTTGGGTGGGCAAATACGATGGGGACGTGGAAGCTGCCGATATGGGGGTTATCATAGGGCGTCACGCCACCGTCGTTAGGCAGCGACAGACCATGATCTCCGGCCATTACAATCAAGGTTTCATCCTTGATTCCCTTCTCTTCCAAAATGCCAATAATTTCGGCGAGCCAATTGTCCACAAACCCAATTGTGTTAAGGTAGCGATTGACGTCGTTGTTGTGCCCGGTCCAAGATGATCCCAAAAATTCCTCGAACTCATCGTTCGGCATTCCCCACGGATGATGTGTGGTGCCGGTCAGGTGGGTGAGGAAGAGGCGGGTGTGGCTGCTCTCCGCATCGTCGATCGCATCGCGAATGTACTCCCGGAGTTCGGTGTCTGGATAGCCATAGTAATTGATTTCCTCTGACTTCACCGGATAGTGCTTTGCATCAGGATCTTCCATCGTCTCCTTGGTCACCTTGTCTTTGTAGCCCAATGCCGGTGTCAGTTTATCCTGGTTATCGTAGGTCTCAGTCACCGACTGCATCCACACGGAATGCCAGGGCCACGCGGTGAAATCGTCGGTCTGGTTGCTGATATCATGTTGCTGGCTCAGCGCATTCAGAACGTGAGGCATACACGGCTGATAGATGTGATGCTTGTACTCGCGGTTGAAGTCGGTCACCAGAGGCGTCACGCCACACAGGGTACCTACCAAACTCTTCAGCGTGTAGGTGCCGGTGGTGAAGGCGTTCCGTGCGCTGATCCCGCCGTACGCTTTCCGGTCGGCGTGAAGCGAGTCGTTGTGCTCGAACCCAGCGTCGAAGCCAGTCAGCCACTCGGCGGTGCGCGTCAAATTGGAAAGACGGTCCTGGATCTCTTGGGGGATCTTCTTATCCTTGTGAGATTCGGCAATGCGGTTCCACATGAACGAGTCCTTCTTCAGCGGGAAAACGTCGCCTCGAGTACTCTCGAGCTTCAGCATAATCACATGTTTAATCTTGACATTCGGGTCATCCAATACGGGGCGGAGGGAGTCGAGAACCGGCTTCCCGTGATTGGAAATATGTAACGGGTCCATACTCGGCGTGTAGTGCAAGGCAAACTTGTCCGTCTTATCCCAGTCCGAGAACCCGGGGAGTCCCTTCTGAGGCATCCAGTCCCACCCAGGCGCCGGATGCAGGGACGACCGCTCTTCCAACCAAGCATAATCCCCCGGCAAGGACTCTGCATCAACCGGGGACTTCCGGTGTCCGCCCTCGAAGAATGGAGTCAAGGGTAAGGCGCCCGACAGAAACATGTAGGCCGGCGCCCACGGACGAAGGGAGCGAAGGAGCAGGAATGAGGCGAACAGACCCAGCACGACGAATCGGCGTATGGGGGTGTCCGTCCGCCGGCGGTCCGTCGGGGTCGGGCTCGCGGTATTCAACAAGTGGTCCGATTCTCCGTCATCACTCTTATCATCCAAGTAGTCATCGACCGCAATCTGCTCGTATATCTCGGGATCGGGAAGGGGTTGCCGCCGGACACTGCCGTAGGCGCGATGGAAACAGGGCCGCAGACGCTCCGCCAGCACCCGCAAGGGCCAAGCCAACACGTGTAAAATTCCTCCCGTCATCCGATGGATAAATCCTGCAACAAACCAGTTCACGACGAGCAAAATGCCTTCTACGATCAAAAAGCCGGCCAATCCCGTTAGGAGGGTCCGCATGGCGGCGGCATCGGTGTGGAAGGAGGTGGCCTGTCGCCAGTGAATTTCGGCACCAGTCACGACGTAAAAGGATGTATTCGCGGACATCATTCCGGACATCATTAAGCTACCGACACAGAAATAAATTAGTTGGAGCCCAGTGAGACAGTGCAGACCCAACGGAACACACGCACCTAAACGGAATGACAATTATTGCACCCAGGACGGCCAGGGGCCGCCATGGGACCCTCTGTGCGAGGGTCCGGAACAACAGCAGGATCATGACATCTTGAAAGAAGAACGTGACGCCCCATAGAAGGAACTTGCTCGGTGGGAGAGAGTGAAGATGGGCAAAGAGATGGAGGAGCTTGGCGCTGAACAGGGAGATGAAAGCGAGGGAGAAGAAATATCGGCGGGCAAAGTCCCAAAAGAAGTCGAATGCCTCCCCGGGCGAGGAGCGTAGCTTGTGGAAGACGGGCACCCACTGGTTGCGGAGGGCATGCAGAGTGTTGGCGAGCTTCATGGTGACAATCGTGCGGTCCAAACGATCACCACATGGCAAGAGGAGGATTTTGTGTGAAGATGTGGCAGCAGAATCCAAACGTCGACCACACGAGAAAAAGGAGCTATAGAGAGATGCCCATCGGAAGCGCGAGGATGTAAATTCCCGAGGGGTGGACAAAAAAGAGACAAAAATCAAAAAGATGTTAGAAGATGGAAAAGAAAGAAAGAGTCCACAGGGGAAGGAGAGGTCCGTAAGGAAAAGAAATGTAAGAAAAGAGGAGCGGAAGGGAGAAAGAAAAAGAGTGGTGGCCAAGTTGCTCGGAGAGGGAGAGGAAGAGGAAGAGTAAGAGGAGGAGAGGAGAGGGAGTTGTAATGTAATGAATGAGCATCATCACCACCGCATCTTACGAAAGTTGAAATTCCCAAAAATACACCGAGGTTTTCTTTCATACCTTAACCAGAGAGCCGCACAGTCCTGTTGCCCTTGATCTTGTTTTTTTCTTGCCTTTTCTCTTTTACAAAAAAAGTAAAAGATCAAAAACTTTTCACTACAAATTTCAGAATTAACCTTTTTTAATTTTTTTTCTATGATTTTTTTTTCTTTTTCCTAGCCAGTTCTCTTTTCTCGTTGGTGAAACCATCTCTTTTCAGTGGCCCACCAAGACTCCTTTTGCTACTAGACCCTTTCCATCCACCCGTTCCACTTTTCCTCAGCCTTTTCATTGGCAAATGCTTTTGTTTTAGCCCCCCGGCCGACAGGGCTGGGGCATGGTGACCAATCATCAGGCGCTGCCAAGCCTGAAGACCCTGGCGGTGCATATTCTTTCCGCCTGCTGTGAAACAGGAGAAAGAATCCAGCGTGGACAGCGTGGAGGTTTGGAATCCATCTGTTCAACGTTGACAAGAGAGTTCCCAACTGGCACTCAAACAATAGCTTAGTTCTTAGATAGTTGCGGAGTATGAACAGACAACTGTTTTTGGGGTTTTATTTCAGCAGCGATATATATGAACTGCGTATGAGATACTACGTAGTAGTATGTGAGTGTCAAGGTGACATCAGGACAGGTATGGTAAGGATGGTATTGAGCTTGAAATGACAATGAAAGAATCGAAATCTGGTAATCCACTAAGCCCAAGGGGGCAATGTGACACACGGCCAACAACCTTTGAGCAAGTGATCACTTTCCCTTTGCGAGCAGTTCCCACTGTCTCTCGTGGCCAATCATTCCCCCGGCGGCGTTCCCCGGATCCCTAATTGGGAGTTCTTCTCGCATGGCAAAAACCGCCCTTCCATGTCTTGTTCCATTGATTTTCCTTTATCTGTTGATCCACACAGTATAACACAACTTGTATGTCTCGCTTTCACAGTCTATGGAATCAACCTCACCCAGACGATACTATAATTATCGCCATAAACCAATTTAGCATATCGTACGCTTTACTCTATACGATCCGGGTATCTAGGTGTAGACTAACAGACGTCGTTCATTTGACATTGCTTTTTTTTTATATCACTTTTCCTTTTTTTTTTTATTAGATGGCTTCATCAAGAAGTACGACTAGTCGAGGCAGGGTCTCAGCGGCAATCTCTATTGCTCCACCGTTGCCAGTGATATCACGGGCGCTCTGTTCCGTCGGTTCCGTTCATCGTAAATGCACTGAACACTGAAGTACCGCCCACGGTAGGATAGACAGACCCTTATTTACTGTGATCCAGGGCACTCTGAGTGGTTTGACAGCATGTACCCCGGGAGGCCTGACCGTGCACTAGCGTCTGAGGCCCCCCATCCGCCGAGCGTGGGATTGCATTCAACAAGTTAGGGAAGAGAAGTTCTGGTTGGTTCATGACTGTATCGTGAGAACAGGCAACAGAAGACCCTGTCCCTCGACACCATTGATTCAGCCCAGTCAGGCTGAATTTGGGTCTAATTGACGGCGATCGTGTGTATGGCGGGTCGACCTTCCGAGCGAATCCCACCCCTCTCACTTTCTTTCTTTCTTTCTTTCTTTCTTTCTCTCTCTCTCTTGTTGTGGATATCATTCACCATCTCATTCAGCCTCATTTCTGAGGTATCAGCAAGGCTCTCCGACAAATGCAGCCGTGATATCAAAAAGGGGTAAAGATGGAGACGGCTAAATTAGTCTACGCGAATAGTCTCATTGATTATGGGTATTGCCTCTGTAACTGTCTACGTAAATTACGCCCATACGGAACCATACCAACCAAAACAGCCACTGCCAAGTGCCAAGTTGTCTCAGCCAACCATCCGTCGCATTCGTACTTCTCTTTCGTCCCTTAAAACACAGTATCTAGTCCGCCATGGGAGGCGCCGTTTTGGCCTTCAGTCCCACAAGTTGTCTGTTCTATAAAGAAAAGCCATGTCTCTTGTGGAATTGCCCCAGGAGCGCCAGTGTCAGATTCGGAGACAATGCCATTGAAACTAGTCTGACAGGTTTCATTCTCATTTCCCCCACTTCTTGTATTCACTGGAACCCTCCAACAGCTACGAGGCTAAGCTTGAGGGGTCCCTCGTGCCATTGGCCGCCACATGGTCATCACGAGACCACTTGCTTTAATGAACTTTTGTATCTCAACTTCAATAAACGGGACAGTTAGAAGTCACAGCTATCTATCTACATACAGTATCAAAAAATACAGTATCAAAACATAGACTGAGCGATCTTCGATCGATGAAACCCGTACCTACCCGGATGCAATGCAATGCATTGAACAAACCACCAACATATTTTCTCCGACCGTAGTAATAAGATGAAGCCCCATATTCTATACCTTACGGATCACTATGCAACTAAAGTACCTAAATAATTGTATATACAGTGTTTGCAAATAACGCAAAAAAAATAAAATAAAAAATAAGAAATAAGAAATAAAAAAAACGCAGCCCCACCCTCACTCCTTCCAAACCTTTTCTCTTCGGCGAACACCCGGTCTACTACAAAAGGGGCAGCCGGACGGAGAAAGACCAGCCACTCTAATTGGTATCAGATCAACCATTTCAGCCAGGCGATGGCGACAGGGATCGGCCAGTTGAGAGATCCAGAAGACGGAATCTTCGACCGCTTGATTTTCTTTTTGTTGTTAGGGCTATATTTATGTTAAAGAATATGTTTAGTTGCTTAGTTAGTTATTTATTTATTTACTTGTTTGTTTGGCATTGGGTGATTTCTTTTGTGAGGCTCCCTGCATAGAATGTTTCAATGGAGTTCAATGAATGGGGGATAATGTGGCTTGGGGGGAAGTTATATTTGGAAGCCTAGCATCGTCTTGTCCCGCTGTCGGGACACGCTGTCCATTGCTGGTTTGGGTTAGCTTCGTGGCTTGTAGCCTTTTAGGTAATTTGGATCTGACCGTTGGGATGTAAGATGGTATTCAATGAGGGGTAGGAGGTTCGTAGAGATTGGTTGGTTTTGTTAGTTTGTTTGTTTTATTTTTTTATTTCATATGAGGACCGGTGTGCTTCTATTTCTTGCAGGTTATATGTATCTATGTACCATGAAAAAAAAATGTTGCTTGTGTATGTATATATATATAAATGTATATATCACGGAGATAAGAGGTGGAGGGAGGTATCTCCGCTATTATATATTTTAACGTAACCTGACTGTAGGTCAAGAAGTCCCTTACATATAAGCACTAGGACAGCCGAAACCACAGCTCCAGAAAACTCACGGAATTGCCCTATTGACTTGTCCTGGACATTCATTCATGCCATCTGGTTAAAGTTATCTGATTGAAGCCAGGACAGGGATACTACAGAAGCATTACATGGCATGGGTCTTCCCTGCTCTCCTGGTGAAGAGGTCACACAGGTTGCGTTTCAGTCTGAGACCACATAGCAGTATAGCAAGGTTCTTTGCAAACTCAAATTAACGTGCTACATCTTCCCAGATACTAGTATCCCATGCGATGCACCTGCAAGAGCCATTGGTCATGTCATGCGTCATCAAAACAGTCTGAGTAGCGTGGTATTTATGTTGGCGACCAATTGTGGAATAGGAAAATAGCAACAAAAACATAAAGGTCAGACCCGTTATCCGGCAAAAGACGGAGAAGGAAGCGAGCAGCCTGCGAATAACAGTTGACCGATAGCCAACCGATTACCAACGCCGCCGCGATAGCAAAGCACTCGGTCCATTCATATAGTACCCTCCCATCGCTAATGCTACCCCCAAAGCTCCCAGCACCAACGTCGCCGTGCGTACGGGCAGTTCCTCCTGAATACGACCGATATTTGTCGTTTTCTTACTGTCCACCCGGGACTTGCCCGTTCCCTCGACGAGATAATCCTCCCATCGCACCTGCGACATCTCCTTCTGATACTGGACCACCCGGCCCGGCCAGTTGTTGGTGATACGACCGTCGTCCAACTTATACCAGCTATGGCAGTTCGGGTCAGCGAAGCTACTCTTCCCCAACTCCGCCTGAATGCGATCGTTGAACATCGACACTACATCCGTCCGGGGCTGCAAGGCTAGTGAGTCTCCTCGAGCCTTGGCCCGCACCACCTCACCGATCAGGGTGCTCAAGTAACGCGACTGTGCCTCGATCATCAAGATGATCGAATTGTGACCTGCACACGATGAGTCCAAGATTTTTTCTTAGCATTAATTAAAAGGGATCGGTGCCACCTACCCAGGTTCGTGTTCGGCCCATACAGCATACCAAAGTTGGGAAGGTCCTCAACGGTGACGCCGTAGTAGGCCGTGGCTCCCTCCTTCCACACATCCGACACCGGACGTCCGTTTCGTCCGTATACCTGGATGGGATGCATGAACTCGACCGTCCGGAATCCCGTCGCCACGACAACGAGGTCATACTCCCGGAGATCACCATCGGCCGTCTCGATTCCAGACTCCGTCACGCGCTGGATTGGCCGAGTCTCGAGATCCACGTTCTTCTTGTTCAAGGTAACAAAATAGTCGTCGGATACGATAACACGCTTGCAACCAGGGGAGTAATTTGGTATCAGTTGGTCCCACAGCTCGGGCTTATCGCGCAGCTGACTCTTCATCGCATCGACGGCCATCTTCCGCATAAAATTTGCCAAAGCCGAGTCGGATTTAACGATGGGATCATGAGTTGCCTCGCGGAGTTGCATCATGACGGCGCGTTTGCACCAACGGACGGGAGGTACATACGAGAGAAGGAGTTTCTGCAAAGACGAGACATCTGCATCGTATCGGGGGATAATCCAGTTAGGTGTACGTTGGTACACTGTGAGTTGCGAGACAGACTTGGCCAGCTCGGGGACGATCTGGACGGAGGTGGCGCCTACACGAGTCAGCCCAATGTCCTTGATAGTGAGAAGATTGGGACGAGGTAAGGGATTCCCATACCATTTCCAATGATGGCGACGCGTTTGCCGGTGAAATCATACGTCCAGTCCCACCGGGCGGAGTGCATCAATTTGCCGGTGAAGTCGTCGAGTCCGGGAATAGAGGGCCAGCTGGGGACATTGAGCTGACCTACCGCTGATACAAGGAAGTTGGTGGTGATTTGATATGTTTCGTGGAACTGACTGTCTTTGGCCCCAGACACGGCCACGTTGACCTTCCACTGGAGCTGCTTGTCGTCCCAGCGAGCCTCTTGCACCGTCGTGTTGAAGCGAATGTACTTATACAGACTGTATTTCTCCGCGACGTGTATCACATAGTCCTGACCGTGTCAGATGGGACGATCCGTCAAATCGTCAGACCAAGGAAAACGTACCCGCAGCTCTTCCTGACCCGGGTATTCTCTCGACCAATCGGTCTTCTGTTCAAACGAGAAGCTGTACAACGCAGCCCATACTGACGACGGTAGTTCAGTGCCCGTCCATACCAAGGGCTCCGAAGGCACTTACCGTCGCAGGCGCACCCGGGGTATCTGCTATCATTCCAGGTGCCTCCGACTTGACTGCCTTTCTCCAGGATGACGATGTTGCGGCACTGCTCTCGTTTGAGAATATCAATAGCTATACAGAGACCTAATCATGCTGTTAGCCGGGCGACCTTCGGGAGGATCTGCAAAAACCCGTACCGGATAGGCCAGCCCCTATGATGGTGACGGTAGAGGACGTATAGTCCTGGTTTCCGACCGGACGAGTTGTCTGAACGCCCGTCATTTTGGTCGTCTCAGATGGAAAGATATGGGGGAGGAAAAGGGGGAGCAGCGCGGTCGCATGTTGTCTGCATATTAAATCCTCTTTATTTGTTTTTTCTTTTCTTGTCCTACAGGGATCGTTTGCCCCGCACGAGGTGAGGGTGGTACTTAGGACCGAAAGCAGAGGGACGGACCGAGGTAAGAGGAGTGAAGCTTCTCCGCAGCTCTGTCTTTTCCTACCTTCTCTGCAGTCTGTACCCTGGCACGGCACATGTTGGCCTAAGGCCCCCCTTGGTGGCGTACCCAACAGGGCTTAGCGCAACAACTGGTTTACATAATGGATAAAATTGGCTGCTCATCTGCAACGACGCAACGACGCAACGACGCAACGACGCAACGACGCAACCACATAAGCATTTTCGGGTCGCACCACCCTAAAAACGAGTTCCAGCTCATCTGCAACCACCGGAGTATATATATGTACCTATTAGTGGCGGACCGACCGCCCACCGCCTTTTCGCCGGTGGGTGGTCGGCAGCGGTAGGGCATTTCCAGCGGAAAGGCAGAAATGAAGCAATTTGTGTTATCACCACTAAATACCTGTAGAATCCATAAGATAAAGCTGATCAGCGTGTTCTACTGCTAATCCTTTATCTGACGCTGTAAGATTCTTATCTGTATAGGGTGCAAGTGGAAGATGGCTGTACGCCTCCTTATACACCTTATCTGTCTTCTTTCTATTCAGCTCTTTACCTTTTTATCAGCAATTGAATAATTCACATCTCATACGGTAAGTATACCGCTGCCTCTAAGTCTTGGAACCTCTCGCTTAGTGATTTTACGCTGACAAGGGGCCTGAATAGCAGTAATTTTGATCAAGGGTACTATTTACATTTGCCAGGTCTTCAGATTGACGTTTATGGTAATGAAGCAAGCGTTTAAAGCCTACGCCGGGAAGGCCGTGCACAGTTAATTAGAGGCCGAGATCTCGAAGGCAACAGTTGCGGCATCAACACACGTCTTTCTTGTTTCCTAGCTTCTCTATCATCGAATCCTGTCACCCTAAATGGCCGAGCGCAACTATAGGCTCTGGTCACCCATTGACGAACGGAAGCTTTTGCGGTTCCTCAACCGGCATCGGCACCTCATGTGGGAGCAGCGAGCCGCAAAGTACTGCTCCGAGGTGAATGTAGGGCGGACGATTGAATCCCTGCGGTCTAAGTACGCTCAACTGCGGAGAGGGATTAGACGACTTCGGGCAATCTACCGAAGCCGTTCCTATCTGAGTCCCTTGACCGCTCAATTTATCCACCGCTGGCAGGAGCGTGCGTTGAACGATCTCTCCGCGATGCAGGTTCCTGATCCGCCAGTCCTGGAGTTGAAACCCCGCAGCCAAGACATACTGGCCATGTTACGACTCATAGAGCGGCACCAGCGCGATCGGCCTTGAACCCCTCCGCCGTCCCAAGGCCCACAGATGAACAATGAGCGATGGAATGATTTTGCCGCGGCTCCGCTGCGAAACCAAAAACGCCAAGCCAGGTTGGTGTTCAACGCCCAACAATATCTGGCCGGTGCCATAACGTCCAAGAAGAAAGCGTCCACCATGTAGCGGAAGGGCAAGAGGGTATAACAGACTTGCCCAGCTCAAGCTGTTCAGCTCGACTTATGTCATCAATCAGAAACCGGGGGAGGCCTCGTTCCGCCGCATCACTAGGGCGGCTGATCCATCGCCTTACCGATGGCCCTAAGTCACCGAAGCAAGTGAAATCCGGGAAAGAACACCAAACGAATTGGAACCAAAGATCACAGGATCAACTACGTCAATTTCTCAGAGAAAACTGTCTCTTTTTTTCTGATTTGTAGTCCTCATTCGAGCAAGAGCTGATCTACGTCTCATGTATATATAATAGACTGAAAATGGTCCGTGCTTGTCCTGGGAGAGCAAGGCAGAATCGATGGAAATTTCCACATCCAGGCAATACCTTGTACATAAAGGAGGGCCATTGCCAGTCAACTAAATGTCTTGCTCCGCGCCAATAGTACATATGTAGAGGGAAATAAAAAAAAAAGATATGAAGCATACCATGTCAATTCCCTCAGCAGTGGCTGGTGCTGTCATCCCTCTCCATGCTGCAGAGGGACACTGTGATGATCCTATTCACATTTCTATCTAACGTGTCGATCTAACGAAACATCAAGCGTAGAGAAGGAAGAGAGAAAGAAAGAATTCTATCATACAAGAGCTGTGGGATATTGTGTTGTAGGATCAGATCAACAGTGAATAGAGCGGACTTGGTGCCTCCGGCAGGGTTCGGCCTAGGCCCTGACAAAAAGTATCATCCAAACCAGAAATATAAGTCCTGCTATACTGGCTAACATATAGAGTAGTCCATGATTGCCATAGAGCATTAAGGTGACAAACCGACGGTGATAGCTTTGAGGGTCATTTCCGCGGGGAAAAGGTGTTGAGGGCACAGGTTGACCAAGGAACTCGCAGAGAGGCCTCCATCCCTCACGGACGTGGAAAATGAGTAAATTACGAGCTGGTACTAGCTGTTTGATCAACATGTAATGTTCGCAAAAAGCTCTACGCCCGTTGTTCTGAAAGTCACCCTCAAAAAAGCCTTCCCATATCTTGAGCCACGTCGGTCGAACCCAGGCAGACTGCATCCCAAGTGCTCTTGCGACTCTGGCTCCCGCCGCCCAGAGCCGACTGCTGACCAAATAATGTACAGTCCTGCCTACAGACCTAGAAGCACGGCATTAGATTGGTTACGGGCACCTGTCGAGGATTGTTTCGCCGACACTCACTGATGCCACTCCTCGACATCCCTATAGGTAAGAATCACCTTCGCTTCTGGATATGCTTTGATCAGTTCGGGACCAAAGCAAGCCACGGGAAAGTCACCACAGAGCGCCTAGATTCATTTTGTCAATGCCTGTAATATGCGTCAAGGGATTTCGGCAGCTTAGGAATTACCTGGCACTCGCCTATGATCGTGTCAAATTCCTTTCGTCCAAATGGCTTTCCAATGCCATCATATTTGGCGGACAAAGCCAAATACCAGTGTACACAGTCATCTGGATTCTCTAAACAGGAATACCCGTGGTAAGGGTTGGCGTAGCCTAGGGTTCTCAGCGCCTCCCTTAAGGCTGAGGCCATATTTTCGTCAGTTATGGGTTTCCCGCTAGCCTAGAAAAGGGTTATTACAGTCGGTTCCCGTACGGCAGAGGCCAAGTCCAAGTACTTTCATGCGTCCATGATGACGGATCTCGCCTCGACTCATATATGCGATAATGAGAGGTCCGCCTTTAATGTGATCGGGGCCGCTCTGTGGCAATACATAGTACTGAATATGTATTATAACATTTGGTATTCTTTGCGGCCAGCGAGTCTAATATCAAGATCTTTTCGACAACCTTCTGTTGGGGTGCTAAGTTACGCCCCCTTGCTTAATGCAGGGATAGGAAATGAAAAGCGCATTTTTTTTTTCCTGGATTATGATCATCCCCTATGCTCTCGGAGTATGCCTGAGTATTTCCCGGGTCACCTTCGTAGAAGAGATTGATGGGGTGTAGTGTATTTGTATAGGACGCCGATGTAAGATTCAATATACTATGCATCTATGTGTAGGATTGCGGAGGGAGACCATTAAATATCAATCCACTACTAATGGGCTCTGACAATATATTTCAATTATAACATATTTCCCGGATATGACAGATCAACAGAACCAAACAAAACTGGCCAGGAGGGAACCACATTGGACAGGTGTTGACTGGCCTACTCCGAAAGCGCATTGTTGGCTTCGTTGAAGGCGTTGTCGACATTTTCATAAGTCGACGCCATCCGGCGCTCATCCTCGGCAGGTAGCTTTTTCTGGTAAGCAACTCTAAGAGCCCCCTTTGTATCCTGCATATGGCGGACCATTCCTTGAGCAACGTTTGCAACGCCTGCCTGGCCTCGGCATCAGTGAACGGCTCGCTGTCGGCGTCAAGGTTTTTCCTCGCATTATCTGTGGCCCTTCTGGGCCGTACGAGCCTTGTTTCCCATGGCTATAGCACCGGCAAGGCCCCTATGATAGTTGTCGACCGCTTTGCCAAACTCTCGAGAGCGGTATTTTCAATCGCGTCAAAGTCTGACAAAGTCTGTTTGAAGTTGTTGGCGCAGAATGCTGGCTGGGCAGCTTCCACCAACAGAAGAGCAACGTATGAGAAATTAAGACGCATCGTTCTAGGTTAAGGCGAGATAAGCACAGAAATTTATAACGGTAAAACACGGCAATGGCACATATTATGATATGGCGGCTATCTCTGCTTTTAATAGCTCGGAGGCCAACGTTCCTCTTCCCAAAGAGGTTAAACTAGTAGCTACAAAATATTCCAGAGTAGATCATTCATTCCGCCATGGAAGATATGTTTTAGTTTCTCTCGGTATAATCCACGTGGGTCACTTCTATACTCATGAAAGCAGAAAAATGCCTTTTTCACCGGGCCCAATCTGAAGGTGTAAAATAGGAACAAAATAGCTCCCACCGGCTTCGGACCTTCCTGCACTAGGTGATAGCCCGCCTTTACAAGGGGTCCACGACATGAGTACGGGCGTGGGTGCCCCTGTTTGGCATAGACATGGGCTGGCTGACACCGACATACATGTTGAAGGTACCGATCACCTCCGGCTCATATTGCCATCCCCCTTGCAGTTAAGTAACCCTGGCAAGCTACCAATTAAACGCAGCTGCATCTTGCCAATCCATATTTGGAACATATGAATATGTAGGTAAAGAGTATTGAAATATCATTAGATACGTCAGCAAATCGTCTCGACAAGCATTTGAATCTAATCCAATCACGAAAATATTCTCCTAGAGTTTAAACGTGATCTGGTGACCCTATACCGACCCTCGTTGCCTACTTGATTGACAGGCATAACCTATGGCAGCAATATTTTGAATTCAGTAGTTGAGAGCTGCTAACCTGTGTTGACTATGCACCTTAGTTAACCTGACTCTCCTTGAATGGTCGCTTTGTCAAATCTCTCCAAATTCGACTTATCCGCGAATTAAAATGGTTGTAACATTACATACAAGCCGCATAGTAGATGGTGTGACTTGTCCAAATCTACCGCTACTTGGAGTCCTTTGGTATCTTTGAATTTCTGCGTCACCTATTAGGGTTTTATCTACCTCTGCCTGTGTTGCCCTTAGTTCTAACAGGGTGTAATACTTCCCAACCCCCTAACCTTAAACAATCGATGAGCATGTCCCTTACCTGAGATTTGCAGGTTGCAGTGTAGATACCTGATACTTGTGTAAAATGCTGTTCGTTGCACGTCTCATTCATTCTTTCGTTCGCCCTCTGCATTTTCGGCCGAATTGACTTGGAAAGGGCGTGAGTGTCTCTAACATTTTCCCATATAAATAACCTGTTAGGTATACAGACATATATATTCCCAAAATCTTGATTTAGACTACCTTTGTCGTTCTTCCAGATTAGTTTGCTCCTCATACAGCGGCGGGCACGTGAGTCCGGCAACAACATGCTAGACAAAGTGGAGGGAACTGCGAGCTACTGCCGTGAAGCCTGTGCAGGTGGTAAGGCTGAGAAAGAGAATATCAGAATCAAACACTCGAACAGTCAGAATGAGGAATCGTTGATCTTGCCAGCCGCCTGTGAACTAGGCCACCAGAGCAAACCTCCACCAATTGCGATTGTTGGAATGGCGATGAGACTCCCTGGTGGTATCCGAACCAGCGAGGAGTTTTGGGACCTCTTGATCAACAAAAAGGACGCCTCGTCCAGGGTCCCTGAAAGTCGGTACAACATTGATGCATTCTACCACCCTACAAATCCGCAATCCGTGAAGACTCGATCCGGGTACTTTTTACAAGAAGACTACGTCGGATCGGCTGACACGGCATTTTTTGAGATGGGAGGGTATGATGCAGGGAAGCTTGACCCCCAACAGATACTTCTGATGGAAGTGGTCTGGGAGTGTATGGAAAACGCTGGGCAGGTAGATTGGCGTGGGAAAGATATCGGGTGCTACGTAGGTGTTTTCGGTGAGGATTGGCATGACCTATCAGCGAAGGAGACCCAAGATATCCCAAGGGTTCACGCGTTTGCGACTGGAGGATTTGCTCTGTCAAACAGAGTGTCGTATGAGTATGACTTGAAAGGCCCGAGGTGTGTTCAGCCCATATAGATACGATAATATCCTACTGACGCATGGTAGTGTAACTGTACAAACAGCTTGTTCTTCTTCGATGGTAGCCTTGCATGAAGCATGCTGTGCGCTTTATGCTGGTATTTGTTCTTCCGCCGTTGTTGCTGGAACTAACATGATCCTATCCCCGACAATGACGGCTAACATGTCCGATAATATGGTCCTGTCTCCTAGTGGTCACTGTAAAACATTTGATGCCCATGCAGATGGTTATGCGAGAGCAGAAGCTGTAAATGCAGTTTACCTCAAGCCGCTGGACAAGGCAATTAGAGATGGCGATCCAATCCGTTCCATCATTCGGTCGACATCAGCAAACTTTGACGGCAGGACTAAGAAAATTTTCTCTCCTAACGCAGATAGCCAGGAAAGGCTTATCAGGCAGGCATATCAGCGTGCTCACATCAATGACTTCGCCCAGACGGCTTTCTTTGAATGTCACGGAACAGGAACGAAAGCGGGTGACTTGGCTGAGGCGATTGCTGTGGGAAGGGTTTTTGGGCCTGAAGGCATTTATATGGGAGCAGTATGAGGCTCGCTAGAGGATGGACTGTTGGCTGACGTGTGAAGGTAAAACCAAACGTCGGACATGGCGAGGGGGCTTCGGGCCTAACGAGTATCATCAAGGCAGTGCTTGCACTGGAGCACCGGATTATTCCACCCAATATCCACTTTACCAAGCCAAATCCCCAAAGTACTCATGTTCTGACCCTATTAGTTATTTCGGACGGCTGACTGGGCATCGTATAGTCCCGTTCAAGGAAACTGGGTTACAGGTGCCGATCGAAGCAACTCCTTGGCCGGCTGGCCGTGCGGACAGAGTAAGCGTCAACTGTTTTGGTATCGGAGGTGCAAATGCCCATGTGAGTCTTTCTCACTTGTTTACTCATACAGCATACGGGATTAACGTAACGTAGGCTGTGTTAGAGCTCCCTGCTTCTGTCCGTCGCAAGGCCGGTAAGCGAGCTGTTAATATCGAACGAAACTGCTCACGACTCTTGGTAGTGTCAGCGCAAAGTGAAGAGTCTCTCCAGAAACAACTTAGCGGCATGCAAGCATACATAAAGAGCCATCCAGAATCCCTCAACGACGTGGCATATACCCTCGGGATGAGGCGGAACCATCTGAGATATCGAGCCTTCATGTCCTCGACTAAGGATGGCCGCCTCGAAGGTGAAACCAAGCAACCACCATGCTGTACTCAGTCACCAGTGGTTTTCACATTTTCTGGTCAAGGCACCCAATGGCCTGAAATGGGCAGAGGCTTGATTGAAAGATTTTCCTCTTTTCGAGCGGACATCCAGAAAATGGACGAGGTATTACAACGACTACCACACATGCCATCATGGAGCATCGCAGAGGAGCTTCTGAGACCTAAAGATTCAAGTAACATCAATGAGCCAGAGCTTTCCCAGCCCCTCGTGATGGCTGTTCAGATCGGCATTGTCAATTTGCTAGCGAGCTGGGGCATTGTTCCTACTGCTGTCGTGGGACACTCCAGTGGTGAGATTGCTGCCGCATATGCGGCGGGAGCCATGTCTGTGGAGACAGCAATTATCGTGAGCTATTATCGCGGTCAAGCTGTCAAGCTAAACCGACAGGTAGGCGGGATGGCCGTTGTCGGCCTGAGTCAGGACGAGATACTTCCTTTTTTAGTTGACGGCGTGTTGGTGGCGAGCGAGAATAGTCCCCGGTGCGTCAACCTGTCTGGTGACAAGGATCGACTGGCTATTGTGCTTGAAACAATACAAAAAGAAAAGCCAGATACCTACCAAAGCGTTGTAAATGTGGATGTGGCATACCATTCCCGTACGTGTGATGATATCTCTTCCATATCTGACAAATCTAACCACCTTGAAGATCATATGCACTCTGTGGGCGAGGTTTATGAAAACCTAATCTCGCCGTATATCGAAACGAACAAATCCATGATTCCCATGTATTCGTCGGTTACTGAAGGTATAATTCCAAAGCCAGCGTTCCTGGATGCCGCATACTGGCGCCGAAACTTGGAATCGCCCGTTTTATACCGGGGAGCGGTGGAAGCCTTACTCAAAAGGACGGAGAGGGACCACGTAATCTGCATAGAAGTTGGACCTCATTCAGTACTGTCGAGCATCATCAGGCAGATATTCAACGATCGCAAAGAGATATTACACTACATACCAACCCTTCTTAGGGATGCCGATACGTCGAATTGTCTACTAAAGACCGCTGGGATTATGCATTTGTTCAACCATCGCCTTGACTTCCGACGTATAAATGGACCTGGAGACACGCTCGTTGACCTTCCCGCTTACCAATGGCACCATACAAGCGTCGGTTGGAAAGAGAGCCGCGTTAGCCGCGAATGGAGGTTTCGAAAGCACTCCCAGCATGAGCTGTTAGGCTGTCGTATGCTCGAATCCAGTGACCTTGAGCCGTCATGGAGAAATATCCTCCACTTGAACAAGGTCCCATGGCTCAATGACCACAGGGTCTTTGGTGACATCGTCTTTCCCTGTGCAGGTTTTATTGCCATTGTAAATGAGGCAGTGAGACAAATATCAGGTTCCGCTGACTGCACATTGAGTGATATGGCTATCCAAACCCCCTTGGTCCTCCCAATATCTTCTGGGATTGAGATTATTACTTCTTTTAAACCAATAAGACTGACTACCACAGTTGATTCTGTGTGGTATGAGTTTACCATAGCTTCCTATGACGGTAGATCCTGGACAAAACATTGCGTCGGTAAAGCCAGGGCTGGCAAAGATAGGCCAGAAGAGCCGAAGGAAATCAAGCATCTACCCAGATGGGTTTCTACCCACACATGCTATCAGGTATCCCAAGCCCTTGGCTTGCAGTTTGGGCCCCATTTCCGCAAACTACAGAACATTACAGCAGACCCCATGAGCTGCACGGCCAGCGCGACAGTCTGCAATGAGTCGGCCCAGGACGGATGTACATATAGCATTCATCCTACAGTTATTGACCAATGTCTACAGCTCCTTAGCATTGCGGGTACCCGAGGTAGGCTTCGAGAGGCAACAAAACTATACTTGCCAACGTTTGTCGAAAGTGTTTATATCGCCCAGGGTGGACCACTGCTGAATATAGAAGCCTCAATCGACAACCCGACGGCCAGTCATGTCCTAGGGAACGCAACCGCAGCATTTGAAGGTCAAGTAGTGGTCTCCATGAAGGGTGCGCTAATGACACCCGTGGCGGTTTCCGAGTCCAGTGAAGGCTCGGGGGTTCCTCTGGCCTCGTACATGGAATGGCGACCAGACATATCTCTCAACCCACCTGAGCAGCTCTTTGGAGCCCTTCCTAGAATAGAAGCTCAGACACATGACCTAGAAATGTTATCCACCATTTCTCTACAGCAACTAGCACGGCATGTCGGCTCTATCAATACGAGTATTCCCTATCTGAAAAACTACGTGGGATTGCTCCAAAAGAAATCAACAGAACTCCAAGCTCCAGGGCGGGCAGAAATTCACACCGACGCACTCCCGGAAGCACTTCAGAAGTTGGTTGATAGCTTTCCACACGACTCTCATCTGGGATCCTTGGCAAAAATGCATAAAGATATTGTCGATCATTGCGCAGATATATTACAAGGCTCCGTTGACCCATTAATAATTGCAAGGCAAGAAGGTGGCCTGAATACGCTATATGAGTCAATTTATCAAAATGAAGAGTTGTGCAGGTTTTTTGGTCTTCTTCGCCACTTAAACCCTGTGCTCAAAGTTCTGGAGGTCGGCGCTGGTACTGGCAGTTCAACGACATACATCCTGAAGACACTTTTATCTGAACAGGGCAAAATGCATTACTCACAATACACATGCACAGATATTTCTTGGAGCTCCCTGAACAGAGCTAAGGATCTATTCAAAGACCACAAGGGCTTCGAATTCAAGGCCTTGGATATCTCTGTAGACCCGACTGAGCAGGGATTCGAGTCACAAGCCTATGACCTGGTGATCGCTTCTAATGTGATAGGCGCTGTTGCAAACATAAGTGGAGCAGTACAAAATATGAAAAGCCTCTTAGCTCCGGGCGGGTATCTTCTTCTACAGGAGTTTGATGCAATGGTCCCGAGTTCTCTCTGTATTACAGGTCTTCTCCCCGATTGGTGGAATGACAAAGGGGATTTCTATGCACCCTGCATATGCCCTGAAAGGTGGACCGAGGAGCTTTATAATGCTGGATTCAAGGGGGTATCCAAAGATATGTCACTCAACAGGACATCCTTACCTTGCAGCCTTATCCAGGTGGCAAACCTCCCTTATGGAAAGGATAACTTAGGGGAGCACATTATACTCTTGGGCCCTCAGAGCAACTCTTGGGCCCAGAGCGTGGCAGGGGCCCTTAAAAATGATGGGCATACCGTGACTTGGGGATCTTTGGATGGGAAAATGTCCGAAGGCCAAACAGTCATATCCTTGTTAGATCTTGATGGTCCTTTCTTCAGGGATATAGGTGAGAAGAGGCTGGATAGTTTCAAGCTTTTGGTAGCCTCCTCAGCTCGTATACTGTGGGTGACAAGATCTCTCCAAATAGCATGTGATGATCCCGATTACGGCCTCGTTTTGGGCGTGTCTCGTACTATTAAGCAGGAGGAAGGATCCTATTTTGGGACATTCGAGATCGACAAGTTTGATGAAAATGCCGTTTCTGCACTGCTAAGAGTACATGAGAAGTTTTGCCAACAGTACCACGCCAAAGGTACGACGGATCTGGATTATGAATTTGCCTTACATGAGGGAATGATACACATCGGACGATTTCGATGGACGTCGTTGACTGATCAGCTGTTTTCGGATTCTCGAGTCGGTCTACCCATAAAGCTTTCAGTCTCTTCTCATGGGTCCTTGAATTCCCTCTACTGGGCCTCAGATACAAATACGCATAGCATTCTGGGTGTGGATGATGTTGAGGTTGATATCAGCTTTGTTGGTCTGAACTTTAGGGTAAGTCATATTTCACAAGCGAATGTTGAGTGCGACTCTCATAATGGACCTACCAGGATGTCATGATCGCTCTCGGGATTATGGCGCATGAGGACGAGTTTGGGTGTGAGGCTAGTGGTATCGTCAAGCGTGTTGGATCAAAGGTGAGCCATCTATCTGCTGGAGACAGGGTTTGCTTAGCACAGCCCGGGCTATTCCGGACAAGAACCGTCGCTCCGGCAAGTAGCTGTGTACGTATCTCTAAGACACTGTCTCTTGAGGACGCTGCTACCATGGGCGTCGCGTATGGCACGGCCTACTATTCTCTGGTTGACATTGGAGGGATACAGAAGGGCCAGGTTAGTAGCTTCTCTGCTTTCTTAGTGTGTATCTGAGCTACACCATTGACAAAACCTAGTCAGTGTTGATTCATGCTGCCTGTGGTGGTGTTGGACTTGCTGCAATCCAGATCTGTCAGCTTTACGGCGCCAAGGTAACTAGACCTATGTCTTCCCCCTTCTTCAGGTCGTACGAACTTGGGGTCATCAAGCATTAACTTACTATTCATGAAGATCTACGCCACGGTTGGCAGTGAACAGAAGATCGAGTATCTCGTTGACACGTTTGGAATCAGTCGGGACCATATCTTTAATTCGCGCGATTCATCTTTTCAACACGATGTCATGCGAATGACAGAAGGCAGAGGCGTGGACCTAGTTTTGAATTCGCTAGCTGGAGAGCTCCTCCATGCCTCATGGAGATGTGTCGCGAAATTTGGCAAAATGATCGAGATTGGTAAAAGGGATTTTATAGGCCGTGGTATGCTTAGCATGGATGTCTTTAGTGGCAACCGGGCATTTTTCGGCATAGACCTTGTAGAGCTGGACCAGAAACCGGGCTTTACTCACAGGTTTGTATTTCATGCAGTGTCAATTATATATTATCTTTACTAATATTGCCGAAGACTCTTTCATAAAACTATTGAGCTTTTTGAGCAAGGGAAGATTCATCCAATACGCCCCTTGAAAATCGTGGTGCCTACAGAAGTTGAAGGCGCGTTTAGAGATATGCAAAAGGGTCTACATATGGGGAAGATGGCAGTGAAAATGGCCTACAATCCAGTGGAATTTGCGCCGAAGAGGACTCGTCAACGATTTTCTCTTTCTCCAGACGCGTCATACCTCCTTGTTGGAGGCCTTGGAGGGATTGGCCGGGCCATTGCGACCTGGATGGTAGAAAAAGGCGCTCGGTACCTGATTTTTCTTTCTCGATCCGCGGGGGAGTCCGACGAGGATCAAGCATTCTTCCACGAACTTCACGTCCAAGGCTGCTTCGCAATTCCTGTGAAGGGGAATGTCGCAATTCTCGACGATGTCAAGCGGGCTGTCGCGGCCAGCCCGACACCGTTATGTGGCGTGCTTCAACTTTCCATGGTCATAAGAGTAAGTAAACTTCATTCTTTGCTTCCAGGTCGCCGCTGCTAAGCCAATGCCTTTTTAATTAGGATGAATTCTTCCCCGCTGTGACGTACGAGAACTGGAAGGCAACCCTCGCGCCAAAGGTGGAGGGAACTTGGAATCTTCATAAAGTAGTCACTGGGAAAGCAGTGCAGTTTTTTGTTGTCTTTAGCTCAGTTGCAGGAGTCATGGGGCACCAGGGCCAGAGTAGCTACTCTGCTGCCAATACATTTTTAAATTCATTCGTGCAGTACCGACGGCTCAGGGGGCTCCCTGCATCGGTCGTCAACCTCGGATGCGTCGATGAGATTGGTCACCTTGCGACAGACAATCTTAAGTTGAGAGAGGGGATTCGCGCAGCATCAGTTTGTCTTCTCAGTGAACAGAACGTGCTCGATGCTCTAGAAATCGCGATCACTCGGCAGAGCGACCCCAAGCAAAGCTCCACGGGCCGGGTGCTCACGTCAGACCAATATACTGTTGGCATGAGCAACACCAGGCATCGCTCAGACCCTACTGTTCGACAGATGTGGGGGAAGGAAGCGCGATTCAGTGCCTATGCAAATTTTGAGATGTACACAACGCGACAACGCAATTCGGATGCAGTAGATAAGGTGAGGAAGACAATTGCGGCCATAGAGAACAACCCGGAGATGTTGGATGATCCTTCCTGGAGAGACCGGATTGTAAGGGAGATACTTGCGGCATTGCGGACGCTGTCGGGATTTGGAAAGGATCAAGACGACGAGCAAGTCATGCAGACCCCGATCGACTCGCTGATGACATTTGAGATTCGCAACTGGCACCGACGATATATCAACGTGGAATTGTCTGCTACAGATATCGCCAATGCCGAAACGCTTGGTGGCTTGATGCCGGTTACTCTCGCAGCACTTCGTGCAAAATTTGTTAGATAGCATGACAGCTGAAGATGATAAGGGAAATTTATCTATACTGAAGTTATATTCCGCTTGGTGCGGTGGTTTTCAACAGTATATTCTCAAATGCTGTCTTTAATAGCCTATTATGATTGCTGTAGTTCAAAGGAAGATTAGTTATTTTCATTACTTCTATAAACCTGAGGGTTTATATACAAGTTGAACAACAGATTGATTGGATCCTTATACGGAATTTATTCCGTATCTGAAGCTCTATAGTTACCTGATCGAGCCTCAATTCACAACAGAACGGAATGAAGCTATCTTAGCTTCCTAAATAGCAAATAAAGCAAAAACATAGAACTGATGTGTAGGGGTGTTGAACACCTTTCTCTTATCTGATTCTTATCAGCCTGAGGACCTTGATGTTGTATCATAGAACCTTATTTCAACTCCAACTGTAGCATTCTGATCATTTACTTTAAGCCATTAGCCTTAGTTGCCTTGGTCAGTCCATCTGCAACCATTTCAGATGTAGGGACGTAGAATGGTTTGATATCACCATGCTCAGTAAAGCCTCGAATTGCATGATATCGTACGCGGATATGCTTGCTGCGTAGGTAGTTAACTGGGCTAGATGCTAACGCCAAAGCACCTTGATTGTCAATTTCCAATCGGGTTAGTAGAGTGCTTTTCCTAAACCCCATATTGGTTGGTTCTGGGACACTTCCAAATAGCTGCTAGAAAGTGTCTGATCCAGATAGCCTGCTTTGATGCCTCCACAGCTGCAATATATTCTGCCTCGGTAGCAGACATAGCAGAGATGGGTTGCTTCCTGCTACACCAACTAATTGGTCTGCCTGCTATCATAAATACAGAAGCACTCGTTGAGCGGTAGTTCGTGGCGTTCCCATATGACGAATCTGAATAGCCCACTAGTGGCTCATCACTCCCCTTTGCGCTGTTACGTGATACCATAGGTCATGGGGTCGGTGTGGGGCGTTCCCACACTTCATTTACGACGCATGTACACAGCAGTGTCGACCCCTCAGCTCCTCTACGGGCACTTTACATGGTACACACGCGGATCACGGGGCCACTAAAGCCAGCAGCGCGGACCATGAAGACACTAGAAAGTATTCAACACAGGGCACTCTACTGGGGTGGTGGCGCATTCAAGGTTCCTCACGCGCAGCGCTCGACGTCTGTCTGCATGTCCCACCTCCGCAGGTTGTCATTAAGCGTGCTACCGAGGACACGTGTTTACGGATTCTGGCATCCCCATTCTACCAAACACTGCAAGATACCCTGGAAGCTCAGCTGTCCAGACAGCGAATATCGGATAAAGCCCCGACACTGTCCCCAGTCCAACGGCTCGAACACCGGCTGGCCCAGGACCTTGGAGAAGACCCGAACCAACCACTGCAGATCGAAACCATTAAATCGGTGGTAATGGCACTCTGGTGGGTTCGGCCAAATACCCAGTCTGCCAGCACTATAGACGAAGCACTCCAGCAACATGCCCAGCTACCTACATCTCACCTAAGGGTCTACACCGATGGTAGCGGATACGCAGGAGGGATCGGGGCAGCGGCGGTACTGAGAGGCGCCTCACTCAATATAGATCTACACAGACCGATTGGACGGGACACTACACCACAGTATATGCAGCGGAGCTAGATAAGATCCGCATGGCACTGGAAGCGCTTGAGAGTCGGCCCCAAGTACCGACAGAGGTTATAATACTCACGGATAACCAAGCGGCTGTGCAAGCGTGCGCGGAGACGGACCGGAGAGAATCCGGTCAGTATGCAGTGCGGGATATAGTCTGGCGACTGGATCGTCTACTAATCCCTGATTTGGTTTGCTATCCAGAACATGGAATAGATTTGTCACGGGTAAGCCTTAGGCTTAAGGCCCCGTTGGCAAGTTGCGATACTATATATACCGCGCCTGGGAAATCAACTCCGATCGGAGTTGATCATAGTGGATCTTTTTACCTAGTGGAAAGATCCTACGTATCGAATTTCTAATCCCAGGTGTAATCCTTTACAGTTAGCGGTAGTAGGAGATCAAGAATCAGTCTCCTGTCTGAATAGTATCTACTGCCTGTCTTTGACCTCTCTCTTTCTTTTAGCCTACGTACCCTTACCTAGTTGACAGGTCCTCTACCCTGAATAGTAGATACCCTTGACACTAGTACTGATATCTAATATCTTATAAATTAATTATATAGTTATAGAGCATGATTTCTGATAGGACAGAAATCTTCTTAGTATAATTTTTTCCAGCTATTCTTTGGAATTTCTGGACCTGGGCATGCTGGAGAGATTTATAATTCTGTTACTAGATAAAGAATCTTAAATAAGTAACTATCTAGTTAGACAGAATAGCCAGACTTTTCTAGTTATATATTCTTCTTATCACTATCTGTAGAAAGCTATTAAAGCTAAAACTTAATACTTATTTTGTATAATTTCTGGAGTAGATTATTAATCTTAATAATTAAGGCTTTTTCGGCTATAATGCGGATGCGTGGCACCTGTGAGCCAGTTTGTACAGAAGTGGATATCTGGATACGCTGCAGACCTCTTGGGAAGCTTGTCTGACTGTCAGAAAGCTGGCTCAGTAAGTGTTGGTTTCTCCGCAGCAGTCCCAAGTTCTGGGATGCTTGACGAACTCTGGAAACTCAGCTGCTGGTTTTCATTGCGCATAGTCTTGGGGGATTGGTGGTACAGCAGACGCTAACTGCAGCGCGAGAGAGCCGGGGAAACCATATTCGGTGCATTGAAGCGTATACCACCGGAATTTGTTTCCTGGCGACGCCGCACCGGGGTACAAATCTGGCTACCTGGGGCGAACGATTTGCCCGAATTGTCAGCCTCTTCAAGCTGGCAAACTTTCAAATCATCAGTGTGTTGGAGCCAAGATCCGAGAAGCTTCTGTACATGCGTCGCGTCCCATAATCTGCTGGAGAAGCGAAAAGAAGGAGCCCGAATCAATATTGTTTGTTTCTATGAGACCATGCCTATGCTGATGTCCCGTGCTGTGTCCGAGGAATCCGCAACAATTGACGGCGAGGCGAGCTTTCCTATCTTCGCTAATCACATGGTATGTGAAGCAGCCTGCGTCTCTTTGGGTGGCTTTCAAGATTTCAGGATATGGCCAAATTCTCCAGTCGCCGGAACAGTGGTTACAAATATATTATCCCGAGAAATCTGTTTTATGATTACAACCAAATTTTTTTGTATACACCTGTCCCAGCTGCCATAGGCATTGGGGGGTGGACCTGACGCCTGGAGCTCGTTACTTCTACCCTTTTAGCTCGCAGAATCGTTAGGACTGGAAACCATCTATTTGAGGTTCTAAATACCGTTCGCTTCGAGTGAGTACACTTCTTGATACCACAGATCTTCTCGCGTGGATTAACACTGAGCGATAAGCACCACCAATGGTAAAATGAATGTACATATTCTTCTGGATATTTCACGGCTTGGTCAGTAACTATGAGCCATGGCTCAGATAATCCTGACGCAGCTGGAAGTATTGAACATACGGGCTTTCTCGCTGGATACAGTTATCATACCAACTGTACTCTTCGGTCGTACTTCTCATGAAGGTTCACAATAACTCATATATCTAAATCCATATCTATAGTCCGCCTAGAATACGGTAGTTACCTTGACGTAGCCTTCCTTTCCTATGCCTCCTCTTCCTGCCCTCTCCTATCGCTTGAGTTGCTGCACCTGTACAAGTCCCATACACTCGATGTATGATAACTTTTTGCCGCCTTTTCAACAAAATGCTCGAGCGAATCTCCTTGAAGCTCGTCCAGGACTACTGCGCGGTCAGAGAAGATACCGGCACGTTTGGCAGCCTCAAAGGCTACTGGACCTTGAGCTCGCTGGGTACCGAGGGCTTTGTCTTAGTATCCCGGAATGGACGTAGTAGCTTTTCCGTGCAGTAATTTGGGTTCACTGGAAATACCACACCGCCAATGGCGAGGGTACCCCAGACAAGAGGTACGTCGATAGAGTGAGCAGGGAAGTCCACAAGAACGTTGACTTTCTGCCAGCCATGTTTCCGACGCAAGGAGTAACTGAAGGTCAGCGCCTGTTGGCGAAGTTACGTATAGACACTTCAGACACCTCCCGGTATTAGCAGCGGTGAACAGAGAGTCAACAAGACGCTATCTACGGCCACTACAAGGCTGAACGTACAGTACCTTTATCATCCGGATATGCCCGGTCTACCGTTCAAAGGAAACCCTATAGATCAACATCTGGAATATCGATCGAAGGTAGAAAGAAGGAAGGACACCATATTCGTGATCTCTGCTATGTCGGTGTGGTGAAAGGCATCATGAACCTGCTAATGCAGCGGTCCGCATGATATCTCCAAGGATCGACGGACTCTTATTACCGGTCCACGAACAGAGCAATGATTCGTCGATCATCGCAATGATTCAAGGCAAGGGGCAAATCGGTCAGAAATAGATTAACATTATTGATCCATCATCAATAGAGGATATTATAGGACCGCGTTGAAAATCCTCTCGACAACCCAAAAATATGTACTTGTGAATGGAAACCAAGAAAAAATAATATGGACAACCATCTAGATATAATGCGCTAATCGCCAACTCGAAATGCAAGTCTATATACATACGTTATAATAGCATCAATATCTAACATATCGTAGATCATCTATGCAGCATGTCGCAAGTCGTTAGACGCTCAAACATAAACCCAACCCGATATTTAACAAGAAAATAACCATATCGATATATTAATGTCGCCTGTATCCTTTAATCAGCAGTATTGGCGCAGGTGAAGCTAGCCCTAGCGCTATCGTCGTGGATCGCCTTGCCAGAGGCGTACAATCCGAGACCGCACTATAACGCAAAGTTAGCATACTCGTTTCTGAGAGCCAAAAAGAAAAAATGAGACAACATACAATAATACCACCAATGCAGAAAATCAAGAAGTTGATAATGGTCAAGACGATCTTCCTCGGGGAAGAAAACCACTGGCCCCAGTTCATATGCAACCAGTAAACTCCACTGAGGCCGTAGGTGAACCAACTGGCGAACAAAGAACTCTGTGATCAATCAGCAACTCATCCCAGCTAGGATAAAGGGAGGGGGAGAAGAACACATACAATCAAGCTGACAATATTAGGGAAGCTAGGAATACCCTCGGCAATAATCCACGCAATCACCCAGCAAGTAACACCAATGCCAACCCAGGATCCAACGGACACGAGGTCACGCTTATGCATGCGGCCAGATTTCCGGAAGATGCGAACGTAGATGTACTTGAGGCCGACGTGGCCGTTCACGACACCGGCACCGATGATGGTCGGCATGGCGACGCCATACGCCACCTTTTTGAGTAGGGGGCCGGCGGATCCGAGGGCGGGCGAGGCCACGCCCGTGCCGACGAAGTAGTAGATGACTGTGGCGGCGGTGACGTAGAAGGCGATCTCGAACCCTTGCAGCAGGCAGAGAGCCTTGGTGAAGTCCTTGGGTTCCTCCATTTCGGCGATCAGACCGAAGAAGGCCACGTGCGCGCAGTAGGCGAAGACGATGTTGGTCACGGCCGTAAAGGCGCGGTACAGGCCGACTTCCTGGGTGGCGTAGATGTTGTCACCACCCTTGTATTGGACGCCCACACCGATCATGGTGATCATCACTGCGGAGAAGATGCTCAGGAAGGCTGAAGGGCTTGGTTAGCTCATTTTTCAATTTTTCTTGTCCCGCTGGCAGGGAAACATACAGGCGATGGAGATGTAGGTCATGTTCTTGATCGTACGAGGCAAGGAGAGTACCAGGCAAATCACCATGCCCACGATACTGAAAACAATGGAGCAAGTGCCGTGCTCGGTGATCGTGTTCATCATCACAGTGAAGGTGACGATGTGACTGCCCATGATGAAAATGGAGAACAGGATCTGGCCCAGACCGAACAATTCCCGGCCGAATCGGCCCATGAGGATCTCACCGGCATCAGCAAGGTTGTGAATATGTGGGTGGCGCTCGCGGAATTGGCCAATGATCATTCCAGTGTAGAGGGCCAGAATACCCAGGCCAACAATTAGGATGAGTGCCCTATCAGGTGAATGTCAGAGCAAGGGTGTAAGTGTGGTATTTTGGGGAACTCACGGGACAAAGCCCAGCGCATCGAGGGCCGCTGGAAGAGATAAGACTCCGAGGGAGACCGACTCAGCGATCATGACTAGTACTGTTAGCTATTCCGTAGTCTCGATGGAGATCATTCGACCGCTGCACGTACACATTCCACATTGCCTGAGACGTTAGCTTAATTCATCCTTGTCCTAACAGGGTACGAAGGCCAGAACTTACCACCACTTCAGCGTCTTGTACTTCACCTCTGCCGTGGCCTCGTTGCCAAATGGGTCATCGTATGGGGTATTGTCAACTTCCGCCTTCAAATCATCGTCCTGGTACATAGGGTCTCCGCCATGCTTGTTCTCGATGGAGTCCGAGGGTGGAGGGACGCCTTCCATCAACATCTTGCTCCGGCTCTGAAGTATTGCGGGGCGAAAAGAACCGAGGGGTGGAGAGATATCAAACAGTAAAGTTATCCTCTCCTGTCAACGATCAAAGACGGGTTAAGAAATGAAGAAGTAGAAGAAGTCCAGAAGTCGTGGAAGAAGATATAAGATTATTCTCTTATTTCCGCCGAAGACCGGGCCTGGAGATAAGAACAGACGTTGAGGGAGTCCGCGGCGGGAGAAAATTCTCACAGCCCCCGGTGGGTCACGGTGTTGAGATCCCGTTCTCTCTACGCGATCCTCTTCGCGACCAGAGTCAGTCTAGAGTTCACGGTGGCCAATGTCGGCACGGTATGTCAGCGGACCGAGTTCTCGACCAACAAAGCCAGGAATCTGGGGGAAACGTGAGATCACACGATGCGCCCTGGTGCATACATCTATCACTTTGCAGGATGGCCGCCGAGACTAAATCGCCGCAACAAGAAACTTTCGATTGTCATCCCACAGTTGCTGGTTGCAGGCACCGCATTTAGTCATGGTTTATACAGTTTCCCGAAACTTTCCCGAATGACTGCATTTAATAGGCGCAGATTCAAGCTCTGTGGATCCACATATTGCATGCGGCTGGTGGGCGGGAGGTACCGGTAGGGCCAATGGGAATTGATATCGAGAAAAATTAAGTAACAGTTTGGGCCCACTCGAAAAGCTTTTGCCCCCGATCTCCTTGCTGATTGGCCCGGAGGGCATTCCATTACTCAGGGTTTCGGTAGAAATCCGTTTTCCGCAAGTGATCTCTACGTTTTAACGTTATGAATTCTCGCCTATATTGGAGTTCTGCTAAGTGTTACAGGTTTATCTTTCTCCAGAGTCTCCAGAATTTGCGCCCCCATACTATCTCTCTGTCTCCAGGCGATCTAATTACCATTTGTTATTTTATAATTGATTCTTATCAACGCCAAGAATTCATGGGTGAAGAAATATTCTTATCGAATTGATTCCCATGGCATGATTTTTTTTTGCCTGCATTATTAGTCAGACCGGCCGCCACTTATTTTTGGATGCAACCGTGTCAGAGGCTAAAAGTAAGTGGTACCGCTGTAGATCCCAGAAAATTCTATTTCCCCTAGTTGGAACCCTATTTCCGTGCATTTTTTTAGGGTTTTTTTTGAAGATTTTGCCTCGAATCTGAAGCATATCGGTTAAAACTTCCCGTGAGTGGTACCAGACCGACATCCTCCGGGGAAACAACCCTCACTAACCCCATGGGCACAATTGGCATTGATCAGAAAGGAATATTATGGGATAATAAAAATTGTCAAGGAGACGTGGGATTCGAATGTTGTGTGATTTGAGGCACGGCGTAGATCCCTTAGTTAGCAAGGTATTGCCTAATCGCGTAAGTTTCTCGATTTCCTCGGGTCGCTTTCCTCGGAGTATAGGGTTACTCCAACACTCCAGAACTTCATGTATACTTCTTTAAGACATATGATACTCGCTAGCATATATTTACTAGGTATCCGTTATTTCTGTATATAGGCTTCACGTTAGACTTTACTCCCTTCTCCAAAGCCAGAGACACATGCTATAGATGCTCGAACGCCACAGGATACAAGTGTCCAGCCCCCTGAAACACAGTTAGGAGGTATATAGCTAATGCGAATCCCAGGCCGAAGTGTAATAAGATTGCGCGTGGCAGAGATGCGCCATTTTGAGCCATCGGGTTGACATTGTCTTGCCGAAGACCCGAAGAATGCCTCGCTGGCACGGTACACGTTTGCCTTGCACCCCTGTAGGTGGAGTATCGTATTGTGACATATACGCACAGTATACATCATCGTAAGCGGTAGAAACCGACTCGGTTTCTCCGTGGGACCGCGTGTTATTCGCCGTCAGACGCCCTTGCATCCCACCGCTGATCACATAACAAGTCAGGTAAGTGTGGGGATGTGAAAGTTGGGGTTCCCCGCAAGATTGGTCTGTGGAACTGGACTGGCAATCCGGTTATTGTCTCAATGTTCGGTGGCCATTATCTGGCCTGTGCTCGGAAGATGATGTGTTGTCTCTTTCGCTCAGCTGGAGGAAGTGCCGCCTCGGTGCATGCTGGTGGATTGCGATCAGCTTGTGTACTAGTAAGACATACGGTTGGGTTTAGAAATTGTTTTTCGGTATATCTCAGAGAGCTCAATCGGCGTCGCACAGGATCTATTACCGAGAAGTACAAATTAAACAATGCCCGAAATGGTTCATCGGCATCGTATTCAGGTGCCAAGGTTTATTATATGTACCTCAACACAGATTCCTTTGATTTGTTCAGCAAGGAGACGCTTAGCTTACTCAAAGCCTCGTGGCCATTTAATCAATCTTGGCGAGACTGTCTCTCTTAGACTTTGTACATGATTACCCTGCGTGGAATCCAAAAGCCTGTGTAAAAAATCACGGATTCAATGTGCCCCGTGGACCTACTTCATCACCTTGACAAGTAAACTAATTGAACTGCTCGCTTGCATCGCATTTTATAAACTCTACGTGATTGATTCTTTCTACTATAACCATAGTCATTTGAACTCTTCCGTAGGTCGGCGCCACTAGCACGGCAACAAACTAATATTAGAATTGACCGACATGCTGTATATATACCAGATTTTTTAGACAGCTCGAAGGTTTTGACTTTCCGCTCAACGTCTAGATCATCCCTTCCCGCACTTCATTTATTAAGGAGATCCACTCATACAGTTCACAATTTTGTGCGTAGGGATTTAAATAGCTTCAATTTTATTATATGGGTGTTGAAGGACAGGTAGATCTGCTTACAAAAGAGACTGAGAAGCAGACAAACCAAACGAAGTTCATCTGATGCCTCATACATCGGGCCTCACTTTATTCCCATCTTCGCTTACTCACGTAGAACCGGAGGATGCCGCCGCGATCAACAGTAGGTACACTGCAAAGAAATTATGCTGCTTTAGGCATGAGATCAGTTGTCATCCCAGGATAGCCTCCTTCCAGAGCGATGGTCTGACTACGCCGAGGACCTAGAAATCAGTGACTTACTACTGCAGTTGCGTGTCAGGAAGGGACAAAGTCTCCGACGCGATACATTGGGTCAAAAGCCCCAGGCCAGTCATGTGCACCATGTCTGGACAAAAGGTTGTATACCGCACAATCCAGCACTAAAGTCTACCTCCGGAAACAACGGGAAGAAGAGTGCTGCAAGATTGAAGGCATAAAAACGGAAAAAGTGCTGATTCAAACCGTCAATAAGACTGGTGACTGAAGGGCTTTCTCTTGTGTAGCTCGAATCCAAATGTCCGTTACCTTGTGGCGGCGAGTAACCCTCGACTACGTGGTCTTTCAATGATCCTAACCAACTTGAAAACCTATTGGAGAAGCACTAGTCTACTCTCGCATTAAGTACGCGAGGCTTGCATAGTTTCTTTTCTTTTCCATGTCGGGGCTTTTCGAGATGTTTCCTTTGAGAGTTAAACTGAGGAGTGAGTTCACCTGCCTACTTCTCATCGTTCTCCTGAGGGTCCAAGATCAGCTCCTTTGAGCCCCGTCATTCCTATGGGCGTGCTAGACGTGAGATAAACTACCAGCTAGCTTTTTCTTTTCTTTTTCTTTTTTTCTTTTCAGGGCAGGACTCACTCCGCCAGTGACGGTGGCGGATTCGGATTTCTGGAGACATATAGGTCGGATGGGCCTTGATGACAGGTCCATTCGGCGACCTTGGGGGAGTTGTGTTGGTATAGGATGCGGCGAGAATTTCAAGTCTCATTTTGGCTTAAAGCGGCTCTATTGGCAATATCTATGATATGTAGTCATTGTACGCCTAACGAATTTAAGACTGGCGATGTATCAGAGTCAAGTCCAAACTCATTAAACATTACAAAGTTATGGCAGAATAATGACAGCACTGGCGCTGTTTTTTTATATATTCGTTTCAGGGGTATCCGCCACGACTAGTAAATGATATTAAGACTATGTAGATAGTGTTGAATATCAGTAATTTACAAGCTTTCTCAGCCTTTCTCAATGTTGCTCAGTGAAAGGGCTCTCACCTACCCCCTCTGATCTTTCTAGTTTATAACATAGGCATCTTGAAAATCTATTGCCTTCGTCTTTCAGAAAAACTTTCCTCAAATAGAATTATGGTATGATGTAAGAAACAAGGCACGAATCATTTCAGGCAAAGATAGACCCTCTGTAATATAAATTTCCTTATCCTCAATTTAATGAAATAAATATGCGCTCTACACCCCCTTTACTCAGCTTTAACTACCCTTTGTCCACGCCCAAGTTCTTGGTTTTGTTCGTGGTACCTTCACTTATGTCATATATAGGAGTTCTCGCAAGATATCGAGATTAAGCTTCATATCAGGTGGTCTGAAGCCTCGATCTAATTCCGCCTTTATTTCTCTCCGGCAAACATCGGCATAGGCGTTTTTCCAATCTTCGATAAATGCTTCTGCCTGGGCACGTGTCCTGAAGTGCTTATAGCAAGCACCTGAGTATTCTTTGACCTTTGGCTCTGTTTTCCCACTGTCACTATTTATGAGTAAATTCTTTTATACGTTTAGAGCTGACCCAACGTACTAATAGTAGGGATAGATACCCGGGTTACTGCCATTGGCGACTGCGTAGAAGGCTTTATCACCTCGTAATGGCGTTGTCTTTCCGGCCCCATCCTTGATTACCAGTGTAGGCCGATTTACCCCGTTCTCCTCCATAAAAGACTGTGCTTCTTGGAGAGTGTAGAAGCTCTTGTTTCGCGAATCGCATCCAGTCATGCGAGGGTGGGCATCGCCCCTGCGGAAGAGACTTAGCGAGATCCTCATATGCTGACTAGGTAAATATACCATGATGAAAATATTGTGGGTTCATCAAGTCGTCCAGAAAGAATGGCATAATATTCCTTATTCTTGGGTGGCATTACCTCGTAAAGTATATAGTATCAGTAGAGTGCGAACTCCTCTGAAAGCAGTTTATTAGTTATTCAGATATCCCTTCGATTCAGGCGTGCGTTATTCAGGGGCTGGCATAAATTGAGATTGATGGTAAACATCAAGTATTAAAGATAGTGTGTCGTGCTATGTATGCTACGCTATGGACCATATATAGGAAGAAAAGATCCAGCCTCGGGGGCAAAGAATCATGCAAGTGCGGGGCACCATGCAGCTCAGCCACATGTATGACACATTACATCCATAGATTTTATCATGGTTCAAATGACGAGGCTAAATTTGGTTTCTGACTGATTTGTATTACGCTGCTAAGGGTTACCCCTCTAAGGAGATAAGGAAATTTCTCTACCAGACTGTGCAAGTTAGCTTGAGAATGCCGAAGTTGGTGGTGCTTGCGATCATCGGCAAGGCAGACAACATGAGTTAATACGATAATATTGTTCTTCCAGAGAAATCGTACTGCAGCTTCGGCCCGAAGTTTATGGGCTCAATAATCCAGCCACACTAAATCTTTGGCTGTGCCAGCATCCTTATATTCGCGACTTGTTCTCCGGTTCGTCGAAGGTTAAAATACACCTAATCTCTCCGCCGATACTGCTCTTCTCACATTTTACATACTTCATTCCACAAAGGTTGAGGTTTGCCGGCGCGGTGTTGACTGGTGTGGTACTGGTTATTCTGCGGTAACAGTCGAATTTGCAGACTTTAGGTCATTGCCACTATCGTCCCGCACCAGGCGTTCATTAGGGAGTAAAATAGCGCGGTCAAGTTGGCAAGGTAAGCCTCGGTGGCGTCCCCCGATCATCATTGCACATATCACCAATTTGCTGAACGTAGTAAACTCGCCGCTCAGGGGATGTCATCACTGTCGGATACCCAAGACTGAGCCCAACATTTCCACTTTGAAGAAAGAGGTTAAGCCTTTAAGCCTGCGCAGTACGTGTGCTCTTAGAGAACTGGCTTTATGGAGATACTCACTACGCTGACGTTACCTCAAAGAGCACTAGGAAAACTGAGAAGATCTACCACAAGTTAGTAGTGCTAACGGGAAAACAAGATAGAAAACGCAAACCGGATCTATAACATCCACAATCTTCTCTACCTCAGCGATACAGATGCAGAATGCTCCTAGGAAGATATACCACAGACAAAATGTAAGCTGGTTGCGGATGTGAGTTAAAATATATGTTTTCCATTGCTTTCATCAGTCTCGCTATCCATGGGATATCCTCCTAGAGCCTTCTCTCCATATGTGTTTGACGCTCGAATGCTAATAGCAATGGGGAAAATGGCAATGTACATCATAATCAGCAAGCTGAATTGAACAGCTGGGTTTACCTCTGCCAGGTCAAATGTCGATGTTCCGGTGTGTCGAGCTGATGCTGCCTGAAATATAGAGGCCAGAACACGTGGCCCAGCGGGTAGGTTGTTGACAGCAGGAGTATTAAGATCCAGGACTATAATCAAGATAACATCAATTAAGTTCATAGCAAATAGAATCCCAAAGAGAGCCCACGTTGGCCCACTGGGGAAAAGAAGCGTTTAGCAGCGGCGAGTGTGCTTTAGCAAGAAGTATAGAGTTTCTTGAACAGACGAGTTCCGTGGGACAACTTTAGCCACAGCCCAAATGACAAGTCGAAGCAAGCAAGGAAACTCATAATAATCATAGGAAACATTGCATCTTGGAACATGATCATGGAGTCGGGTGTAAGTGTAAAGCCAAGGTTATCTACCATCGTTTGCGCGGAATATAATCCCCTGTATAGTAGAAATAATGAGCGGGGCTGCCATGTTCTGCAGTAAAAACATACTACCTGACAGTACCTTGCCCACATTCATCTAGGTATTGGCGGTACTTCAGATTTACATGCTGAATCCAACCGACGAGGCAAATTGCGCCAAAAATATGGAGCCCGAAGAAATAACCTTTTGACTACATCAGCTCAAATAAATACCCATTCAAGCCCGGTAGACTAACCAGTGGCAATCTTTAGCAACAGCTTAAGACTACGATATTCAATACCACCGAGGATTTCTCGGCCCTCTGCAGCCATGTTACGGAATTGTGAATTCTGTCCAAGGGTTGCATATGAAGAGAGTTCAGGTAGATCTAGTTACTGAGAGAGAGATATCTCTTCCGTGTAGTCGATGATTGATGTTTTTGGCCCCCGCTGGAGGGTTCACTGACAGCGAACATAGAAGCAACACGTTGATGTGATACAGTGTCACCATGAAAAAGCGTGTCCTTGATGTTCTGGTCTAGTGCTCGAGAGGCTTCCGTCCGGGCTTTTGTCAAGTGGAAATCCTGTTTTATATCGCCGTCAAAAGAGATGCTGGTAAGGCGCAAGTTGGGAGCTGGTCGTTCCTTTTGGTATGACCTTGATCCTATCATCACGAGGATCGCCTCTGAACAATAATGAACAATACCGACCTTTAACAGGAGACCAACAAACTCCTGTGGGCCTGACAGGACCTTTCCCTGGTCTGATGTCACTTTGCTGATTCTGCGTGGCCATCATTAGAGAAGGTTCGGGGCTGTTTTATTTGGATTATTCTCAGTTTTGTTCCTTCTTTGATTGTTCGAGCACGCAAGTGATACCTTCTGCCTTCAACCGCTTCTCAAACCAGCGGAGACGGACCACCACCACCAGATGTTGATGAACCCGAGGTTGCTGATGATCGGAATGATGTATATGTACAACTGCTGATACGCCATTAGATCCTTCTCATCGATTCTGTGTAGAACGGGTCAAGTCAGGATGCACCAACAGACCCATAGGCTATAATGGAACAACGAACGTGTTGAGTCCGGGTTCAGTAGACGCGCTCGCGCCGAAGAAATAGGCGTCAACCGCCTCCAAGTTCCCGTATAGGTAGAGAACAATCAGGCCTAGCATACTGAGAAAACTAATATATGCACTAAGCCGACCGACCTCTAATCGCTGAAATAATCTGCATGGAAAGTTGTTGAGGGACGAAGTTAAGACGGACAATGCAACGTAATAAAATTCAGCGACGGCGTCCGCATGGTTGGAAGCGCCGCTTGCTGCTGGGCAATTTGTTCTAGCGAACTGCTGCAATATTAGGAGCGAAAATTATATGCAGTCCGCTGCTGAGCTATTGTGCTCTTTAAATCATTGCTGTCATCGTGTTTGTGGGCGCGACCCTGATGTTTTGCTCATGGCTGCGGGATAATTATCTCCTCCGTCCGCCGCAACTTCGCCCATCAAGCCCTTCTTTAGCCTGCGAGATATTTGGTTTTTCTCTTTTCTTTTGAGCACCGGCTATGGGATACGAGGAACAGACCTCCGATTAGGCAACTGCCAGGAGCCGCTCCTTGGAAGCTTTTGGTTGCGATCATCCACCCCCATCCGCTTTGAAATCGATCAACGTCTGTTGGATACACCGAGTAACGTGGGAATCAGACATCCTGGCACACCGAAGCCTTCCCATATATTTGGAGCGCCGATCCTGTTGGAGATATTATCAGATCTTTACGAACCAAAAGTTCTCTTGTGAAAAATTGAGTACTCAGGGTATTGGTGAAGCTCGTGACCAGGAGACGCATCTTTCCTTTCTTGCCTTATTTTATTAGTACAATCGTTGTATTATTTTAATTTTTATCCTTGAATATCTTATCCTTCTGAATGAATACTATACCAACTCAAACTAACCTTTATTAAATTTCTATTTGTACAACTTCATATATGACTTGATAAACTTAACTATTTGTCGTAGATCACTGAGCGGACCATATAATAACTGAGCAAAGCCTCTGAGCACTCTACTAATTTAAGCGGCGACGTCCAAAAGAGGAATTTCCTGTGTATTTTCAACGGCCTAAACATTGTTGTAAGATGCGATAAAATAAGACGTCAATCTAGACAGGATGAGAACGATAGGGATGAAAAGTGTACATTTAGGCCGAAGCCACCATCTCAGATCAATTACGTCTTTTTCCACTTTTGTTTTTGTACTACTTAAATATCTCTAATGAGCTATGAAACCTCCATCTACCGGCAAACAAACTCCCGTCACCAAGCTGGCGTCATCGCTAGCGAACACAACACCACCGCCACCCGTGCGATATCATCTGGATCACTAAACGCTTTAAACGGTTGCCCGCGTCGTATTTCTAACGCAGACGATGAAGCATCCTGCTCCTAAATGTCACATAACGTAGCCGTTCGAATCGCTGCACGGGACTATCTGTATAAGAGCGATACTAGATACTCAGCCATTACAACAGGACAGAGCATACCCCCGGAACACAGTGCATTCACATGGATTCGATTAGAGGCGTAATCCAAAGCAACCTGTTTATTCAAATTGCTAACCGCCCTTTGGGCGCGCAGTAAGCTTCTATACTCATACATCAGCCCCTGTCATCCAGCCACCACCAAAAACCTAGGATACAACATACGAAAGCCCTCATCACTGGTGCCTCCTCAGGCGTAGGAAGGGCGATCGCTCTCCGCTACGCGAAAGAAGGAGCGCACATCGTCTGTGCGGACCTATCGCCAACAGCCCAATCCCTAGTTCAGCAAGAGGTCAAGATTACTACCCATGATGCTATGATGAAAACTGGAGGACAGGCCATCTTTGCACAGACAGGTGTCAGCGAAGCTAAGCAAATGGAGAGAGCGGTACAGGCTGATGAAGCGAGATTCGGCCGATTGGATATGTAAGTGCTACATATTATACGAATGACCCAAAGCTTGAGTGACAATCTGTAATATGGTGAGTAACGCCGGAATAGCCATCGAAGTGCGGACTCCAGCCCGTGTTAATGACGTAGACGAGAGGGCCTGGTCACGGCTTTGCGAGTCTATACCAAGTTCGTATTCCTAGAATGCAAGTATGGGATTACGCAGATGTTAAAGCAGGAGCCTCATTCGCCCGGCGATCGGTGCTGGGTTTTTATAAATTTAAGCCCAGTGTTTGGGATTGTAGCGGGACGGGGCTATTTTGCTCTGGAGACGGGCCATGTTTAGACTGCATTTGACGAAGGCGTAATGCGTTTGGAGGGACTTGGTGAGGAATATAAGTATTTATTCATTGCATAGGGTAAGACCTAAGCCGCGACTTGCTGAGAAAGTTAGATGGAAGATAAGGGTACGTGGCCGCCACTAATTAGTATGTTCCCCTCTTCAGGACTTTTGTTATTGTTGAGGGGTAGTAGGAATTTTATATGAGTCTATAACTACGGGCGTATAGGCTGGGGTTTGTGTATTAGTTGCTGGTGAGTCGTCGCTTATTTCCATGTTTCACCTGCGTCGGCCGGAGGACGAGGATGGCACCAGCACGCACTGTAGCCACCACTCTCCAGTACTCTTCACCCCCAAACCTTGAATCAGTGACCTTTTTGACGTCAATATAAGATTCTTATGGCATTTCTCTTGGTGGGATAATGGTCCAATAGCCTCTAACGTATCTAATGTATACCGTCTTCAGCGCATCAAATTCCCACAAAATATCGAATACCCCCGAGATGACTCCTCTATTTTCTAAATTGTGATATGAAGAAACTCAGCGTATCTTAAGATTATGTGATTTTTTCCCGCTATTTGGAGTGGCCTTAGATCATTGTTTATCCCCAGGCTCGGCTGCTACGGCTGCTACGGCAGGTACTTAGGGATATTATAATTTCACCCAACTCCTTATCACACACTATCCACAATTCTAGAGAAACACTGGAATATATCGGGTTTTACATTCTTTTTATACTGTCCAAGGAAGATACATGGGAACAGTCAGTGAAGCAATTAAGGGATTGTTTTCGCCTTTCAAATTTAACGGTGGAAAGATGCCATCCCCCGCTGGGTCGCGAAGACGTTTTTGATTCACGGACTAGACAACAAATCTGTACTAATTGATACATTGCTCAATTTGCCCCAGATATTCTTAGATATGTTAAGCGTTGTCTCTATGTCCACATCGAGGGGGCTGCAGCGCGAGGAGCCGCTTTGGGTGATACTTGCCACATGGCAGAAGCACGCCTTATATCTAATGTAACGTGCTATAGAGACTACTATCAGATTATCACCCAAACACTGGGCAGGCTAAAACACAAACATCTATGCAATACACGAAGACAAAACTGAAAAAGGCCGACACTCACAGATCTAACCCGAAGAAACCCAGTACAACCCAGTACAACCCCCCCATCTATATCGTCTATACCTGAGGAATATGCAACGTCCGCACAGAAGTAAATACTTCCCTAATATGCTCACCCCCCTCACGTCCGATACCTGAGTCCTTCATCCCCCCATACGGCGTCCCCAATTCCTGCTCCAGCCAAGAATTCACCCAAACCAACCCAGCCTCTAGCCTCTCCCCCACCCGTCGCATGCGCCCCCCATCCCTAGTCAACAATATACTAGCCAGCCCATACTGGCTCCAATTAGCCTTTCTTATCACCTCCTCCTCCGTATCAAACGGTGTGAGCGTAACAACAGGACCAAAAATCTCCTCCGTCAACAACGGACTCTCCTCCGACACTGTCAAAACAGCAGGCTCAACCCAGAAACCCCCCTCCGGATTCTCCGGCGGTATAGACCCCAGATGGAAAACACTGACCGGATCCTCGGCCGCTAATACCAGGTACGACCGGATCTTATTATAGTGCGCTATGGAAACCACAGCGCCGACTGTATTCCCTAGCACGTAATGCTCTCTGACGTGTGCGACGAAGCGCGATACGAACTCGGACCAGATTCGTCTCTGGACGTAGATTCGTGAGGCGCAGAGACAGATCTAGATCTCGTTAGTCATGTGGCTTGAAGGGTTGTACTAGGGGAGAATTGAACGGGCTATACCTCGCCTTGGTTCTCTAAGGCTGCTGCTGCCGCCGTCGCGACGGCGTTGTGCATGTCGACGTCGTCAAATATGAGTGTGGAGTTCTTTGAGCTTAGTTGGAGGGAGAGGTGTTTTCCGATGTCGTCCACGGTGTCGCGGCGGATTTGCCGGCCGGTGGTTGTGCTGCCGGTGAAAAAGATACCATTGACGAGGGGATGGGAGATGAGGGCTGAGCCAGTAGGATTGCCGGCTCCGTAGACTAGGTTGATTACGCCTGGGGGAAGGCCGACGGCTTGGAAAACGAGTGATAAGACTGGAAATCTGTTAGGTTTGCCGGGTGTAGTGATTAGATGAAGTAGTAGTACTCACGATAGGCTGTCATGCTAGTCACTTCACTCGGCTTCGCGACGGCTGTACATCCGAAGGCTAGACACGGCGCGATCTTCCATGTAAGTTGACATAATGGCATGTCCCATGGTGCGATGAGGGCGAATATGCCCTTCGGCGAGCGATGTTCATACGTCAAAACGTTTGTATCTGTAAATCGGGTAAGGGTCTGTTGGTGTAGGATGTATGTCGCAAAATATCTATCTCGTCATACGTTAATTCACGGAGCATAGCTTTCGGGAATGGATCGGAGTGGCCATACCGGAAACTCGACACCGCGCGATCGATCTCCACTCTCGCTCGCGCCAACGTCTTCCCCTGGTCGATGCTTTCCCATACTGCGAACAATTCTCGCTGTTCTTCAATTCGCGACGCAATGCGCTCGAGGTATTGTGATCGTTGCGAGGGAGGTGTGGCGGACCATGAGGGAAAGGCCGCCTCGGCGGCTTTGACGGCTTTGTCGATCTGCTCGGGAGTGCTATTGGGGATGCAGGCAAAGCGGAGGCCAGTCTTGGGGTTCTCAGAATCGATCCAACTAACGTGGGGGTGAGGGAGGAGTTCTCCATTGACGAGGTTCTGGAGTCGGAATGGCTGGAAATCGAGGCGCTGAAGATGACCCTCCGCGTCCTCGAGGGTATCTAGTTCCCACGCTTGTGGAGACATGTCAATTGTGACTTTCCAATGGCCGTAGTTAGTACGAATGATATATATAGCAGGGTAAATGGGAATGTCAGAAGTTGGGAGCATATCCGACGAAGAGACGAAAGCATCGGATGTTATCCGGGTCGAGTGAGTGGTCTGATTATCTCTTCCGGCTGTAAATAATGCCAAGAAACCACTAAGATAGACGATGTCACTAATAATATGAAACCTGGAGAATACAGCGGTAAAAGGGGTATTGTTCCTGCTATTATAGAAGCCATGGCGTTGATGCTGTTTACTTAGGGCTATCTACTTACCTAAATGGGACGATATGGGATACCCTCCATTTCCAACAACCTTTGAGCCGAACGTGTAGATCAACTACCTACGACTCCATGATCATGCTAAATTGCCAATTATTGGATAGCTATTTCGGACCCGCGACGGATCCACTATCCCCACACCACCGATCTCGTCTTCCATGGAAAGCTTCAATTTAGCAGGGTTGTGTGGTGTGTTTCCTACAAGAGTGGACAGAACCGCTCTATATATGAGACTAGTACACAAACCAGAATGTGGAAACATACATCCATTTTTTGAAGTGCATATTGCGGAACAATGTATTATCCTCTACAACCTGTAGAGGCATGTCCCCTTTAGCCTGATAGAACCATTGTTCGGTTCACAAGCTACCATATGGACAGAACAAGTTAGATCGTGATTGTAGTAGTGACTATAAACCTCTCCTAACAGTAATAAAAAATATATCTGTCACGTGAACGAAGCAATCCAAAACTCGCCCATGACAGATTATAGTTTTATGGTTAGATCTCAAGACACCGTAATGAAAGGTAGTTTTGCCAAAGGGGTTGTGTTTCCCGTGATGAATGTAAGAGTACCATAGGTCTACTAAGCCTGGGGCTATTATACATCCATCCACATTTTATAGTTGCATCACACCAAGAGACAATAAAAAATACTCAGTAAATATATATGCAGTAGTAACCAATTCCAGGTAAATTAGCTGTAAGCACAATTTAAGTGGGGAGGCCTAGTTTCTTATCCCTTCTATGTTATCAAAACACTCTGCGATATCCAGAATCAATAAGACAAATCAAAGTGGTATCCGAGATCCATATCCGCCAGATATACTTCCACTGCCTCGGGTTATTTATCAACCCTAACAATCGCTTTTCGGTACGAACAAGGTCTATCTGGCGGTACAATACAATACAAAATTGAACAAGTGCCCGGAGCTTTAATGTTTAGAACCAATGTGACAAACCCATGTAGCTCCGCGGTTGGAAGTAGACGTCCATGTCATTGTCAGGCGCAACGAACCTATAAAATTCCTCCCCTGCATGACTTGTCAGTGGTCGATGATAGCATTTTACACCACAAGATAGCTATATCGAAGCCCCGGAGTAGGAAACACCCAGGAGATAGGATCAGCCAATGGGTAATCCGTGAAGTGGGTCAACCGGCGAAAGTTTCAGAGATACGATTCTTCCGCAAATGTATGACGCATCATGTACATAGACGAGACTGATATCATTATGAGGTCTCTGTGTAGTAGTGGGAGTTGGACAGTCATGTTAGAAATTTGAAAGGAAGATAAATACGGTCAACAACAAAGTTGGTTGAAAAGCCGGAGTTTATAGGAACGAAAAAAAAAAGAAATAATTCCGATGCGGGGAATCGAACCCCGAGCTGCTGTGTGAGAGACAGCGATGTTAGCCATTACACCACATCGGATTCCTGTTGAAAATCTGTCTCATTTTTACTCTATAAACCAGGATTAGTCAACTACAGCAAGTGATACTTCCATGCGCTCTCAGTGAAGTGGGATGTATACTTTTGGTAAGTTGTAGACATTTCTGTGGCGTAGAGCCTCTTTCAAAGTGTGATGACCTGTAGAATCAATAAAAGTACACCAAACACATTTCGGTGGTGAGGACAGATGAGAGGGTGATAGGATGCATATAAGCGATACATGGGATAGAGGCTGGTATAAGAAAAAACCCGAGGTTGGTTTAAGGGTAAATTATTGGTGTATATATCAATTTGGCTCTATGTGGACAGCTCGCGGATGCTAATTTTGCTCAATGTTAAATGCTATTTACGGACACCAAGACATGCTCAATCAGCTTCATTCATTTTGGCAACTTCTTTCAACATATCGTAACATATCTTCTCGGTCACGACGCTATCATGCTGGTAGTCCTCATGCTCAGCAACAAAGTTCCTCATCCATCTCGCTGGGGTGGGTAGACTACCACTCGCGCGACAACTGATGAGGTTAAGATATCCTATCAACTTGGCTTCTTCATTGGGAAGCAATTCCCTGTCCAACAAATACGACCGAACAATGGCAACCAACCCAGGGAATCGGGCTGGTGAAGTCGAGCGCTCGCCGTTGATTATCTCATCCATGGTCATTAGGGTATATGCGCCATCCGTAGATTCGTCTAGTGTATGAGCGCAGCCGTTTTGAGGGTGGCACTGAATAGAATCCAGCCCATCCGGAGCCCAGCCTCGTCGCCGGAACCAAAAGCGTTCCTTAGTCACCGCGTCGAGGCTTTGGGCTCGCTGCATGGACTCCGTCACTAATTCAATAGGGATATAAAAATTGAGTCGATACGTCACAATAGCCCGAGATAACAGGAACATGAACACCGAAAATGCCGCGTTTTCCGAATCCTTGGGTTGGACTTCCATGGGCCGGAACTCGACGCGCCATCCGGCTCCTATGCTTGCATCAGGCATTTTCAGGTGCACATGGTGCCACACCCCGTGTTGGAATTTCTGGAGGATATGGGTGGTCTCTGGGCTCATGGAGTCGATATCATCTTGACTCAGGCACAATGGATCATACCATATAATGTGCGAGAAGTACAATGCGATGGATTCATCCATGCCTCCCTCTAGAAGTTGTTGCCTTGCACTTTCGTCAACCCTAACTTGTCTGCAGGCATTTGCTATGTCTGGTGGCCGTTCATGAGAGAGGTACACTCGGTTGGAGGACCAGCGTGTTAGCGGAACGGAGCAACATGTTTTAGAGGCCGTGATGAAGTCGGAAACTTCCGTCTGGGTGCGGTCGTCGAGACTTGCCACCAAGCAGTTCCACCGGGAGTCTGTATTGACTAGAAACCCCTTAAATATAGGTGTTGCGGCAGTTAGAGCCATCATGGTAGGACCAAGTATGACCAATTGATCATGTAGCCACCTCGCGTCGCGCTCAGTCTCAGTCTGAAAGGTGGTCTGCAAGGCGCAACATCCACAGCCGAACCCTTGGCCTTCAAGATAGACGCAATTATCCTCTTTTTCTGGCTTTTTGGATGAAAACGGGTCGTCCAAAAAAGACCTCGGGGTGTCTCTATCTTGAAATAGTGGAACGTGGACCCCTATCGGACGTTGCCGTCGGCCGAGGATCTTTTGTGCCATATAGACATGGCGAAGAGCCGGTGAAAGTAATTGAGGGGGTAGCATTCTGTAGTGAATATTGCTCTGTGAGGGTGCGTAGTGAGGAGTCGAGTATTGACCCTTAACACCCAAGCGGGGGAAGGAAGCAATGGTTAGTGGGTATTGAGAAGGTCCCAAGAGGCTCTTGATCAAAGCCCGTCTGTGATAATCCAGATATGTTAGCATGTTTCATAATGTACATCTATATGATACTCGGTATTAACTCTATTACCTCTTCTTCATGTTTTGCTCAACATCGAGCAAATCCCGCGTCTCATCGGTATAGGGCTTGGAAGGCGTAGACTCTACCGAAAAGTTCGCCCACTCTGCCTGCAAATCCATGGACTCGTCTTCATTTTTCCCCCTGTCTGGTATTAGCTGGCATTCCGCGGATGCCACAGGGGAGCTTAGCAATACGGATTGTGTAGCAGATCATACCTTGACTTTTCGTTAGTTTGCTTATCCCATTGCTGCAGGATACTCTCCTGGCACAACAACACCGTTGCACGAGACCATGAAGGGTCCAAATCTACTATCAGGTATTCTATCTACGTTGAAACGGTCAGAAAAGGAAGACGCCATTCGTTCAGGGTAGGACATACCTCGTCACCCCACAGAGCTTCCGGGTTGGTGATGTCCTTTCCCCATTCCCATAGGTTGAGAATTTGCTTACACCGGTGAGTGTCAGTTATAGCCGTTAATAACCCAAGAGGCAAAAGGAAAGGATACCTCAGCAGCCCACCTGCGTGCCTGGGGACCGACTCTCTGAATTTCCTCTGGCGACAAAGGCGCTCTTCCAACCCATCTGTACTATGTTAGTGGAGATCGCTTTTATTTTAGGAATCTGTCAACGTACGGGCGACCCATGCTTGCATAATGGTAGCGAGAACTATGGATAGTAGCTGATAAACATGAATTCACTGGCACTGATAAGAATCACCTAGTGTCGACTGTATGTAACTTGTAGCAACCGACAGGATTATTGTAGCCGGGATTAGATGGCAAACAAAGAAGCAGAAACATGTTTAATTACAATACATTGTGTCAAAGAGTATACCACTGGGTAATGTTGGCTGGCCGGAAATAGAAAATGCTTTCAGCTTGAATTGAATTCCTCCCGAACCACGGATGAATCCCGTCTGGATGAGAATGGCAACGACACTGGACAGATTTATCACCTGTGATATACTTTCTTGCCTTTCTTCAAACTTTTATCTGGTAGCCAAGGTTGCCCCATATCCCATTCTCTTCTATGCAGAAGCTGTTTGTGATCCAGATTGTTCCACCAAAAGATGAAGCACTATCCTTTAGTGCTATGATATATGTCGATGATGTCACGGGAAAAGTATGTGATCTATATAGTGAGTTCTCGATCACTTCCATGAACCATGAGAGATTGCGTGCCTAAAATTCACAAAAACTCTGACTTTCTAGCATCCTGAATCCCATGGTTCAGTGATTCGACCCTACGTATGATTCTTTTAGGCCATGTATGCGCAAGACTGATGTAATATTGCGTTAGTATATGAGCTCTGCTCCGTGTATAGAACTCTGGGCTACACTGAAGCGCAGTGTCAAAGGTTCTGCGTCGGATCAGCCGCAGAATTTGTTGCGTGAGTGTTGCGGGAACATGGCCACGAGGTCATCCTGATCCCAGATTACAAATCTCTCATAGCTAGACTCGCTGCTGGCGAGGGCAGAACATGGGACCTGGTGTTCAATACTACTGGAGTGTACGGCATGGCTCGAGAAGCACAGGTGCCCGCGCTCCTTGAAACAAATCAGATCCCGTTTACTTTCTCCTGCGCGGCGACAATGGCGTTGTGTCTTGATAAAGCGAAGACAAAGGCATGCATGTTGTATTCTTTGGATTTAGCAAATATGCCGTGTCCTAAACTGGTTGATAGATGGTTCTTCAATACTATGGCATTCCGACAGCACCGTTTGCAGTTATCCAACCGTCCCGACAAACGGGCGGGTTGACGCCAGAACGTGTACAGACGCTCCTTAGACGCTCACCACACACTAAAGCCTTAAAATAATCTATTGTTCGCAAAACCAGTTGCTGAAGGGTCGTCAGATGGTATTGTGGGCGGCAATAAAGCTAACAATGCGACTGATTTGCGTAATATCATCACTAAGGCGTGTGCTACTTTCCCCACATGCCCGGATGTTCTTGTTGAAAGCTTTCTGCTGGGTCGGGAGTATACAGTCGCTATTATGGGTACTTGGAGCAGATAAGTTTGTGTGGCGAGGCTCAAAGCCAGGCGCGGTGGTCATCAATAGCTTGGACGGAAGTACTGACATTCTGCTCCCTTTCATGACGAAGAACTCCAAAGTGAGCATTGCGCTCGGTGGCGGCCAGAGCGTGGCTCAGATAAAAGGCGATATGTCAGATCGGGAGGTTCAGCGTGTTTGTCAAGCGGCCTTGAAAGCGTGGAGGGTACTGGGTTGCTGCGATTGTGGCCGGGTTGATGTTCGCCTGGACAGCACATCTGTTCCTTGCGTGATGGAGGTCAGTATCATAATATGTGCTCGAGAGGAAGGCAGCATCTGGCTAACAGCATGTTCAGATCAATCCATTGTCAGGCCTTCATCCCGAGAAGAGCGAGCTGGCTGCCATTGGGAGGAACCATGGCATTCATTATGATGATTTGATGGAGATGATTGTCCAAAATGCCTTGAACCGATATGCGCCGTCAGATGCAAAGATAACTCCCACCCGTGCAGCAGGTCAAGGCTCTAGCAGACTATAGGTAAGTGCTATTTAGAGAACGCATGAACGGGATACTGCACTAGAGCAAAACAATACTGTATTTGATTAGTAATAGTAGAGCAATCGCAGTAACATGTACGTGCTGGGCTTAAACACACGTCTGAGGTAGGATATTGTTCCTAAGGAATCATAAACCGTGTCTTCGACTTTCCTCTTAATTAACAAACAGGCAGAGCGAACAAAAAACCCTTGTGCACATGTAAATACAGATCCCTGAAATTGCTGAACTGCGCAAATTGTTACGTGTCATATCATATTTTGAATATATGACTCGATTTACTCCAATGTTTGCTGTCCATTTTAGCTACTCCTTCAATAGCAAGTTACTACGAGTGTACACTGGTTCTCGGCGGGAAATTGACACATACTAGGTCTGAAATATGTTGAACCTTGCAACGGTAATAAATATATATATATATTCTCTCTTTATTCTTATCTCCCCTCCTTGTTGTACTGAATAAGTTACAATTTAATGGCAGGCAAAACTAACGAATACAAGGGATTAAGTACTGTTCGGAACGACCAGAGGATAAGATTACCGAACGAGACAAAGGGTATTGATAGACTTGGTTAAAGGGTATTTCACGCCGTAAGAGCTCTAAGGAACGTTGTCACTCGGTTCATCCAGTTCCCAGACCAGAGTCACTTTGAGATGAGTTCTGTTCTTCATCGCCACAAGCTATTTGGCGACCCGACGGACATTCCACAACGAGGTCATTGGTGACAAGGTACTCCCAGTGGGCTAAGATCCGAGGGGCGGGGGCAGGCATCGCTGTCCCTTCGCTCACATGGTTTACTAATGGCATTACCATTAGCGACGACAATGAGGGAGGAACGTGCGCGTGTTAGGATGACATTGGCACGTCGGTTGTCGGAAGCAAAACCTAAGCCACATCTCTTTCCAGTGATCGCAACGCAGTCAAAGGATTATCACGTCCTTTTGGCCCCCTTGCATTCTGTCAATGGTAGTAATGGAGACTGTGTCTCGCCAAGATATGTCGTGTCCATTGGATAGTTGGATCATGGCGTCAACGTAGGCCCTCTTATGATCGGCGTAAGTCGTCACAATAGAACACGTTATATTCTCCAAGGATTTGTTCGTAATGAGATGTTTGACAAGATCCATGACAACAGAAACGTTATGTGGGTTTGATCTGGAGAAGATGACAGGGTTGATATCGGACCGGGCATCGCTCACAACAAGCCCAATCAAATCCATGCCTTCATAGAACCATTAGCGTTTCATTTTTTATTTTCACCCATCAAGAAAAGTGACGTGAGGATGTTGCGTCTAGCTGTAGCTCTTCCACCAATGGGCCGTTTGTCAATTGTTCTTCGTATGTAAAGTGCGAGGGGAATTTGCATGAGATGTATTCGATGCAGCCGAGAAAGAACCACCACGGGAAACAGAGAACAACGGTGACTATCGAAAAGGGACATTGCGATTTGAGGTCCGAATTCATTGCATGCAGGGAGCTCAGTAGACGTAATGGCATTCGGGGGCAGCTTGCGGCGATCGCCCCCTCTAACAGTCCCTACCATGCTCTCTGCGTTCTAAGAGAAACCAGTGGGATTATTGCGTCCATCTCTATCGCCTGCCCGTCTTCGTCTGCGATGACAATTATCTTTTTTCCACTAGCACCGAAATCCCACCTAACGAGATCCGTGCCACCTAGATTGTTAGTACAGGCAATAGTGCAAGCTTCCTGTACCCCGAGTTCAGAAGCAGCGTCATAAGATCCCCTGGAGTGTTTCTCCACTTCTCCGCTTCGCAAATGAACATACTGAATGGTGGGTTGCAAGTTCTTGAGCTGTCAAACTAGGACATCGACGGCTGCGTTGTTCGGGGCAACCAAAAGGACGTTAAATCCGCAATGAAAAAAAAGGTAGAATGCGATGGCCACTAGCAGAGTTGTTGTGCCGCACCTAGAAAAGCCCTCTAACACCGAGCATCCAGCCTTGACGTTGCGAAGTGATCTAATAGGGATCAGCTGCTGGGAGCAGAATTTAAGGCTAAGGAAGTGCTGCAATGCAGAACTAATAACGTCTGGGTCAATATAGTATAAGAGATCGATGCCTTGTAAGACCCTATGTCCATGATTGAGCAGGAGCGGAAGCCACTTCCTTCTCACGCCATTTTCATTTGATTGAAGCTTCACTAGGGCAGTTATCTGTCATTTGAACTGATGCTGCATTGAGACTGAACTGGACACTTCCAGAATAGGTGATAGCAGCGTCGTCACTTGCCTTCTTGAACAGCTCCCCCGGGTGCTCTCCGTAAAGATTTATCTGGATATCTTCAGGCGCTATGTTCTTGAGGTACTTGAGAACTGTGAAACGTCTGAATTTGAGCTCGGCAGTGGGACCTGATACTTTAGGAACACAGATGGGCACTTGAATGTCGGTGAACTCGGGAAATATGACCTCTGATCTCTTCAGCCCTTGAGGTAGACTACTGGTGTTCTCAAAGGCCTTGTTCGGATAAACGACGGCAATGATGGTAGGACCAAACTTGCGCAATATGATCGTTGATGGAGTCCACTGGTTTCTTATTATGTGCTGCTGAGACTGTCTCCATTCGCTCAACGACCCGTAAGTCATTTTGACCAAACAGGCATCAAGCTCATAAAAATGAGGCTCAGCGCGGAAACTTACGATGTCCATAACCCAGCCTTGCTTTAACTGTGAGGCGTGGATGCTGCTGACTGAAGGCGAACCGAACATCCCCGCTACATGAACGATAAGGAGCCCAAGCCATGGAGGAGGGGAGAGAATTCGCGAGTTCGTGCAGGATGCGTAAGAAACCTTCTATTGTGCATACAATCTCAGGGTTTACATTGACGCGTAATTTGACCGTTCGAGACTGATACGTAGCATCCCGGGTCAGATAATACATGTATCTCAGGAGCATCTTGGTGGGTTCATGGAAATCAGCATGTCAACCAAGAGTCCTTGCGATATTCTGCCAGTGGTATCGAAAGGGGAGATGTGCTCGACTTGGTCGTTGTCTGTGTACGCGCCGTTGTTTGCCTTTTCTTTATGGGGAGAATGCTCTGTGAACCGGAAGTTCTGAACACAACGCTCGATTTTACTGTTAAGGAATGGATGAAGAGAGAACCCAAGTCGATATGCAATTGGGTCCGTTGTGTGCATGATGGGGGGAGAGGTTGATCCTTATAAGAAAGAGCAGGGCAGTAATTTAGTGAAGAATCACCGCTTTCGAATCTGTTATTCGTAAGCATACAAGGTAATGTTCCAATTTAGGCAACCTAGAGCCATTTGACCTTCGACTACTCTGATTCCTCCCTGATTTTGGACCCCTCTTTAATAGAGGTTACCACGAATATACAGCGTAGAATGAGAGATTAGAACTTACAGAGCCTCGGGATCCGGTAATTATGCGAACAAGCAGAGCAATATTGGCTTCGCGAGTGCCATGGCAAAAGACAGCGACGAAAGAGGGCAACATAAATACCTAGATAAAAGCCGCACGTATGAGGGAGGAAGAATCAGGGGCCACCGGATTTTAATCCCCAGACCGAAAACCTCGGGCTCAAATAAAAACAGGCCCCAGAAAATTGCTGGATCTTGTGAATTACCGCTATCTAAGGGTTGAGTCATATCATACACTGAATCTATCCCAATTGAAGATGCGGAGAGCTAGTCACGGCTAACCATGGGATAGATATTGTCGACTGATTATACTGGGTGTTTCTACTCCTTTGGAGGGTAAGTTCCTGTTCTATACCATTCATGGCCTCTAAATCTGTACATGAGGTACCAATTATGGGAAAGCGAGCATTCTCTGACTGTCGAGTAACAAAAAAGATTCGTAACGCATTCCTCTCAGCTCGAATTCAGACGATGGGATCGTGTCAGTAACATGTGGTGACGCCGCCGCCCACTGAGAAAATAATTCACGCCAGTAACATGATTCGGCAGCTGGAGTCAAATATCGATCACGAAAGGTAGTGATACTGTTGTTTGCGATCCGCTCAGCTGACGCAGGGTTGTCCAGCAAATGCTGCATCTTCGCTGGGAGGTCGGAGAAATCACGCTCTACTTCGACAAAGTTCTGGTCTGGACCGGAGGAGATAAGGAGGTAGTGATGATGTTGGATATACTGGAGTTTATGTGCGACGACGACGGATCTGCACGCCTGGCGATATTTGAGCGACGCAGAATATGATCGCCCTGTCCCATATCAACCGACACTGGTATTACTTGAGAATAACACGAGAAAGATACTAACCTTCGACATGAGCAATGAACTGATACCGGCAGTGATCCTCCATGCTGATAAAATTCTTCCGTTCCTTCCACACGATTTCCTTGATATCGGCCCACGGCTGATTCCTCGCAGCCTCCAGTAATGCTCGCCGCATTTTCGCCGCGAAACTCAGCTTTCCCCTCCACACCAGTTTCGCTTCTTTTTCCTCCCAAGGTACCTCCTTGTGCCGAATACGGTCAACCACCCGAGTATACGGACCGATATCCCCGTCGACTTTGCCGTGTTCCCAAGCCCAGAAACCAAAGTCTGGCATGAGCCACACTGCTTCCTCGTCTGGCTTTCGGGCCAACACCCACAGAGGATGATAGGGACCGGCGACATCATCCACTTTGTCTTCAACAGAGAAGATAAACTCGGTATCTGGTATAGATGAAGGGTCAGGATTTGTTGCTAACGCTCGGTGGATTGATCCTAGGATTCCTAAAATCTTGCGTCGGTGGTCATCCCCTTTAGCATGAGAGGACACCACGTATAGTTGGCCGCGAACGATGGCTGCACGAGCCATACCATCGACGAGGCGAATTCCGTCTATGTCATTCCTAGACAGCTCACGCTTCACAGACCAGAACTGCCGTGCGCGGTGAATATCCTCGAACAGACCTGGAAAAAAGCTCTGGCATTGGGCAGCGTCAAGGGATCGATTTTGCGCATCATAAATAGGGCTGTAAGTCCGCATCTCTGGTGTTGGGATTTCAGGTGATTGGGAAGAGCAATGAAGGCAACTTGCACATTGGAATGATAGGGCCGCTTGACAAGAACAATGGCCTGCTGGGATGAGTTGATTGAGCAGGGAGGGTACATTATCTCGATCGGAGTTAACGCCGAACCACAGAGACCAGATGAATAGCCCGAGGCCGCCGATCACGGCAGGGGCACCGAGATAAAGCAGGTAGCGACTCTGCCTCGACGAGATCATGATGTTGACGAGTTGGACGAAAACATGGCTGGCAGGCGTGTTTTAAAATCTGTGAATAGAATCCTGGAAAAGACTGGGGGAAATCCTCTCGGTGGCCCGTCTTTCAATAGTATCAAAATCAACAGTCGACCAAAACCATGTGAGGTAACATCAATACAATGATCCCTAAGAGTGGGCAGTGGATACGGAGACACACTTTTAGACGAATGAAAAAAGCCCCGTAGGCTCACGAACATACATGTTACGTGAGAACCCTTGTTTTGTTGGGTAACGGTCCGTTGTGGATTCGCTCGCTGGATAGAAAGAAAGTCCCTTTACTTTACCTACTTTAGAAGATGATAGGCTTGGCATTTGTCCACTCCGTCCCGTTTATAAGACGGTCGACCTTCCAGGGCGCAGTTCCAAGGCCCACAGCCTAGCATAAAGAACGACTCCGCCCCACTCGAGCCGGAACTGCGACTCTTAAAGACTTGCTTAGGGTATTATTCGAACAAACCATCTAGTGAGAGATTGGAATTCAGTCCCCACTTGTCCATAAACCAAGAGGATCCAGGAAGAAACGCCAAGCATATTCTTTTACCAAGAACGTAAGGGCAACCCACATTGCGGCGCAGCGCCTTATAAGCTTCTTGTTCCTCTTCACCATTATCACCATGAGCGGTGGCCCTTGAGCAGAGGATACTATATCCTTGCAACTTAGATATAATAGTGGTCCGAATTAAGGAATATCTAGAGAGGTTAGATCCGGGGTTTCGGGGGTTTCCATGTATCCTGACGATGTCTCGGTATATTTATTGAATCCGATGTCAGCGTTAGGCGCTATGAGGCTATAATGGACCCTCTTAAAAACCCACCAATCCATCAGCACATCCTCGTCTTCTCGTGGAGTATTAATATACTCCCATGCATCGTTTGCCATATTGAACAGACCTAGGGTACGTACTCACTCTACATTAAGCCATTGCTCAGAGTGGGTCGATTTATCGCCCCCAAGCACTAGAGTCCACACTCCGAGAGCTAGACTACTAGTTTTCTGTAGGTACGGAGTATCGGCATGAACCAATTAGTGTCGCGCCTCTTCGTTGGATTGAGGCGTTGACCTCCATTACACGAAGCTATTGATGTAGTATCCTGGAGACTTAATATTGCTGCCTGCACAAGTATTCACATGGTCGGATTCCTCACTCAATGAACGAAGGTTCGGAAAAAGGATGCCTCGTGTGGTGTATGTACAGAATCAGGCAGATATATCAATTGATAGATCACTGATAGCTAGAAGGGACCAACGAGTTCGCCCACACCTCCAGATATGTGTAACCGCTCTCATGCAACTTCATGGAATCGGCAGTCTTGGGGTCCGTTCCAAGCCTTTTCTCGGCATCGTCCGGGATTCCGTCGCCATCGGTGTCGGTAGCAGCCGTGCCCTTGTCGAGGTTGCCTGCGCCTCCCATATCCGCTTCATCTGAGATTAGTGCGCCCTTTTTGCCGTAGGACTCGACCTGTTCAATTAATTCCTGGTCAACGCTGTCTCGCACTTTCGACGCTCCTCCATCTACTTTCGATTAGCGTGGGGATTCGCCAGTGAGACATGGATGTATATGTGACGTACACTTGGTAACGTAGCTCAGAGCATCGGCCGGCGACAAGACAGACTCCACGGCTGGATAGTCGTACCTGTTGTTGACGAGGTCCATTCCGCCGTAGTTGGTCGAAGAAACGCCAAGCTCACTCCCGTTGAGGGTACCATCCTTATCCGAGTCGTAGTAGTTTTTCTCAACGTAGGCATGGAACTTCTCGTTACCCCGAGTAAACGCCGTGACGGACGTAGATGGCCCACTGACAAAGTAGTTTCCGATAATGTTGACGACTGCTTACGGTGTTAGTCACGGGATATAATCCTTGGTGGAAAAATCGGCGAGAACATACATGATTCCGCTTCGGAGCCTCCAGCAATGTACGCTCCACCACCTCCCCAGTTATAGACGACATTGTTCGTGAACTCATTGATGCCCTTGACCTTAGGATTGCGCGTCTTGTTATCGATGTATAGGTTGCGGAACAGCGAGATACCGCCGTCAGTTTGCATCAAGCCGCCGCAGGAATGAGGCTGCAGACCCTGCGCCATGATACTGTTTTGAATGGTGATGTTGCTCGCGGGACCATTGATCGAGAAGGTCTCGTCCCGACCCCAGGAGACGGAGACATGGTCGAAGATCATATTCTTTCCTTCGGCAATGCCCATGGCGTCTTTCCCAGCCGATCCACCCTTGCCCATGCGACTGCATATTTCAGTCTGGTTAGCTTATATTCCTCATGGAGACAAGAGATTCTCGACTTACATTCGGATATACCGCACGATAGCATCGTCAGCATTCGAGAACGACCACCCGTTTCCATACACAGTGATTCCATCGCCAGGCGCCGTTTGTCCCAGAATGGTCACTCGCTTCGACACAACAATGCGATCAGTAATTTTAATCACTCCCCCAACGGAGAAAACCACAATCCGGTCGGTCTTCGATACAGCATCGCGCAAAGACCCTTCCCCGGATTCATTTAAATTAGACACAACATAGATCTCCCCCCCACGACCGCCGACCGCATTTGCACCAAAACCCTCCGCACCAGGGAAGGCGACCAAACCCGAGGCCGTCTGGAGAAGCGACAAGAGACCGATGAAGGAGACAGTGAGCCGCATATTGGGCAATAACAAAGACAGAAAACGAATGGTACACGCTAGAAAATGATCCCTACATTTTATCTGGCAGCGCGCGGGACCTACATTTATATATGCAAATACACATTAGCCGCCAAGAGTGCTATTGATTAATGCATGAATCGGGTGTTTCGACAGTTCCCGTTAGATTAAGGAGATCTTCGCTCGGCATATTCGAAGTGTAGATCCACCTATCTGAGCTCACTGACTGTGCTTGCTCCGGTGCTTGACAGCTGACATAGATGTGTCCGGTAGCACTGCTTTAGTCGGTATCAGAACCGCAAAAGATCGGCATTCCTCGGCTCTGATGTCTCGGATGTGACTCCGTTCGTTCAACGGAGCCAATTAGATTATAAGTACTTGCATGCTGGCATAACAAATTCCACCTATGAGATGCTATTTATATATTGTCCATATGTCCACATTACTCCTGGCAAATATAACTAGAGGTAGTCTAGATATAGTACGCTATTTCGAGGGGTGAGAACAGTTTAAGCATAAGAGCTTCCAAGCTTGTGCTGGTATTATTACTAAACCACAGAGCAGTAACGTTATTGATTGCACCATAGACAAGGAGACGGGGGAAAACATCGATTGTATAGTCTTTGTTAGGGGATTGATTCGTAATTCAATGAGTCGTCGCGGTTAATAAGCCTGTCTGAAGTAGAGATTCATCTACCTCTTGCTCTGACAGTTTCGAACGCATGCCTTTATTGACTTGGAGGTACCCCATATATGGCGAGTAGATAAGTGATGTAAATGCTGTACGTTAAGGTCAGTCCCAAGGATTTATAAGAGCATATCACAGTTCATGATCGTAATCAGGGTCGGCGAGCTTCATAGCGCTCATCTTCTGGCCCATTACTGGATGAATAAGATTGCCTGCGTTGTATATGCCATTTAATTGCTATGGAAATCCGAGGATTCATCCGGCGTTAGGATATGGACTTCATGAAAGTCGCGTAAAGACGCATACCAACAAATTCAGCACAGACTCAAAGAACCATACTTGTCTTTTACAAGGAGCATTGTGAGTGGTGAGCCAACGAGGTCAGGCAGAAAACTAGACCCTGGTCAGCACTATCAAGCTTTGCTATTTTGCCTACCGCTGCAGAGTTCCGTGCCTCTTTGAAGAAAGATAGAGATGAGCATCACATGGCTCCAGGGGTTTTCATTTCAGCAGAACTTTATTAAATAGATTCATCGCAATTTCACTCCTTGGAGAGCAACCAAACCCCCTTCGAATCTTCTTTCTAGAGCGCGTCGTGGCATCTACTGAGACCGTGTTAGACCAATTCTGTTTGGGGAAATCCGCGAAATCATCTCCAGTCACCATCACCATGCTTCTTGAGTGATCTATCCGCTCGTTGATAGCTATTTCCTTAAGCGAACGACATCTGAAGTCAACGGAAAATGTGACTTTCTGGACTAAATTATGAAGAGTCATACTGTCGGTGGCGGGATTATAGGGTGCGATTGCTGTACCGCTGCTCTTGTAGGATCAAATATGTCTCTATCTTTGGGTTTATGAACCGAGTTATGACGTTTCAAGGTCCACTGCTCAAGTTAAGGACAGAGCACTGCAAGCCTACCAACTATAACTCACAGGGGATTATACGTACAAATGTGGACATAAAACCTTGAAGGAAAGGATGGAATTTGATTTTAACATGACGGTGGATCTTTTGATTATATTAGTGTGTAGTTCATTTATAGAGAATGGCAAAAGCGTAAGTTTAGGATATCGAAATTCATACCATCCAAAGCCTTACGACGATATAAATCCTGTTACGGTGATGTTATCAGTAATGCTCAACACCGACAGGTTTAGACCGTCTATCTAACGGAACTCGGTATAGAAAGTTAGTGAACGAAAGACAGCGATGTTTAAAAGAAACAAGATCGTTGGTATGAGAAATTGGATTAGCGATAAGGCCCTTGTAAATGAGGGTTGAAAAATCCCTGTGGCGGTTGAAGCCTTCCAATAAGAAGCATGAAACGCAACGGCGTCAATCTGACACGGCCTCTAATGCCCACCACAACAAAGAACGAAGCCCTAGAAGCACGGTAAAGAAGAGTACATATCGTTTCATACCAACCGTGATTACCATTCCTGCTCTTGATTGCTCGAATCTATACATCCAATGATCCTTCTTTACCGAGCCGTTCAAAAGTTTTGGATATACTGGCATGGAGAACCCGAGAGTTCCATTCACTACAATCGACAGGTCTAAGGTAACTAACTGACGGCTTGCTTCTCCCTTTGACCCTTTTTAATTGTGATCGTCCAGTGAACAATGAATAATGAAACATACAAGGGTGAGGGGGGGCTTCAAACGGCCTTCTCTCGTTCTTTTTCTCCTCAAAGCCCTAAGGGACTAAATTCAATTGTCATGGCCGGGCAAAAATCCATCCCGTTACATCCACGGTATACCAGTCGAATATCTTTGCCCAATGGTAAAGTCTCTGTTTTTATCCCGAGGTGATATCGCCAAGGAATGGTAGCTTTTCCATCACATTCCGCATTTGCTCAGCCACGCATGGATTTTGAATTCGGCTCGGTTTAACATCTTGCATTCACGATCATGACAACCTATGCCGGGTAACTTGGTTGGCTTGTTGCTTACTCCCACGTGCATTATCTATCACAAGGGGAGGAGTAGAATTTCAATTTACCCCAGTTCCATCTCGGATCGGCCTTATTTGGGTGTTCTAGAACAGGGGCCTTTGGTATGTGGAGACCATAACATACTATATCCCTTTGCGAACCCGAGCAAAGCCCGGCTCCAAGGAATGCACGCTACCTCTTTATTCGATATATAGACTGAAGTTGAAACTTGCCATTCCACTGATTCTAAACTCACCAACTTTTGGAAAGCCGAGCAATTTTTGCTATTTAAAAGTGCTTCATTTGTTTATTCTTACATTCTTGAGAGCCATTCCTTCTTTACTCCCATCTTATTCCATCATCATCACCATCATCATGACCATGAATGTGTTTAATGTGTTTCATTCCCTGAGCTGCCTGGTTCTTCTATTCCAGGTCGCACAATCAGCTCTCATCCCCATTTGCCAATATGACTCGGACAGACAAACCCAACCTACCACACCGGACTCCAATTCCGAATCTGGTATACCTAGCCTCCCCTGGGCACCCTCATCTGCTGCAACTCCTAGTGTACCACAGCAGGCAGGGAGTCCTGAAATAGCCGGAACCACAGAATTAATCATTCCTTACTATGTCTACCCATCCGAAGGGGCCTGGGTGCCACTGGAAAAATTGTACGTGATTCATATTCATCACAGATGTGTACGTGCACTAACCACCTCAACAGGGCTACTGACAATCCCAATGTGAGTTTTACTGTCATCGTCAACCCCGCCAGCGGTCCTGGCGCAGATGCTGTGCCGGACCAAAATTGGCGTAGAGAAATCCCCAAGCTTGCATCCCACAGCAATGTGGTGATCCTCGGCTATATCGCGACACGCTACGGAGGCCGGCCGATAGACCAAATCGAGCGGGATCTCAAGACCTATGCGGAATGGCCAACAGCCGGTAATGACGCCAACCTCAAGGTTCACGGCATCTTCCTGGACGAAGTTGCCGGTGAGCCTGACGAAAAGAAACTGGCATACTACCGACAGATCACCGCCACGATCAAAGGAAATAAGGGGCTCGGTCCAAACAACAGAGTAAGTACCCCGTATCCTAGTTACCATGGGCATTATAAATACTAATCAAAATACTCAGGTGGTGCTCAATCCCGGCACTGTCCCCGACAAAGCCTACCTCGATATCCCGGACTCGACAGTCATCTTCGAGTCCCCGCACAACCGGTGGCAGGAAGCATTGAAAGGAGGCCTCTTCGATCCCATCAAGAATGTCGATAAGGCTCGTCTTGCGTCAATGGTTACCGCTGTCCCCGCGGGAACTGACATTCGGGGTCTGGTTAACGAGCTTCGTGACGTTTCCGGTCACGTCTATCTGACCACCGCCGCCAGTTATACCGAGTACTCTACATCCTGGGAGGAGGTGGCGCGCATCCTAGCTGCTTGAACGCGGACGTCTTATCGCGTTAGTGTAGAGTTATGGTCTGATTCTGGATGATGTGCGCGGGACCCGAAGTGGTAGTTTCTTTATTTACCTTTGTAAAAATTGCATTGTATGCAGCATATATCTATTGTAGACCAATGTATCATATTTAACTTTTGCCCTGGTCCCCATGCTCCTATTGAACTGCTGTATGCGCCCGTGAGGGGGAGCTGTTGTACGTGTCAGGAGGTCAGAGGTTTGCCCGGGCGCTATCGACTTAAGTAGATAGATACTTTGAGACGCCAAGGTAGGACAAATTCGTATCGGCTCATCACACGGGTATATATTGGCTGAAATCAAGACTGGCTGGGCTGGGTCGCACCAGTGGCTTGGGAGAGCCAGTTGTAGACTTTCACCGCTTTGATGGCAACTTGTTCATTTCATTGAGTACCTTTTCCCCCTTGTTTTTGTCCCTAATTCTCTTTCGCTTTCTTCGGTATTTTTTGAAGCTCTTGGTCAAGTGCTGAGTTTAATTATAGTGAATAGGTAACAGTGAGGGGATATAGTGTTTCAGCGAACGATGACAATGGATTTCTGTTTCCAGGCCTCAATGACACAGCATCGCGGGATTATTTGGCCACGTCAAGAGTAGAACTAGCAGTGTATACCGTGAGATAGGCCTCAGCTGTGGCAGGGCCTCTGTAGCTAAATGTACATCTACTAGTAATTATCTGACCTTGAGCCAGGCAAGACACCACCGTCCGGATTTGGCTATGCCTCTGTCTCCGGTTTGACACCCCAGGCGACGTCAGGGCATATAGCATCACCTGACCAAGCATACAGAGGATGAGTCAAACGGGCCGATGGAGCTCTTACGTAACAGTGCCCCGGACCCAGAATATTATCCAATGGGAGCAAACTATCATCTGAATGTTTCGTGGGTACATCGAGGTCAATCGGCATTGATTTGTTGGCACGCCCTGCGAATGACATCCGCTATGAACAAACGTTAAATAGTTAAGATCTTATGGCAATCTCAGACAACCACACCTGAGTTTCGCAAGAGAATTACACGATGCGTCGATTCTCACGGCAAGAAAATTTTGAGCTTGCCAGCGGCCTCAACGTGAGGTCTGCTGCAAGTGAACCTCCAGCGGAGACTTTGGATGAAAGCCGAGTGGCTTCGGCCTTCCCAGATGGCGGGCGGGAGGCATGGACATGTCTCCTGGGCTCATTTCTGATGATGTTCCCCTCGTTTGGTTTTCAAACAGCTGGTAATGCGATACCAAACCTCACCACTCACCATGCTAACCCCACTAACACACCGTAGTCGGATCCGTCCAAGACTATATCAGCACCCACCAACTTGCCGAATATACCGTCCGCGATGTCGGTTGGATCACCGCAGTCCTAGTCTTCCTAACTCTCTTCCTGGGCGTCCAAGTCGGCCCACTATTCGACCGCTATGGCCCCAGAACCCTCCTAATCAGTGGTTCCCTCGCGAGCTTCACATCCTACATCCTCCTCGCCCAGTGCACAAAATACTGGCACTTCATGCTCTGCCTCGGCGTCTTAGGCGGTACCTCCGCAGCAGTAATAACAACCGTCTCCATCGCGGTCCTAAGCCACTGGTTCTACCGGCGCCGCGCCCTCGCCTCCGGCATCTGCATGGGTGGCTCCTCCGCTGGCGGCGCCATAATCCCCCTCTTACTCCGCACCCTCTTCGCCAAGTACAGCTGGACCTGGGCCATTCGCGTAATCGCCTTCATAGCGCTCGCCTGCTACGCGCTAGGCTTTTCCTTAATCAAAGGCCGCCTCCCAGCCAGCACATCCAGCCGCGCAACAATCGACCCCGCAGCCTTCAAATCCCCCCGCCTCTGCTTCCTAGCCGTCGCCGTCTTCGCTTTTGAATTCATCATCTTCGGCTGCGCGGCCCTTCTCCCCACCTACGTCCGCTACGCTGGCCTCGCCACAGACGTCCAGTTCTACTCCCTCACCGTTCTAAACGCCATGAGTCTCCTTGGTAGAGTCCTCCCCGGCGTTGCGGCGGACCTCGTGGGCAGATTTAATATCCTCCTCTCACTAGTTGTCCTAACTCTCCTCGTCATGGCAGCCGTCTGGACCCCCTTCGGGACACAGAACGAGGCAACATTATATGCTGTGGTAGCTATCTTTGGGTTCGGGTCCGGTGGGTGGTTATCGCTGGCGCCGGTGTGTGCGGGTCAGTTGTGTAAGACGGAGGAGTATGGGCGGTTTTATGGGACGGTGTACTGTGTTGCAGCGTTTGGGGTGTTGGTTACTGTTCCAGTTGGAGGTGAGTTGTTGCAGACGACGACGCCGCAGGTGCTTGTGGGCTTCTATTCGGGGGTTTTGGTGCTGGGGTTAGTTTGTGTAGTTTTGTCGAGGTGGGCGCTTTTGGATTGGAGGTGGAGGTGGAAGGTTAGGGTCTAAACTTATTTTCTCACTTGGTTGATTGATAGATTCTAGACTTTGGTGGCTTTGATTCATGGGTGGTTGGGTGTTACTGTTATAGAAAGATTGTTTTGGGTTGTATTGTATATTTTTTGGAGGAATTGAAGCTGGGGATTTGGAAAATGATTGGGAACTCTTTCTTATAATTATGGCGATCTTGCAGCGAATATAAATTTCTATCAATCTCCTGGGAGCGGCCTTGCAGTGAGTCATCATAGGTTGTGACAAACCGTACTGCATATAAGATGCCGATTACTATATTATTAATATTGCTTCTCTAGTAGTAATTCTATTTTACTCTCAGGGCCCTATAGCTCAGCGCCGCCAACCGTTTCTGACAACATTATCTATGTCGCCTTTCTATCATACGGGTTGGGCATTTGACTTCACTAAGAAAACAGACGAACAATATACAAAGTAGATAGACAAGACAAGGGCAATAATTTACCTTTGCAAAGGGCTATAGTGTTAACCTAACTAATAGTATGTGACTAATGCACCTGAGTATGTCTGTTCTAGAACGACCGGTCTTCTTCTCATGTAATGGAATAAACCGAGGCTACGCTTGGATGTTTAATATTGTGCTAGCGAATACTAAAAGTCAATTCCAACTTTCAAGGCCCCTTCTTGGGCTGCCATTTGGAAGCTGCGATAGGCTTTGTCGACTTCGGAAAATGAATAATCTGTAGCAAAGGCTTAGTCGTATAATAACAGACCTAGATATTGGAGATGAATAATGAGGAAACTCACGGTGAGTGAATAGATCAGAAGGCTTCAGATGACCCGATTGATACAGCCGAAGCAGTGTCGGGATGCTGACGGCATTGAGCAACTGCATCTTGATAGCTAGAGAGCGTGTAATTAGTTACCGTGCTGTAATGATTGCGGGAGTCGCGAAAACAAGATCATCTGAGCAGTCCACAATGGTGAGTCCTTTCCAAAGCCCAAGACTTACTGATGTTATGATCCCACAAATTGTGCAGGTCAATATTGGCTGGCTGGCCATGAACACCAACGTTGGCAATGGAACCGCCAGGAGCGACCAGTTTCTGGGACATCTCGAAGGTCTTTGGAATCCCGACAGCCTCAATAACGCAGTCAAACCCCTGACCACCGGTTACTGAGCTGAGCACCTCAATCGAATCCGGATGTCCAGAGTTAACGGTCTTATCGGCGCCTAGCCTTTTCGCATGCTCCAGCCTCTTGTCATCCAAATCGATCATCACAACCAGAGAAGGCGTATATAACTTAGCAGTCAGCATCACCGCCAGACCCACAGGCCCCGCCCCAATGATCGCAACAGTACTCCCAGGCTGCACATGAGCACTGATCGTCCCGCACTCCATCCCCGTCGGAAGCGCGTCCGAAATACCAACACAGGCTCTCAGATCAAGACCGCTAGGAATCTTGTACAAGGACGACGTCGCATGGGGAATGCGCACATATTCCGCCTGCGTTCCATCGATCTTGTTTCCCAGCGCCCAGCCACCAGTTACACAATGCGATTCGAGACCCTTCCGACAAGACGCGCACACCTTGCACGCGGTAATGGCGGCTATCAAGACCGTGTCGCCGGCGGAGAGTCCGTCGACTGCAGAGCCGACAGAGACGATCGTACCAACTCCTTCATGGCCCAGGACCCGACCGTGTCCTATGGCTGGCAAGTCGCCCTTGAGGATATGGAGGTCGGTGCCGCATATTGTGGTGTGGCGCATTTTGACCACTGCATCGGTGGGGGATTGGATAATCGGCATCGGTCGATCCTGCAGTTCGAGCCTATTGGGCCCTGCGTATACTAGGGCTTTCATTGTCTTGTTGTTTTCAACGTAGAGAGTTATCAGCATGATTCTGCGAAATTGTTGAACAAACATGGAGTTCTCTCCGATGGAGATCTCTTACCCCGATTTTGCTGGGATTTGGAGGAGCAATGTTAGTAGCCATCATGGATCCAGCCGAAGGTTGTAGTCAAGGTGAGTGTTATTTTTGGTATCCGGTTCGCCTGGACAATAAGCCAAAACGACGGAAATGCTATAGACAGACCACGTTGAGAGAACAATGCCTATACGGTGCAGGGCAGTCAAGACAAGGAAAGAGAAAGAGGGGGGGATTTTATACAAAAGTATGTCCACCTCAAGCTAGGGGTGAATACTGTGTAGCATATCAAAAGCAAGGGTGCTTGGCTTCATGTACTGTTGGGTGCGGGGTTAGAGATCGGAGAAATCGCCGTATGTACACCTCACTACAAACCTTTGTTCGATATAGGTGGGTACTTTGACGACTATCTGACTAGAGCCCGTCATTCTTGGACTTTGACGTAGCCCTTTTATTAAGCCTACGCTGTTTAATCATCCGTTGCTATCGGTGGATTCCCTCCCCGCACTCGCCGCATTTCAAATAGCCGGCTGTCGTATATCAACTACGAATTCTCAGAGATACTTATTTGTCGACGGAGTAACTCCTCTCAACCATTTATAGAACTGGACCTTTTTCAATAATTGTGGACATTATAAAAATTGGACTCGATGTATCCTACGTGACACTAAGGAAGTCGGAGTTGATCCGAGAATCAATATCGGCAATAGGACGGAGAATCTACAAAAATGAACAGGGAATGGGGGTTAAATCTTAACTTTGGTATCAAGGGAGTTTCAAAGCAACTCAATCTTATTATTGCTCGGTAGCCGATATCAAGCCCACACCGGCATTCCGAGACTAGAATCCGGCAACGGTCTGATATTCGGCCCCCATAAATTCACGGAAGGACTCGCAAGCATCGTAAATCTCTCCGACTTCACCCGTGTTGTTGAGGCCAATACAGTAGTTTATAAAGAACACCGCATGTCAGCTGTACAATCGCAGTGCAAAGTACGCCAAGAATGCCTCGACCAACAAATCCCCACCGGGGTAGCTCCGACCATCGACCGATATTATGGGCTATACTAGCCGCCATAACCGCTATAATCTATACAAAATACATACACGACATCGTATTCATCACATTCGGTGTCGGACGAGTCATTCAACCGATCGAAGACTTCCCTTACAAATGTGAGCGTCTCCGCCACCCTCTCCTGGAAGGATGCGAGGATATGTGGCTGGACCACAGCGGAAGAAATCTCTATGCGGCCTGTGCGAGTATAGAATCAAGGAAGGGCTGGTCTCCTGGTGGGAATGCCTACAACATCTCGGCCAGAACACGCACCGATCATATCTCGGTCTTGAACATCGATCATCCGGGGCCTGATGGCTTCTATGGGCTTCACTCGCTGGAGATCGAGGATAGCTTTCACGGGGACTTGGATTTGCATGGATTTGACGTGCGCGATATGGGAGGGAAACTTCGATTCTGGTTGATAAATCATAAGCCGCCTGAGGATGGTGTGACGGGTGAGGTCCTTGATGCAACGCGGCTTGGGGCCAATTCTACGGTGGAGATATTTGATTTGAATAGGGGATCTACGAGACTGGAGCATGTTAGGACTATTGCTAGTTCTGCGATTATCTCGCCTAATGATCTTGCTGTGGATGATGATGGGGTGGGATTCTTGATAACCAACGATCATAATACGAAAGTTGGTTTGTTTCGCCCATTGACCATGTTGTTTGGAGGCGGAAGTGTTGCGTATTGCCGGTCTGACACGGGGAAATGTCATGTTGTTGCCGACAAAGACTTCCACTTCCCAAATGGGGTTACCAAGGGCAACGACGGGCTCTTCTACGTCGCCCACTCAGCGAAGGGAAAAGTAACTGTTCATCAAATGGTTGGCGAGCAGCTCGTTCAGGTTGACGAAATTCTCTTGCACATTCCACTCGACAATCTCTCTCGTGACTCGGAGGGTAATATTATTGCTGCTGCAATCCCTGATTCTCTCAGATTTGTGAAGTCAATGCATGACCCGGCAGTGTCTGCGCCTGCCGCTGCCTTTATGATACGCCGAGCTGACTGGCAATCGAATGAGAATAGAGAGAACCCGTACGAGGTCATAAAGTTGGTGGAAGATAAGGACGGCAAAGTTCTGCCGACTACAACAGTTGCAATTCGCGACACTAACTCACGTCGTTTGTTTCTTGGAGGAGTGGTTTCGCCCTTTATCGGCATCTGTAACTAGATTGCTTCTACCTCGAAGCATTAACAGTATCCTTCTTCTACGCACTCCTGTGGCTTTGCCCACCATGGGAAGGTGCTCATTTTGGTCATTGTAGACTGACCATTTGTCTAATCTCCTAGGCCAAAAATCTCCACTACATATCTTGTGTGACGCTAGTAGTCGTTACGACACCGTAGTGTTGCTATGTTGCTTCAACGTAAGTAGATGAATCCGATAAGAAATTGGTGACTTGCTTCAGTATGTCTCGCAGTTGCCTAGAGCTACTTGCATGACGGCCCTTATTTCATTCTAGGCATCGTTTTGCCTACTGTGCCTCTAGATCTCTAAAGGGAATCTATCCACGAGCCGAACGATATGGGAGAGCTTGGAATAGATATTGAAGAACAGAGTAAGCATGATAGACAGCAGTTGCATACGGACAATCTAAAATCCACGGTACAAATAGTTATGGAAATAAATAGGCTAAATCAGTTTGGACGGCTCTTCCCTTGGTGTTGAAAGAGGATCTCCATAATTTTATACACTAGCCTGCGCTGCTACAATTCCACGAGGCCCTTGATTTCGGGCCGAGCCGGCGAGAACAGATCCCATTATCCTTATTACCCCATGCGCCTTAACGACATTGTTTCCCTCGTACCACAACACATCATGGCGCCGCGACTTAGCTTCTTAATCCAACTAGGGCTTCTGGATCACGGGACATGTTTCATTGCAGTATAAGCATTCATCTCTGAATGAATGAATAGCACTTATTCAAAATTGTATTTCTGGTTTCCCTTGGAGTTGGGCGTGGCCAGCCAAATTTAGCTTCGATCGAAGTCTCCTTAGTAGATTAACAAAGATACTATACAGCGCAATAACACGATATGTGAATAATATATTTGGCGTAGGAGGGACCAGACAGGGTTTCGTTGTATAGTGAGTTTCAGTCTCGAGCAAACGAAATGGCAGCAAATATCATGGTCTACGAATAAAGTAGACTGGTGTCATCGACTAACACATCTGAAATCTGTCATCGATCGTATATCTAGCTGTATGAGCGTCATGTTAATGATTTCAAGAGGAAGTTGATCTAAACTCCCAGGGTGTGCCTCGGGGCATTGGTGTGTCGTCCGTTATCGAGAAGACAAAGGTTTTCGCTTTAATCCAGAATATAATCTATCGATTCAACAAATATTTAAGTGGATTTGCTTATATTACGAATAGCGGACATCCTCAAGGTCGAAGAGATCGTGTCCTGCTAGAGTGGCACAAATATAGATATCGCACTACAGCAAACAATTAGTCCCTTTAAGGAACCTCTTGATTAGTCATTAAGGTCTCTTAATTAAGGTGTCATCTGATATAGTCCCATAAATCCTCTCGGAGTTGATTTGTTCGTTATTTGAGTTATGAGAAGCTAGGCAGCGCCACGTCTGCCTATTGTGAGAAAGCAGGGATGGCGATCCAGCCGCGCCAAGAGACCATCAGAAGAGATATAAAGTTAGCATCCCTTGTCTATCAACTTCTCACCGTCACTGCAAATCGTATAGATATCTGACGGATACGAACATTCTCCTTGAAGCGGTAGGTGCAAGTCTATTTCCCAACTTAATCAAGCATACTAACCAGAAATCCCAGCTCAAAACCAACGCAACTCAGCATGCCAGCCTCGGAATCCTCCGCTCTTCGCCTGGTAGCCAGTGCGTTTGCAGCCATCCCGATCGGATTTGGGATCAATGCCTTCGTGCGCCCCGATCATGCACTGAGCTTCTTCGAGTTCGAAGTGCCCACTTCTCCCGCTGAGAGGGACGTAGTGAACAGCTTGATGGTGGTTTACGGCGCGAGAGACATCTTCATGGGCCTTGCTTTATTCTCGGCCTTATTGTTCGGTCATGCAAAGTCCGTCGGCTGGATTCTGGTCTCGTTTAGTGCGGTGGCATTTGTTGATGGTTACGTTTGTTGGACACATGGGCAGGGGGAATGGACTCACTGGGGATATGCCCCAATTCTTACGGTGATTGGGGCGGCGTTTCTCGGTCTTTTTGATCGGAGGTAAACACTGCGTGTTCTGGCATGGAGTTTGATAGCAAATTAATTGACGTGAGCGTGACGGAATTATTCTGATGTATAGGAATATCATGGTGTACGTACAGCAAGCATTCAGTGTACTTTGTGATCTCTGTAATATGTAGAACTCCAAGGTGGTGATGGGTAATGGCCGAGGAACGACACACTCTTATCCTTAGGACCGTGTAATATCATTATGATACATTCATCAAGGAGAATGGACTAACAGTGGTATAGTCAATTCCCCCTACAGCTGTGCTTCTACCCCTCTATTGTGCCACAATGCATGTACTTGCCGTACTTTTTCATACTCAAACAAGGTTGGCGGCTCTCGCATCTTCATCTTCTTCCATTCTTCATTCGTTAATCAAACATTTACCTCCAGCCAAAAAGATCAACATGGCAATGATAGCATCACTGCCGATGGAAATCATTGATCAGGTATGCTTAAGCATCGCAGCCATGCTTTGCAGTCTGACACAAGAATTTAGATCATTTTACACGTCGTTCATGATGACTGCCATAAGCAAACCACACTCGCAAACCTCCGTCTTGTCAACAGGCCAAGATGCAAGAGCGCTTCCCGCCTACTGTTTCGACATGTCGACAAAACAATCCGCAATATTAGCGGGTTAGCCGAGCTTTGTCGGACCGCAAACAGTCACTACATACGGGATCTCTTTCTTTTGATCAGCGACCTTGATTATCCAGGTGCCTGTCTGCTAGAGGCAGAAGCGATAGGGAATTCGTTCCAGTTTTGTTTACAACGGATGCCTAACGTGCGGCGTCTGGGGTTTCTTTTTCTTTTTCTTTTTTTCTCTACAAAGCGCCGTAATCCCGACAAGACAATAGAAGTGATGCGTGCTATGGCCAACGCTCTCCAGCGCTCTCGTTCCCTGCTACCAAATCTTGAGGGACTAAGTTTGGAATTTGTCGAGAATTTAACATTAGTCCAGTTCCCTGGGAAGATTAACCCTGCAACGGCCCCTATTATCGCCCGTCTTCGATATCTTGCAGTAGAGACGGGCGAAGAATGGATGGGAGAATGAGTCCAAAAACTAATAGGAGACGACGGCCACAGGCACTCTTGATACGAACATCAAGAAAATCACAATCGACTTTTTAAATGGCGACAAACTACAAACCCCAGCACGGGGAATCCGCCGGCAATGAGCGCAAAACGATCCTGGGCGACACACCTGCCGGGCACCCTCTTTCGAATAAACCCAGCATTCCTCCTCAGAAGATTTACACGCCGTACAGTGCGAATCACGAAAGCGCTGTTTCCCCTGTGCAGTCTCCATGATTCATCCGATATGACCAATGTCGCGACGTTTTGGTCCGGTCCAGAAAGGTTTCCAACTCAGCCTCGGTATAATACCACCACTTCCCAATTACTGTAGGTGTATAGAGCATAGTCTCTCCACCACTCCTAGGGCTCCACATCCACCGCTGACAGGGATGATCGGCAAGCTGCAGTCGTGTGTATTCTCTCTGAAAGATACAAGATAAAACCAGCCTGAGGTGAAGATGGAGCTGGAACTGGAGGATACGATGAGGGAAACGGCTGGCATGAGAGTAATACAGGAGCTAGATGGGGGAAACGGTATGAGAGTAATGCTAGAGCTAGTAAAATATCGGTGGTTGTTCTTCTTGTCGCAAACTACTTTGTGCGCACCATGAAGGGTAGGGAACCTCGTCAGGCAAGCCGCGGACAAGACCTGTAGCCGAATTATTAGTGTCCCTGCCTTGAGTACATTCCCCTTGGTCTTCAATACTGGTGATTAGATTACTGTGTGAGATGGCCTCAGGTTCGGTTTTGATCATGGGTGTCATTTTCAGGGGTCGTTTATCTGTCAATAAGGAGTATTAAAGGAGTATCATAGCTGTCTGCCTTATCATGGATCAGTCACCTAGGTACCAATTGTGTCCATGTAGTAGAAAGGAAGAATAGGCAATGGTGCTGGGAATAGATCTTCTACAAAAACGTCAAGGCATTGCTGTGCACTGATTATAAAGTTTGTATCTCATGACTAGTAGGGCAAGAGATCCTGGGTAGGCGACATACTAAGGGAACGAATTGTCTTCCTCATTTCACTTGTGTGGGTCTCATAATTTATATGAGTTCGAAGGATCTTATTCTTCTTAATTAAGGAACATATATATAGCTAGTAATCCTCCACTGACTTTGTACAACTCCAACTCTGAATCCGAACAGTAAAACGTGATAAACCTGGTTCACTGCTATTCCATGCTGTAACCTGACAGTAATATTCAATAGATTTAACTGGTTCAATATACTGGATCTTTCAATTCTACTAACTTTCCTCCGTACGGGGCCTGCAAATGTAAATCGCATAGCTCACATTGCCATGATTGAAGTGGTGTTACTACTGGTATCGCATCCGTTTGTCAGAGGATTGGTCCAGATTGGCCAAGTAGTACTCAGTCACAAACAGGTCTAGGCTGGCAAACGGGAGCGAAAGGGGTTAATCCACTCTAACTAGGTCTAGCCAAAACCTCACTAATCGCAGACAAAGGGACGCTATGGATGCCACAGATATAGGTAGTCGACAGAAAGACCTAATCGACGAAGTAATCCCTATTTTTCCCATTATAGTAACCCCTTCCTCTCAGTTGAAGATGCTTGTCTACAAGTTTCATTATCCATGTTAGAGTCAACCAGATCAAGACGATGGGTGACTGTATAAGGCATTCTGCGATACATGAATCAATGGACAATCGCTTGGTATACCGTATCCCCCAGCCACCAGGGTACGAAATGTGGTACAAGGATAGTCGGCGTGTTTTTAGACCTCCATCGGTAGGTCATCTGACCGCCACAGACGAAAAGTGATACTAATATACTTGGAAACCAGGATACGTGGATTTTCTATATTTTATTTCGAGAATAAACGTTATACTTTCCGTGGTTTCCGTCTGATTTCTCGAATCATTGTATCATAAGACCCAGGGTCTATGATATATGTTATCTAGCTAGGATCGTTGAGACTCATACTCGGTGAGTTATACACAGAAGGTCTGAAGAGCTATTTTCTTCTATTAAACTAATTTCACGGGGCGAGAAATAAGGTTGTGTGTCCTGATACTACGAGGTAGGGGCTTCGACCGGTGCCTGATGTTTGCCTGAGGCGTGGTCCAGTGACTAGTCAACCCTAGAAGGCAGCGATCAATTTCCCTATTGGACCGTGCAGGACTATTGGGCAAGATGCCAATAACTCCACTCCTACGGACTCCGATGGGGAATTGACTTCATTCATGTCAGCAAGAGGGGTAAACAATCGCCCTGTCGGCAAACAGCGGCTGTTCGGCATGTCTATATATGCAGGGGCTAGTCACTGACGATTGTTATTCTGGAGCTCTTCTTCCCGTCTTCGTAAAGATCCTTAAACCATCAGACCTTGATGATGCATCCTTCATGGAAATTGTTTTTCTCGGGGACTTTCCTGCTCCCAATAGCGCAGGCATTCCGATTCACTCCTTTGCAATTAGCATACCCTGAGCTGCGTGGGAAACAACCATATTTCACGCCGGACGCGGCAGCAAAACAAGAACAACAAGCAGTGACGGCGGGCTACCCTGCGCACTATCTCTCAGTACCGGTTGATCATTTCCACAATGACTCGCGCTACGCTCCGCATAGCGACGACCATTTCAACCTTCGATACTGGTTTGATGCCCAGCACTACCAGAAAGGGGGTCCGGTATTTGTTATCGCCGCGGGGGAAACCGACGCGACCGACCGTTTCCCTTTCTTGTCGCAAGGCATCGTCACCGAGCTGGCTGCGACCTATCACGGCATTGGAGTTATTCTCGAACACCGCTACTACGGCGAAAGCTATCCGGTAGACAACCTAACAACAGAAAGCATTCGATTTCTTTCCACGGACCAGGCGTTGGCCGATTATGCGTATTTTGCCTCGAACGTTGTCTTCCCCGGGCTGGAAGATGAGGATCTCACGGCCCAAAAGACTCCTTGGATTGCGTATGGCGGGTCGTATGCGGGCGCCTTCGTGGCCTTCCTTCGCAAGCTCTACCCCGACGTCTACTGGGGTGCTGTCTCGTCATCGGGCGTTACTGAAGCGATCATCGACTTTTGGCAATACTACGAGCCGATCCGGCAGTTCGCTCCGTCGGGATGCATTTGGGCGACTCAGACATTCATCGATGTTGTCGATCGCATCTTGATCGACCACGCCGATAACAAAACGCTAGGCCGGGAACTGAAGTCTGCGGTAGGAGTCAATCCTGACAGGGATGATGTCTCATTCGTTTCTCTCCTCTCATACGGTCTGGATGCTTTCCAATCGCGCAACTGGGATTCCAACATCGGTAGCTCTCTCTTCCGAACCTACTGCGACAAAATCACCAGCTCAGATCTGCTATATCCCGACACCGAGGCCGTGAAACCAACCGTCCAGGAGCTCGTCGAGGTAGCCGGGTACGACGCGTCCAACGCCAGTTTTGTGAACGGCTTCCTCAACCACATCGGCTTCCTCAATCGGTCAATTTCCTCGGCGTCCGACGATAAAAATTCCGCCGCAACCCAAACGGGCGACGAATCGGACTCGCAGTCCGCCAAGCCGCTCCCGAAAAGCGATGGCACGAGCTGGGAATACCAAGTGTGCACCGAATGGGGCTACTTTATGTCCGGTGCATCCGTACCAAAGGATATCATGCCTTTGATCTCCCGTGTCATAGACATTCCCGCTGTATCGGGTTTCTGCAATACGACATACGGAATCACGTCCCCGCCCAACGTCACGAATATCAACAAGCACGGCGGCTTCGACTTTTCTTATCCACGCGTGGCTATTATCGATGGTCTCGCGGACCCGTGGCGCGATGCGACGCCGCACGCAGATGGTACGCGAGACAGGGAGTCCACCGATGAGGAGCCGTTCATTTTGATTGATGTCCCGGCTGAGGACGTGTGGGATGGAGTCCGGGGTGCTGTGCACCACTGGGATCAGAATGGTCTTTCCCAGAAAGATGAGGATAAGGGCCAGAAACCTCCGGCGGCGATTGTTAAGGTTCAGAAAGAAGTGCTGCGGTTTGTTGGTGTGTGGCTAGACCAGTGGGAGCCGCACTCTGGGTCGAACGTGGGAAGTAAAGATTCTGCGCATAAAGAATTTCTGCTATGATTTGGTATATAGAATGTCTGCTATATGTCTTGAGTTGGAACACCGTTTATATACATGCTACGGGAATGAATGATATTGAATCCACCCGCCGCTTTAACTTTCCGTACACGAGCGATTACGTATTGCACCCAAACTATCCATTTTCGACGTCGAAGCCTATAAATAGTGCTAATCCTTGACTAAATACGATTTCATTGAAGCCTAAAAAACACCATGTGACCCAGAACTAAAGAAGACACCGCGCCAGGCAACAACCATCCAACTTTTCACAAAAATAATCAATCTCCTCCAACTCAGCATACTAAACCGTACATCGCTCCACACCTACCACAGCAAACCATGAAAATAGTAATCATCGGCGGCGGCATCTCCGGATGCACCGCATACCTCCAGCTCAAAAAGCATCTTCCCAAACCACCCGCCTCAGAACGAGACCACGAGATCACCATCTACGAGGCGTACGACACAAACAAGGACACGACTTGCGACGAGCGCGATGGTCCAACTCACTCATCTACATTAATAGTCGGCGGAGGCCTAGGTATTGGACCGAACGGGCTTCATGTCCTGAAGCGTCTGGACGAAGATCTCCTGCGTGAGATCGTCCGTGGCGGATACGTAGTCCCCAAATCTAATATGAGGAACAAGAACGGACGGCTACTCGTACGCATGAACGCCTCTGACGAGCCAACTTCGCCAGATGAGTTGCCTATGCACATGGTTGGGTGCAGTCGGCATTGGTTCTGGAGGTGTCTCCGTATGCGCATCCCGGATTCTGATATTGTGACGAAACGGGTTGCTGGAGTCGTTGCTAATCCCGACGGTCGGAATGTGGTCAGCTTTGTTGATGATAGCCCTCCCGTCGAGGCGGATTTGGTTATCGGTGCGGATGGGTTGAAAGGGATTGTTAAGCGGGCGCTGTTTCCTGAGGCTGAGGAGGATCCGTATCCGCCTCATTATGAGTATGTCCTTCCAATTAGAGGCGATGAGGAAACGATCGGTTAACTAACTCGACATCGCCAGAGGCTTGTCAGGAGTCGGGGGCTTCATCCCGGCTGACCAAGTCAAAGACGATGTGGAGAAAGGCTCGATGAACTTCATCATCGGCGGAAATGGGTTCTTCGGCTACTTCTACTCCGACAGTGCCCCGTCAGCGCCTCACCGTGACTCGCCATATCATGTCTCCGAGCCAGGCGAGAGTCTTGGCTGGTGGTCAACGTACCAAGTCGACGAGTGTCCGAACCCGAAGACAATTGACAAAGAGGATGTTGCGCGTCAACTACGAGAACGTCATAGAAGCTGGAAGGATCCAGTTATACAAAAAGTGCTCGACTCTCTTGATGTGAGCAGTATGTATCCTACCTGGACTATGTCACCACTGCCAACCTGGGAACGGAATGGAGTCGTGCTTGTTGGGGATGCGGCTCATGCGCTCCCTTCGACTTCGGGACAGGGCTCGTCGCAAGCGCTTGAGGATGTGGAGGCATTTGTTCTCTTTTTGAGCCACTACATGGAAAAGGCCTATGGATCTCTCAATCATGATTTGGAATATAAGGGGGTGATCACGACTGCTGCGAAGCAGTACATGGAGCTGCGTATCCCTCGAGTCCAGGCTATCCTCGAAGACGCCAAGCGAAGACAGAATGTCAAGCGCAATATGGGTTTGATTGAGGAGTATATGATGTACTGTTTTATGTGGATTCTCGGTGAGTATGGTGTGTGAACAGATATATACCAGGTTACTGACAAATATAGGATGGTTTCCGAGCATCTTCGCAAAGCAGTTGAAGGTTGTCTTCGACTATAATATTGCTGAAGAGGTGAACAAGACGCTATCGCGTGAAAAATAATAACCATAATACTGTCATATTCACTCATCTCTCCGCTCTTAATCCCAGCAGCATCATTGTGATTTGCAGGTGATATCGTAATGTACTCTACCGCGCATTCTGTCTCTATATTCTCCGCATATATACATCACAAATTATGTGAATGATGTTTAAGCCACGTAAGGCACCTTTTCATGTTACGAAGAAGGCTGCGATAATTGGCTCTTACTGTTTGAAGAGAGCTCCTCTTTGTTGGCCACTGCTACTCGCCCACTGTTTGTTATTGTGTTACACAAAAAGCTTTACTCCTAACTGGAACATTGAATCTAATCCTGTCTTCGCAACGACACGTTAGCTGTTATATTGAACAGACAACAAGCGTTCTCACTACCATAGGATGTCACGCTATTAACGGTCTATCAGACATGGCTCCTTACCATGTACTCTGGCCACCGCCTGGCCGTACGCGAAGGTTCGGCCGTTGATTCCGCTGCATCCTGACCCGCGCTGTGTTCGCGTATACAAAGGTGAATATGAACATTGTCGCCTTTGAGACCACGATTTAGACTGCGCCATCCCCCATCATCGGGTATTCAAATCGGACCCATCGCTAAAACGGTTGAGGAGACATTGCCGATGAATAATGCTCTCAAATACTATCCTGTCTTGTTCGGTGAGGTGATCGAGGGCTGTTATGAAATCAAAGCAAAGCTAAGGCTACTGTGTGGCTTGCTTAGCGCCTCCGGCAGGTCTCAGTCAACCAAACCACCGTCCACATGGACTTTCTACTGATAACACCACTATTGAGGCACAGCGAAGTACGTACATTCATGATCCACGACATTGGCGAGAACAGGGACGACGAGCTCGGAGCAATATAACCGCATCGACTCCCTTGAAATGGGACACTCAGGAAAGATCCTCATCCGCAAGCTTCCGGGTTGTTAGGTATTACACCGCAATTCACTGTGGATTAGAAAGGTCTATTGTCTATCCCGGCTATTACATTGGAGAAGCGCGCTACTAACGTGGAAGTCAAGAACTTTGATGAATTCCTGCAGTTTATGCACTGAGCTCTCCAGTGGACGCCCGAGGAAAGGCCTACAGCAAAGGAGTTCCTGATGGGCCCCTAGTTGTTGGTTGTTGGAAGGGCTTTATTTGCGGATGTCATGAATTGGTCGGCCCCTTTTTGCGAAGTGTATTCATATGTACAATATCAAATAGCCATCTCCTCTTCTTTTATAATCTCTTCTGTGCTCATGCAAGTTAGTAAAATCTGTACATCTATCTAATACACAAAACACCAAATACTATATAATACACTGAGAATAGCCTACAATCACACCGCAAGTCTATGAATCCAATCCCAAAATCATATACGAAAAGAAAAACCCCAACCATAAAATCCAAACCTATCCCTCGTCAACCTCATCATCAAATCCGAACACTCCAGCACATCCTTCTCCTTCCCCTCACACGTCTTTACTAATTATCACAATGCGAACACTCCTTCGCCCGGCTCAGCGGCCAATACTCCCCGCACCTTGCACGTCTCTCATAATGCCCTTTCTTCAGACAATGTTTGCTCAACGCCTATTTACAGACCGTACTGCGTTCGTTAGTTCCAGCTGTGCTTGACCTTGACCGAGAGGAATAGGAACAGGCATGGAAGCGAACCAGGCTGTCCCATTTTGGATTTCTGTTCTTTTTTCAGGGCTTTATGGTACCTTGTTAGCTTTTCTCAACGGGAGGTTTTTGTTGGGAGGGTTTGATTCGCTTGAGGTGCTTTCTTCGAGGGATGATGGGATGTTTTGGAGATTTGGATTTTTGGGTTTATATATATTGTCAAGTGTAGATTTGAGGGTGGGTTTTGCCTGTGAGGGTGGTGTATAATTGGGAAAGAAGTTGAAGAGTGTAAATGGACTATAGGGGTATAGGACCTTTCTAAAACGAAGGTTGTTTGTAGTTTCATTAGAGCTGTAGTTGTCTTGGTAGTATTTGATGATATGGTCAAAGAGTGAGTGTTTGTGGACAAGAATATGCTTTGGATAATCAAAGGGGATAGATTCTTTGTTGAGATTATTTTCCTTTGTCTTTGGAATATGCTATAATACTTATACCTAGAGCTTCGGTCGACAAGCCCCCTAGCAGTCCCTTCGGCAATTAGTCAAGACGTACTAGGACTAGTCTGAGGTCTATACTGACCACCTCCTTCATGTTAACTAGCCAAAATTCCCGGCCCACAGCTCGTCATATAAGTCAGTTTCTCTCGGAAACTAACGAGATCCTGGTTCTTGAATGAGAGGAGTTATACCCAGATCTACCTGCTTCTTTCCCTCCCAAATTGTGACCTATCTAAACCAAGGTATATTGAACAGGCTTCTATATTAGGACACTATAACAAATGGGGACGGTAGGTAGATATGATATTTGAGACCTTCCAAGCATACCTACTTAGTGACTAACATCCCTTTCACTGAATATGGTTGACGAATTCCCACGCCCCGTCAGCCTGTATGGAACATATCTAACACTCGACTCGCTTTTACTAAGTCCAAGAAACGCCCACTCCACCACCACCTAGCGGCCTTATTCTGACCTCACAGTGATCTATTTATATCCCACGAGACCATTGGCCAAGAATGATACATCCGATCACACGTATCAGATGGCATGACGTTCTCCCCAGACTCCGGAAGGCATCCATCACGGCAACACCTGAGTCAGGACAACCCAGTTATATCAAGTCTCACTGAGTAGGTAACCCATTCTTGCCCCAGATGGATAGGACCACTGTATCCGCCATGCAAAATGTCTGGGATAAAGGTTCCACACGACGTCACCCACGTCGACCAGCCCAGGAAGAATACGAGGATATCTTGGCGATGGGCAAGTCAACGCCTCAAAGAGAGAAACAACAGCAATAGGGGAACAGCTCCCACCATCCGAGTACGAGGCCAAGCTTGGCTGTATCAATAACACGATTTATCGCAATCAGACGAAAGCCAGTATGTTGTCCAGAGTAAAAGCGCGACGTATAAGTATAAATAGGGCACCATCTACCACTCCTTCAACAGCATCAAACAATCAATTCTCAACAACACCCAAACCTCGATAATATCAAAGCCCACCAAAATGAACCTCCTCATCCTAACCCTATTCGCCGCCCTGACAACAGCAACAACCCTCCGCCGCCAAGACAACCTCCTCTACCCCTACGAAACCTACCGCTACTGGGTCCAAACCGGCAACTGGAAACTCGACCCCCAAGACCAACTCCTGGTCGTCAAGAACGGTAAACCTGCCGACGAAACCACCTCCATCGTAACCTTCCACATTCCCCCAACTGCCGAAGGCCACAAATGCAAGCTCCTCTTCGACCTTTGGGCCCGCGACGTCTCCACCGGCTCACAGCAGGCGGATGTATTCACGGCGACGAAGCCCACGGGTGCAAGTGTTGCCGATGCTAACTCGGACTCAACGGCGTCGCTGCAGTCCGTGTCGAAGGAGGTCGCTGATGTGATCGTGCAGGCTAGGGATGAGCATGTCGGAAGGATTAGGGTCCCTGCTCCTGGGACGGCGGACTGGGTTTTGGCGTATCAGGGATATCCGGAGTTTGAGTGTGGTGGGGAGCGGATGGTGGGGTTCGAGTTTGTGGGGGTTAACGATGCGGTTGAGATTCGGTGGGATATTGGGGTTACAGGGCCTAGGGTGCAGGTTTTGTGAGAGGTTGGGTGTTCATACTGTGGTGTTAGTGGATTGGGAGAGGGGGAGAGGAGGGGGTATGGGGAGAGTGCTGGGTATATACTATGAGTTGTTTAGATGGGTGATCGACTTTCGGGTGTAATTATCCTTTAAGAGCTGAGGTCTCTTGGAATACATGCGTAGTTTCTTTTCTTGTTGAATTCCCATGGTATCATTAGAATCTGGTAGAGACAGTGAAGAAAAGGAAAAAGAAGATGAGAGTAACAGAAAAGGAACATAGTTCATCCTCGCATAGTCATACTGAATCATGATCAATCTCATATCCGTCCTTCGATGTTCGTCACATAAATCGGGTGCGGGTGCATTACATAGTTTGGCTTATGATACATAATATGTGGTGATCCGTACCCCAAAAATAGTAAGCTTCAATCTGCTGCCAGTATTCGTACTTCTGAACCCACTTTCACCCCATGGGTCTTTCCCGCAACGGTCAGTGACATCTCCAAATCCAACACATTGCAGTGATGGATGTTGTATGTGACGAAGTCAGGGTAAATGCCCATCCCTGTAGTCACAAGCCGGCCCCCAACAGTGGCACCGTTGGGGTGAAGGACAAGGCCAAGCATATTACCGACGTCGACCGGCTCGTTTTCTTTTCCGGTGGTAAAGACTATTGGATTCGGAAGATTCAGAAAAGCCCCCTTCAGGCCAAAATGATGACGCGAGGAATGGTAGTCGTCATGGGTGTTGCTCTGACTGAAGTTGCCCGGTGCAATCACCAAAGTCGTGGATTTGATGCTCATGTTGACCCAATTCAGCCGGACTGACTGCACAACGCCCCCAATATCGGAGCTTGTGTGTGAAGGTTTAATGCCAATAATAATCGGGATAGGTACTGGGTTATCTAGTTGGATGGCACGGGGCCAGCTCACCTCAACTATATACGAGAACTCCGGCACCTTCGACGAACCGAAGAGCTTCTGTGTCTTTTGCTTCAAGGTCAATTCAGCATTTTCCATTCCTGGTAGCAACCGTTGGCTCTTCACCCTCTTCTCGACCCCGCGTGACTGAAGGTCATAGCTGAATGAAAGCCCCGCCGGTGGGGCATGTCGCATTGTAATAGGCAAGGTAGCCTTTTCAACCTCGAACGAGCCCGCACGTCCATATCTAAGCTCAGCTTCAAGATAATATTCAACGAAGCCCTCGGAGGAGGTGCGCCAGCCGCTACTGCTCGAGTAAAAGCTTGCCGGTAGAGTGCTGCGGGCTAGGGTGTCTTTGTCGAGTGGCAGGAAACTCTCCGCCCGGCAATGGCCTTCCAGCACTTCATCTGTGGGTCGTTCAGGAACAGTGAGTGAGAAAGGCCAGGTGAGCTGGTCGTCAGCGCTGCCTCGGGGAAGATGTAAGGGCCCGTGGAAGAGAACCAGTCGTGGGGGACGGAAAAGTTCCCAGCGACCGCGGTAGTGGCTGGTGCTGGTGCCGTTACCGTTGTTTCTCTTTACTGAGATTTTGGTCTTCACACGCCCAACGAGTGCGAGTGTCACTGTTGCCTCGGGCGCAACGATATGTGAGCGACGCACCACATTGCCGATTACCGTGTCCCCGCCGACATATGTCCAGCCCGGAGGTGAGGCTAGGTCAATCTTTATGTTGGCGCTACCGATTGTCGCAGTACGCGGCATGTTGTGTTTTTGTTAAGGGATAGGGGTAATACGGGGCACATGGGGATGTATGTCAAGAATTTAAAGGAGGGAATGAATTGCTCAAATAAATAAATCCCCCGACGTCATCAGTGTTAGTGAGAAGAGCACTGAAGAGGCTGAGTGAGCATCGCCGTCGGGCAATAAAAACATACTTCATATGGTATTGGTGCACGCGACCAAACTATACCCCACTGGGACTAGCCGGTGACGATCACCTCCTTGTTAAGGCTGACTGGCTCGGAATATATGGCCTCAGGCTGACAGCCATCATTTCGTTGTAAACACATGATCATATGCACACCTGCAAGTCTCTCGAATAATATACAACTTAATAGAGTTTAAAGCAAGCCTACTAAGTTTCCAGTTATGAGCATTCTTATGTACCTCCTCGCGGTTTGTGATAACAGGGGGTAAAACGTAATTGGAAGAACCAAAACTGACGTGGATGTGGTTCGTTCCGAGCAAGGATGAAGCGCACTTGCAATAGTTATAGTTGGTACTAGAAATTAAACCAAGTCTTAGGTCACTCATGTACTTGTGTCGGATATGGTCAACCATCTCAGTATATGTTTTCGGACTAATATTCCTGCCAACTTTGCTGTACTCCCAGAACAAGAAACAAAGGTCCAGTATAAGCTATACAAGCTATACTACTTCCTTATCTGGCTTTCGGGCTAATATTTATAAAAAAATAATAAAGGGCAGGCAACATCATATTTTATCTCTAAAGAAGAAACAGACCCACTCTACACCTAGTATGGATACAAAATCACAGTTTATTACTAACATTCGATAGATTAATCCTATACTGACTTATACTAATTAGAAAAAGAGTTATATCGATACAGTAATTAGATTATGTAATAGATACAAAATATCCTGGCGAAACACAGTCCCTGCTACCACCCTTAACAGTATATAAAAAGACCAAAAGAATATAATAATCCTCGACTAGGATATGTCCTCTAGGATATGGAATAACTCAAGTTTGCGCTTCCGACAACTGATGCGCTAATATTGCTCTACCACGAGCACGAATATATCTTACCTTATTGTAGTTACTAATTATTGAATACACCAATAAAATTACCTAGTATTGCAGGCACCTGACATGTGCTTGGTGAATAGGCGGCCTGCTGAATACTATGGGAATCAGGCCACATCTAAAGAGTCCCATGATTCCCGCCTAGATAGGCCTTCTTGATAGTTTGATAGGATCATAAATCTGATCGTTTTGGAACTGTATCTTGCAATATCTTACCCGATTCTTCTTCACTAATAGCAGCATTATTGACAACAACCATTTGAGCGAAAAAAGAGTGATGATGGCTCCCCTCGAGATCTGGGCCTACTGGGCCTACTGCTAGGCCCAGTACGCCCAGATCTCGTCGTGGCGTGTTCTCCTGGTGTCGGAACAACCGATGAGGATGCCTCAACTGAATATTCCCAGGATGAGGATCCGGTCTCATCTACACCTTCCGAACATAAGGACCTGACCTGGGCCACCCAGCCACCGCGGGACCCCCAGGGCTCCATGCCCACGTCCGACAACGCCCCTGGTGGTACTTGGTAACCTACCTTTCGCTCCGGGAAATGCTTGCACCGGCTAACTCTGGTTGATACTGCAAAATAAATGGAGCGGGTGTGAACAACAAGAAAGAAAAAGCAAAAAAAGGGTGCATGTCATCGTAAGGTCTCCAACATATCCAGGTCTAAAACATTCTGTCTCGTTCATATCATCTAAAAGTTGTGGCTCTACTGCAACTTGCAAATAATGCCCCTTCAATTCCTATGTATGTTCCCCTTATTCGGATGTTCTTTGGGCTTCCATTATGTGTGTATGACTACGTTGATGACCTCAAGAAAAGAAAACTGCCACCACAAATTCTGTAAGCTACCCGCTCAAATTTCTGTTCCCTCCCCAAACCCTTTCCTTCAACAACCAACTACTAGTACCACACAACACTTTTATCACAATTTTGTTATCATTCTGAAAATGGACTCACCGAAGCCTCAGAAAGAAGCCGTTCCCCAACTCAAATCTGAGTTCGAGAAGAGGGCCCTAACGAGAGGGGTCTCTTACAGCTGGAAGCGCCTTTTGGTGATTATTTACAGAGAGGACGGCACCGATGCTGACAGGGATTTGATTTCTCTTCAAGACTGCTTCCAGACGTATTTGGTTTCTCGAACATCACAGCGCTAACGCTCCGTAGGAACGACGCTGACGTATCGTATACTGCAATGAAGCACATCTTTAATCTTCTTTTGAATATCGGACCCTCCAATGCCTCCCAGGCCCTCTTCGTCGTCGCCTACGTCGGACATTTTCTAGTAATGCCAGAGGATGGTCTAGTACTCATGTCTGCTAGTGGCAAGCAGACTGTCAAGTGGTCCGCCTTCAGCTATAGCTTTATGCTCTGATAATCCTATATCGACCAAAAGAAAATCACTGGTAATTACTAGACTTAACAATAACCGACGTAAGGAATCTCACTCTGATAAGAAGTATATATTTTCTTTCAGCCTTCAAAAACTTGCTCTTGTGGTGAAGGTGATACATATTTGAGAGGAATTTTTGACTTTCTATAAATGGGTCGACAAAAGCTATGTTAGTTCACTCGAACATGTCTACCCAGTTCTGATTCCTGAGAACGAAGAGCGAAGTTCCAGCTCACTGCATACTGAATACTACCATGAGACACGTGAGTGGGCCGAGGTTCGGACTTCTCCGTACTATAGTCGATAATTCGAGAAAATTGAGAATTACCTAGTACGCACTACGTAATAATAGAATTTGTTAATAAGAATTCGCTAAATACTACAGTAAACTACTCTGTGTCTGTCTAGTATGTGCGTGTGTATATAACCTACTTAAAAATTTCATTATGACCGGGTGGTCGATCTAGACCGCCGTACGTACTACGGGAAAAGAGCAGATGAACAAACACTATGATTTAACTTAGCTTGGCAACAGACTCATGAAATGGACATACAGCGCCAAGCCAACCGGTGAAACTAGCCAATAAACAGAATATATCGATGCGCTCCCATGCTAGGTATTTTGTTTAGTATACTTAAAGGCGCTAAAAGATGTAACCTTGTCTGAGTCATTTACTATCCGTTATCTTGCTTTTTGAGTCCGTGTTCCTGGATCGAAATCCGAGCAAAAGCTCCATCTCACCTGCCATGGATTTCCACCCCAGCGAGCGTCCTTCCGCAGGCGAACTCTTCGAATTCGAGCGATTCGATAAGGGCTATGACGCGGAAGATATATGCTGTGTTATCTGTGGTGTCCCAAGCTTTGTGAGCTCTTCTTCAAGTCCCCCTAAAAGCAATAGCCCGCTTATAAAGATTAAGGTGGTGGAAGCAGAAGTGCGAAACAAGAATCTTGAGAGGTACAAGTGGTTTGTACCGCAGGCCATCCGAGCTGAGGATTATCACTATGAGAAAGATTGGGATATTGCGAGCCTGCCAAATCATGATCTACCGCTAGAAGTACTCGGGCTAGATGGTGGGTTACTCTTTCAACTCTCATTCTTGTACGAAAACTATAATCTGCCGAAGAGATTTCTGATTCCTTAGAGATCGAGATCGACGGTGTGCATTATGGGGAGCAGTTGTCAAGATTAGAACCCGTGCGTTATGGGGAGCACTCGTCGAAATTAGTCCACTATCTATATACGGAGTACCCGTATGTAACGGTACATTCGGAATGCCTTGACATGATGCAACGTCTGGTAGACTATCGCCAGGCTCTTCTGAAATCTGGAGTGCCGGTTGGCCCAAAGCGCCCTACGACTCTCAGCCAGTTCTATGAAGTGTTTGAACAGCGATTAACTAGGGTGCATTCTGATTATCCCCTCGGACGCAACGGCTCGTTTAACCCCCGTCGTGTAGTTGAGCCACATTGCTATTACTTTCGGGACACCAACCTCTTTCACAATGTCGCGTGGGCTTTTGGAGATCAAAACGTCTATGTGAGTTCTGCATAAGTATAACCTATGGTGCTTCCATCCCGTCACTAACACCCTGCCATTAGGAATACGAAATGGCACCATGGCCCATACCAGGTCTCACTCAGGAGATCCTTTCATACCTGCGACCTCTTCCGCCGTCCTTGCAAGGGCACTCTGGATTATCTCTTAAACTGGAGGCACTACCCACCGAGCTCCAAGACATGATTTATAAAAGCTTACACCCTTTTATCAATCCCGAGCAGACATGCACCCGTTCCTTACCGCCAAGGCTGTGGCGTGACTTGCTTTTCAATCGGCAGATTTTACCATGGCTTTGGGATTTAGACATCTCCGCCCTACAGAGCTGCCCTGTGGCATCCGATTCGGTGGACGTTCCGACATTTGAAGCAGGAGTTTGGGATTGGGAGCGCCTTGTTCGCACCCTTGCACAAGTGAGGGTGTTTGAACCGGGGCAACCTTTAGAGCATGCTCCCCTCCGCCTGCGGAATCGTCGGCGCGTCTGGAGACTACTAGAGGAGGCCGAAGATGAAGATATTGAGGAGTGGCTCGATGCTCATGTATATAAGAGAAAATGACACGGATATATGAAGATACTAGTAAAACCATGTTATTTAGCCGAGATTCAGTAGCTACTGTGTATGACCCGAATACAACCCTGCCCCATTAAGAACTAAGAAGCTTGGTCAGGGAAGAGAATCTAGAGCAAGTATTTTTAATCCCGCTGGCCACGGTCAGTAAGATGGTATGAGTTCCACTTCGGCTATGTGGATTACCATATACTAACGATATATTTCGAAGATTTATCTTGAAGCTAGCAACGTCACATTGCTCTATATAGGGGCTTTGGAATTTGTAATCTAACTATGATTGAGAACGTTTCGAGAGACAGAAAATGTTGGAGAATAGAAACAAACCAGGGCAAGATGACCACCAATCTCCGAGATGGTGGCTTAACGCTCCCAACATCTTCGCCCAGCCCCTGAAACTAGCCCATAATGGAATATGTTTAGCCCACTAAGGAAGGCAAATCTGTGCGCACAAGCCCCCTAATAGGTGACTCGATCAAGCATTGCTCCATTACGATCGGATAAATCGGATGGTCCGTTTAACTGTAAATCCTTTAGCTGGCTCGAACCGAACCTCTCTATAATTCTTGGCGCGCATGGTATAGTACCCCGTAAGCAGCCATAGGGACAACGACAAGACTGTATTTACATTAGGTATAGGTAACACCTACGAAGGTATTGAAACTATAAACCGTGTGGCCAGCGTGACCCCCAATCAAATGTAGTACAAGCTACAGTTCAACGACAGTAGATATGATAGATAGGAACAAAGATAAAATAAATAAATAAATAAATAAAACTAAGCCATAAGAGAAGCAACAGTAATGGGTTTCCAAGTATTTACCCGCACACGCCTCGAGACTAGAAAGCGCTAGCATGAGACCGTGTTCTTTGGATGTTAAATACTTATGCACAAAGTAACGGTGTTTTAGCTAGACAGCCCTTAGTGCCTATCACTAAGAGCCATAGTTCTTATACAATCTCTTTATAACATTAATATCAGCTTCACTAGCTACTGGGACCTGGTCTACATACCCTTGTCTTGTATACTTTCGAGAGCTAGCTAACCGCAATTCCGGTTACATCGCTTCGAACCCAGAAGTGGTGTCCCTCGGCATCCAGTATACCAGCTTCGACTAAACTATCCTAAAGTAATGAGGGTTGGGGGATCAGAAATAACATAAATACTCCCCATTGTCTCGTTTCCAAGATGGAAGACAACAGGATATGCCAGCAGCTCAGGAATAACGCATCCTGATTGCTAAGTGGCAGCTAAGAGGCTGTTGTTTCACCTCTCGCAGGCAACCCTCGTCCGATCGTTTTGTCTTGTTTCTTTTCTATAATCATCATCGCGCCTTCCTACCGGGGAAGTTCTACCATTGGAGATAGATTCATTCTTTACCTGACTTTCCTTTTGTGCGCAATTTTCATCTCTTCTGGCACCACTTTCGCTTATTCATGGCTTCCTCCACGGAGAGAGAACAGCCCAAAGCCAACATCTACACAGAGTGACAACGTGACGGCTTTGGCTGCAGTGTCAACAGCTACCATAGAATACTCGTCAGCCGTCGCGATAGAGTCTAAAGTATCCTATCAGCTATCTCAATTAGCTACCGTCCCGGCCATCCCTCTTCCGACGGACCTCCCATATTATGATATCCTGAATCAGGTTGCGGGCCTCATGCCGCCGCTTCAGACAGGTAGCATACAGAAAAACAGTGTCCAAATGTTGGCGTCTATGAGGGATAATCTAAGGTCAAGCGAGAACTCGACCACGGAACACCTCCACGAGCGCGCAACCGGGCTCAAGGTCATGATCGTCGGCGATTCCATATCTCAGGGCCGAGGGAGACTTCACGTGGCGGTATCGGATATGGGAGTGGTTCCAGTCTCAAGGAGTAGCAGTAGACTTTGTTGGGCCTTATACAGGCACGGTACAGCCTGATAAACCAGCACCGCCGTCCCTGCCAGTATTATACGGGGAACCCCAACCAACAGGCACGATCAAAGTCAGTGGGGGCTACGCGAAAGAAGTGTCATCGGATTTTCCAAAAAGTCATTTCGCTGTTTGGGGCCGTGCTGCTGCTGTGGATAAAGGCCTGATCAAGGAGGTCATGGCAGCTCATCCAGCTGATTTGATGCTGCTACTACTGGGCTTCAATGATATGGGGTGGTTCTACAGTGATTCGATGGGTACTTTGGACAGTATTCACACGTTGATCAGCAATGCCCGGGCTGCAAATCCAAAGATTAAGTTTGCCATTGCTAATGTACCACAGCGGAGTTTCATTGGTGGCCGTGAGGATCTTCCTGTTAGCACCAATATATACAACTCTCTATTACGCGATACTATTCCTAAATGGAGTACCACAGCTTCCCCAATCCATCTTGTTGAGTTGGAGGAGAACTACAACTGTCAACCTAGCTCATGTCCAGTGGGTTCCGATGGACTTCATCCAAATGCGATGGGTGAATACCAAATCGCTCGCGCCTTCTCGCAAACCCTAGTAAAGGATTTCAGGATCGGATCATCCGCACTGAGTATACCCAGTGATGTTCCTGCCAGGCCCTTACCGGTACCTAGCAATTTCAAGGTATTCACGAGTCCTGGTGGCGTAACTGCAACATGGGATCCGGGTAAGTCACCCTGCAACTAAGTCCGTAGCATCCTTTTGCTAATTGAAGATATCTAGTCTACGGTGCGTACAACTACGACGTTCGATCCAAGATCAAGGGCGGTATCCCAAATTTCTCCTCGGGTAGCGTATCCTCCAATCGATGGGATGCTACATGGCCTATAGATGGGTGGGAGTATGAGGTTCAGGTGCGCGCCAGTGCTGGGGACACTATCAAGGGCGACTGGACCACTACTTTAACCGCAACGGCCCATCCCCAGACAGCGGAAGCCCCTCGGAACGTGATTGTTAGCGCTACCACGACTGGTTTCGACATATCCTGGGATCCCCCCATAGGTTCTTACAGTGACTCTGTTATCGAATATAACGTTCTTTACTGGGACAAGGACGCCGAATGTGATTTTATTACCGGAGCCGCGTTCACAGGCACTTCGGCCCACATAGATAGCCTAGTTGCAGGGCACCGTTACTTCGTGGCTGTTGAGACCTGGAATGCCGCTGGCCAGGGTTTTCCAGCTGTGGTTCGAAGTGTTATTCCTGGTGCTGGCACTCCACCACCCCCAACGGACCTGAAGATCATCGCAGCAGATCAAACCACGGTCCATCTTACGTGGGATAGCCTCTCTGCTGCGGCGGGCTACCGGCTTTATTTACGCAACGTAAATGCCACAGGTAGCAAGCTTGAGGCGTTGAATTACACAGTGGAGGCTGCTTGTAGCGATCAATACTATCTGTTTCCCGGTACATGGAACTATGAGTGGTGTATTAGCGCTTTCAATGGAAATGCGGAGTCTGCCAAAGGGAAATGTGTCCTCGCCCCATCCCCGGACAATGACAGTGGCGCGGCACCAACCTGCCCACCCGCTCCTCAATAGTGTCCAAATGGTGGTAGCGTCGGGGGTGGCAGTGGTGGAGGAGGCTCAGGAGGCGGTAGTGGTGGTGACAGCAGCGGTGGCACTACGGAAGAGCCATGGCCGGTAGTTACCAATGGTCAATGTAAAGGTCCGGATTGTAAGAACGGCCAATGTACGGGGCTTCTTTGTGCTTCCTTTGGCTGCAGTGGATCCGGCTGCTTGAATGGCGTCTGTACTGCCTTTGGGCAATGTACTGTCCATGGATGTCTTGGATCCGGATGCAGAGATGGTGTCTGTGTGACGGACGACTGCATCACGGCCGGCTGTGTGGGAGATGACTGCCGAGAAGATGGAAAGTGTTCTGGCGACAGTTGCATTGGCCTGGGCTGCTCTGGATCCGATTGTGGAAAGGATGGTATCTGCACCGGTCCGGATTGTTGGGAAGGGACATGCAGTAGCAGCGGATGTGCCAATGGGATTTGCTCCGGTAGCAAATGTTCGAGTTATGATGGCTGTGTCGGCAAGGACTGCAACAACGGTTCTTGCAAGGGAGACAGCTGCAGCAGCTGCTCGGGCTCGGACTGTCGTGACGGCGACTGCACCGGCGACTGCACCGGCGACAATTGCATTGGATGCACGGGGCCTGACTGTCATAACGGCCAATGTACTGGTTCGAACTGCTACGGCTGCACGGGTCGGGATTGCCATCATGGAAACTGTAGGGGAGAGCACTGCAGCAGCTGTGTAGGATCGGATTGTGTCGTTTCTAATGGCAAGAGCGGTTGTAAGGGAAAGCATTGCACCAGCTGCACAGGTCTCGGTTGTTCCTGCTTCGGATTGGGCTGTGGCTGCAATGGGTCGGGATGCAGCGGCTGTACTGGACTCGGGTGTAGCTGCACTGGGTTGTTCTGCGGCTGTACAGGTCCTACATGCAGTAGCTGTCGTGGTCTGAGTTGTATGTGCAGTGAGGCTGGCGGTTGCAGTGGTGGGGAGGAAGGAGGTGGTGACGGCGACGACGATGGGTCGACACCAACAGATCCGTCGTGCAGCATCAAGGAGACGGCCACTATCTGCGCTGAATATTGTACTGTGACGACCAACGCAGCTGCCGTGGCAACAACCTCGTGCACATCGTCCACTTGCATGCCAACTGTGGGCTGCAGTGTGACTGGGACGACGACTTCGACAATCACCTCGACGAGCAGCGCTGATTGTCCCCTCGTGACGGATATTTCCACCGGCAAGAACCCATCTGATAACTGCAGGCCATGTGCCTGGGCCTTTGACACGGTTTCCGATGTAGACTCGGAAGGAAATCTGAGAATTCGAGACGGCTTTCAACCTAGCTATGCTACTATTACGGCGCGGGCCGTAGCTCCTACTCATGCTGGCCTGGAGAAGAGGGCCCCTGCGGAGACTGTTACTGCCCTTAGGGGTTGCAAGTTCACACCGGGGGCATCTGTTACCATCCCAGCCTACAAGGGGCCACAGAACTATATCCAGTCAGCCATTGGTGGAGAACTTCCTGCCTCCCTTTCCATGTCCAGATGGTACAGCAAGACGACAGTTGACTGCGCACCCACGACCACCTTGATTTCCGATCGCCAGATACAGCCTTTCCTAGGGAATAACGAGCAGTCACCAACTATCGAACATTGCTGTAAATATCCTTCTGACATCTCAGATACGTACTCGAAAGGCATTAGAATTGCGGCTAACGGCTCATAGATGAATTGAACTGGATGGACGACTTCTGGGATTATCTATTTAGCCAACAACACTACTCCTGCGAAAACTTCAACCGACTCATGTTCGACAATTGCAACAACCTCCAACCTGTTTATAATAACTTACCAGGGGACGACCATTGGGACTTTATTGGCATAACTCAAGAGTTGAATAAAATCAAGGGCAATGTAAGTTAGAGTTTCCGGTGTTCAACAATTCTGCTGACACGATACGATGGCAGATAGGGGGTGACTACCAAGCGGATGTTGTCAGGCAAAGTGAGAATGTTCGCAAGAAAACTATCGTGCCCCAGAAACCGTGGAAGGCTTCGGAAAAAATAATCAAGGGCCGACTGAAGGTACTAGAAAAGATTGTTCTTGCTTGTGATATATGGACTTCAAGCGCCATCTTCGGTCCACTTGATTCAACAAATTATAGGATATACTCCGCCTTGTATGTGATCTCCAAATCTTTAGATGACGTGCTTTAGGGAACACAATATTAATCATTTCTCCTAGGAAAGATATTGATGCTGGTCTAGCGGCCACATATAGATTTTGGGTGACAAATATCAGGATTCCCCAGCAGATGGCGGCAGGCAGCGAACAAGCTGCACTCCTGGTCACATCCATTGAGACTGGACTTAACACCGCAACTGCTAAGGCAATGGAAACAGAAGATGGCGCAAATCTTCTGAGCGAATATCGCAAGGCTTTGCAGGCTATACGTGAGAGATATCACCTTGACGGCGCCGAGAACGTGTGCAACAAGCCTATCAATTTGAATTGGAATAGGGCTACTACAGGTGGTGCCCCGAGACCCCCCCTTGCCCGCCGAGATTCGTGTCCATTCCCAATCACGACCAAAATTCCTACCAACTCTACTAGCACATCTACTGCTCCAACAAAGACCACCACATCTTTATCTATTCCAACGGCGACCAAATCCAGTGATCCAATTTACTGCTTCAATGAGCACAACGATGGCTCCTATGTACCATTCAAAGTCACCGGGGCAAAGGCAGCGATGGAAGCACTTTGCTATAACGGCAACTCACTAAAGCCTGGGGGACCTCCATACACGTATGTCTACAGTGATCCCTCTGGGATCAACGTAATTGGATCTGTTCAATGGGCCCCCGATCAGTCTGGCTGCAAGCCAGAGAAGGAAGTCGAGATGAAATTCCACGTACGTGCCCTTTCCTTCCCATGTTATTCACAGCACTAATCACGCCTTTATAACTAGTGTGAAACTTCAATGGAGCATTGTTTCTCCAAATGTAGAAGTCCTACCCAGGGCTACGGTGGTGCTTTTGTTGAAAATCAAGGGTTTGGTTGCATTCAGTGGATGCTTTACGCGCAGAAGAGCAACACGCAGTGCAGCTGCAACGAAAATGGGTGTACACCCGATAGCCCTGCATGCTGTGCTAATGGGTCCTGTGGTACGAGTAATGCGTTGATGTCGGCGGAGATGAAGTTGATCTCGCTGGATGACGTGGATCCTGCGCTGAGCCTAAGCCTGAACATGAAAAGTACGGAGGACGATTGAACTCTTGATAATTGCCCAGGGTATCAAGGAGTGACGGTCGTACTCTGTATTCTGTCTCGCCAACAACTATTACATGTACTATTCTTTCTATATTCATATATCCATTATCGTTGTTGTCAGCTGAAGCTCGCCTCCTGGTAACAGGGCCGGTGAGGGTAACATCTCTCCAGTCCATCCCAAGGGGTATCTACGAGCAGTATCTAGCTTACTACTTTAAACTTAACCTACAATTCTACAGGTATCATAGTAAAGCTCGCTTTAATATTACCAGAAAAGAATGCGTTCAAACCTCCGATTTTGGGGGGAAAGAGAACGGGTATATATTACATCATATATAGAGCCAGATGGCCCAATTATAATTGTCCTCATGGCCCGTCTGTTATTTTCACCAAGTTTCCCTGTCCATTCAGTCAAATCAATATAACAACATCTAAACCACTTACTGACCGTGATGTCTGGAGCTAGAAAAGTCTCCCTGAGGTGATAAGTAGGTGGGGCAAGTCTATCTTCTATGAGGAATCCGACATGAAATTAGTACACGTAGACGTATGGAAAGGTTAAGCACAACAAAGACTGACCCTGTAGATAGAGCTACATATTTGCATTGCAGTTCCTTAACTTCATCAAGGCGTTGTTTTTCCCACGTTGGGCATCCTCCTCTTTAAGAGCACCCTGATTATAGCCACTTTGTCAATTGTCGCTCGCAGCGTTTTGGCCTCTGGGTATCTTTATCTCGGGAAATCTCCGTTCTGTGGTTGTCTATGCATATATGTGATGGGAGACAAGAAGAGCGAGAATTAAGAAGTAAAGATATCATAGAATGGTCAGAAATGAAAATTATCTAACGACTTCGTTGACTTGTAGGGAAGACATGTCTTACAATGTAACAGGCATTTGCGAGAATCTTCCGAAAATCGGCTTGATACGTTTCCTTTGTTCAAGGATCCTCACTGACCCCTGCTGCAGTGACATTTCTGACAATACATCGATCTTCGGCTTCTTCATTCCATCTGAGAACCAGCTCATCCTGCCCCTCCGGAATTCTTTGCTCGAAGACTTCTTCAGGGGATGGAAACCCATAGAGGGCATTGCCTGCAAGGGCAAGAGCTAGGAGATACAGTGCTCCAGAATAAATGGGTTCATCACAGTCCCAGATGGCAGTGCCAAACCTAATGATTTTCGAGATCAGCATCCAAACGCGTTCATAGTCCAAAGTCAAATGGCGAGGCATTTAGGCGCATACATTGTATTTTCGGGGTCTTTGTTGTTTTTGACATATTGCTGGTCAAGCCGCCATCCAATCCTCCAGGGAGCATTAACGGCCCGAAATAAAACAAGTCCAATGTGCTGACCAACGTTAGCACTTGAATAATGCAATCATTTCATTTCATTAGTCTTACCTTGTAATGGAGCCCTTGTCCAACTTTATCAACTGATGCAGGCGTGAAAGAGGACACTCTAGCACCTGTGCAAAGAAATTGAAGAGTGATAAAATGAAACTGGACACGGTACCTCCCAGACATAAAGAACGGGTCATCAGTGGCCTAGAAAGCAATAATGGGGCGCTCGAAGTCTCTCAGCTTGAAATCATGCTTGGGCTTTCTGACAGCTGAGAGTACTTCCTCTTCGACCAACTCATTTTTGATCCACTGAAATGATTAGAAAAAAGCATTAATTCGAGGGAGCAAAGTGATCTTACATAGTAGAGGTCAGTTGCATCATGAGAAGGAATCCCGTTTCCAGTTTTCAGGAAGAAGCCCAGGATGAACTCTTGGGCCCGTACTTTAATTGTGAGCATAGTTGGTCGTCCATTAAAGGCAAGTCTGCCTTCTGTAAACTCAATAAGCCAGCGGATAAACTCTTTGGGTTCCTTAAGTGTTGGAGCTGGATACCCTTCTCCAAACTTATAGCCTTTGGACATATTCTTTTCGGTGAGAAATCTAACAGATGGATGTGAGTAGAACAGTTTCTACCTGAAGAATATATCGACATACTCCTCGTGTTTGCGCACCCTCTCTCTATAGCTTTCTTTGCTCTTTAAGGATGATCTGCCCCTAGTTCGTTCAGAATCTTTCTGTCGGTGGTCATTTGCATCGTATCCCCGCTGTTGACGAAGTTCACGGCGAGCTTTTATTTTCTTCTCAAGCTGAATAGCCTTCCATTAGTCAGAACATTTGGCCATGTTTTAATACGGCAGTTGAGGTCAATCGCAATACAAGCGAAGAAGCCACAAAGGAAAATGTGGTAAACGACGTATGTATGCAAGACGAGACCTTGGGAGAGAGAAGAGTGAGAAATGTCAAGGTGTGTATTGCCGTATTTATATTCAAAAAGTCGGGGCGAAAAGCCTCTGAAGTAGAACTATGATGGGAATCACTTTTCTCCATTTTTCCTTAATCCAAACGGAAAGCTTGATTTGAATAGTCATTATGTAAAGTGACTAAATTAAGTTATTCGGCCCTTATCTTCGTGAGGCCCTCATGAAAGTGATGGGCTTGGTCGTATAGATCGGGAAGCTTTAGTCTCTTATCATTTTAGAGACCTTGTCGTAGTCACGTGAGGGCCGACAGATAGCGAAGAGCGGCTGCTCCCGGATCGCTCACGAGCCTGCTAAGAGGTATCCGGGAGCAGCCGGAGCGGCTAGTGCGTGCTCAGTGAGCAATCAGTGAGTGGCTCTGAACGATCAGGGAGCACTCACGTGCTACCCTCATAAAAGCGGCGGCACCCGTATCGGGCAATTGGACGGAACTTGCAGAAAAACAATTCAGTTATACACTACTAGGATGCGTCAGCGACCGCGACGTGCATGCCACCAATGCCGGCGGCTCAAACGCAGATGTGATGGCAAACTGCCCTGCTCTGCCTGCTCCTATTACGAATATACGTGTGAATATGATAAAGCCGCTCCACGCAGACCTGCACCGGGCCCTACTCCCCTACTGGAAGCATCAAGCAGGGCAAGCCGAGCTAATGAACCTGCTATTGGAGTCTTGGTTCCGATGGCCAGCACTGAAACAAAAACTGGCTATCTGGAGCCAAATAAGGCGCGATATCTCACCCACGATTCATCTGTAGCTCAGGCTAGATCTGTTGGGATGAGGCTAGGATTACCAAACCCTCCACGTTTGCATTCCTTCGGGTACCATACGGGGATTCGACAAGAGCCTGAAAGCGACATAACCTATCAACTTACCCAAAATATAACTTGGGGCCCTGTGAGAGCCTGTATTGATGTTTATACATCTGTTATCCATCCCATATTTGGGTTCATGAATATGGAGGAGATTTTCCGGAAGGCTAAGCGGCACTGGGAAGGGGATTCTCAAGGGTTCGCGTTCGAAGCGGTTATCAGTGGTATCATTGGATTAGCCTCCCTATTCTCCAATTCTCTAGATCCAAGCAAAGAGACAGAGATTATTCTTCATGCGAAGTCATGTCTAGAAGACCCTGTTGTCAGTCGCCGCCCGTGTCAAGATCTAGTTACCGCGTGGATTTTGAGAACTATCTACACTCGTGCTACTGGTCGACCAAACACAGCATGGCTGCACAGTACGACTACAATGCACATGATCGAAATCACAGGATTACATTGTGACCCAAAATCAACCACCCTTTCCGCGGAGAGCACCAGTCCATCTCTTCGGGACGCCACTGATCTTCGGCAACGCATCATCTTAGTGGCACAAAGCCTGCATACCATAATCGCTTATGATTACGGGAAGACGGTTCTGCGCCTCGCTCCAGTTGTCCATACGAACATCCGACCTCGACGGGGAGATCTCACATTACAGTTATATGAACTCACAGAGAAGATCCCCCTCACACCACCCGAAACAGATCCAGTTACAACACAGGCTGAGCTCGTTCAAGCCATGGAAAATCTTATGCTAGTGACAGCGGAACATGACTTCCTGTTGTTGGCAAAAGCGGAGTTATGCTTTGCTCTTCATCGCCGCATTCAACTTTTAGACCTCGGTCACCATAAAAGACAGGTCCAGCTTGTAATCGCAGCAGGTACCGCCGCACTGCCTGCAGCTCGTCGGCTAGCTACCCTAAACCACCCTTGGTGGGGTACTACAAGCGCAGCCTTTCAATTTCTGTGCATTTGTCTCTCCATTAATACCACTGAGAGTCTTACGTGTCTTGAGCAAATTATTGAAACCCTGGGGACTGTGGCCCAGCGTTTCAACACACATCTTACACAGGAAGCCCTTCATACGGCTCGCCTCTTAATCGACGCATGCCTCGAAAAGAAGAATAAAGAGGTAGCCATTCTCAGACTTGCCGGGAGAACGCCGTCACAGGTTCCTACCCCTACGGAAGGACTTGAAATGACGATGACAGACGAGGATGTTGCTTCCTTTTTACAGGTCTGGGCGGGGTCGCCAATTATGGATTTCAACTCCTTATATGACAGTTAACATGCGTAGAGCTTATCGGGCCCGGCTTACATCTGACCAGAATGTACACGTCAAGCCTGTCGTTCAAGGCGTTGAGTTCGTTGGGTGAGAGTACGAAGGGCAAACAGGGATGCAATGCCCACGCCCAATCCAACAAGACGGATACCCATATAGCTTGCGCCGCGATAGCCCTTCAAAATGTCGGCGCCATTATTGTTAACTTGGCTTTCGACAGTGCCGGCAAATCCAAGTCCAATGGAGATAGAATACTTCACAACTGTGTTGACCAGCGAGGCGGCCAGTCCCTGGTGTTCTCGTGGCATGTTATTTCTGAGTATAAGGGTCCCGGACGGAAACGATATATCCCTATAGGAGCGATTAGTACTATTACCTCTTGATTATTGTGGGCTCCTGCAAAAAAGAGTGTTGGTATGACATACATTCCCGACGGGGTCAAGATCGTGACGACAAAGGCCTGGGCCCAATATATTTGGTGAGCAGGCAATGTCGCCAGTAGTATTTGCCCACCTGTGAATGCTAGCATAGCTATCAACGTAATGGTACTCGGCGGTAGTCGCGCCAGAAGAAAACCTGTGGTCACTGCAGCCACGAAGCCTGAAATCGCAGAGGGCGCCCACTTAGCAGTCACAAGGAGAGGGGTGTCCCCTTTGATCTCTTCCATGAATTGGAAGTAGTAGACTACAATTCGAAATCTAGACCAACCGGCAGCTATACAGCCCAACACCCACGCGACGTTCTCCGAAATATCGATTAGGGAAGCAAGGGGCACATCGCATGGAATTCAATCCAGAGAAACAGACCCAGGCAGATGAAACTGATGATCAACAAGACGTAGACGTAGACAGTGGGCCAACCAACACTTGGTCCCTGGTTCCAAGCAAAATTGATCAGGACCAAGGCAGTTATACCCTGCGAGCCTCCCAGCAGATCAACATGTATCTACCATGGAATTTCATTTGAGAGCCCTGAGGGAGAAGATTTTGGAATGACAAGCATTCCCCGGACAGCGAAGCCGAAACATACAATCCCCATCACCCAGTAGGCCCAAGGCCACCAAGCACGTGGAGCGAAGAGAGATGAGAACGCGGCCCCAACAATATAGCCTTCTGGTGCAGTGGCACCAAAGATGCTGAAAAACATATCTTTCCGCGGACCCAGGGGATACGTACGTCTCAAAATAGCGAGAGCTTTAGGGAGTAGGAAGGCCGGGCTAATGCCTTGCGATGCCCGGCAGGTGTCCAAGAAGATCTGGTTTGACCAGACAGAAAACCCTCCGAAAAGTGACCCGAACCCAAACCAAGCAAAACCACCAATGAACATTGACCGATGTCCATAGATATCACCCAGTGTCTTCCGGCAATCAGGATGAATGTGCCAATGGTCAAGTTATACGCGGCTGGATATGCCCGGCAGTCGTGGCTTTGAAGCTGTCTCCAATTAAATGGAGTGGCACGATAGCCTGTGCAAGACCCGCCTGGGTCATGAATTGTGCAGCGCAGACAACTTCGACAAAGATAGTCTCTTGCAGCAAACTCATTGTTAGCTGGGCTGTCCTTGTGCGTGTGAGATGTGTGAAGCCGAGGGGCTGTGGTTCAGATTCGCATTTTGGTCCCGACGAATCGCTTGAAGGTCGTTCAGTAGTTCCCTCGTTCATTCTCCTCGTGTCAATCTCCGGAATAAGGTGGACAAGCGGATTGTACGGGTTCTTTTTAGGGTGTCATTTCTTATCGGAAGGAGTAACGAACGAGTGGACACGCGCGATTAAATGAGAAACTCAGTAGGTAATCCATTGACTTATCTTACAAGAGCAGATCAGCAGGAGAATTTTTTCAGCATGATCTTCCGCTTGGTAATTATAGGTAGAGTCCATGGTTATCCGTATCGGATTTCCGGTACTCATCCGCATCGGCTCCTAGTCGACGATCACATCAATATAAATAGATGTCATCTCGGGCAGTCATTCGGTATTGTACTCAAGTATTCAATTGTTGACTGCGTTCTGGAGACAGAGCATCTCATCTTGGAATTATCCATCTCGACAACAGCACAAGCTCTATCTCCATACTCACATCCACATGTCTCGCGCCATGAAAGCTTTACTCCTTACAAAAGAACCGGAAGCCTCTGCACCCACTCTTTCCTTAACCAATCTCCCCATTCCTCTTGCAACACCTGGCTATGGCCTCATCAAAGTCCACTTCTCCGTCATTCAGCCATCGGATAAGTACAACAGCATCGGCGGGTTCCCCAAAACTACCTTCCCTCGTATCCCAGGCCGCGACTATTCCGGCACCGTGATCGACATAGCACAAGGACCCAGCAACGCACAGCTGGATCAACAAAACAGTGTACAAAAGCGGCGGCGCCGAGCTGGGCGTCGAGCACGATGGGTCGCACGCCCAATACTGTTTGATACCGGAGGCTATGCTGGCTGAAAAGCCCAAGACGCTCTCTCTCCTCCAAGCAGCTACCATCGGCGTTCCCTTCACTACCGCCATACGATACCTAAGACGGGCAAGGATAAGGACCGACGATGTAGTCCTCGTCTTAGGAGCTACCGGCGCAGTCGCATCTGCCGCCGTCCAGGTCGCAAAAGCAATGGGCTGTCAGCATGTGTTGACTGCGTCTCGCGAGGAAAGCGACAAACCGGATATATGGATAGGAGGAGACGTCATGGCAGAGGTTCAGAAGCAAGGCCCATTTCTCACGGAGGGGAAGGTCGGAAGGGGGTTGATGTCGTTGTCGATACGATTGGCAACCTTTTCCTTATGAATGCTGCTATAGAAGCTCTCGCGTTGAGAGGTCGGTATGCGTGGATCGCCTCGCCGCGAGGTGGTTCATCTACACGACTCGATCTGAATATATTTCGGGCTTACCGTAAGGAGATTGGGCTTGTGGGTACAATTCTTGACTCTCTAGTGTCGAGGATACTGCTGAAGAGATGCAGACTTTGACTCGGTGGTTCGATAGCGGGGTTATCAGTCCTGGGGATGAGTCGATCTTTGACATAGTGGGCTTGGATGATGCGGTTGAAAGAGGATATAAAGCGGAGCTAGGAGCAAAGCAGGTGGTGATCGCAATGGATTAGACCGCTAAACTTTCCTCTTGATCTTCAAATTTGCCTATTTCCTATGAAGACGAGCTCTCGCTATCTGAAACACTATCCTGTCACCCGATGAGCGTTATAGAATATGGGACACAGAATGAGCTAGGACGAAACCGTGGTGCTAAATTCTAGACTTCAGCTTACTGCAGGTTTACTCCACCTCAACATCTATCCCCGCGGTCGAGTCAGTGGTTCCAGATATACTCTCTAATGAAGAAACCTACAGACTTACTCCATCTATACCTAGACCAAGGATTTACCTTCAATCATGATGCAACCTAGACTTGGGAATCATCAGCCAAGAAACCCCCGTAGCCCCAAGCAAGCCAACGAGCATGGGCTGCAAAACCGCAACCCCGACCTGAGCTGCCATAACACCAGTAACAGCCGGAAACACAGCTCCTCCAACCTGGCCGAGCACAAAAATAAACGCTATATATGTCAACTTCATATTCAGACATACGTGATAAATGTAACTTACACAGCGCCGAGGAGCGGATATCCACAGAAAAAATCTTCGATGCAACCGAAATACCCTAACCAGTCAAATCAACGAAATATCCTGCAAGTCAATCAAAAATCACTCACTGTAGCAAAGAAGGGCCCTGAAAAGAATCCAAGGAGACTAATTGCAACCGCCTCGGTGATGATATTCGGAACCCTAGTCACACTCACATCAGTGCATGCTCAAATGAGTGTGTAGGTATAAATATGAGGACCCACAGCCAAAAGACCAACTCCAAACCGACGCAGAGCAGCACGTAAATGAACACCATCCGTCTTTCTCCCCATCGATATGTCGGCTCAGCCAAAATCAGCCGGCCCAGGAAGCCGCCACCGTAGAATCCTGCTGGGACGTATCCCATCTCGTTTAGATCGCCGTTTCGGACGTGGACCAGGTATTCCACGATCCAGCCTATGATATGAGTAACTTGGATTTTCAAAAGCAAATGGGAAGGAAGACATACCTCCGGCGGTAATAACCGCGCCGAGGAAAAAGAAAAAATACAGGCTGATTATCCACACACCCGGCGACGCCAGAGTCTTCTGGATCTCTTGCATTGCACCTTTTTGTCCTTCCGCTTGGCTTAATTCGGTATTGTCTTGGGTATTTGATTTGAAGCGCACCGACTCGCTGAATGCGAGAATCACGAGAACCAAGTTGACAACGCCTAGTCCCAGTGGCGCTGTGTAGAATAATTCCCACCGTGACTGGGTCCCCGCTGACGCCACTGCCGTGGAGATGAACGGGCCAGCGAGACATCCAGCCATGTACATCGCGTGGATGAATCCCAGCCATCGATGTGCTGCTTTCACGGAGGCTACGAACGTGTTGGCGTACGTGTCCTGGTAGGCCTGGCCGAGACTGGCGAAGAAAAAGGTCACTGTGAACAGGGCAAATGGGGGTAGCCAGGTCCTCAAGACGTGAGCGAGGACTTGTAATGTCGCGCCCAGGACTAGAAACATGCCGAGGTCGAGATACTGGGCCAGGTAGCTGTTAGACAGAGCGGCGATGAACCAGCCGCAGAAGGTTGTGCCGTAGCTATCGGGTCGCGGTTAGTATCGTACTTGGGCATTTAATGGGGAGAAGACTAACACGATGGCCACCATGTTTGTGTTAATGTGGTAGGCTTCCCGAATGTACGGGATCAGGGACCCCAAGCTGCCATCGTTCACGCCGGCTACGAAGAAGGCGAATCCCGCGCTGATGAGCTTCAGGAGGAGTCGTGGGGTTTGCGGTTCGGGTTGAGGAGAATCTACTTGTAGGGACTCCATCGCGTGCGACAGGATAGCTATAGAATGAATATATGTTGTTGCATAGTAGCTATGCTATATATTAAAGGAATGTAAACAGTAAGATCACGGAACGGAAAGACGGCCCGATCATTCCTGTGTTGAAAAATTGACAATAATACCCAAAGCGGGCAATTTGGCAGCAAAAGCAAACCTCCACCACAGCCCTAATTAAGTGATCTATAACAAGACAAGTATAGCATCTAAATCCCGCTCATTTCGGCCAATAGTATTCCCCCTTGTCCAGCGCCGTCTTCAATTTGGGCTCCACATGGACAAACCCCGCGTCGCCCAGTTTGGGGAAATCCTCGACGATCAACCCGGCAACCAATCCCCCGAACACCTTGCTGCCAGCCACATTCAGATGGGTCGAGTCACCCGCTTTCAAATCGTAAGTGTGTGCATTGACCGGCCCAATGCTATTCAGATATAGCGTGCTCGCTTTGTTCAGGTCAATATACGGCGCTCCCGTCTGCTTCGCGGCCTTGATCGTCGCGACCCGCTGGTCCTCCAGATTCCGGATAATAGTGGAATTATCGTATTGTCGGCGAGACAGTGGAGTCACTAAAATGGGGACTGCCCCCGCATTCCGCACCTCCCCAACATACGCCTGGAGGTTGCTCGTGTAGTCTGTGATAGTGATGTTGGCGTCCGGCTTTTGGTCGCTGTGGCCGAACTGGATGGTCACGTAGGGCTGATAATTGGCTTTCACCTCCTCCACCTTCTTGAGGAGGGTGTTCCAGTCCCCTCTGCTGCGGAAGTTGACGGTTGTGGCTCCGTTGCGCCCGTAGTTGTGGCCTTTGGCTCCCTTGGCGAGGGTATCAATGAACCCATTCCCCCAGCCTCCGCCGTTTGTCGTTTGAACAGCTGTCGTGCTGTCTCCTGCAAGAAGGAAAAACGGAGGTTTGTCCGACGCTGCCCTGGGTCCATTAGGGAGGGCGTGGAGGCTGAGGAAAAAGAAGAAGAGAAGGTACAACTTCATGGTGACGGACGGGTTTCCCAGGCACGGTACCTGCCCCTATTACCATGAAGCGACCGCTAGGTAGTATTTATCTACATTTTCCGGCTGAATCAAGTATCTCGGCATTAGATTGAGAGGAAATTACGAGCATGTGAGAAGCTATGTAAGCGTGCAGGGTTGGTTTAAAAATCACCGCAAAAAAACGAGACTCGAGAAAAGTGTGGGGAAACGATGGCGAATTTCCATAAATTGATTTCTACAGGATTCGTACGCCGGGTCTAGAACCAATTCCGCGCAGAACGTCCGAAAGAAGCAAACAAACACTTGGCCATGATGGATGTAGAAGAGAGTTTCATTGCTTCATCAGATCGGGGGGAGGGTTCGCCCCATATGTATATGCAGAACGTGAGCAAGTGTGTGAAATTTGTTCCGGTCAGCTGCTGAGAAATCAATCAATAAATCAATAAATAATCCGGAGATTCCGAAGCCGCTCGGACGCATTTGGATAATTCTTACTACCCAACTTCACTAAGGCCCCCTGCTCCCTCGTATTATTATGATTGGTTCCATGTACCAACACACAAGGCACTGAAAGGTTTGTCCTTAATTATGGAGTCAAGTCACAACAAACCTCGTATCCAGCGGGAACGTGACTGGTGGGTGTTACTTCGCCTCTTTGTTGGCTGAAGTGGCCAAGACGTCCGATCGTTGACATGGTGGGTCGGGGCGCCAGCGAGGCTGAAAGAAAAAAAATGTTAAACTTCCTGTTCAAATCGTGGAAGCCAAGGTTAACTCATCCAAAGAACAGGTTCCGTGCCGTCGTGGAGGCGGAGATGGGAGATTGAGGATGTGTCTGACCCGGGGGTTGTTGTGCCCTATATCCATCGACTTCAGAAAAGTACCCAGTGGTGGGTCAACTGTACAGAATTCTACTCAGCCCGCAATGCGCCTCTTTTTATGGGGAACTCTACTCCATCAAGCTATTGTTAGGGCTGTATTACGCGATATGCGATTTGAAAAAAAAGAAAAAAAGAAAAATCCAAGAGTGACATTGTCATAAGAGCTGTACAACGTGAGGGTTTACACAAAATTCCTCCATCTGGTTTAGGTTCCGCTGTCATCTTTGTTCTCTATGGCCCGTTCGTCTACCATAGTTGGACCAGGTCAGCCTTCGTCCCAGAACATTGGAATTGGCACCAATCGAGGCGGCCGATCCTGCGTCATGGCTGGCACATAGCAGTTCGTAAGATTCCAAGGCCTCCCACACCTTTTGCTCCTTCCTTTTCTCTATGCCGTGCTGTTCATCTCTCTCTCTCTCTCTCTCTCCTCTTCCCTCAGAGTTTCACCAATGTCAGCTCGTCCCTTGCGTATGGTGTCCTCCTCATCCCTCCACCAGATGCCAAAAATGTCGCTCATCCATCTGATGACATGGCTGTTACTCACGATCGGCTCATTATTACTCGGGGTATCAGCACAAACAACGACGACCAAGGCAAGCAGCGCCGCAACTTCAACTTCGTCGTCCACGGGGATTGCGACACATACGATTCAGGTCGGACCGAGGAGTGACCCTCATCAGTATGTACCGTCTAGTGTCAATGCATCGGTCGGCGATGTGATTGTCTTTGAATTCTATCCGAGGAATCATTCGGTGGTCAAAGCCGACTACGATGCGCCGTGCCTACCGGCCCAAACAGGGGCCATGTTCTACTCGGGTCATTTCGAGAAGTTCAATGAAGAGAATGGACAGTTGATAGGACCGGTTTGTTCGATTCCGACCCTGAAGATCATGACTAGTATTGACACAACCCAGCCACCCACCTGGTCGCTGGTCGTGAATGACACCAAGGTGAGCCAGGGTCACACACGTATATCCTGAATCAGACGTGCTTATAGAATATTACGCAGCCCACGTTCTTCTATTGTACTGCCATTGGTTCATGCAACAAAAACGGAATGGTCGGCGTGATAAATCCGGTGAGCGATCCTCATAGTCGTTCTCATTTTCTCCACAATTCCTAACAGAAGCAGACCGAAAACATGACCTGGAAGCATCAGCACGATAAAGCATTAAAATCGCCCTATCAGCTTGAACCATGGGAGCATGTACCTGCCGAAGGTGAAACCCCGGGCTCCACATCGACCTCTACCCCATCCGCAGGTTCTTCGTCCGGGAGTCACCTCAGCCCTGGTGCCATCGCGGGCATTGTGATCGGCGGAGTTGCATTTGTCGGACTTCTCGTGGCGCTATTCTTTGTCATGGGCCGAAACCAGGTATACAAGAAATGGATGACGTCGCAGGATGGAACCACTGAGCGGACCGCCCGTTGGGCTCTGTTCAACAGCCATGGGGGCGATCGCAAGAGTGACTGGGATAACACGCAACCACCAGGTGACCAGCCAACCTACATGCCGAGCCCGGATCCCACTCAGCGCACATTCTCGTCCCCACCAGGGCAGTATGGCTGGGACCAGTCTATGTTCCAGCCCATGCCGCAGTCACCCCCACTAAGGAATATGGCTCCCACGGAGCTGGAGGCCCCGGAACCGGTAAACCCTTATCGAGGCGACGGCAGGTAACGGGGCGATGCTGTAATTATGGCTGTGCGGCTGTGGAGTTAGGATCTATGTTTATTTGGTACGAAGCGCATCAGTCGGGGCGAATATTTTGGCATACGGGTTCTTATTTGGTTGATATCCTGTTCTTTCTATTATGTTGATACCGGTCATAGTATCTGCGGCGAAGCATGATAGACTCCCTAACGAAAATGCGCAATTAATTTTTATTTTCTGCTCCGTGGGCAGTGCAGCAGTGTCATAGATAAACTTTTCACTCGATATTCAGTATATGAGATCATAAAGAGGATTTGATAACGATGAAGAACAAAGATTGCGTGAAAAGATGGGGCTGCAGGATTTCAGGTCGAATTGGCTAGATCACTGGCCGTTTTACGAGGAAAGGACAATTATCATTATAGCGTAACTTAAGGAAATGAGTAGAAAGAGATAAAAAGACAAAATAGCCAACATAATAAGCACAGCTCGTGCGACTACAAATTCTGCTACTCCTTACAAAATGAAGACCCAACTCTTCTATCCCAAAAGCGGGATGCATCATGTGCCCCCTCAAGCCCTTGTTGATAATATCTTGACTAAACCTCTCATGGCCTGATATTCCGCGATTCTCAAGTAAACGATAGGTCAAACAGCGCCGTCCGAAGGGGATCTTTACCTTGCTGATAAGCTTATCACTTGGCAAAACATTGGCATCGCCACCTCCTCCCTTTTCTAGTATCGCCAGACGGACAAGCACCGCGCATCGGAGCCGTGAGAGAGACGCTTCTTATAAACGTTATGCTTAATTACCCCGGTGAAACTTGCTGGTCTCAACTTTGATCTTGGCTGGCGGTTATAGACTTTAGATGGATCGTACTATCAATATCATCCTTATCATCCCCGCACGCGTCTAGGTCTTCAGTACCACTTTGGGCTTGTCCGTTAATGTTACATAAACCCAAGATGACCCCCGCACTCTTCCCCTTCGCCTCAAACCTTCATAGGCATTACCATCATGGATAAGAAGACCCTCGTTGATAACCATCCGGTCTTAAAGGAGGAGGCTGGGAATGGAGTAATTACTCAATATCGAGAGACCCAACGGGGTCTCTCCTCTAGACAGGTTCAGTTGATGGCGATCGGTGGTTCTATCGGCACTGGTCTCTTTGTTGGAATAGGGTCGTATCTGCGGGATGCGGGCCCTCTATCTGTCTTTTTGGGGTACATGGTCTATGGAATTCTGTTTGTCTGGCCGGTCAATCTTTCAGTTGGAGAGATGTGTGCATACCTACCAATCCGAGGATCTATATTCGAGCTTGCGGCTAGATTTGTCGATCCAGCGTTTGGATTTGCAATGTACGATCTCGATCTGTTCCTTCTGCGTAGGAGATAGGATACTAATGCATGATTAGGGGATGGGTCTACTTTTACGGTGGCTTAATGCTTGTTTGCACGGAATTCTCCGCGATAGCCACCGTGATGCAATACTGGACCACTAGTGTAAACCCTGCCGCTTGGGTCGCCATGGCGCTGGCCGTTTGCTTCCTTCTCAATATTGTCGCTGTCAAGTGGTATGGAGAAAGCGAGTTCATCATGGCCTCCACCAAAATTCTCTTGTTGATCGGCCTCGTTATGCTCACCTTCATTACCATGGTTGGCGGCAATCCAAAGCACGATGTGTATGGGTTCCGGAACTGGAGTCATGGTGTAATGTACGAATACTATACCGATGGCGCGACTGGACGGTTCCTGGGCTTCTTCTCCGTTATGGTCTACGCGGCGTTCTCGGTGGCGGGACCAGACCTGCCAGCATTGGCAGCGGGAGAGATCCAAAACCCGCGCTGGACCATTCCTCGAGTCGTCAAGATGACCTTTTACCGAATTGTTGGTTTCTATGTCGTCGGAGTCTTGGCCGTAGGTATCATCTGCTCGCCGCGGGATCCCCGTCTCCTATCCGCTATCAACGCAGGTGCAGCTGGATCGAATGCGTCCCCATGGGTTATCGGAATCCAGAATCTAGGGATCCACGGTCTCCCCGATTTGATCAACGTATTGATCCTCTTCTCCGGATGGTCATGCGGCAATGCCTATCTGTACAGCTCTAGTCGAACCCTATATTCCCTTGCCAGAGACGGCCAGGCCCCGAAATTCCTCCTCAAGTGCAATTCGTCCGGCGTGCCAATCTACTGTGTCCTCACCGTCTCGCTTCTCTCCTGCATCTCATTCCTCGTCGCGGATACTTCCGCTGTCACGGTGCTCTATTGGTTCATTGATCTGACCACTTGCGCCTTGATCATCACCTACACCAGCATGGTTTGCGTCTTCCTCGGCTGGTACCGCGCTCTCAAAGCGCAGGGAATTGACCGAAAGACCGCGCTTCCATTCACCGCCCCTTTCATGCCATATTTTTCCATAATCGCCGTGACGATTGGGAGCTTGATCACATTGTTTAATGGGTTCAGCGTCTTCAAACCGTTTAGCGTGCAGGGTTTCATCACCGCATACTTCGGTCTCGCCTTCTTCGTAGTCATGTTCGTGTTCTGGAAGGTATATCATAAGACCGAGTTTGTGGACCCTGCTACAGCGGATCTATACAGCGGGAAGGCTGAGATCGACGAAGAATGTCGGATCTGGGAGGACGGTGGACTGGAGGAGAGACGGAAAGCTGAGCTAGCCCAGATGCACTGGGCCAAACGAATGTGGGAAAAGATGTGGTGATACTGTAGCCCCGCCTTATATACCCGACATTTATTCAATATATTCATATCCATATCCAACATGAACGTACCAGCCGCCTACAAAACACCAAGCTATGCATACCTACTCCCCCTTCGGTCTCCACATCATAACCCCACCCTCCTCGATATCTGCAACAAGCATCGAAAACCTCCCACGCAACTCAAACCCAAGACTTCGATATAACCGCTCCCCATCCTCACTCGCCTCCAATCCCACCACAACCCCTTCCTCCCCAGCCCGCTTCAACACCTCCCCCATCAACATCGCCCCAATCCCCCTCCGCCTCCACCCTTCAGAAACAACCACGCTCTGCGCATGCCATCGCTCCCCATATAACCCCTTCATCTCTTCCGACTCCCAGAACTTCCTATCATCAACCTCAACAGCCCGTCCAAAATTCTCCACCGCCTTTACATCCACACTCCGATCCGGCCACACCCAATTCTCAATCCGATTCCAAATACCTACAACCCATCCCATCACTGTCCCCCACACCGTTCTCTGCGCCGCTATCAACCGCCTTGCCGCCTCGTCGTTCCCCAGTCGAATGAATTGCGCATAGGCGATGGGGAGCTCGGGTTTTGACGCGCTCACAGCGACGAAACCGATACTCCGGGGATTGTAGTAGCGGGCTCGGGTCATTTGGACGAAGCGTCTGTTAAAGTCTTCGGGGTAGGTGTGGCGGTGGGGACTGAGGTAAGCACTCAGAGGCGTGTTGAAGTAAGATTTTGAGGCTATTTGGGCCATGTGGGGAATATCGGAGGGTTGCATGCGGCGGATTTGGATTTGAGGCTGGGTTGAGGACATGTTGGTTGTTGTTGCGGTTGCTGTCCGTGGAGCCTTCTTTCTCTTGTGTTTTGTATCTAGGGTTGGGGGACGTTCGGGTGTATATACGGGTAATGGAGAGATATCGTCGGGATGCGTTTATGGGTTAGTTTGGTTTTATTTGGGGTTAGAGTTTGGTTTATATTGGGTTCTAAAATTAAATTATTGGTGGTTTGACATGTTCTAGACTGTTAATACGAGATTTTCTGACTCATGCTTGCTTTAGTCTTGTAGGATGTTAATTTATCGAGGGGGCAGTTGTTCGCGCGCCCTCCCGGAGAAGATTGTCAGGAGGTGGGTTATATTTATTAGAACTGCGGTGTGCAAAACATATCGCTGTTGATTTCTTACAAAGTTCTGGTTTAGTCTATTCGTGGCAGGAATTAAATCGAGTGTCTCCATTTACTAATCTCAGCATGTAAAGAAACCATATTTTGAGGAATTTCTCTACTTCTCCCACTGGAACAGAAACCAATGTTGGCTGAAGGTCTAACCTTGCACCTCAATATATTCATTCTCGAATATAGAGAAAAATAAATTAGGCCGCAGTCATATTCTCCAGTTCGACATCAATGGCCTTATTGAGGACAGGTTCCTCCACTTCCATGTACCCCTTCCTTTCCTCCTTCACCTAGTTATACTTTAGTAATATAGTCCGTAGCATTTCCATCATACCTTCCTGGCCCTCTTATTGGCGCGTCTGCCTCTGCTTGCCCTGGCTAGTATGGTGTTCGAGAGAGTTAAAGCGGCAGTGCCTTAGTGGTTAGGAGAGAGGATGCGCTCTGCTTGTAATCATGTTTAGTATAGTGTCGAATATAAAAGCACAGCATAACAATGACAATATAGAACCATAGTAATATATAAGGTTATAGATGAGGCAAACTTACCTCCTTCCTCTTCTTCCTTTCGGGGGACGCCTGCTGCTGCTACTGCTCTTGCTGCTATTCGAGCCATTATTATAAGCCATATACCAGCATCAAATTGAAACCTTACATCTTTATCCTATCCTTTGGCGAACATAAGGACCAGACACGTCTCATCCATCAGGTGAGAGGTTTTACCCAGGCACTGGTATGATGATGCGTATATTGTCCACATAAGGATTAAACGGTGACGCCAATACTACTACTGGATTGGTATGTAGGCCATCCCACACATTCAGCACCAACTCGCCCGAACATCCAATCTTCTTGCAACGAGCAAGAGCGTCAGTGAGTGTCTTAACAACATGACCAGCAGGAGGCAATTGTCTATTAGCCTGGTGGATGAACCCCAAAAGAGGAAGCTCCTCTGCCAGCGGTCCATAAGTCTCCACATACTCAGTATGGGTGTACTCAAGGCTTTGGAGAGGCACCTGTGAGGGTTATTCTTTCCAACCGGCAACCGTGTCATAAAGAGAACAAGGTTGTCAGTCTCCGGTTTTTTCAACAAACGAGAGAAAAACTTCGCAAAGGACGTAGCAAGGTCTAGTTAGAAGGATATCAAAGCTTGAGAATGCAACTATCAAGTAAGGTCACTTTAAACGACGCTGTGCGGTCAAGAAGAGAAAGAAAAAAAAAAGGGAAGAGAGACGCGACGAGAATACTGGCGGTAGGTGAAGAACGCCCATATTTCACAGCTAGCTGGAGACCTTCTAAACTAGCCTACAGCTACCTGTATTCACAATATCTTGACCTTGTTAGTTAGCGTAGGATTAACGTTAGCTCGTAGACTACAGCCTGTAGCCAACCTCCTATAGCCTATAGTGCTCAAAATTAGGAGTCTTTCCGGGTCTTAGCTTATGGTTCCCTTTCCGAGAATCTTGTATTGGGTAGCGGCGTATTTATATGTGAAGCGCTTTTAGACCAGCAAGCAACTGCTTCCTTGTGAATATTAGCGCGTATAACTCTACTCTGTTGTAGAACAATGTAGCCTCTCGGGGAGGTTTCCTGCGGCCGGGAATATAGCGGAAGTAGAAATATTGTTAAGAAGCGGCATTGACTTTATGTCAAGAAACATATCACAATACAGAATTATCATCTCGCAAAGACCTCTTTAATAGAGGGCCTAGAACTTTATTCTAAAGACCTCCGGGTCTGGATACTTTCCAGAACTTCCCTTCTACAGGGTACAAGGCTGTAACCATGTCCATCTACCCGATGAAATGCATTCATAGATATTGCAGTGTGCCGTTTCCAATTCATTCTTTTCCGCTTATTTTCCAATTTCAGCAGCCTTAGTTTATCCAATTCAGCATGTTAATTCAGGGGAAGAATGCCGGGCTCATAACCCGGAAGTCGCTGGATCGAAACCAGCACATGCTACATTACTTTTTGCAATTTTTGGTGGCTCAATAGTGGGTCTTTTGAAGTTTTTCTTATGTGGCTCGTGATATCTGCACCGGCGATTGTTCCAGATTCTCATGACCGCCTTCCGAAAACGTCATCCATTTAGGGCTTACCCTTCGACCGCTTACTGGTTTAATCCACTTTGCTTGCTCCCTTCCGTTTAGTGTAGGGTTCATGTCTTGTTTTTGGTGCTTATCATGGTAGTACCTAGTATAGAGGATATAGGACTTGATGACAGAGGGCAAGGCCTATTCCTAATCAAACTTAAGATCCACACTGCAGGATAACATTGGACATTTCAAGCATACATATATTGCGTATACGAACTACTAGTTGCCATAGACTCTATTTAACGAATGGTACTACTTGGCATTTCTTAGTATTCCGCGACTATATAGGTAAATATGGACTACTCATACTAGAGTCATGGTATTGTGTGGTCGTGGCACATAGAATGTCACTGTAGGCTCCTATGGCAGGCACAGTGCGTTGCATGGCACTAAAGACTCAATCGATTTCAAATATGGAGACGCCACAATAGGTATTTCCCCTTTACCCCTCTGGTATTGCAAAGATGAACCACTTGATGGTATGATGACTTGAGGGAAGGCTCCGAGATAGAAACTATCGGTGGTAGCGAGGAGAACGCTATTAGTGTTATGTCTATGGATATGTTTAGGACTTACTTTGAAATAGAACGCTAGTTATGAATATAAATATATCCAGATGAACCTTCAAAGTGTCCTTCAACTTAGAATGTGTTCATCTAAAAAATATGTCAAACCCCTACAAGTAATCGGGTCACATGGGCTCACTTCTTTTCGTAAGATAGGCTATGTGGACATGAGACTAAGATCTAAACAGTATGCGGACTTGATGAGTATTCAATATAGTACATTCTGTATGGAGCAACATGCTAAAATAAACAAAGACAATAAATAATAGTCCAGTGAATCAAAGGGCTGACGATCATTATCGCAACTTATCTCTCCAGTAGGAGCAATGTCCGCAATACCACGGGTCGAGGCCGGACAAGCACTTAAGTCTTTCTCGGATATTCTCTCCCAGTCCAACATCAAGTTATCTTCCTCGGCACTACCCAAATCATCGCTTAACAAGCGCCCGAGACCGACTATGTCGGTGCTCCTAGCAAGCCGCCGTTCCTTAAGCGGATATCAATCATGTCATAATAACCAACCCAGGATAGACTAGTAGACAATTTGCAGGATCACCTTAGCTCGATAGGCTAAGCCCTGGCGACTATATCCCACTGCTAACCAATTTTTTGCTGATTAGGATGCTCAAGTCCGTTCCTCGATGCATGGGGGTCTTACGATGCCTCACTAGCCATCTCCACAAGATCATGCACGAGCGATTCCTTGCCTCGTCCCAGGCATTGGGCTGGGATAATACACGTGATGTTTGGTCAAAGCTAAGGCTATTCCTGGAAAGGCTGTACAAGGGGCTATCAAGTACCCAAGACATCCAGTGTGGCAATACTTGTTGGAAGAGGCATTCAGGGGTATAACCTGGGGGATCAATATGCCATTTGAGCCTTAAAACGGAACCAATCAGCATCCCAACTGATAGCATGATTGAACAGCTTTTGCTTAGGAAGTGAAGGGAATATCTACAATACAGGGCAGAAGATCTATAAGCCAGATAAACATATGTAAGTGGAAGGAGATCAAGACGTTGAATTTCCAGCAGATAGTTAGATACTGGAACATGGACTGGTTCTTGCATTTCGTTACTACTAAGTATACGCTATTTTATATCTAATGGTTCTATATCTTTCAGATACAGAGTCCCTATTAGAACGCCAGCCGATATATTGCCTAACAATGTTCCCCATCTGTGGCTGACCCATCCCTACACAAGTGACAGGGTATACAGTACGTCTCCAGGCCGAAACGCTATTAGACCTGTGACAGGGAAGTTATCCTGTATAAAGACTAGTAACACTATTGTTGGTTTAATTAGACTAGACCGATGGTATTGCTATGAGATTGCCAAGCTACCCTACTTTACAGGGAAGTGTATGGTCCGTACCTGCTTTTTGTGTGATAAATCTAAAAATGAGACACGATTCTCAATCGCAGTCAGTGTGGCCGAGTGGTTAAGGCGATTGACTAGAAATCAATTCCGTTCGCGGGCAGAGGTTCGAATCCTCTCGCTGACGATATTTTTTTTTTCTGCCTTCACACTCTCTAGTGATCCTACTTTTCTAAAACTGCAGAGTACAAAACTTATATAGGTATTGTCAGGGTGCGGGTTCGGGCTGGCACCGTGACAGGTATTATGGATATGGTTCCTGGACCTGCGCTTCCTCTACATCCCACACACCTGAGAAGATGCTAGACTTAGGCTTCTAGCATCAGGACACAGACTCGGATATCCCCCTTACAAAACTATATGTATTATATCTGGGGAATTAACTCCAACTGGATATGATTATAGTAAGTTCTTTGTACCTAGTAGAAGGTGTGCTAAACCCAGAGACAAATCTTCACAGCTGCTGCTTTTGTCAAGGGTATCTACTATTCAGAGCAGAGGACCTGTCAGCTAGGTAAAGATACGTAGGCTAAAGGGAAGAGGTCAAAGGCAGGCAATAGATGCTATTCAGACAGGAGACTGATTCGGTCTCCTACTACTACTAACGGTTCGCTAATTTATAGCTGAAGGCCCCACGCCTAATGGATTCAGAATCCCCCTTGAAAACCAAACCGTCGTATGGCCTGATGTTCCTCATCGGTGGCCGATTGTCTATGCACCTGGGTCAGGGTACCCTGCACCGTCATCAGGCCGAATCGCTATTCGATCTGTGACATGCTTTATAGCTTTACATTATAGAATTAATGGTACATTGTCAAAGTTACTCTAATAGGCCAATAAG